TTTGTGTTTCTTTAAGGCTGGCATGGAATTCACAAGGATCCTTTGTTAATCAAGGTTGGCAAAAAAAAGAGCACGTGTTGCAGGGAGTTGTGGCGCTGTTGTTGCTTCTTCTTGTATATTTGTATCTTGCTTTTCCTCACAGGAGTTCAAGGCTGTGTACATTGTCTTTCTTTTCATTTTCACAACAGCCCTGTGAGGTAGCCTTGGCTGAAACTGCACATACTTGGATTTCTTATTTTAGTTTTTGCATTTTTGTTATTTACCAGAGGTGGTGGTGGTATTTTACTGCAGTTATTAAGACCATAAAAATGTTGCAGTTAAAGCAGTAGGTGGGGCTACTTTTCTGCCTTCATGCATGTTTATTTTGCTTTATGTGATCTGTAAATGACATATATTTGCATCTTGCTTTTCCTCCCCTCTTCCCTTTTTATCTTTGGAACAGCCCTGTGAGGTAGGCTAGGCTACATTAACAATGTTCTTAAGCAATTCTTGCCAATATATTTGGGGGGAAGGGATGCAGGGCCCCAATCCACATACAGTGGACCAGGACCAGGCAGTCCTGTTGGCATGTGGAACCTTTGGCCCATCAGAAATTGAACTACAACTCCCATTGTCCCTGGCCATTGGCTATATTTGCTTGAGCTAATGGGGGTTGTAGTTCAGCAACAGCTGGAGGGCCAAATATTTCTGTTTTAAGGTAAGGACCAGATTGGTTTGCACCACCTATTGAATTCTACAACCAGGGACTTTGTTGGAACTTCACTGGAACCTGCTACGTCAGATTTCTGCATCCAATACTAAGCCCTTTGGTTGTAGAATTAAGGCAGGGGGTGCAAATTAATAAGGCCTTTTAGAACAAAGAAACACAGGGACTAGATATGTAGTGAACTTTTTTTCACTACAATAATGTTCCAAAGGATAGAGAGGGCACAATTAAAGGATTTAAAGGGAATTAAAAACAACCACCATGCCCTAGCAGAGCATTCTTAAACGGCTTCATTAAATTATCATCATCACTGGGGCTCTGTAAATGCTGTAGTCAATCCAAGCTCCATGTAAGCCAGTGGAGGATGGTCTTTTAGGAAGAATGGGTTACTACCCCACCAGCCTCTGTCCTCAGCCAGTCCCTGCTGGACTGTCCTCATATTTGCAACCAGTCAGTGGGTGGCTCTGCCTGTCATTGGCTCTCGTGCCACCTAGTGTTGGTCTTCCCACTTCCGCTGTATTATTCCCAATGGGCACCAGCTACCACTGATCTAAGACCTTGGCCAGAAATTGTGTAATGGGGGTGGAAAGGGAAGTCTACATGCAGAGGGTCATTCACTGTAGAACAGCTGGAATTGAATATAAGTAATGTAAAATGTTGAAAATTGTGAAATTGTAAACTGTTAATGACATAAGAAGGAATCATATGACTTGTCAGTTATCCCACCGCCTTTGCACTCATTGGCCAGAATGCTGGAAGCCTGGAGTAACTTTATTTCATAGAGAACAACAATTTGGCATAGTGCGTTGATGCTCTTCTTTATATTTCCAAAAGTAAAAGGGGCAGAAACAGGAACTGAAAAAGATATAGATGTTTGAATATCATCCATGCCCTCCAACATTTCATGGATGAAAATAGGAATATGCTTGCAACTACCCTGCCCTCATATCAATGAGGACTTCAGGAGCCACATCCCACCCCCTCTACATTTTGAATGATTTTGATTCACATGCTGATGGTATATTAATTTACTTTGCAAGATCCTCGCAAGCTATTGCTGTTAAAGGCAAGATGTTGGTTGCTCTTTGGGTAAAGATCTACTACCAGGAAAGACAGCGCCGTTTCCAGGATAGCCTAATATCTTTCAAACTTCCTCTTCAGGAGTACACAGGGCACCATTATTTCTGTTCATTTTCTGTTTGTTTTTTCAGAAAAGAGAGAAAGCTCAATTTGTTTTTTTTTAATCCAGTTCACATTTAGTTCATCTGTATTGCTTGAAAATGTTGTTTAGCTGCTGTTGCTTAATTTTAAGTTGTAAATGGAAACTGGAAATTGCTTTATTTAATGGTTGCATTTATAATTATTTTATGTTTTATTTGATGCTTTTATTTTTTTATTTTTTTATATTTTGTGTGATGACAACATGCCCTGAAAGGCAGGCTAGAAATCTATCCAATAAATCAGGCATAGGCAAACTTAGCCCTCCAGATGTTTTGGGACTACAATTCCCATCATTCCTAGCTAACAGGACCAGTGGTCAGGGGTGATGGGAGTTGTAGTCCCAAAACATCTGGAGGGCCGAGTTTGACTATGCCTGCAATAAATATATCCAATAACCCTGGCATCTCCAGGTAGGGCTATGGGGGAAGAATATTGCTGAAACCCTGCAGAGCTGCTACTAGTCAGTATTTCATATGCATAAGGTTGCACTGTTTGTTTAGGATAATCTGATGTGATTCCCCTCCTCAATTTCCATTTTCTGTCTCCCTGTCTCTTAGTCATTCTTCTTTCCTTCCCACTCTTCCTCATTCTGGCCTTTCAACTGATCTCTTCATTGCAATATGAAAGGTGGTTTACTGTGTAAGAAGCTTATTAAAAGGTCTGACGTTTTAACTGGGAGGAACTTTGACTTAGTCCTAGGATCTGAAATGAGAAAGACTGTGTTGAAGGTGAGAAAGTAAGTTGTGGAATTAAATGGAGATGGAGAAAATACAGATAAGAAAAGTTGTTGAAATATATTGTAATTGTATTGGTTATGCACTAAAATTAATAAAGAATATTTAATTAGTTAGTTTATTCAGCAACATTTATAGATTATGTAACAAAAATGAGTAAATATCTAAGTGGTTTACATAAAATAGTATAATTTTTAATCAAAAATACTTATAAAACTAGCCAACATTAAGAGTAAGCAGACAATTTAACAACACAGATAAAAGCCACATAATTTTTAAAAAACTATTTAAAAAATAATCTGGATAGGCTTGTTGAAACAAGAAAGTATTTGGCAGGCATTAAAAATAGCAAAACTTAAATGTCTGCTAGAGATTTATTTTACAAAATGAAAGCTGGAAATTCAGGAAGAATTTCAGAGGGGAAGAAGCAGAGGTGTGGTTCCTGGATTGGAGGAAGGCATCAAACAGCACTTCAGACTCATTTGTTTTCAATCCTAGTAGGATACCTTTAATTACTGAAATCATATATTTATTACAGCAGCACCTGATACAGACCCGAGATCCACCCCTGACTCCCAACCTGCAATTTGGGATCCACTTCCACACATTCCCTTGATTTGTACCTAACAGCACATTATTCATCCTAAAATGACAATTCACAGAACAATACGCATGTTACTTTAGCATTACTACTGAATTCAAACCAGTGGTTTTTACACTTGCTCTTAACCCAAAAGGCAGAGAAGCCATTGAAAACCGATGATTTTTAAAGACTCCCTCACAATTTCAATGAGGCACCTGGGCATGTTTGTCCTTTCGGATTTCATTTCAGTGCAGGGCGATATGGGGGGTGGGGTGGGAGGCTCTCGCTTTTCCTACCCACACTTTGCAGCACTTATGGAAATGGATATAAATACAATTTCAGAATAAGATGTTTTTAGCCCAGACGCTCATTTGGTTTTGGTCAGTTGGAGACAGACTATCAGTGACTAACACAACAGAAATTTTACCTTCTTTACAAAACGTTTCAGCTCCAGATTTCATCAGTTGCTCTGATAAAAATGACGCTGTTCCCAAGGTCGCTTTGGTGCGGGGTGTGTGTGTAAACAGTGAGGTCAAAGGGGAATTAAGTGCAAAAAAAGAAAGAACAGAGGAAGTGTACTGATCATACAGCTTGGCATTCAGGAGTTAGGGTGTGATAATTTTTAAAAAATATATTGTTATTATTTATTAAATTCCATTGTCGCTTTTTCTTTCCCAGGGCAAACCAAAGCAACTTACAACCAAACAGACTGACAAATATCCATGGGCGAGACCAGGAGCACCCACACCGCCTCCCACAAGAGACAGCGATCTTCCTTTAAAGCCTCAAATGGCCTCAGACCCGTATACCTGAAGGAGCGTCTCCACCTCCATCGTTCAGCCTGGACACTGAAGTCCAGTTCCAAGGGCCTTCTGGCAGTTCCCTCACTGCAAGAAGTGAGGTTGCAGGGAACCAGGCAGAGGGCCTTCTTAGTAGTGGCACCTGCCCTGTGGAACACCCTCCCATCAGATGTCAAGGAAATAAACAACTATCTGACTTTTAGAAGACATCTGAAGGCAGCCCTGTTTAGGGAAGTTTTTAATGCTTGATGTTTTATTGTATTTTAAATATTTTGTTGGAGGCTGCCCAGAGTGGCTGGGGAAACCCAGCCAGATGGGCGGGATATAAATAATAAATTACTATTATTATTCCCTCACGCCTCAGAGGATGCCAACCCAAGAGGGTGGGCGAAATATATAATAAAATAAAATAAATGTCCAGTAGCACCTTAGAGACCAACTAAGTTTCTTCTTATTGCGAGAAGTGAGGTTACAGGGAACCAGACATTGGGCCTTCTCAGTAGTGGCACCCACCCTGTGGAACGCCCTCCCTTCAGATGTGAAGGAAATAAGTAGCTATCTTCTCTTTAAAAGAAATCTGAAGGCAGCCCTGTTTAGGGAAGTTTTTAATATTTGATGCTGTATTGTTTTTAACACTCGATTGGAAGCCACCCAAAGTGGCTGGGGAAACTCAGCTTGATGGGCGGGGTATAAATGATTAATAATAATAATAATAATAATAATAATAATAATAATTCCTATTAGCTTTCGTGTGCATGCACACTTCACTAAGGAGGGGCAGGAGAGGGGAGAGTGACAGGCCCACAGGCGAAACAGAGAGACCCGAGCTGCTTCTCGGGAGGGGCGTGGCTCTCAGGCCTGCCGAAGCAGAGAGGAAAGCTCAGTGGGTGAGGAAAGAGGGCGGGCCCAGACGCGAGCGGATTTGTTGGCGTCGTCGCCAAGCTGGGAGGTGAGCGCCCGCCCAGCTTCGGCAGCAGTAGGCGGAGCTGGAGGGCGGGTTGTCACTCAAGAGGAGACATGGGCTGGGCTGGCGAGACAAAGGCAGAAAAGCGAGCGGCGGTGGGCGGAGTCTGAGTGCCAGGCAGTGCCGGCCGGTGTCTGGCCCGAGCGGAGGGGCGTGGCCCGAGCGAAGAGGGGCGGAGACTCCGGTTCGTCGCGGTGAGCTGAAACTTGCGGAGGAAGCAGCAGCCGCCAGAACTGGAAAAAGCCATGGCGGAGGCGACAGCCGAGAAAGGTGAGCGCGAGCCGCGCCTGTCACGTGACCGTCGTTAGGGCACGTGACAGACTCTGCGTTTCCTTCCCTCCCCGCTCTTCTTTTGCTTAATTGCCAATAAGAGAAAGAGGAAATCACGGTCCTTCCTCCCGTTAATAGAGAACTGAAGAGCGCGCGTGCGAGGCTCTTTGCACATGCTCAGAGCTTCACTGCCCAAGCTCAGAATCGACCTCTTGATCGCTTGCCTGGAGGCCCTTCATTTTTTTTACACACCTCTCCGGGCGTTAAAAATAATGTCTTGTACTCAAGCCCTGCTTAAGCCTTCCTCCTTGCCTCTACACTGAATTTCTTACGGGTTGAGCGGCGTGGTGGGCAGATTTCCTCCCCCTTCCCCCACGGAATATCGCCTGACGGTCATTTTAGAGGGGTTGTGCTTCTGTGTTTTGCCTTTGCCTTTAGGGAGTCCTTGCTTCTCTCTTGCTCCACTGAGTCTGTTTTTGTGGTCCCAGCTTGAGCCCAGTATCGTATTTACATGAAGATTTATATTCTGCTTCTTAACTCGATGTCCTGTCAAATATTAAAACCTAGGAACATGTATATTGAAACTTCCAAGAAAATACAAAATAAACCTGCAGCAAATGCTCGCCTGCATGCACATTCAAATTATAAGCTTTGCAATGGTCAGTGTGAAGTTCCTTTCTGTGATTCCTGCCCCACCTCTTTTCTCTGCCAGGGAACCACATGAAAGTAGGGTCCCATTGAAATACACTGCAATATTTGATGTGAACATATTAGCTGCTTTCAGGGTGGTGATGTAAGTGCTCCCATAATTATGTTAGCAAGCAAAAACAGTGTTGTATCCAGCTTAGTTTTACTTAAGAGTAGACCCTTTATAATAATAATAATAATAATTTATTATTTATACCCAGCCCATCTGGCTGGGTTTCCCTTTGGAATTAATGTACCTAAGGTAGCCATAGCTATTAATTTCAAGAAGTCTACTCTTGAGTAGAACTAACATCAGCTACAGCCCACAATTTCCAAGTGGGGCACAACTGCCTTAGTATCAATTGTTTCATTGCACATTGTAATTGTGAAACACAATCATGGGTAAAATTGCCATCTGTGAGACTTTCCCCCTCCCTTAGTTTTGCAACTTTTGCCTTATGTTCATTTTTGTCTGCAGCTTACTACAGATTCCTTGTGCTCTTCTTCAATTGCCTCCTGACCTTTGGCTCTTACTTCTGCTTTGATATCCCCAGTGTTTTGCAAGAGCAGTTTCAAGGGGTAAGTGCTTAGGTGGGAGTGAGCAACCGTATTCTGTAAAAGGTCATATTGACTGCAGTCTTGAGACAAAATGGGTTGGTGGGGTATAAATACAAAATGTCTCTGAGCCCAAGTCTTTTCAAGCTGACCAGGTCAAAGAAGAGAGCTGTTTCCACAGCTGAAGAGCATATACAGTCATGTTGTTGTTGTTTAGTCGTTTAGTCGTGTCCGACTCTTCGTGACCCCATGGACAAGAGCACGCCAGGCACTCCTGTCTTCCACCGCCTCCCGCAGTTTGATCAGGCTCATGTTTGTAGCTTCGAGAACACTGTCCAACCATCTCGTCCTCCGTCGTCCCCTTCTCCTTGTGCCCTCCATCTTTCCCAACATCAGGGTCTTTTCCAGGGAGTCTTCTCATGAGGTGGCCAAAGTATTGGAGCCTCAACTTCACGACCTGTCTTTCCAGTGAGCACTCTCGGCTGATTTCCTTAAGAATGGATAGGTTATATACAGTCATACCTCGGGTTAAATACGCTTCGAGTTGAGAGCGTTCAAGTTGCACTCTGCGGCAACCCGGAAGTAACGGAGCGTGTTACTTCTGGGTTTTGCCGCTTGCGCATGCGCAGACGCTCAAAATGACGTCATGCGCAGAAGCGGCAAAAAGCGATGCGCGCGTGCGCAGACGTGCTGTTGCTAGATACATTTACCTCTAGATGCGAACGGGGCTCTGGAACGGATCCCATTCGTATCTAGAGGTACCACTGTATGTTGGAATTATTTTTGTTGCCTCCAGGACTCAAGCAAAACTGATAGTTTAAATGCCGTCACAGTTTCTATAGACTAGATTTGTACATCTTTGTCCAAAATGCAACATACCTGGAATTCATCTTCAGTTGGAGTACTTTAGACATCAGGGGAGGGGAACACATGACCTCCCAGATGTTGGACACCAACCCTCATCAGCCTCAGCCAGCATGAGCAATGGTCAGGGATGATTGTGGGAATTGTAGTCCAGCTACATGAGGTGTCTCATCCCTGGATTAGAAGGATTCACGACTAAGTTTATCATTATGTGTACTAATGGAAAACTCAGTTCTGTGAGTGGCCAAAGTGGTACCATTTAAAGGAGAGGTATTGGCAGGCTCCAGGGAGACAATGAAGGTTTGCAGAACTCCACAAAGCTTCCCAATAAGGACTGAATGGGCCCAGTGGTCACAGAACACTGGTTTAGTGTTGGGAGGAGAACAAGATATAAGGTGAATGTTTCTCTCAGCTCTCCAACTCTGTCAGCTAAGATACTTTAAGTAGAGATAGACCTGGAATTTTTGCATGCAGAGCACTGATCGGTTGCTGAGCTGTGGCACTGGCCTGTCCTAAAAGTATATGTCTTCTCCAACCATTTAAAACCATTTTCCTCCTTTTGTATGAGGGCCAACCAGTTCCTACTCTCTACCTATAATTCCCAAGAGTCCTAACAGTTTGCTACATGAAATAATCTTAGGAAATAGATAAAGAGCATTAGCCACCTAAGGCAAAGCAAGCAACTGGGTGTCTTGGAATAGCTGAATCCAGATGTCCCCCTACTCAACCCCTTGTTTATTTCTGGAACTCATTTCCTTTTACTCTGACTTGTTATATAGAATCTAACCTGTCCCAATGGCACGCACCACAATGGCACAGGGCATAATGGAACTGACTGTGTGGAAGGCCTGGGAATGACGCCTGAAGAGTACAATCTTCTGTATGCTATCTATGCCTGGACGTAAGTCATTCTTCTGGATCTTCCTATATACATTAAAAAGTAAGGCTATCGGCATGCTGCAGTTTCAGGGGCTACCAATAGGCCAACTCCAGTGTGACAAATGGCAGATAGGCAAGTGAGAAAGTAGCATGGGGGGGCAGGTGGCCCATGCGAGCTGTTTAACTCTGTGTGTGTGTGTGTGTGCGCGCGCACACGCATGCGTGTATTCTTCACAGTGCCATTTGGCCAATAACTCAATGAAGCTCTCCCCTCCATTAAATGCAACTGCAGCAAGGTTTGGCAGAGTGTGGAGGGGTACCGTATTTTTCGCCCTATAGGACGCACTTTTCCCCCTCCAAAAATGAAGGGGAAATGTGTGTGCGTCCTATGGGGCGAATGCAGGCTTTCGCTGAAGCCTGGAGAGCGAGGGGGGGTCGGTGCGCACCGACCCCTCTCGCTCTCCAGGCTTCAGGAAGCTATCTGCAAGCCGTGGGAGAGCTGCGCGACTTCGCACAGCTCTCCCACGGCTTGCGGATAGCAGCCTGTTCTGGGGGCTGGGGTCGGGCGAAGCTCGGGCTTCCCCCGCCCCAGCCCCGCACCTGGGGGGGAAAATAATTTTTTTCCCCTTTATTCCCCCCCAAAAAAACTAGTTGCACCCTATGGGCCGGTGCGCCCTATGGGGCGAAAAATACGGTACTTCACTGAGCAAACATCCCCTCCATTTATATTTATCTTTTAAGTATATCTATGTATATGTGGGGATGTATATGGGAAAGGCTGTCAGTGGCTGCTAACAATGTTGACTGAGTTCTCCTGTCAGAGGCAGCATGTATCTGAGTACCAGGTACTGGGAATCACAAGTGCAGAGGGTGCGGTGTTCTCCTGTCATAGAATTGTAGAGCTGGAAGGGACCACAAGGATCATCAAGTCCAGTCCCCTGTAATGCAGGAATCTTTTTGCCCAACGTGAAGCTCGAACCCACAACCCTGAAATCAAGAGTCTTATGCTCTAACAACTGAGCTTTAATCTGGGCTGGTATGCATCTGAGTACCAGGTTCAGAGGGTGCTATGTACTCAAGTCCTGTTTTTGGGCTTTGCATAGGGCATGTGGTTGGTTACTGTGGGAGCTGGATGTTAGACTAGATGGGCCTTTGGTCTGCTCCAGCAGGGCTCTTCTAACACAGAAACAGGAAATAAGTAAAAGCAAACACATTTTTTAAAATAAAAAAACCAATAACTCTATTTTTCTTTTGTTTCCCATAGCAATGCACTGGTGGTGATCATGGCTGGCTTTTTAATTGACAAACTGGGAAATCGCTGTAAGTTCTGAGGCGTTGAACTATGGCTGATTGTTCGCCCTCCCCACTTGACTTCTTGCTTTCAGAGGTCATCTGGTGAATCCATTCTGTGTGCTCCTTTGTTTTCCATTTGTTTTCTGTGAAGCAGTTGGCAAGGATGCAAAAAGGGACTTTTTGTTATGCGGCACTCAGTATACTTGGCCGCCTAAGTCATTTAGGGCTTTAAACACTAATATGAGTACTTTGAATTGGGCCCGGAAACAAACTGGAAACCTTTGAAGCTGTTTTAGAAAGGTGTTGTGTGCATTGGAATAAACCTGTGTGAATTGGAATATATCTGTACACAGTTTATGGTCGATGCCAGCATTTAACAGAACAACCCAAACTGTGGGAAAGTGCCCACTGGTGATACACCAGCTTACCAGTATACCTGAAGGAACGTCTCCACCTCCATCGTTCAGCCCAGACACTGAGGTCCAGTTCCAAGGGCCTTCTGGCAGTTCCCTCACTGCAAGAAGTGAGGTTGCAGGGAACCAGGCAGAGGGCCTTCTCGGTAGTGGCACCTGCCCTGTGGAACACCCTCCCATCAGATGTCAAGGAAATAAACAACTATCTGACTTTTAGAAGACATCTGAAGGCAGCCCTGTTTAGAGAAGTTTTTATCGTTTTTTAATATTCTGTTGGGAGCCACCCAGAGTAGCTGGGGAAACCCAGCCAGATGGGTGGGGTATAAATAATAAATTATCATTATTAAAAGCCACTGCGTCCAAACCCCAGTTCAGGAGACACTGAAGCTGGCAGAATGTATTTCTGCCAATGTGGGATTTCCTCTGCTAGCGGTTCTCCAGGTGTGCTGTTTCCCAGCTCAACACATCTGGAGTTTGGATTAGTGGAGGCTAGTCTATTAGAGCGAATGGGGCAGTGACCAGCCAACTCAGTCTGCTCTCAGCTCACCCTCACCTGTCTTATGTTCTTTCTTACAACCACCCCAGGAGGTAGCACTGGTTGTCAACTTCATCCTCCTTAGTCTCAGTGTTGCCCTTGTGGAATTCAGTGGGGAGGAGGATGGGGACAGAGCTGCAATTACCTGTCATTGGCTCTGTCTCCACTTTGCTCTGGCTTCACATACCATTGGCCTACTGCCTTATGCCCTGCCATTTGCAATGGGCACAAGCTGCCACTGGTTTGGATTACACAATATCACGGGAAGAGTGTTCACTGAGATGTGCCTGTTTGCAGCGAACCAGACACATGCAAAATGGGCCAGTAATGTTTCCCTGTTGGATGCCATTCCAGTTAATAGACAGGAATTGTGTGCTCAAGTCTTATCGAAATAGTCATAGACCTGGATCCAAGAACTGGCCTCCTCTTACTTCTCCAGTTTGCATAGTTGTTAGAAGCCCATTTGCCTTGATTTAATGAACTTCTTCCACCATCTTCTTCCCTAGTTGGTGTATTTCTCTTCTCTTTCCTCACTGTCCTGGGATCATCCATATTTGCTCTGGGCTCTCACTTCAGAGGAACTCCGTACCTCTTGCCACTGATGCTGACGGGCAGGTTGCTTTTCGGCTCTGGAAACGGGTCACTGACAAGTAAGGAGAGAAAGAAATCTTTTTTTCAGTTAAGACAGGGGTGGCTTAATTTTGTAGATTTTAATTGCTGTGCATTGCCTTGGGGAATCGGGGAATCCAAAGTCATATGTGTTTTTCATGGATAAATGTCTGTACTGCTGATTGGAGATGCTCTGGTTTCCATTTCTGGTCTTTTCCCTTCTAGTGTTCACATGGTTTCACATTTAGCATTTTTGTTTTTTATTGTTTGTTTGTGACTGTTCTGTTCACTACCTTGAGTATTTTATGAAAATATGGGCTATAGGTTTTGTTATCAACTCTTCTCCATTTTCAGCATCTATCTTTTTCATGAAATCACTTAATAACACTGCTGTCTTCTCTGCTATTTGAGTTGTGCAGAATCGTATCACAGCCTTCTGGTTCAAGGGGAAGGAGTTGGCTCTGGCGTTTGGGCTAACACTCTCCTTTTCCCGGCTCGGAAGTGTCCTCAACTTCTTCTTCACCCAGCAGTTTGAAAGTCACTTTGGCATCCAGTGGACTCTCTGGGGAGGTGAGTTTCATGTCAGCTTGCCTCTACAGTAGGGGCCTGAGAACCTGAGGGTTCACATTCCATTCTGGACAACTTTCTACGGCCCACATACAGTGGTCCGTGTGGTCAGAGGCAAAAGTGGTCAGAACAGCGAACATGAATTTTCCCTTTGTACAGTAGGCCGTTTTCTACATATACAGTGGTGCCCCGCAAGATGAATGCCTCGCAAGACGGAAAACCCACTAGATGAAAGGGTTTTCCGTTTTTGAGTTGCTTCGCAGGACGAATTTCCCTATGGGCTTGCTTCGCAAGACGAAAATGTCTTGCGAGTCTTGAGATTTTTTTTTCGCTTTCCCCCCCCTTTTTCTAAGCCGCTAAGCCTTTAATAGCCTTTTAGCAGCTAAGCCGCTAAGCCTTTAATAGCCGCTAAACCGCTAATAGCGCTAATCCGCTAAGCCGCTAATAGGGTTGCTTCGCAAGACGAAAATACCGCTAGACGAAGACACTCGCGGAACGGATTAATTTCGTCTTGCGAGGCACCACTGTACTCACACTCTCTCTGCTCTATGCTCCATCCTGGCAAAACAAGAAGCATTATCAGAGTCCCAGGGAACGTTCCAGCTAGACCAAAACAAACTCAAGCAGGGCTGGTGAGAGATGTGACTAGAGAGAGTGTGCGGTCTGGGGAGAGTCCCAGGGGCTTTATAGAGAGGCCTGGGATGCTGTGTTGGCCCTCCCCCGGGCCTTAAATTTCCCATTCCTGAAATGGAGCCTTTAAAGAAGGTCAGTTTATATTGCAGCGAATACACTGTGTCATCCCTCAAGCAAGCACTTCTGTGTCCAAAATACCATATTTTCGCCAATAGGAAGTAGCAATGCTTGTTGCCGGACACAATATGATTCTTGACTTGGTTATTAGGCCCGTTGCAATGTGAAATGCTGTCTGGAATGTGGCTGCATGAGTGTGCAGGCAGCTACATACACTAGTGCCCTGTGGCATCAGTGGTGATGAACAATGCAACTCTTAATGCACTTCCAAGTAGGAATTGTGCTTTGGTGCTAGTAGGGGTGGTCATCCTGCAAAGATGACCCTAACTGACTAGCTAAAATATATGTGTGTGTGTGTGTTGCGGCGGGAGAAGACCCTTGCCAGTTTCACATCTCTAGTATTTTTTTTTGCAATTAGCTGGGCTTCCTGTCCCCAAATGAACCCAAACCATGTTCTTGTCTAACACACCCTTAAAGCATTCCAGTGATCACAGTTCCACCCATCAGTTGTTCCTCTCTGCCTGCAGGGACTTTGTTATGTGTCCTGGGCTTTCTTTCTGCTGTCGTCGTCAGTGTGCTGGACAAGGTGGGCATGAAGCAGCTCGGATTGGATGGAGTTATCCAGCAAGAGTCCAAGAAAGTGGTACGTGAGGCAGAAGTTGCATTGAGCCACATATGCTTGGTTTTCCATTGTGAGCTTTGTGTGCAAAGCCCGAGAGCCTCATTTATCACTGGCAGCCAGGAGAGGGAGCAAGTGCCTTTTAGCAAAAGTCTCCAAGCTGTAGCTCCCCAATTTTCTTTCTCTGCAAAGAGGGGGTGGTGTGTCTGTGACCCTGAAAGCTTTTTGCCCATCAAGTATGTTTGACTGGCAGCTGTTTGGACAGCACCACGAATTTGGACCCTGATTTGAGTCAACAGTGACCTGGAGTTTTGGTTCTCATTGCCATGGCATGATGTAATCTTGTTTGTGGGGACCCTTTTTTGCTCTGCAGCTTCATGCACTGTTGGTTTATTACTGGAAGAACAGGAAAGGTCTCTTTCCCCACTACATTCAATGCAGGGAGCCCCTAACACAGGCTGTAAAGATACTGGCATGAACTGCCAGAGCCAGATTTGAATGAAACCTCAATGCTGCCCTAGGCTTAGTGCTGGATTTATGCACAGGCTAAGTAATCCACAGCTTACGGCCCCAAAATACATATTTTTCACTACATCCCAAGTTTTACATAATTGATTTTTTAAAATAAAGGAAACTGGGAAACGGAGTCTATGATATGATACCTGCTCTGTCCCTGAGCTGGTGTTGTCACAGAATATTTCCGTTCTTATCCTTCCTGACTAAAAAGGTATAATAATAATCTGTGTGGTGATCCTCTTTCCTTAGGTAGTAGTAGTGAAAATTCAGCCCTAGAGCAGGGATGGAAAACCTGAGGCCCTTTAGGTAATGTTGGACTTCACCTCCCATCAGCCAGAGCTGGCATGACCAGTGGTGAGGAATGATGGGAATTGTAGTCCAGGGACTCCTGAAGGGCCACAGATTCCTCATCCCTGCCCTGGAGCTTTTAACCTTCAGAGTTTTGGATGAGGACATAGTGCCATTTGCGTAAGTTACAGGAAACCTCTTAGGAGCAGACTGACAACTGAACCAATGACTTGGGAGACCTAGCCTGGACAGTCATCTGCTTGAGATGCTTTATATCTGGATCTCCTGCATGGAGCAGCGAGGTGAACCAGATAGTTGAAAAAGACCCTCCAACTCTGTGATTCTATGATGTGCATTTTATTTTTCTCTAATTGGCAGCGGGTTCAGGATGTCCGACACCTACCACTTCGCTATTGGCTCCTGGTCCTGACCATCATGTTTTTCTACAACGGGGTCTTTCCTTTCGTGGCGGATGCCAGGTAAACGGTTTACTGTGGTGGTTTTAGTGACTCGTCCCAATGCTGAGGTTTGGTTGAAGCTGTTAATAAGTGAGTGAGAAGTGGGCAGAATGGCCCAAACTCATACGGACTGGGCAGCAGAGTCCCCTCTACTACATTGGTTTTGTCTAGCTCTGCCTTGCCAATCTGGTTCTCATACGTGGCCCTAGAACAAACTAGGCCTAGAAGGGTTCAGGATTACTAGTTTCCAAAGTATTCCCTGTTGGCAAATCAATACCATTCCCGTTGGACTTAAAACTTGTAGGATGAACTGTGATTTAATGGCTGCACTGGCTGCTGGTCCATTTCTGGGCCCAGTTCAAAGTACTGGTACACACCTTCAAAGCAGGGATGAAGAGCCTGTGGCCAAGTGTTGCCAGCTACAACTCCTGTGTCACTGGCCATGCTGCTGGTGCCAGTTGGGAGTCCAACATCTGGAGGTTTGCAGGGTTCCCCATCCCTGCTTCAAAGTACTTTATGGCTTGGAACCAGGGTAGATGAAGGTCTGGCTTTTTGCTTCTGTTGCATGAGATGATTATCAGAAGACTGTCTTTCAATGTCTTATGAAGCATCTCTGATTTCAAAATACAGTGGTACCTCTGGTTACGTACTTAATTCATTCCAGAGGTCCGTTCTCAACCTGAAACTGTTCTTAACCTGAAGCACCACTTTAGCTAATGCCACGCTGCTGCCACGCCGCCAGAGCCCGATTTCTGTTCTCATCCTGAAGCAAAGTTCTTAACCTGAGGTAATATTTCTGGGTTAGCGGAGTCTGTAACCTGAAGCGTATGTAACCCGAGGTACCACTGTATAGTAAAAACCATATACATATAATTTTTTAAAAAGCATTCTAAAACAGATAAAACATTCTAAAACATTAAATGCATTCTCTCAGCCAGTGACCTCAGGAACAGTGCATTGTAGCCATCCAATGTCTGGGTAAACGGGAATGTTTTAAAATTCTTGCTAAGCCAATAATGAGGGAGACAGACACACCTCATTTCATTACTATGTCAGGTAAGCTGCTTTGGGAAAGTTCTTCAAGGATGGGAGATAACTCCTAATAATAACAGCAGCAGCAGCAACTCCTCTTCCTCAAGCGGGAGGGTAGAAACCAAAGGCCTGATACCTTTGCAGAGCTTTCAGAAGTCGTTAATTCTGGAAAGAGTCCTGCTTTCAATACATCCTGAGTGGCTGCAGCCAAAAAGCCCCCTGGCACCCGGCCAGCTTCTTGGGCTGTGCTTGGTCTTCCAAGTGCCCTACATGGCAGCTCTTGGGTCGTATTGCAGCTTCCTCAGATACACAGGCTGGGGCTCCTTGTCTTGGGAGATTTGGATCTCATCCTTTCTGATTCCACCTTAAAATGCTGTGACCTTGGCAGATTTCCCGCACTGCTTTTCTACATCAGCAAAACGTGGATTGATTGGAGGGGTTGAGATGTGACGTTAAGCCATTGGTACAGTGAGACAATTTTAGACTCTGGACTCAGTGGGTCTTTTTTCGGGGGGGGGTTGTTGTCTTTAGATGGTCATGTGTATTACGCCACTTACTATGAAATGTGGCAAGCTAGCCATGCTTCTACCTCATTCTTTTGATGTCTGCCTCAAAAGTCCTCCCCTGATATCACCACTATGTTAGGTAAGTGCAAAGCAGAACAGGAGTTTTGCTAGGGATTTAAAGACTCTCTGGGCACAGGCATGGTCTACGGCAGGGGTAGCCAATGTGATGGCCTCTAGATGCTGTTGTACCATAGCTCTGATCAGCCCTGGGCAGAAGGCCAGTTTACCAAACAACGTTGTTTTTATTCTCAGGGAGCTCTAGCAATTGTAGCTTTATAAGGGAATGAGGATCTCCTAATAGCTCTCAGAACCCTTAGGAAGCTGCAGGATTCCCTGGGGGAAGCCATGACTGTTAAACAGTACTTAAAATATATGGTGCAGATGTGGCCATTTGTCTGCAGAGGCCCTTGGAAAAAAGCAAGGCAGAAGAGCTCAATTGTTTCCATATGGATAAAAAGGAAATCTTTCTGTCATGTGATCTAGAATCTTAATGGGGTTCTCTCTCCTGCAACCCTTTCCAGCAAGTTTATCCAAGATAAGTATCCTGGCTATACCCAACAGGCAGCTGCTTACATTGCTGGGGCGGTTTACGACAGCTCCCTTGTTCTCTCAGCGGCAGTCGGCATACTGATCGTAAGTGCTTGTGTCACTGGCTTTGGTATAATGCTTGGGCGGGGGTTGGAATTCCTTGACATGGTTTCTGCAGGGCAAGAGCTGCACATTCAGCTATTCCAGTGGAATAGCAGGATTTTGCAAATCAAAATGAGGGCTGGGTTTTGGAACCTGACTGCAAGTTAGATCAAATGATAGATTGGATTGCTTTTATATATATTTTAAAAAAGCCTTACAATGTACTGTATTTTTCCATGTATAACACGCCCCTGTGTATAAGACACCCCTGTGTATTTTTTTGCGGGACACAAAATTAAGAAAATGGGGAGGAGAGGATTGCCCACAGTTGTTGGGGGGGGGGGCTTGCCCAGACCGACAATTGGTATCACACGCGTCACCAATTCCGCCAATCATCTGCCCACTCACCATCGACAGCAGCACTTGCCACAGCCACCAATCACCCACCCAATTGCCACTAAAAATCTCTTGCTTGTGGCAGCAACCAATCCCATTTCTGACATTATTTTATAAGGAAAAAACCTCGTCTTATACACAGAAAACTACGGCATTTTAGACAACCAAGCAGATCGCCAAGCAATACAGCAGTGTATGTAGAATTATTACTTTTTTTCATTTTTCAGGATTATGTTGGACTGAGAGGTGTATTTGCAGTTGGCTGTGCAGTGCTGACTTTGCCCGTCTTTGCCCTCTTGGCTTTCACGTTCGTTCCTCCACTTGTTTCTACCATCTGGCTGGGCATTACCTACTCCTTTGCAGCAGTAAGTCATCATAAATGTGATGTTATTTCCCCATTCCTGGTTTCTGCTTCCCTAGAATACAAGCAATAGGTTCTACATCATTTACCTAGCCTGCCTCATTAGAGGAAGCTTCCATGTTCCCTCTCTTAGGTACATGGGTGGAAACAAAAGCCGAAGCTGAAAAAATCCAGTCCCCCTAGTTTAACAGTCTTACTTCTCAAATCACCTATTTTCTCACTGTTTCTGTTGTTTCAATCACCTCTTAACAGGCTAGCATGTGGCCCTCTATACCCCTTGTGGTCCCCCAGGCAACCTTGGGAACAGCCATGGGGCTTGCAACATCCGTACAGATGATTGGAATTGGCCTCTCTAATGTGATTGTGGGACGGATTCTGGGAACGAAGTCGAGGTGAGAATAGCTGCTTTTCTTCCTTCCTTACAGTTGTGCCGTCAAGAAAATGACATCACTCCCGAACCCCAGATCCCATGTTGCTCCAGGGCTTGGTGATGGGATCACATTATTTTGCGTATGTCTACATGATTGGGCTGTCATATTTCCACGATTCGTCTGTCAAAAATGGCATCTGGGTTGAATTTTCGGAAACCAGTTAAAATGTCTGGGGAAACCCAAGCATATGGCAGCCCACATTGGAAGTGTTGAATTTTTGGCGAATTTCCAAAAAACTTCAATTTTGGGTGGGGGGAGATTTTGAAGGGGGAAAAAAGCAGCCCACAACTTTGGCCAAAAATTAATAATTCCAGATTTTCACTTCTTGAAATATGGCAACCCTACTACATGAGGGGATGTAAATTCTCAAGCAACTGGCTGTCTTGTTTGCCATATGTACATTTATTATTATTTACCTTGCAGTGAGTTAAAGATCCCATTGTGGCGATGGCAACAGATGATGGTCTTCATGCTGGCAAACACCATTGCTTGCATTGTTGCCTCCATCAGCCTCAACATAGTGGACAAGAAGCAGGTAAGGATCAGTATTTGGGGCATTTGTCATAAAGAAGCCTAATTCTGTTCCACATTCCTGCCTGATAATATCTTTCCTTTTTAAAGTTCTGTCCCAAAGATTGCCTAAGGAACTCATCATAATGCACAGCCAAGATTGGCTAAAATTTCAGAACCCCAAACTGGGCCATTAAGAAGACTGGTGGTGGCAGCAAAGTTCTGCCCATTTCTTTTGATTTTTGGTCCTCTCTCATTCTTTATGCCATACGCTAATAAGTCAGGTTCCCCCAGCAAAGATGCTGTTGTGCAGGTAACCCGAAATCCTAGCAAAACAATACCACTGCACGTTGGTTTTTAAAAATTCAGTTGTTGCTAATTAAGAAAACATTGAATGACTTTATGCAAAGCCACGAGGTTCCACACTGTATCCAGAAATGGAGGATTTTGTCTTACTGCATTTTCTAGTAAGGAATAAATGTTTTAGGGAGTTGGTTTCAGTTCTAAAGCACCTTTTTCATGAGAGAACTGTAGAGCAGGAGAGGAAGCAGGTCGCTAGACAAATGAGTCTTAACTTTAGACAGACCCAGCCTGACTCGTTATTACTGCTAATTACTTTATTTAAAATAGAGATGAGGAGCTTGCAGCCTTTACCTCTTGCTGCTAGGGGTAACCAAAATTGATATGGCTTGTGGGTGGTGGCAGATATGATGTTAAAACTTCTCCCCAGTTCTCTGCTGCTGCTGTCATTGCGACCAACTTCCCTGAATAAGGCCACTAGGGTGTAATTATGACCAGGAGGTAACGCTTCTCAGGCAGACCTGATAGAATGTGATTCCTGCTTTATATGGTGGTGAAATAGGGTTTGGAAAAATCACAGTCTAGCACCCCAGCTGACAGCGAGATTCCAAAAACCCAAAATAATGCCCAGTTTCATTTTCCTGACTTCTTTTTCTAGGGTGGAACATTGAACCGTTCAACAAAGCGCTCATCAACAGAGGAGCCTGCCAGGCAGCCTGTAGACACAGCCCCACTCCTCAGTGAGGTGGAAGATGAAGGATCCATCAACTAGGAAGCCCTCTGTGGGCTACTGTCTAATATTTCATTAAGGAATCTAAACATAAGTCCAACTTACAGTACAGTCCCTTTTTAGGTCCTCGTATACATGTAAGTTGGGCTTATGTTAGGAACGAAAGGGAAATCTTACACTATGAGGTTCTACAAATCTGCCATGTGCCAAGAAAGCCTTTAATACTGCCTCTTGGGCACTGGAGCTGTTTAAGTGCGGTCATAGAAGAATACTTCAACAAGAGGACAGTTATTTCCTGGCTCTCCAGTACAGGCAGAATTTTTCTGCATGTTGTAGTTTGAAAAGCACAGAAGCAACACTAATGGAAGTCAAATCCTAATGAAATCAATGGGAATTCAGTGAGTAAATTTGCAAGTTACATCTTTATCATATAAGACCCACTTAAGCATTGGGATATTCAAAACATGTCTTCTAAGAATCTCTGCTGCAGGCCTAGGTATCTATCCTGTTATTATGTTTGCAGGTAGTGTGGACATCCCCTTCAAATCTAGCACAATCTCTTGGCAAACGTGAACCTCAAAAAGCTATGGAATGAATAAGAGTCAATATTATTTCATGCTGGCTCATGCCCATGTCTTGACCTAATCCGTTTTCTATGACAGAGGCCCCAAACAAAATTTGGTGTGTATGCACACTGATTCCTTGATATTAGCCAAAATAACAAATAGGAGCTGCAGCAAAATACTACAATGTCGACTGCTCCAGTTCAAGGTTGTAAGACCACAAGAGCAGCCCTTGCTAGGTCTGTCCAAAGGCCCCTCCAGTCCTGTATTCCGTTCTCACAGTGACTAACCAGATGTTTATGGGAAGCCCACAAGCATCACCTGAGCACAAGAGTGTTCTCTCTACCTGTCATTCCTGGCAGTTGACATTCAGAGGCATACTGCGTCTGAAAGAGAGGGAGACTACAGAGGAAAGGGCTATCACTACACCTTGTGGTAGTTCTAACTCTGCACTGTTAGGGTTGCAGTCAGCCATGCCCTTTTCCAGAACGCTTTATTCCATCCCAAGATGGCTACTCTACTGGGCATTTCCCTCAACCTGCTACTATCTGCCTCTTGTAGTGCTTAGATTGACAACTGGAGAGTGAGCTTGCTATTAGTATATAGGACATACATGCACATGCAGTGGATGAAAAGAAATACTTTACTTATTTGATGGTTTTAGAATTCTTGACAAACATAAGTCCAAATTGATCAAGATCCCCAATGGAGTAGTTTTCAGTGAGTTGGTTGCCTGCCTGCAAATTCCTACATTCTTGCATTGCTGGGAGTTGGACTAGATGACCCTTGGGCTCCCTTCCAACTCTACAGTTCTATGATTCTGTGAAACAGATAATGCTAGCACCTTCCTTCAGGCTATTAAATCTTGCCAAAACTTATTCATGTTTACATTCAAGAGCTTGGTGTGGAGCCAGCAACACAACATGTACTGGAAAAACAACTTCTTGGCTTTCATCCCAGGCTTTTACATGGATAATGTTGGCTGTGAGCTATTTGAATAACATATCTATAATACCAGGGGTGGTAGAATCTATGGCTGTCTAGATTATTGGTGGATTACAGCTTCCATTATGCCCAACTACTAGCCATTCTGGCTGGGGGCTTATGAGAATTCAACAATATATGGAATACTACAGGTTAGTTACCTCTGCTCTGCAGTAAAAATTGTTTAGAAAGCTGCATTTGACAAATGCCTTCAGTTTAATAAGTTTTCAACCCCCTACCTATTGCATGAATTTGGGCCTTGCCCAGTCTGCAAATGCCCATATGCAGAGAGCTTCCACCAACAATACCGTGTTTGGAGTAAAGTATTTTTTCCATACTTCCTATGAAGTTCTTCCTCTGCTGATGTCCAAAGAGTTGGGGCTTTTGTGCTCATGTAGCTTTCCAGCACACACCACATCAGTGTTACTAACACAGGACTGTTACGGAGAAAATACTTCCAAGTCTTCCAAAAGGAATAATGTACATCACTAAATATTCCTACTCCAGTAATGGGTAAGGTGGCAGCTATTACCAGCATTATCCTTCTTTGGTACTAGAGTTTAGTAATGTAAACATAAATTTATAGGAAAAGTGTAGGTCATATTTTTGGTCAGAAGGCTACAGAAAAATCTGAAGCAGGGCAGTACTTTGATTCTTAGAAGCCTCAAGGAGGCTTGTCAGATTAATAACACAAGTTAAAAATGTAGTACTCTACCCAGAACAACTTCCAGTTTTTCCCCCTTTGCCACAATATCTCTTTTTACACCTAGTGATTATGTACAGGAATTTCTACGCTATACTGCAACAACATTAACAGAACGCTGATTTTGGCTTGCTAACGCCACTAGGAGAAAGGAATTAAAAGATTTTTAATATTTCTTAAATGATTTCCTTGAAGTTGTGTGACCACACCAGTATTAAATCACTAGCACAAGTTGATTAACTTAATGACAACACTGCTCATTTTCAAGTACTGGAGAAAAGAGTATTGCTTAATGTTGCTGAGAGGTCAAATTAGGAACCATCTGCGGGCAACCAGAGAATTGTATTGAAAGGCAGCTACTATCTTCAGCTAATGTGAGGACAGAACAGATGGTACAGAAATGAATCCAATAAAGTTAACGCTTCTTTCCTAGTGACTGAAGACTGAGTCAGCCTTAAGATATTTTACTGCAAAAGAAACATTCTGTTAGCAATATTAAAAAGTGAAGGAGGTAGAAAAACATTCCTCTCCTTGCATAGAGAGTATATATTTAGAAAATGGACTATTTATACTGTAAGCTGCTACAATGATGTTGAGGTAAGGGTTAAGGTGAAAACTAGTCAGTGAAGGGTTTCAAGTCACTGTAGCATAGCTAATGACAATACCACTTCACTGGCCAATAACACACAAAATAAAGTTCTGCATATTCTGTTTACTTTTTCTTGCAATAGTACTGGCATCAGTGAATTTACACAGCAAAGCATGGGGAACTCTTCTAATAACTTGCATAGCCAAATTGGATGGTGCTTCACTGAGTACAAAAGGATAGGTCCCTTTTCTAAGATGCTTACAAAGTTGACAAAGGGGAAACTGAAGAAGGATGGGGATGAGGTAAACAAATGATATGCAGTTCATTCAGTTGCAAGTATTTGGGCTAAGGCGCAGTAGGAATTGAAGAGGTTGTGCCAAACATGCCTCACAGAAGAGATGGATTTTTTGAGAGGATGGTTTTGAAGGAACAGAGAAATGTCATTTAGAAGAATGGTAGCATGAGTTTGGGCTGTGAACCACAGGTGTGGCAACTTCCAACTAGAAAAGGCCCTCCTTACAAGTGTTGATTGTACAGACAGACACCTGAATCTCTTGATTCTGAATTAAGATACTTTCTATTTCAAACAATATTTGAATTTTATTCTCTGCCAAGAAATGGATGCATTCATCCATAATTTCATTACAAACTTGTCAGGACAGGGAATTGTATTTACTTTTTGCTTAAAATTACCCAGTACAGTACAGATGGATGGCACTATATAAATATGTCCACCAGAGTTATTTTAATGGGACATTTGGTAGTCCACATGTCTCAGTATTGGTGATTTAAACACACAAGGTGATTTAAGACACAAAAGAACACTATTAGGACTCACAGCCTTGGCACACGATAATGAAGTGACAAAATGCAGCTGTTTATTGAGTAGTACATGATTCAACACATTCTGAATTTTCATTAACCCCACCTTTTTTTAATAATAAAAGCATCCTTTCTGGATACGTAGTGTACTCCCCAGGCACCCCTTGAGAAAAATAATGGCACAGGTATAATTAAATCAGTAATAATTTAAGGCTTTGCTGGAAAACTGCTATCCAAAACAGAGGCACTGGTGAAAATGCACCTTTTAATACTTCAGCCCCAAGTAAAGCTTGAAGCTTTAGACAAGAGGAAGTCCATAACACAATGCAAATAGTGTCAGAGAAGCAAGTTTGAGCCAACTCTTCTCATGCTGCACCTTTTTAGAACAAATCCACCACAAAGCTCAACATCCACCCCACATCAAACTCTTCTTATTCCCTGTTCTACTGTGGGGTTTTCCCCTTTTTCTTTTGAGGTGCTGCACATTCTTGAAGAATGGCAACGAAGAATTTTTCTTCCCCAGTAGAGGTGAGTTTTTAGTCAAAACAATAACTCGGACAGAACTCCAAGCTACTTTTAATATCTGGCACAGAGCTTGTTTCTCAGAACCCATTTGCAAAATGTTTTCTGCTGGTACCTAGAGCCATTTTGCAAGAAAGGCCACTAGTTCTTTGGCAAGCCTGATGAACTTCTATATATAATGGGAGTTCTAAAGGCAAGCCACTGCACTTGATGTTTTAAAAAAAGAACAAGTCTTAAAGTACAGCTGGTCAGGAATCTAAATACATGAAGTTTAAGAGCCCCTCCCACCCCCTAAACCCACATAATGAAATTCCAGAAAACAATACAAAGTTATTGCAAAAAAATCTGAAGTCTGTGCACCAGGAGTATTGTATTGCAAAAATCCAGGAACCATCCCCAATTGGATGGAGTGAGTGAAAGAGACAAACAGAAGTCTCAAGGCAGCTACAATGCAAAGAAGTAACCAGGTGGGATAGTCTGTGCTTCCAGATGGGGTCACCAATATGTTATTTATACTTTCAACTGCAATAACCAGGGCTCCAACCTCTGCAGCCTTTCTCCAGGTTTTCCTCTGCCTGCTACAATCAGGACTTTTAATTCTGAAGTACTGGTGGTGGGCAAGGTGAGGAGAACTAGAAGAATAAGGTGGGCAGCACAGCAGCTGCAGCCTCACTCAGCATAGTTAAAGGTGCTGACTCTGGGGAAGAGGAGTTGAAAGCTATCCAAATTATAGGACGAAGTGGTCAATAAGGAAGGAAGGCAAATAGTCTAACAGAGTCAGCACAGAATTAGATAAGACCAGACACTTATAGGGCAGAAAGAACCTTGAGTACAAACAGCTTCTGTTGGAGGCTAATTATGGGGTAGAACACTACATTCTTAACCATCTCATTGGACAAGATTCAAGGTCTGATTATAGACAAGAGTGGTTTGGCTGAATTTTCAGACCATTCCATGCCATCCACAACTGCAAGTATATTGTCATTCAACATGCACCTTCCTTAACTAGCCAAAAGGTTGTTGACTTTCAAGAGTTCAAAAAATGAATTCTTGCACAATACATTTTGACTACAATTACTCTCCAGAAGAGGATCTGCTTGCTTAGTAAGGTTCTCCCTTACAAGATGACAAAGGGCAGTTCTAGTCCACAGTTCAGGAAGATCTTTAGTCAGAGTTTAGACCAGCCTTCCTCCTTATCTAGCACAAATAAAATCCCCTCAGGGCTATAATACATAATCTGTGCATCAAGAAAGCAATATTCTGCCTCAGAAGTGCATGAGATCAGGGTACTCTCAGAAGTCTGTTCTGCAACTTTAAAAGCCAGAGAATCTCAAGCTAACTTCTGCCACATACTGAATATGCCAAACCACTAAGTGGCTCTTTCTTCAAGCAGCAGGAGGCTAAATTTCTGGTTCAAACCTTGAAAACTGTTTCTGTGCTGACTCCATTGTGGGGAGGGGGAAGGGAAGAGAACACTTTCCTTAATAGAAGGCAATGCTGGATTTGCCCCCAGGAGGGTTGAGGACTTTGTTGTGTGATCGTGGCCGTGGCCCCAGCCTGGGCTCATGATCATCCATTTTGGGTCCAGGCTCTTTGGTGCTCTCCTTCTTCTGTGGCTCTCTCTTTTCACTTGTATCTTCCACCTGTGGTCTTTGGTCTTCTGTAATTGTAAATTAAGATATGTTGTCAGGTGGCCATGCCAGAATATTCACCCAGTCTTGTGACAATTATAGCTTGCATTACATGTATTTTACCCAGCTGCACTTTGTTCAGCCCCCAGTTAGCACTTCATTTCCATGTTAACAAGGTGATAGTTATGTCATGTATGCTGCGGAAGCATTGTGAAATGCTGCTCCCCAAGAATACTTTGCTAAAAAAGCTTTACAAGGAGCATGGAAGGGCACCCAGTACTGAACACATGCACGCACACACACTCCTTTAAAAACGTATTTAATCAGCCCACCAAGCAGGCCACTATAATGGGGACACGAAGAAAGTATTATGAAAGTGTGTGCAGACCATTCCCAGGCCTTTAAGGAACAGATACAGTCACAACTGCAGATAGGCACACACTAAATACTTGTGGCTTATATTCCTCTCTCCACAAGTCTTTTCATTTAGGTTTATTGATCTGGAATAATAATAGCTGTGTCAAACATTGAATATAACAAACAAACAAACCCCCAGGAAAAAAACAGCTCTTCAAATAAAAATTGGATACCGCCCTTGACTCATCCATCCTGGAAAGCCTATAGAAACAACAGGTGAACAATCTGTCACCTACAGAGTGGTCCCCGAGCCCTGTGCAGCTCATCAAGAACTATGCTCATCTACTTCTTAGTGGTAAGCCATATCCAAGAGAAAGTATAGCTTAAGCCATGAATTCATGGCAGAGGGAATGACTTAGCACAAGGTTAGTGCTACCGACTGTATAATAATCAGCAAGTAAGTAGAAGTAATCTCAGACAACTAGCTTAGGAGATGGTAATACACACTGGTAGATAGCTCAGATCAGATACATATTATTTGTCTCAGGCTTAGCTCTGGCATCCAGCAGAATAGCAACCCATTCCAGAATATTCTCATATAGTTATAGGAAGACTGAATTGTGGAGAATCTATTCTGTACTTTTAGAAGATGCACTGAATGCTTTTTATAAAATTTAGAAGATATAGGGGTTTTTTAAAGGGAATTCAGATGCAGGGATCTCTTCAAATTGTAACTCTTTACAGGTACAGTGGAATCTCTACTCACGTACGGAATCCGTTCTAAAGGTCCATTCGTGAGTGGATCCGGGTCGCTGGGAGAAGTGCCGTTCTGTGTGTGTGCATTCAGCGACAGTGCCGTTCTGCGCATGTGCAGACAGCGGCAGCTGCTTCTGCATGTGCACGAATTGCAGCAAACCCAGTATTTACTTCCGGGTTTGCTGCGGTTACGAGTTGGATTGCTCGCAAGTAGGGACAGTGGTAGTTGAGGTTGTACTGTACACACACACAAAATAAGCCAAGCAAACCCACTTCAAATGGGTTTTGATGTTTAGCCTGGAGAAGAGGAGGTTAAGGGGTGATATGATAGCCATGTTCAAATATATAAAAGGATGTCACATAGAGGAGGGAGAAAGGTTGTTTTCTGCTGCTCCAGAGAAGCGGACACGGAGCAATGGATACAAACTACAAGAAAGAAGATTCCACCTAAACATTAGGAAGAACTTCCTGACAGTAAGAGCTGTTCGACAGTGGAATTTGCTGCCAAGGAGTGTGGTGGCGTCTCCTTCTTTGGAGGTCTTTAAGCAGAGGCTTGACAACCATATGTCAGGAGTGCTCTGATGGTGTTTCCTGCTTGGCAGGGGATTGGACTCGATGGCCCTTGTGGTCACTTCCAACTCTATGATTCTATGATTCAAATCCATTTCACTCTTACATCCATATATTAAAAAATTGCAGTCAGAGGTGCATTTTCATATTCAATTTCTTGTGACAGAAATAAAAAATTCTCAGTAATATTTCAGCTCAAATTCAAGCTGTTGTAAAGCTGAAGATTTCTGAAGAATCTTTGACTATTTTGCTGAAGCATTTAAAGGACTCTTAGTTCATTCCAAAGAGCTTCTTGCTTTTCTACTTATGACACTGAATGTTGTAACTGTGGGTAACTAGCATCTAAGGAGCTGCTGACAGAGCCAGCAGCTGACCAAGTCATTTTTCCATTAGGAAGTTAACATACCAAAGATTGGTTTCTTTGGAAAATAAAAAAACCCTCTTCAACCTAAAAGTGTTTTTTGTGGATTCTGATAAATCTCATTTTAACAAGCTTCCCAGGAATTTTGTTCATCCCACATATACTGAAGAGGTAGGTTAAGTCCTCGATGTTTGTCTAGATTCTATCTCCCTATAGCCACCCACAAGCTGCATTAGGCATCTGCAGTTGACGGAATGCCTACAATTACGAGCTTTCTGGGGCCTCAAGATCAGCCACAGAAGTCTTGCTTGCACACACTATTATTATTTGTTACTTTTGACACACAGAGTGCCCCAAAGTGACCTACAGCCTGACACTATCACTATTTACTTTCAGGCACCAGATAAGAATATTTCTTTATACCCTGGCTTTTGTCCCTTAGTCTGGAGAGTTTTAGATATTTTTGGCGACTTTCAGTGGATCGGCTGTGTTACACCTGACTTTTATATGTATGAAAATGTTTTTCATTCTGCTCTTAGCTTTTCATTCTGTTTTGATTTCATACTGGTTTTAAAAGACAATCCACGCTTTAGAAATCCTCTGCTTCCCAGAAAACTTGTCCCACTTACCTTTTGGTTTTAGTTCTTGTGGCACATCCCCTCTGTCATTCAGGATAACAGCATGATCCTGTAAGGGGAAAAACACTTTTAAAAAAACCAAGTTCTTTGGGAATGTATTGCCCCTTTAAAAAAAGCAACTCTAGGTTTGCTTAGTCTTCCTTCAAGCAAAAAAGGCAAGCAATTTCTGCTACCATTCTCTTTTTTTAAGGGCAGAATGTCTAGCACATAGCTTGCATTTCTGCAGGGTTGTCTTCCACACATGAGGCAGAAGGGATTCTGCTTATTATAAGAACTTAAGAGACTGCTGGAGCAGGCCACTGGCCCATCTAGTCCAGCATCCTGATCTCACAGTGGCCAACATTTCTTCTAGATAGATGTGCAATCTAATTCAACACTTTGCAGTGGACAGAAGACTGGGTCAGCATGATCAGTAATGAATGCAATGAATCAAAAGCTTTTCAATTCCATACCCAGGGGCCCCGAGATTCAGCAACCTCAATGATACAAATGAATGCATGGCTGCTTCATTTACACAGATCGTTCTTCCTATGATCTGATCTGAGTTCTCCTGTGGCTTTATTAAAAAGAAAAAAGGAAAAGGGCAAAATCTACAATACAGTTACCTTGGGTTTGTTTGGGTGAGCTTTGACAATGTCGACAGGCTGTGGAGACCCAAAAATATTGCTTGTTTTTCCACCAGGTGGATTTGTAAGATGACGAGAAGGATTAGGTTTATGGTCCTCAAATATTCCACTGTCCTTCCCACCTGCAAGACAGCAGTACTAGTGGAAGTTACTAAGAACTTCTCCTTCAGATTCTTACAAGTAGCTCATGATAAGCTCCAGGAGTCCATTATCAGCATTGTTTGTATTTTCAATGGACTCAATTTAGTTTCCCTGTGCAATGTGCGCTGACTTTTAACCTAATAGGCTGGGAATCAACCAAAACTATTTTGAAGATGTCTAATGTGTAAAAGGTTCCACTGCTAGACAAGCTGCCCAGCTAGCACTGACTGTAGCAGTTGTTATGCATGGGATCATTCCAGGAACGTTTATTCCACTTGATTTCCAATGTCACACAATACTGCAATAAGAACAGCTATATGCTGCAACAATGTTTGGAAGTGGATGCAGACGCCAGCAGTATGGAAATGAACATGCATGGACAAGCTTCTAGAAATATTTTGACTCACCTTCATGCTCCAAAACTGAAGCCCATTGTTCAAATTGCTTTATACAATTTATTAAAAAGTAACCTCTTTGTTCACTGGGAGAGTGCCAAGAACTGCTTCTGCCTAAGCCACCATTTAATGCAGCACTGTCTAAATACCACAGCTGAAAGATGATATGTTACTACCATAAACAGAAAGCTTGAGTCCTACATCCCACACACCTCAACGTTTAGAAGTCTAATATCAATTATAAACCTGCGCTTTTAATATCAGCTAGCCTAGGTGGTATGAGATCAAACACCATATCTTACCACATCCTCGGCACAACAGTGGTATTTGGGAGAGGGTGGTATGCACTGCAATCTGTTGCCACCGTATTTAAATGATCATTTTCATCAAGTTTTATTATGCAGCCTTTCCAGGGTTGAATTACTGGTTTGGTCCCCCTCTGCCAAAGCACACACTTGCAATCTACATTTGTAAGATGAAATCTATACGGCAAGATTGTGCAAACTGATAAAACATCTGTTTGTCAGGCTGAATTACATCAGTTAGCAAAGCAGTGCAATTCATCTCTTGCATGCAAAATATTGGCTGAACACAACGTAAGCACCTCTTTGATTAACAAGGATAGTCTGAAACATACAGAGGCTTTCAACGGCGATACAATATGGTAAAACTCTGCTAGAATAGAGAAAGACAAAGTATAGGTTATGTATTTGCAGGCAAAGCAAAACCTGCCACTCCCTTACATAGAGTTCCTCAGGAAGATGACTCTCACCTGGAGGGTTTGTTCTCTTTGAAACGTTCGGAGTTTCTTCAGCTCCTCCAAATATGTTAGATGTCATTCTGTGTGGCCTGAAAGAGGAGTTGACTTCTTCTGGGCTTCCAAAGAGATTGCTGGAGCTTCCTCCAGGAGGTTGCAGGACCCTGTTTACAGAAAATAAATGATAGTCAGCCACGAGCACAGATCGTGTCCAGTCTGAATTATATAAGTGAAAACAGGCAATGTGCAACCAGACAAGTCTATGGAGAGATTTATCTAAAGGTTATGAGAGAGGGGAAGGTTACATACGCTTCAGGTTACAGACTCCACTAACCCAGAAATAGTACTTCAGGTGAAGAACTTTGCTTCAGGATGAGAACAGAAATCGGGCTCCAGCGGCACGGCAGCAGCAGGAGGCCCCATTAGCTGAAGTGGTGCTTCAGGTTAAGAACAGTTTCAGGTTAAGTACGGACCTCCAGAACGAATAAGTACTTAACCTGAGGTACCACTGTAACTCTCTGTTAGTAGGAAGCAGGAACCTTAATGGTTCAAATGTTGCATACCATCAGCCTACACATGCTATTAACTTCATCTCTACAAAGTTAACCTTTGCTTAAATGCTTTGCTTAAATTAGGGGTCCGCAAGGTTTACCTCACCTGGGCCGGTTCACTCCAGCAGAGATCCCTCCGTGGGTTGGATTGTGAGCGTCTGCACAATTTTCAGCGCCTGAGCATACACAATTTCCGGCACCTGCACAGACGCAATTTCTGGCGCCACGGAAGCGAGTCCCTACATCGCGCTGCACTGGTTTAGCACAGCACGCGGGGACTCACTGAGCAGGTTTGGGGGCGGCTCGTGGGCTGGTTAAACAACCCCCATGGGTCGCTTGTGGCCCATGGGCCTTAGGTTGCCTACCCCTAGCTTAAATGCATAAAGAATATGATGGTCAGGATAAGTTTAAAGAGGGCAAATAATTTATAACTGTACATACTTCTCGACAAGAAAAGGGGAGGAAATCCCCAAACTAGGTCTGTGCAAAGCATATCAGGCACCAATAAGCAGTTTGGCTTGATGCTTCTTGATGGATATTTTCCCATTGTTGGGTGAGGTCATTACCACACCCAAATTGAAAATGAACAAGAGTGAATGCATTTGCTCCTTACAAACTTGTCCACACCCTTTTATATGCTTATTAAAATTCTTTCCATTTTGAGGTCTACTTCACAGCAGTATGCCAAGATGTATATGAAGTGTATTTTTGTTATTAGTTTACTGGATTATTATTATCTCCATCCACAAGCATTTTTAATCAAAATATGAGATATTTGACTGCTGCATTTGGGAAAAGGAACAGTTATAACAGATTAGGGTTTTGTATTGGCTTAGATTTCTCAAAAGTTGCTAAGAGATATGGAGTTCAAAATCTGAATCTGACAGAGACCAAAAAAACAAATAAACCCCAGATCTCACCAGCCAAAATAAGGGCATCTCAAGAAATAGGCAATCTTAATTTACACTAGTCCAGCACCAGTACTTCTATTGCCTGGTGGTGTTACGTGACTAGCACAGCAGCATATACACATATTGTTAAGACTGTTGCAATCTGTTATTCAGCTTTCTGTGGAAAGAAACATTCCAGAACAAGGCCAAGGTTTACAGGGAACGGAATGCAAATGACATTAAAGAATGCATTGTAAATGACCAGATAAGAGGTAGCTAGGACAGCCACTCAGTACAATACATGCACAACAAAAACTACAAGTTTTGACCCTATATTGCTGACTTAAGTATCAAGCTGGTTCTATACAAATAGTCAATATCTATGCAAACATTTGCACTCTTGAAGCAATTTCACAATACAATGGAAGTTGATAGACTAATTCAAGGAAGAAGGTGGGGGAAAAGATGTTTCTTGTATCATTTGCCAGGAAGGAGACAAGAATGTGTTCAGATTTTGAGATACAGCTATACGGCATTCCATACCATAAAACCTTTGCTCTCCAAAAGTCATGGAAGAGAATTTCCTGTGCAATCGGAGTGCCTGAATAAAGGGTTGGGTGGGGGTGGGGAGGAATAAACTAAGAATACAGTGGTACCTCGGTTTACAAACGCTTCGGGTTACGTGTTTTCAGGTTGCGGACCGTGAGAAACCTGGAAGTACCGGAAAGGGTTACTTCCAGGTTTTGCTGCATGCGCAGAAGCACCAAATCACGTCATGCGCGTGTGCAGACGCGGCACTGCAGGTTACGAACGCTGCGGGTTGCAGATGTGCCTCTGTCACGGATTATGTCCGCAACCCGAGGTTCCACTGTATCATTCTGCTTCTAAGTTACTGCTGCTTTCTTTCAACATGCCACAATGCAAACAAGTCTGCAGTGGACATCACCTCTCTTTTCATCAAAAGGAGATAACAGAATCACCCATGCAATTTAAATTCAAACTTTCTCAACTGGCAATGCAGTGCTTGGCAGTCTCGTGCCAATAATTTAGCTTTGGTTTCAACAATCCCCATCAGCTCCAGCTAGCAAATGGCTTTGTTGGTGAAGGCTGGTTTAGAGTGTTGGACTAGGACATCACTCAGGGTTCAAATCCTCACTAGGATTTGAGTTCACAAAGGGGACCTTGGGTCAATCACCATCTCTCAGCCTCAGAGGCTGGTTGAAAGAATAAAATAGGGAGAGGGAGAGCCAAATACGTCCCCTAACCTCCCTGGAGGAAACGTTGGATATAAATGCAGAAACAAAATAAATGAAAAGAAATACTTGAAGATTGCATTTTGGACCACAAAAGGCTGTCTGATTAAAAGCATCAGTATCATATCTGAGATCAGTGAACTACACATTTAGGCACTGTTCCAACACCACAGTTCCAAGCATTGCAACAGTAACATGAGTGTGCCTGACTGAAGATACACATTGTATACGCAACAGAGAGGGTTTTCATTGCAAATTCTGCATGAATATTTTCAAGAAGCAGAAACAAATTCAGAAAGAAAGCATCATACGATGAGCACCACAAGTCCTTTCAGCAATATAGGCTGTTTGACACTAGTTGACACACAAATCCCAAATTGCTTGAGGAAAGGGGGTGGTTCCTACAGTCCTGGAAAGAGGCTGCGATGAATTCCCTCCTGAAGTAGTAAGGTTTAGATCCAGGTAACTATTAGGAAATATCACTCTGTACAAGGTTTTTTCCTTGGAACAGAAAGTGCCTTAGTCACCTTGGTGATGAAACACTATCCTGTTGAGGAAGCTGGGAAGACTGGCATATTGTTTTACAGTGGCTCCTTACATTCTTGGAAGATCAGTCCCAGAAGGTGATGCTGGGAGACTTCTGTTCCATCCAACATTCTATGGGGAGACAAGGTCTCATACTGTCTCCCAGGCTGAAATATTTCCATTTTAAATAGACTTTTAATACAGAACTCTGCTGCTCTTTAATGACTGCCAATTTTAGTGATTTTTTTTTAATTTGAAGTTTTATTGATGTGATTATTGTACTGCATATAGAACCCATTTCTTCTTCTTTGCCATATCCTATGAAGGTAGTGGCAGACTGTTCCTCTTTAGCTGGAAATACTACTGCATACACAATTCTGAAGAGAACAAAAAGGAACAAAAACTTAAGCAAAAAAGTGCAAGTAAGGAATGCTTTAAAAAAAAAATTCTGAGGAGCATACTGCTAAAAATATTAAGACCAACAAGGAGTTCTTTAAATAAACTGGTATCAGGAAACCATCTAGGAAGACAGTTCGAACATTGGATGACAAGGTGGTAAAAGGAATGTGAAAGGAGGATATGGAGAAGTTGAATGAATTATTTGCCTGTGTCTTGACAATGGAAGAAATAGGGTAGATCCCAGTGCCTGAACCAGTACCTCACTAAGGTCTCCTCAGGAAGCTTAGCCATCAAGGAATAAGGGGAGGGATCCTCTTATGGACTACAATTTTTTTAAATTGGACGAAGCAAAGATGTAGAAAGTGGAGTCCCCCAAGGATTGGTATTGCAACCTGTGCTTTTTAACATGTTCATAAACAACGTAGAGTTGATAGTGAGAAGTGAGGTGGCCAAGTGTATACTAAATCATTCAGGGCCAATGAAAGAAAGACAGATTATGAAGAGCTCCAAAAGAACTTTTCCAAACTGACTGAATGGGCAGTAAAATGGCAAATGCAATTCTGGGTAAACTAGATTAAAGTGGTGCATGTTGGGGGGGGGGTCTTATTTACACATATACATGCATGTGGTCTGAACTGGCAGTAATGGGCCCAAAATGAGATATTGGGGTTGTAATAGATAGTTCAATGAAAATGTCAACCCAGTGAACAGCAGCAGTGAAAAAGGTGAATTTTATGCTAGAGAGTATTAGGAAAGCAATTTTAAATAAGCTACCAAAATCATAATGCCCTTACACAAATCTATGGTGTGATTGCATTTGGAATACTGTGCACAGTTCTGGTCACCTCACCTCAAAATGGTTCAGAAAACAGCAACCAAAATGATCCAAGGAATTTTTAGTTCAGAAAAAAGGCAAGTGCCATATTTCTCCATTTATAAGACACCCCCTATTTTTTGGGACTCAAAATTAAGAAAATGCATTATCCGTGTATAAGACGACCTCTTATTTTAAACTTAAAAAATTTAGGAAAAAATATAGTCTTATACATGGAAAAATACGGTAAGAGGTAATACAATAAAATTTTATAAAATTATGCACGGCATGGAGAAAGTGAATAGAGACAAGGTTTTCTCATGGACATCTAATGAAGCTTAATGTTGGAAGATTCACAACTGTTAAACTACGGCCATTGCTCCCACAGGAGGCAGTGATGGCCATCAACCTAGATAGCTTTGAAGGATTGGAGAAATTCATGGAGGTGAGGGCTATCAAGGACTAGTTGCCATAATGGCTATGCTCTGCCTCTACACTTGGAGGCAGCAACACTTTTGAATACCCGTTGCTGGAAACCCACAGGAGAGGAGAGCAGGCTCTTCTTAAATCTCTTACCTCATGTATTCCAGGGCTGAGCTCTGAGTCAGAAAATTCAATCCCAATCCCTTGTGCTTTCAAGAAGCATGATGTCCTCACAGTATTGCAAACACCAAGAGTAAGTTCCTTGAGCATTCTGATAATGTAAAAAATCCACTAAATTTCAAAATTCTTCCTGACACCAATTCAGTATGCATATGTTACATTATGATGAGTCACCTTGTGCAAAAGGACATCTAGGCAATTTTTTTAAAAATTAATCATTGATATCCAAAATAATGATGTCACTCAAATGATACACTACTTTCTAACTAGTGTGTGTTCAGGTGGCAAGATTTGATTTAAGTAATCCATTGTTATCAAAGTCTGTCTACATATGCTGGTCTAAGTTATGGGGATGGAGGAGAGGAGAGGAGATACAGAATCCAGGTTTTCTCCAAGGTTATTTCTTCATGAGAAAAGTCAAGAACTCTAGGTTGGTTGAAGCAGAGATTAATAGGCAGGTTTAGAATTAATATTTTATGTCTCTGGTAAGAAGCAAAACTCTCTAAAGGCAGAGGAATGCAGCAAGATGTTGACTTCGAAGTGAGTTTTGGCTTCTGGAAAACAGAGCCTGGTGTCACAACTGAGCCTTCCTGAAAAAAATCATACCAGACAGTGCGGTCTGGTGCCCTTTAAGCACAGCAGCCACCTCCTACAGCAAAAATCTATTCTGAAACACTGGGTGGCATGAATTATTAAACCCCAAAGGGCTCCAAAAGGAGGAGGAGGAGTGCTAATGAGTCTGTTATTTAAATCTCAACAGACTGATCCACCTCCATGAAGTTACATATCATGGCAATAGTAGAAATATATAGGTACTTACAATTCTAATCGCCAATCCATGTACAATTAAAATATTCAATGTTTATTTTGGAGATTAAGCAGCTGCATTGAAGTTTAGGTCAGCAATCAATCAGGACCACTTTGAGATTAAGTAATTGTGAAGTAGGAGACTAGCCCATCTCCCTCTCTCTCTATCACACACACACACACACACACACACACACACAAAATGCCAACAAATCATATACCTAAAGGCATTACTTCTTCCATACACACAACTCTGTACCTTCTAGCATAGCTACTGATATGAATAGATTTGGTGGTACTTGGGGTTGGACACTGGAGCCACTAATTGAATGCACACCCTACAGCAGCCTTCCCTTAACTGGCACCCACCAGATGTTTTAGACTACAACTCTTGACTAGATTCCTGGGGAAGGTTACCTTAGCATGTAATACAATCTCTGCTACAATAGTTTCACTGCCATTATAGAAACCAGTGTTCGAGTCCCAAGACACTTCCAGCTTATAGGGACCAAAGTGTTCTGCATACAAAGCAATGCACATGGACAGACACAGCAAACAAAGTTCAGAGAAGACGCAGTGTGGTCTAGTAGAGAGTTAGTATTTATTTGGAAGACCTGGGTAGGGCAGTCAGTACATCTGGCATCATCTAGGCCATATTGCATCATATACTGAGTTATGTGGCAAACTATCTTCTCTTAGGAAAACATTTTGCATGAACTGAATAGAAGCCTATCAGCAGCCAGGTTTCAGCAACTCCCAAGTCTCTTAGGCGAGGACAGTCAGAAATTATAGGGACCTACTAATAAAAGCTATGTGATTCTTGCACAATAAATGTGACATATAAATGAATTGTCAAATGAGCATATCACTCTCTCTCTCACACACACACACATGGGGTGGTTAATTCACAAAGTGAGTTCAGCATTCAAAGCAATCCAAGTGATTACTATACTAGACACAGGTAAAAATGAGATCCAGTGGAAGCAGTAAGAGGTCTAACTCAGTGCAGTTGGTTTCTTCTCTCCCGGTAACCTGAATCAATTTCATTTATATGCAATACATGCTCCAGACAAGGACTAATCCATTTATAGCCTCCAAGAATAGGCAAAATCAAAACCAACTCATTCTACCTACACACGGGCATGGCCAGAGGAAGCAGAAGAAAGGCAGGATACCTTATCACGAATACTACTCCAGTTGCAACCACAACAAAGCTAATTCCAGGCATCTGTGCTATACTTTCTTCCTCAGACAGGCCTTGGGATGTTTAATACAGCATTTTGGGTGCAAACGCATTAAGTTTTCATCTACGTATACTGAATAGCATTTCAGAGGGGAGTTCAGAAACAGCACCATACATTATCACTAGAATCCTTATGACTGCCAAACAATGTGGATCAGCATTGTTGCCTTGATTTGATGCATTCAGATTCCGTATTTAAAACTTTCGTCAGTCACCTTAAGTTTTTCTGCTGGGGGGAAAGAGACAGGCAAGACATTTTTTAAAATAAAACACCACCCAGAAATATAAGTATTACCCTCCTTTATTTTGCTTGAGCAGGCTAGTGAAAAGGGCGGGCACCATAAAAGCTTTTGTTCTCTTTAAAACAAAACGAAAAAAACCCCAAACCTCCGCCACACCCCTTACAGAAGTCATTTACTCAGAAGCAAGCCCGGCGATTTCATCAGGGTTACTCCCATGTATGCCTGCAAAAGATTGCCGCCTCAGCGATAGGTAAGAAATCCGGTTTCCGACGGCACCACAAGGCCTCCTACCTGAACCGGCATATTGCCACACCCCCACCCCCACTCTCAAAGCGCAGCGAGGCCGAACTGGAAACGCACGGCTTTAATTCGAATCGAAAGCGTCCGCCGCGGTCTGCTTTAACAACCCACAACATGCCCTTAAAAAACGGCGTTCTCTTTTTTCCTCCTCGTTTGCAGCGAGGTGGCTCCGCCAAGTCACCAGCTTCCGCCCCTGAGAAGCCTCCTCTCAGCCACAAGGGCGGGAAACGGAGCGAGGGACCCCGGCGTCCGGCGTCTCCTCCCCTCCCCCTCCCCCCACGAAGCGAAGGCCGCCCTTCCTCAGAGGAACGAGCACATTTACCTCGAGCTGGGTTTCGCCGAGTCGGTCTCGGGTCCCTGAAACATGGTGGCGGGAACGGCGGCGACCAACGGCCTAGCAGATGCTAAGCAACGCGCTCCGCTCTTGTGATTTCCTCAGGCAGGGCGCCCGGGCAGTCTTTAAAAGCCGATTGGCCGTTGGAGCCGCCGCTCACGGCCAGCCAACCAACCGACGACTCGGTGATCTGTGCCCAATGAGCGCAATACAAGGATGGGGTTTGGGAGCGGGAAGAAGGGGCAAGATGCCTGAAGCGCGGGCGGAGTTTTTAGCTCTCTCATTGATAGGAGTGAATTGAAGTGCAGAGTCTTTGAGGACCGGGACATTAGCAAGGAAACTAAAATGCTTGTTTACAAAGCTATTGTACTACCAACCTTACTGTATTCTTGTGAAACATGGACCACTTATAAACACCATCTCGAACTCCTCAAAAGATTCCATCAACGGTGTCTCCGAAAATTGTTACACATCACTTGGATAGACAGGCGAACTAATACCAGAAGCAAAGATCACCAGTGTTGAAGCAATGATTCTTCAACATCAACTTCGTTGGACTGGTCATGTTGTGTGGATGCCTGATTATCTTCTTCCAAAGCAACTACTCTATACCGAACTTAAAAATGGAAAGCGTAATGCTGGTGATCAACAAAAGAAGCGTAAAGACTGTCTCAAGGCAAATCTAAAAAAATGTAGCATAAACACCAACAATTGGGAAACACTTGCCTGTGAGTGCTCCAGTTGGAGAACAGCCTTTACCAAAGGTGTCATGGGTTTTGAAGACACTTGAACTCAGGATGCAAGGGAGAAACGTGTTAAAAGGAAGGCACACTTGGCAAATCCACGCTGTGATCAACTCCCACCCGGAAACAAATGTCCCCACTGTGGAAGGATGTGTGGGTTCAGAATTGGCCTCCACAGTCACTTACGGACTCATTGTTAAAACTGTGTTTATGGAAGACAATCTTACTTGGCTACGAGTGATCACCAAAGAAGACTGCCATTTCATATATCTCCAGCGCTCATTGGTCTGGAAGAAGGCAGCAAATGGCAATGGCCTTTAAGGTTTAAAGAACCCTAGTCAGCTTCTCAGCATTTGCTTCCTTGGGGCCGGAGTGTAATTGAAAAGGCTACAGGCTAAGTTACTCTTAAGAGGTTCACTTTATTAGGATTCATTTATTTGTGAATTTTAAAACGTATACATTGCTTTTCTTTGTATGAAACTCAAGCGGCTTGCAAGAAACCACCCCATATATAAGGAGGTATTCAACTAAGTTTAATTCAGAGCAGACCTACTGAAATTAATGGACCTAACTTCGTTATATACTTCAAATCAAACTATCCATAGGACCAGTTAGCCATAGTATTTATGCCCTTTGTCAGTCCTTTGTAAAGCCTTTAGATGCAACCATGGGGTTTTGAGGGAAGGTAGTTGCAATAAAAATTATTCAACCCCCATTGCAAATCAGGTTTATTATCAAAATCTACACACTTTCAGCTGTTTGCAATTAGCAAATCAAACAAAAGCAATTGAAATAGCTCAACACAACGGATACAAACAATGAAGCCCTTGAGACAACACCTGTTGCATTTGTGCTTTTGGGTGAGATTTTGTTCAGGGGGTTGAATAATAGTGAGACTGGAGAAGTCTGTGTTGCAATTTCAGCTGAATTTGAGGAAACCACTTGAAGCATCCATTATGTTGAGCTATTTAAATTGCTTTTGTACGATTTGCTCATTGCAAACAGCTGAAAGACTGTAAAGTTTGATAATAAACCTGATTTGCAATGGGGGTTGAATAATTTTGATTGCAAGTGTAGATGACAGTGCACTGCTAACAGTTTGGATGTGCAACACAGATTACCGTATACTATACAATATGCTCCCCCATCACCCTTTTTTCCTCAAGCTGCAGATATTTCTTGCTGTTGTCAATAATCCAGCCTTGAGTGCCATAAAATTTAAAACTGAATTGTAACAAAATGGTGTTCAGTGAAACTCCTGTTCAGGATTCCCTTCAGCGAGCCATGGCCCCTTGTACAGGATGCTCTATTTCCCCTCATTTATTGGTTTCTCTTCAATCAGCATTCTGTGGGCACTGTGCATTCTTGGTCCTCATCAGGCTGTTTTTGCGGAGCCCCCAATAATTTTTCTCCTCCAAAAGACTTATTGTTCTTCTGCAAACCTTGGGAACCCTCCAAATATACCGTGCATAGGTGGTGCCATTTTGGCTATGTAAGTATTGGAGCTCAGCCCCAAACATAAAAATAGGTAGGATAACTTGAAGGGTCTGTAATCTAAGGATGGGTGTTCTCCATTACACAGATCTAAGTACATAATACTTAGAGGACTTATTTCCCCCCTGTTCCACTGAGGTAGCAGTTCAAGTCATATTCCCAGTCAGAAGAAAATCTATCAGTGCTTAGGGCAAAAACGACAGCAAACACATGACTTAGACCAAGGATTAGTATGTATTTATGCACAATCATAAAAACAACTTTACAAGTTGAATTGAAAATTGAAAACAGAAGAAGTTAACAGCTTTTGTATATTATATTAAATAACCCAAACACCTTTTCCTTTTCCAAAAATTGGTAAAGAATAAATAATATAATTTACAATATGGTACAAAAAAATAATCAGTTAAGGACAGGCATTCTTGCTTTATACATACACTATATATGTATATTTATTATCTATAAAACAAATTCACATCTCAAAACAAGACAGAAAACCTTTAGATGATATGGCTTAACTATTATTAAAATATACAGCAACAAAGTCTGCTGTCAAACCCACAAGCTCTAAAGCCAGTTATCACATTTTGGCAACTAATGATAACTTACTGCTGTAGTGCTTGCAAACGTTTTCACTTGTTTAGCATTTACAGATCACTGGGGAGTCTGGAGAATTGAGTTTTAAAAAGGGCTCGGTAACTCAAAAGTGCAGTATTTTCCTTACAAATGTATCCAACTTCTGTGTGTGTGTGTGTGTGTGTGTGTGTGTGTGTGTGTGTGTGTGCGTGCATGTGATTAAAAAAGTAAACCCAAAATGAAATACTAAAATCCAACTGTCAAGTCAAAAAGTCAGTGGACAAGACATCTTGGCTGATATGATTTGACCTAAGTTGCTGGCTGGAAAGCATTAAAGATAGGAGAGTGATAATGAAAAAGGTTGTGTAATGCCAACTTTAAACAACTTTGCTTGAAAAAAAACAACCACCGTGCTGTTTGGACACAATTCATAGGGAATTTGCTCCTCCAAAATTTTTGTTAATTTCAATGGGCTTTGTGGAATGAAGTTACTGTTAAGTTCTGTGCTAGTGATTACAGAAAAATATTCAGAGGAGTTAACCGGCCTATCAAAATGCAATGCAGAAGCAATATAGGCACTCAGAATCTGGCCAATAAATTAGGTTGTATTCTTCTTAATTTTTTTTATCAGGCTAGGAATATTAGTATCTGATTCCCAGTGCCCTATTCTGTGGATCTACAATAGTAATGGGGAAGCTGTGGCCCTCCAGATGTTATTAGATTCCAACTCACACTAGCCCAGGTAGCATGGCCAATGAATGGTCAGGGATGATATCAGATGGCGTCCAACAACATCTGGAAGGCCAGAGATTCCCTATCCCTGGTCTACAAGACATATTTTTCTTCACTGCATATATACTAGGAAGTAGACCAATTTATAATACACCTGTTAACAAACCATGTGATAGCAGAAAAAAACTGAAGCATATAGTTTTTCAGGAACCTCACTCATGAATGGAAACCAGCTATATCCACAGAACAACCTTCTCTCAATGCCTCAGGCAAATGTGAAGGTAAGGCAAGAGGACAATTCACCTTCAAAGTAGTTGGGTCTGCAGATAGTTTGTCTCAAAATACATTTCAGCAAGTTTCAAACAAAGTAAAAGTTCATTATTAGTTCAAAGTGGCTGAAACAGTACAATTCAAAACCAACTCCTGCATTCAAAACGTCAGCGGCAGCCCTAGAATCAATGTTGTGTCTCAAATGTATGGATGCTTTGGTAACTCAACACCAGAAAGCTCCAAAATGGACACATTACTAATGCTTCATTGAAGAGTAGCAGCAGTTACTGACTCAAAGTTAAACATTATTATTGGTTTTTTATTTCAAGTGCACAATCTTAATTGTTCATGTAATTTTATATGCAAGATAAAAGGCCAAATGGCCAGTGTTTATAATCTTTATGGACTCCTATCTTTAGAAACTGGAAAGGTGATTAGCAAGAATTTGGAAACTGAATTTGCATGGGGAAAATACTTTGGGAGAAAGAGGAGTTGATATAGAAACTTTACTACATAACTGTTTAGAATTGGACAATTGGCTCCTTGTTCTGTCTACTTTTCTGATGCTCTGGTTCTGTTTCAGGCATCAAATGATATTAAAATCTGCAGGCCTCGTCATTGATAAAAATAACTATGACACAACATTCCATCTTTTCTCAAACGGAGGAAGCTGGTGGCAGAAGGTAAATCTGTCAGCACACAAAGGACAAATTTGCAGATCCCATTAAGCTGTAAGGCTGGTAAATAATCTGGGCACATGGAGGGATTCATAAGCTTGCTACAAATCCATCCTTTTAGTAATAGGAGGAATGGAAATGGTGTGGCATAAGAGACTATAATCAAAAAGAACAGATGTTTCTGAACGATACCCCCATCAGTCCCAACAAGTATGGCCAATGGATAGGGGTGATAGGAATTGCAGTTCAGCAACACCTGGAGGGCCAATGGCTCCCTACATCAGAAACAGAATGTTAAAAATGATTTCATTAAAAAACCAACCCACCCACACCTGCAGACCTATAACGAATTAACGTAAATGTCCACAGGCAATGTCTCATATGAACAAAGGCCTTTTGTGGACGATAGAACTGATAACATTTCAAGGACGGATCAGAAAATGGGCTCTGCCTGAAATGCTCCTGCAAAAAAAATGCAGACAGGTAGAATAAACATGTTTTGGCACAGCGGTATCTAGGCCATGTTGCTAAATGCATAATCAGAAATCACCATACACAAAGAGTCCAAATTTTCTTCTATAATGAAAAGCCTTCACACACTCACATGAATGCATCATTGCATTTTACAAAACATTCTGTCTGCTTTTAGAAGAGAATAAGCAAGCCCCAGCACACAAAGAGCTGTATGGGGCTTTCCAAACTGCCGGACCACTAGTCTGATAATCAGTAACAGGGGATGGCAAGAATGCTTTTGCCCTGAAGTATTACAAATGTGTGCTCCTAAGTAACCATGGCAGAATCCTAGAAAGAGGGATTATTTGCAAAAAAACGACAATAATGTCAGGGAAGGACAATGCTATGATAATCCCACGAAAGTATACATGATTCTGATACTCTCCTACGAAAACTGAAGTTGTGGACAGTTTCCTGTTCAGGTGATGAGCTCAGCCATTCAAGAGATGAACACAAATATAACACAAATTAAGTCTTTAAACCTAGGACAGCCTCTCCAGTTCTGCAAATATGCAGAGCTTGGAGATATACTAGCAGACTGCTTGACTGCCCTTGAAGACAGAATGATTCAGGAACAGTTTCAGAAAAGGGGTCCCGATTCCGGTCCCAGAAATGCAGGAACCATTGGAGATTGGCAGTGACTTTTAGGTCCCTTTGCCAGGGAAAGTCATTCTAGTGAGACCACCTCACCACTGTGGGCAGGCTTCTAAAGTCACCTTCCCATCTAATGCTTGATAAAAACAGTAAAGGGTGAGGGGTTATCACCAGAGAACAGGTCATGTTTGCAAAGCAGAGTTCCAGCTAGTTTTTTTTTAAATCTGCTTAATTTCACACTAGTATTGATTAAAGGTTTCCCATTACCCACAAGTAAATAGCATATCCTAAAGAATGCAGTTTATATAGGCTTTCATGAAGGAGCTGAACAACTTGAACTGCCATGTGGGAATTAACTTTACAAAAGTGGAATAGCAGCTTTCTCACCTCATTTGCTGGACAAAGTAAAAGCATTACCTTTCTACTGTCACAGGAAAGAGTACTGTAAAATGCTTCCTGCTTGCAGAATTCATAAGATAAAGCAAGTGAATATTTAAAAGGGAAGGAGGGAAATATGCAGAGAAGTTAACAAGGGGAAAGAGAATGAATTGGGAGTGAGGTTAGAGAGCCTCCTGAAAAAGTTTCTATTCCTCAAGAGAAAAATGGAATATAAGAGCCCTTGGGGAGTAAGACCACCTTTGCATCAGGAAGTATTTGCTGTAAAAACTAAAAACTAAAAGCAAGCAAGCAGAATCAGTCAAAGGGATGCTGGTTAAGGTGGTGTGCATATATTCATGTGCACACACATGTGCACAGGCACACCGGCACACCACACCCATCTACAAGAATAAGGAAAGGAGCATTCTTAAGGGGCTCTCGGATCCTACTCCAGTTTTTCTTTCTAAAGTAGGAACAGACACAGCACTTTTCACACCATGCTGGAATGTTGATGAATGTGAGTGAGTCAAAAAGAATTCTGGTAAAAGCAAAGTGGTATTAACTGCTGCCTGACAGGAAAGTGCAAGGAATTATCCATCTGACTGACTGGTCAACAATGCCAATTGTGATAGACTAAGAGAGGAGTATATTTATTCATTATTTTTTTTAAAAAAAAGATTAAAAAAATAGCATACCATCTTATCACCCCCACCCTCCAGCTTAAATGCGGATATGACAACAAGGGTTTGGTTTACTGTATAAAAACATAGCTTGTGGGATTTCTTGCCCAGAGCATAAATCCGGGGCTGTCTTGTAAACTCCACTAGTACTGTAATCAGCTTACACATGTCATTTCCTATAATACTGCTCCCAGTTGTATTGTTCCTAGCATATTGCACATTCCAGGAACTGTAGACTGTTGAAGACAACACTGATCTTCTTATGAGGCATGCTCTAATCAGGACAACAAAAGTATCCACTGCATAGCTATGACATCACTTCTCTCCAGGTTACATAGCTAGTTCAATGGTTTCCACCAGCCAGCTGGGTGAATGTGCTCACTGAGAGAGGTCACCAATGGGAGGGCCATCACTTCCTCCATCAAAGTGGATCTCTCGGCGGTTTGGCTCAGGTATTGACAGCTCCTGGGCAAGGTCGTTGAAACGAGATATGTAATCTATACTGTTCTCATTCATCATGCAAGCCAGCTGGGAATCTACTATCTAGAAGCAAAGAAGGGGATGGGGGAGAAAAGAGAGGGTAGGTTATTTACAGTTTAGGTCTTGCCACTTTTGCTTGGCCATATCAGAAAGTCTGGAGAAGCTAAACTGAACATAGGCCAGGTTGGGTGTACTCAGCAGGGAAAAGTAAATCCTGGATGCTGCACTGAGCACATCCAAAATCTGTGCTATGACTACACTCTGCAAATTATTCTGCCTATAATGCTCGAGTTTAGAGACTCTGGAGAGCAAGACGTACAGTGGGTCATGAGAAGAAACTGCAGATTTGTGCATTTTATTATGTTCCAGCAGGGGGGCGACCCAAATGTTCAGGAAAAAAGGCCACCCCTAAGCTGTGGAACTCCCTCCCTGCTGTGTTTGACACCTGCATTATGTAGTTTTCATACCACGCTGAAGATGCACCTCTTTAACCTGGCCTTTGATACCCAAGATTTTCATTTTAGGACCCACCCCACTGCCTTGACTGTAATCTGTTTTAACTGTTTTAAATACTGTATTTTAAAATCATTGTAACAAGGTGAGTGGCAGGCAAGAAATCAAATAGATAAATACATTACAGTACTAGGGCAGAGTTCAGGTGAGCAGCTCACAGCTTTGGAAATCCTGCTAAGTCAAAAGCTCCCCGAATGCACAAGAGAACCCAAGAAGTGGAGGACTAGAACTCTTCTCCCTGAGGGAGCTGTGTTTGTATGTGGGTTGGTGGTGATGCTGTGCATTGGGGAGCATTCCAAAGTTATTGATGTAATCTGCCTCAGGAAGCCTATAGTCTTGAATGGTGGCTTACAAATATGTGAAATAAATGAAAATTAATGGGAAATGACAGCAGAGCTCGTCCTAAGTCCTGCCGCTGCAGAACAGCTATGGCCAGAAGAGGAAAAGGCCATTCTTTCTATACCAAACAGTTATGAGGATTCCAAATCTAATAAACCCTGCAAATTAAAGCAAGTGGGAGGATGCCTTCCTCCACTAGGGGAGATCAAAAAAAGAATACAGAGATTACTGGAATTCTCAGTTTTGTGTTAAATACTAAATAGGAAAGGCTGAGTCACATGCCGAACCCGCACATCCATTCATCCGTTCAGTGCACTCTCCAGCAACTAAAAAGGGAAGCAACTGCAGTTTAGCAATCCTGTGTCACCAGCCTTGGTCCTATAATTAAATGGTGGGGGGGGGGATTCCTCTCCTTAGCCAGTTCCAACAGAACAAATTAGCTGGATTGCTAATTCATTGTGCAAGATCCGGAGGTTTTCCCTGAAGAAGATGGAACTTCTGTTGCAGCAATTACTGCATTTTTCCATTATTGCACTCAAAACCAGTATTTTGCTGCTGGGAAATACCATCTTTTCCATTATGTACATAGGGGATGCTGACTTTGCATCAGGATTTGTGGATTTTTCCCTTTCAAACGTTAAAATTCAATTATAACACATGCTTTGATTAATTACCTGGAAAGGGGGAAGTCTGGAAAAAATACTTCTACGCTAAGTGTCACAAGACTACTATCCCTCTTTCAGCTGAAGGCTGGCACAGCATAGCACCAATTAAATATGGACGTACCTCAGCTACATCTGCCAGGGACCGGGACACAAAAGAGTCCCGCGAGTTTCCATCCAGCAGACTCGGTCCCAATAAGGAGGTGCTGCTTGTGTTACTACTAGTAGAGGTTGGCAGCATTTTCCGTCCCTTTTCTGGGGAAAGGAAGCTTGCTGTAAAAACAAAATGATAAAGTCAGCCAGTCAGTATTTTAATTGCTAGGTTTGAGGGATGGGGGAGGTACAAAGAGCTTCCTACAAGCTATTTACCCACTTTTTAACATATAATCAAGATGTGTGTACCTGATTTAACTGGGCTAAACCCTAAAAAAAAATTACCTCCTCAACTGTAGGGGATGCAGAATGTTTTGGACATATACTAGCATATCAATATGCACATCATTGGTATATTATTATGTACCTCATATAATACATTACTTGATACTGTAAATAACACAATTTTTGATTAGGAAAAACCAACCAAGCAAACCTTCAAGTTTCTGGCAAGACAAGTAAATAAGTGCCAATATGCTCAGCTTTCAGAATTGGCATTTTGAGGATTCTGAGGGCTGGTTTATGGGCTGGTTGTGACTCTCTTTGTTCATTTAAAGACTGCATTTGGATAGTAGGTACAGGCACTGCTAAATATAAGATTAAACAGTAACAATCAATAATGAAATAAAAATTCATGGATGAGGGCCAATAAGCTGTATTTGAATCCTGAGAAGATGAGTGCTCTTTGCTTGGGTGGTTCTCTGGGAGAGGCAAACCACCCATTTTGGATGGGATGGCACTCCATTTGAAGGAGGAGGTGCATATTTTGAGGGCATTCCTGGATACATCTCCATCACGAGAGGTCCAACTGTCCTTTGTGGTTTGGAGTGCCTTTTGCCAGCTTTGTCTGTTTTGCCAGCAGCGGCTATTCCTGGACATGGACAGCTTGACATGGATAGTCCTTGTCTTGGTAACCTTGAAGCTGGATTACTTCAATGAGCTCTATATGGGGCTGCCCTTGGTCATGATTTGGAAGCTTCTGCTGGTGAAGAATGTAGCAGCCAGATTCCTGATGGGGGCATCTAGCCGAGAACATGTGACACAATTGTTAAAACATATGCACTTGGCTGCTCATCTACTATGAGACAGGTGCAAGGTCCTTAAATTAATTTATAAAGCCCTGAACTACTTAGGTCCAGATTACCTTATCAGTGATGGCCAAACTTGTTGGCCAGTGATGGCCAGGTGCTGAGACTACAATTCCCATCATCCCTGACCACTTGTCCTGTTAGTTAGGGATGATAAGAGTTGTAATCCCAAAACAGCTGGAGGGCCAAGTTTGGCCATCACTGGCTTAAATACTTCTATCCCAGCTCAATCACTGAGATCACCTTCAAGAGCACAGTTAGTTGTTCTCCAAGTTAGTGAGGCTCATTTGACAGCAACAAGAAATTGAGCTTCTAGTGTCGTTACCCCAGTACTGTAGAATACTCTGCTAATATTCAGCAGGTACCTTCTGTTTCAACCTTTAAGTGCCTGTTCAAAACTTTTCTGTGCTGCCAGTTAAGAAAATATCATTTTGTGATAGTTAACTGACCTCATATTTTAAACTTTCATATGGTTTTATGTACAATTGTTGTAAAATTCTTTTGTGAATAGTAGGACAGGGATAGCTCAGTTCGTAGAGCATAAGACTCTTAATTTCAGGGTCATGGGATGTTGCCTTATGTTGGGCGAAAGATTCCTGCATTGCAGGGGGTTGGACTAGATGACCCCCGAGGTCCCTTCCAACTCCACAATACTCTGTTTCAATAATTAATTTTATAAATACAATGAAGGAAACAGTATTACAGTGGTGCCTCGCAAGACGAAATTAATTCGTTCCGCGAGTTTTGTCGTCTTGCGATTTTTCTCGTCTTGCGAAGCACGGTGTCGGGAAAGTTTTGGAAAAGCTTCAAAAATCACCAAAGTCTTTAAAAACCTCAAAAAAGGCTACCACGCCGCGTTCTATGAGTTGCTCCTCGAAGTCAAGTCGCAACTGTATTAACGGTGTTAAGAAAAAGGAAACAAACTTGCAAGACGTTTCCGTCTTGCGAAGCAAGCCCATAGGGAAAATCGTCTTGCGAAGCAGCTCAAAAAACAAAAAACCCTTTCGTCTAGCGAGTTTTTTGTCTTGCGAGTTTTTTGTCTTGCGAGGTACCACTGTAGTAGGGGCAATGGGGGAAAGGTGTACAAAGTTACTGTTGTTTGCAACAGTGTCATAGCAATGCTGGGCTTGGATTGTGTCACTGGTACCATTGCTCCTGCCATTCCCCTAGCCTACCACATGGACTGGCACAATCCCCGTGTGACTTTCACCCATGTTCATGAAAAAGTATGTTGACGTTTTTCACTACATTTAATTTAAGATGGGTCGTCTCTAGAGCATGAGCTTTGGCAATGAACAAAGCTGACAACCCCTACCCTCAGGAGAAAGAAGGGGGGAGGGGGGAGAATTGCAAGTCCAGTAAAAAAGTCCAGATTACAACCAATGTAATCCCCTGTGCAGTACTACTCACAAAATAAGCTGCTGAGGGAAGAGTCTGTGGAATCGTTGGGGTACCACTGTGGATCATGACTAGGAGAGGCAATCCAGTTCTGCTGGGGGCTGCAGGAAGGGGATGGAAGACTTTTCGAGCCGTCGCTGCCATTCAGCTTTGCTGGGGACAGAGGAACATTCTCGCCTATTAAAAGAAAGTGACCAATTCCGTATGACAAACAGTTGGAGACTGTGTCCTTAAGGAGGCGTGGGCATTGCACACAGATATGACTTCCTTCCTGACATAATCCAAACAAATGCTTGATGTGGGCCACACAGCAGACAAGACGTCCAAATTACCCCCTCCCAACCATAGCAGAGCAGCAACAATAGTCAACACAACTCCCTACTGCAGAACTTACAAAAACTTGTCCCTTGATCTGCCTGGCTTTGAATCTAAATGGGGCAATAGTGAGAGGCCCAATTTTAAGAGGCCTAAACAAGTGATATTCTCCTTGACTCAGGGAGGGTTCAAAAGAAATACTTCCATGATCTACTGTCAAAATTAAGATGCAATTCTGTCAAGAACATCTGCTCAGTTAAATCCAGAGAGTTAAAAAACAGCTCTGCCAGAGACACAGAAGTATGTGTAAAAATGCACAGCCGACTTTCAAGAGAACATTCCTCTACTAAAAATCCTGACAGAATCACAGCTGTAACAATTCTTTTGGATGCTTAACCACTGATTAGCTATTTAGAATAGTTTCATCTCTTACCATATTGACCAGAGCTGATTGCTATTTCAATGATAGAGTCACTGATCTGAGTAGCAGGTTCTCCTTGAGACAGAACATCCTCAGGGGGTCCAGGAAGAGAGATATCCAATAAAGCAGAGACATTGGGAGGAGACAAATGGGTACCAGAAGCATCAGATGAGGGTAGCGGAGGAGTGGCGAGACCATTCTGGAGAGAGGTTTTTGGCAGTTCTGGTAGAGAAAGGACAGGTGCTCCCTGTGGCAGCAAGCAGATATAATAATATTTCTAAGTCATTATTTGTATATTTTCTGAAATTGTTGCACTGCTACTTTGATTTTAAAGGCATAGGAATCAATCAAACTAGGAGTTAGCAATTCTGCCTATATTTCTTTGAACACAGAAAGCTTCCTAAAATTGAAGGATAGAACTGGTCCACCTTACTTAGCACCGTCTACCTGCAGATGCCAGGGACTGAACCTGGGATCATCCGCATGCAAAGTGTGTGGCCAACCAACAAGCTATTGTCATGGTAAACTGCCCATCTATGCCCCTCTTTCCAATCTGGCACAGACATATGGTCACTCTAACTTCTGATTTTACAGATGGGAAAACTATACCTACGGATCAGAAAGCTACACAAAACTGGGGTCAGGGCAACAAAAAGTTAACACTGCCAACAAAACACTCTAGATGGTGGTGGTTATGGTGGAAATCAGATCTCCCAGAACTCTTGGCTGGCTGGCTAGAAAAGGCTGAGAAAGAGACATAAGAGATGGCTGTTTGGCTGCCTTTGAATCCAATGCTGTGCTTCTGTAGGAAGCAAGTCGCTCTTGAGATGTGAATGCTGGAAATCCCACCACTGTAGGCTCAGGTTATAAATGTGTGTAAATAAAACCATGCATCATAAAGACACCATAGCTTCCACTGTGCCTTATTCCAAAGGAAGCACAAATCTGGGTTAAGTACCAAGACCCCTGGAATCTTGCACTGCTAGAGTTATTGCCAATTGCTAGTGCTGCAGCAGTCACTATGCTCATCACCTATATATACCGTATTTTTCGCCCTATAGGACGCACTTTTTCCCCTCCAAAAATGAAGGGGAAATGTGTGTGCGTCCTATGGGGCGAATGCAGGCTTTCGCTGAAGCCTGGAGAGCGAGAGGGGTCGGTGCGCACCGACCCCTCTCGCTCTCCAGGCTTCAGGAAGCTATCCCCCCAGCCCGCAAGCCCCGGGAGCGATGGCGAAGCTGCACGCAACTTCGGCATCGCTCTCGGACCCGTTCTGGGGGCTGGGGTCAGGGGAAGCTCCGGCTTCCCCCACCCCCGCCCCCAGCCCCGCAAGCTCCGAGAGCGATGGTGAAGCTGCGCGCAACTTCGCCATCGCTCTTGGACCCGTTCTGGGGGCTGGGGTCGGGGGAAGCTTCTTTGCTCTTTGTATATATGCACGTGTGTGTGTGTGTGTGTGTGTATATATACACGTACATATGTATGTTCGTACGTACATACATACGTACATGCAGTGAGAGCACTTAAATCAGTCAACAAATACTATGTTTCTAAAGCACATTGAAAGCAGAGAGGAGATCATGTTTGGGATTAAAACAAGTGTCCCTATGGCTATCAAAGTTTTGTGCTGCCCTTCTATAACTGCCTGCAAGGATTTCCAAGTATACAAAGCCTGGTGGATTGGAATGAGCCATCTGCCTGGCTGTTTCATGTCCCTGTCCTTCTATAAGAGAGCAAAGGGACAGCATTCAGAAACAAAGTTCCTTATTGCAAAGTGTGGAACCAAGCAGGAGGCAGGTCAGTGGATGCCAGGCTGACGTGTCTCCAGTTTTTGACTGCAATAGCTTCCACAATGACAATTCATATTCAGGAAAACATTGTGATGGACTGTGTCATTGCCTACGTTGTTGCTAAAGAGAAAGTGGGACTGAAACTTAAGTATGCCATTACAGCTATTGCTATAAAGATTGAAAATAGTGCCACCGTGATGCACTTATGACCGGTCAAGCAATATCACTTGATTGAGGTGTACAGCGTCGATGTGAGTGTTTCATCTCAAAGTGTAACTTCAACTGCTGACCACTGCTTCCCAGAAACTCTGCTAAATGGACGAAAGCTTCTAACAAGGTGCCTACATACAATTCTCACGCAGCGAAAGTGTGATGGACTGTGACCTTTAATAAACATACCCCAGGAAGCTCAACTCTGGGTTTCACATAAAGCATTAATATGCAGCAGAAAAGAAAAAGGTGTTTGTCACCCTGAAGGTCAAGTAGTTGTCAATCGAAAAGCTTGTATTTTACCTGGAAGCCATCCGGGATTGCCTCCTGCTCAGAGCATGGTGGTAGGCCAAGAAATGGAACCTGACACTCGCTGCTTGAGCCCTGGAAAGTGCAACCAAGAACGACCAAATCAGACTTTCAGGGGATGGAGAATACATATTTAACAAGGGCAGGCTGTAATGTGCCTGTTCCACTGCTCTCATGGGGACTAGATTTATTCAGTTCCTGCCCCAGCAAAATCCACCTTGCCAAAGAAATCCAAATTCAGAATTTAGATTTGCTGAAACAGTTTTACGTATCATTTGTAACACGCTCGCCCCATGAGGATTTTCCTGCCAGAATTTTAGAACACGCTGGGAAAACCCAAGACACTGGATGGTATGGAAGGAGGGGAATGCATGGTTTGCAGGAGGGTTGGGGAACCCTTTTGGCTCCACGGGCCAAATCCTTATCAGGATTGTCCTTACTGGCCAAATCTGACAGGTACACAGGCCAGCCACTTATAACCTGATGTCAGGTGCTGCTGAACAAAGGAAGCAGTTTGCAAGCTGAACTGAGCAGGATAAGTGGCGTGAAATTCTTCTCAGTTTGACTTTGTGTGCCTGTTGGGAACAGGCACGTGCAGTTAACACAGGATTTAATTTAGCCCATCAGGGGACATCACGGCCATGAGCCCTAGTCAGTATGGTCAATGGTAAGGGATGATGGGAGCTGTAGTCCAATGTCATCCAGAGTGCTACAGGTTCCCCAAAGGGACTAGGAATGTACACAATGAAGGTAACTGTGTACTGCAGAGGACCCTAAGCTACTTGACAAATATTGTCCAGTTGAAAATGCCCTCTTTCTGGGCAAGGTACTTCAGAGGGTAATGAGAGTTTAGCTGCACATTCTTGGAGGAAACTTATTATCTTGAGCCATTTCACCCTGGATTCAGGCCTTTCCTTACCCCTAAGACTGAGGTTTTTTGTACTTCTATTGTTATATTTTATTGTTTCTATACTATTTATATGTTATGTTTTATTTCATGCCACATTTTATTTTGTGTACTGCTCATGCTTTTTGTTATTGTTAATGCTGAACAGTCTAGAAAATTATAGAATAAAGCAGTAAGAGGAGGGAGTGAAATGCTGAATTTCACACTTTGATTTTAAATAAGCACCAAACTCTTTGACTGCAGGTCCAAGGGAGGGAGAAAATAATAGACAAGCCATCACAGCGATGTTGGGTGATATCGCTGGGCTTTTGGCCATGTTAGTCTATCATGCACATTGCAAGGTTCTATCCAGCAGTAGCCTAGAATCAGTTCTACAAGAATTAAACCTTTGTAGGCCTTAACAGAAAAGAAAACTGACCGCAACAATGGAGCCTCCGTTGTGATGTGCCGCTGTTGAATCTTGCCCTGAAACCACCGCGGTCACTGCATCCGGTGACAGTGGGGATACGCCCGACAGGCCTTCAGTATCCAGAACAGGCAAAGGACTGCCAGGAATAATACCGGCACTTTGGGCTGCTAAGTCAATAGCACCTTTGAACAAAGAACAGAAAGCTAAGAGAAGTCTTCTTTCAGCAATCCACGAAGTCAAACTGCTGTCTTATACATGGGCAATAGGTCTTAACAGCTTTTCTGTAGGAGTTGATATGTGCCAAAGTTATTTTTAGTAGTTCTTTCTGACACTGAATTATTAATATAGATCACCAATTCAGCGCCTTTTATCTCAAATTTTCAGTTCAACATATAGGAGCAAAAATTTCAGTGTTCCCTTTGGTTTTCAACTTGATATATCTTGCAGGTAATTATGCCTTTGGTCCTATTAGTTCTGAGGTCTGTACTGGTATGAATTCCAGCAGCTTGAAAGGAGTGTTATTAAATTTAAAGGATACAATCTTATCCACTATCATCCAGGGAGGCATATCCTGTGAGAATGAATATGTACGTACTATATTCAATAACTATGTAGCAAGCAAGGAAAGCGATCCGCTGGTACATTGTTGTGGGTGATTGCTCTACAAAATCTGGAGCCATCATCCACACCTCTGCCATCTAAATGCCTCCTCAAACAAAAAATCAGATGGCCCCATCTGCACTAGACATTTAAAGCAGTATTGTTCCACTTCCAATGGCTGTTTCACTTCTCCCCAAGGAATCCTGGGAATGGCATTTGTTAAGGGAGTTGAGAGTTGTTAGGAGACCCCTATTCCCCTTCCAAGAGCTACAGTTCTCAAGAGTTCCCTGGAAAGACGGATTGGTTATTAAACCACTCTGTGAATTGTAGTTCTGTGAGAGGAATAGCAGTTGTGTGTATCCAACTTGGTTTTACTCAGAGTAAAAGGTAAAGAAGGTGCCCCTGCCCGTACGGGCCAGTCTTGACAGACTCTAGGGTTGTGCGCTCATCTCACTCTAGAGGCCGGGAGCCAGCGCTGTCCGCAGACACTTCCGGGTCACGTGGCCAGCATGACAAGCTGCATCTGGCGAGCCAGCGCAGCACACGGAACGCCGTTTACCTTCCCGCTAGTAAGCGGTCCCTATTTATCTACTTGCACCTGAGGGTGCTTTCGAACTGCTAGGTTGGCAGGCACTGGGACCGAGCGACGGGAGCGCACCCCGCCGCGGGGATTCGAACCGCCGACCTTTCGATCGGCAAGTCCTAGGTGCTGAGGCTTTAACCCACAGCGCCACCCGCGGCCCTTTACTCAGAGTAGACCCATGGAAATTAATGGACCCAAGTTAGCCATTTCCATTATTTTCAATGGGTCTAATCCAAGGAGAACTAGTACTAGATACAACCCAGTGACCTGACTGCTAGAAGGCTATTGTTGCGGCTCAGCCTCTCAGGGCAAGGCACTCCTGCTTCTGCTAGATGAAAACATCTACGTTCTAGTTGAAAATCTAAACTTGTATTTATTGAGTGCAACAGGAAATCAGAGAAGGGGAGAGAAGACAAAATTAATGGCTGTAAAATGATTAAGAGTAGTCGCTTCTGTCATTATAGCTACCATAACATTCCTGCTAAACCTGCCCTCCCCGAACCACCGCCTTCCAAGGAGAAACCTACTGGACAGATGGTTGGTGGCTTGAGCTGGAAGGACCTTGGGAACAATGGGACGGGACACAGCTGCTTTTGTAAGTGAAGACTGGATCGGCCGAAAAGATCCTCTTCCTAAAAACGAAGTAAAAGCATGAATTTTTTTAAAGGTGGGAAACATTGTCATAGACAGCCAAAGAGCTACGCCCCTTCTTATGGCCAGTTCTCATTCTCTCCCCAGTGGGACATACAGAAGACAGGACCATTTACTGCAAATGGCACCTACAATAATCATAGAATTGTAGTATTGGAAGATATCCCGAGAGTCATCAAGTCCAACGCCCTGCAATGCAGGAATCTCAACTGAAGCATCCATGACAAGTCGCCATCCAACTTCTGCTTAAAAACCTCCAGCGAAGGAGAGTCCACAACAAAGTGTCATGTCTACTATCAAAGCAAATCCAGCTTCCATTTCAATGTTTTTACTGACAATATTGTCCTTCTGCATGAGAGGAAGAACTCTGTGAAATTAAGTGGAACTATAGGCAAGAAATAGGAGGAACACAAGCTTACGCCCTCAAACTATTCAAGTCTTGTGAACCTCTAATCTTTACACACTTCACGGGGGTATTAATGGTGCAGAATTTGCTGAGAAACAGGATCCACAGATTTCCATGGGGCTTACTTCCCTGCAAGTGTGCTTGCTATTCCAGGTTCCTCAGAGAGGAGGTTGTATTCACATGCAGAAGCAAGTAAAATAGTGTCCTACCTCCCAGGGCTGTTGGGGTGGTAAAACACAGAAAGGGCTGTAAAATACTCCATGGGTAGAAGGGTTCATTGGTAGGGAGGGAGGGGCTGAAACTAGTGGAAGAGTATTTCACTAGTCTTTCATAGAGTAAACTAAACACCCCGTTTGGAGTATATACACAGTTGAAGCTCACCTGTTGCAGAAGAGTTTGATAAGATGGAGAAGGAACAGACGTGCTGGGAGGAATTTCCAGATGGCCTGGGAAGCAGCGTTCTCTGAAAAAGGCAAGGCAAGATGCCTTTAAAAAGAACAACTTAGGAAATGCAGCACTGGCAACTTACCATGAATGCTGGTCGTGCAGGCAACATTTTAGGATCCTAGACCATGTTTCCCTATATCTCCTAGGTTGGGGTGGGGCTAGGACAGGTATCCTGGATAGCTCCCACATGACCACAGGGAAAAGCATCACATGGTACATTTATGATGCTTCAGGGGTGCTACCAACATTAATTTTTTCCATCACACACTAGACTCTGCCCACTTTTGCCTCTGGTCTCACTCACCACTGGCATGTAGTTTGTGCATGGCTGCCCAAAAGGGAATGGGGCTCTTGGGTGGGAAAATATTCCTCATTCTTGCGCTAGAGGATGGTCAAAGATGCATGCCTTTACGATGTCAGAATCAAACACCAGCAATGAGTTCTGAGAAGATGCAGGTCTCTCACACTGACCCATCTGACATGATAAAGAAATGCCTTTCTCTGGTTTCCCAACATTTCCTTGCAGGTATTCACATGAGTTCCATTTGAAACACATATTGAAACAGCTAGCACTAGTTGAGAGTCTCTGGCAATGTTTGCACAATAAAAAGCAGACCATTGCATAGCAGGAAATAGTAGGAACTGTCCATGTGGATGGAGAGAAAAGGTCATATGAAAACTACTAGATGAAACTACCCGACATGCAAGAGATACATTTCAATTAGTCTTTCCTCTGACCTGTACTACCAGTGGTTTTCGCAGATGTCTGTTATGCAGTTTCCTCGGCTTTGGCAAGAAGAAATCAGATTGCATCTGAAGAGAAACAAAGGGAACTTGTAACACACATCATTTTGCTCATCAGGCATGAGACTTGAGGCTTTGTTAGCCACCTAAAAAGTGCAGCCTAGATTGGCAGGGATAGATTGTGTTAATGCACCTTCTCTTTACTCTTGAACACCTGCTTCCCCATGGCTCTCCACCCATCCTATGCAGGTAATCTTGGGAAGGGAAGTTCAGGCTGAAGGTGCCTGAACCAAAGGCAGCAGACAGTGCAGACCCTGTTGCTGCACATGAGGCAGGGCAGAACTCTAGGGCAGTGGTGGCTCCCCACACCAGAGGCAGCTCATTGAAAGCTGAATGCTTCTGCCTGTGGAGTATGTAGGAGGACTTGAGCATTTCAACCCCACTTATAAAGAAACAATGAAGCAAGAGAGCACCATCAACCTTCTAGGCTGAAACCCGCATTGTGTCCCTACAACCAAGTTTTTTACCAAACACAGATCAGCCTAACTCCAGGGCCTTCTAAAACAGATTAGGAAGATAAAGCATTTCCAAAATCGAAATGCTGTAGAACAGGGTGACTTGGTTTGTGGCATGGAATAAATTCTCTCTTGATCTGCAAGTTTTGGGGGCAGCTGTATTTATTCCTTATGAGCACCTTGATCACATCTGCACACCTTACAGTTCAACATATACCGTAATAAATAAATAAATCTTACACTGATTGTATCCAAGCGCTGCCGGAAGGTTAGCTCTGCTTCTTTACTTTGCAAGAAAAGCTTCCCATGCCTGCTGTTGGGTGGGAGAGTTGTGGGAACAGCAAAGAGGCCACCATCTGCATCTGCACTCGTGGAACCTGAAGGACCAGCCACCAAGAGAGGTCCAGAGTGATTTCTCAAACCTGGTAGGGTCAATAAAAATACAAGCATTCATGGGAATTAGTCAAGTGCAATTTCCAATTAGAAATCTTTGGAGGCAAAGAATGCTTCCACCAATCCACATTTGTTGTTAGGGAGGGTGAGCCAAATTAATTAGAAACTGAATAGCTTTATCATGACGTTTCATGGAACAAACAGCTGAGGAATCACAGAACTGCAGAGTTGGAAGGGACCCCCTGCGCAAAACCCCCACCACATTATTCCTGCCTCATCTCTGAGATAAAATCAGTTGTCTTCCCTCAGAGTACAGACCTACAGCTCAATGGATACACAGGGGCTATTGGGATCCCTGTGGACCACTTATGCTTTTTTCCTGTTCAACAAAGCAGCACAGTATTATGAAAATCATGGGCCAGGTCACTGAGAAGAGCCCCTTTATAACTGATGATTTTAAAATGAAATATAAATAGACTGCAGCAGTATATAATGAAAATCATGGGTCCTAAGCTAGGGCCTTGTTAGGCTGGTAATCTGGCCTTGGCCAAAATAGCCTCTATCTCCATCAACATCAGAAAAACAAATCAAGCAAGCACAGCTTCAAGTACAGACATTCTCAACTACTCTGCAATTTTTCTGCAGAAAAATCCCCAGAAGCTTAACAAGGTTCCTCAAAAAAAGTTCAGTAAAAGCAGAGAAGCTTCCCTGAAAGACAACTTGTCCAACTTTTCCAATATTCATCTATCATGAGCAGCAACAGGGTATGGGGTCAGAATGCTTTCTATGTTTATGCAGGACAACAGCCAAGCCCACCTAAACCTGTACCCTGAGTGAAGTAAGCATGCAGCCTAGAACATTTCTGGAGTCCTCTGCAAACAGAGAGATTCTGTGACAGATGTGTCAGGACCCCATGGCAGACCAATGCTTTCCTGAACGGTAGAAATGCTGAAAACTAATACTTTGTCTTAGGGCTACACAGAACCAGTTCATCTCAACAACTGACTCACCTGAGGAACTGGAGGTGATACTGGGGGGAAAGGTTTTCTTGTGAAGGGCAGGCTGATTGCGTGCACAGCCTGGACTCCGGGTGCTGACGGCAATAACCTTGCCAGGAGGGGTCAGAGCATGCTCCTCTTGAGTGGGCTTTATGGGAGATGTTGCAACAGAGTTCATTTCCGGGATCTGAAAAGAAAGAGAAAATGGTTGAATCCCAACAGCTGCATGCTGGAAGAAAGTGGGGGGAGGAGGAGGACGTTGCCATAGATATGGGTAGTGTGTCTATGCAAACCGGGGTGGGGAACATGTGGTCTTGCAGATGTTGTTGGGTTCCAGCTCCCATCAGCAAGGAGACAGCATGGCCCATGGTCAGGGATGATGGAAGCTACAATCCAGCAACATCAAAAAGACCCACCACTCCTTTTCACTTTATCCTACCTGTAAAATTTCTGGAAATTTTGAAACCATGGTCAAAAGGGTGGGAATGTTTTTCTCTTTTTTGGGTGGGGGGAAGAGACAGAAATTGTGGGGGAAACAGAAAAACAGGCAATGATTCTTTTTCACACTCTTTACAAATTGAAAACCACTTTGTTATTTTAGGAACATAAAATGTATCATGCATAATTTGGGTTGCCATAAAATTACCACGTTTGGTATATTAGAAGTACAGATTTTATGTAGACAGTAATTACAATTTAAATTTTCTTTGTAAAATTTGCTGCATATGGCCTCCAAGCACAGCATCTCCTGAAAATGGGTCTCCCCAAGGCAAAAACCATTATCGACCAGCGCATGAAGGATATTGAGCAGCAGAATAATCTGGCTTATATTAAGAAATTTAGTGCTTGGTACGCTTATCTGCCCCCCTCCCACTTTGATTTTCGGGCACCTTATTTGTCTACCTTAACCATTCCAAAACTCAGGCGGGCCTTTACATTGGCCAGACTAAATATGTTACTCTCAGCTGTTCTTGAAGGTAGATATCAAAAAATTTCATACGAGAACCGGCTCTGCCCCTGTGGAGCTGGCTACATAGAGACTGTGTCACACGTTCTCCTGTCTTGTTCCCTATATAAAGATCTCAGGGACGAGACCATCACGCTGCTCCTATCTGCCATCCCGGGCTGCTCTTGTGAAACCAAATTGTTCTCACTCCTAGCCGACCAGAACAGCTCGACAACAGAGAAGGTTGCTAAATTTTTTGAGAGAGCAATGAGACTGAGAGCTGCTATCTGAATCACATCAGTGTCGTCACCCGGATTCCTCGCCTAGGATTTTATCATTATTATCCTTATGTTTTATTATTAGTATTTTATTATCTCTGCTAAGTTTAGGTACTGAGATTTTTAACTTATCTGCATCTGGTTATTATTATCTTTCTCCCTGTCCTGACCATCCCTCCGAGGTTATATTTATATTTATGATCTTTCAATTTGGCTGGTCTATTTACTTAACTGACCTGAAACAATCTACCAGAGAAAAGGCCGCCGCCCATGGGACAGAGGGTCATTGATGAATGATAATCCAGCTTCTACCTAGGGTTTTAATAGGTCATAAGATTATACGGTAACTATATTTGTAATGTATTTTTGTCGGTGTTTGTCCTTTGATGCTATGGCCTGTTGGCTACGCAAATAAAGTCCTTGTTGTTGTTGTTGCTGCTGCTGCATATGGAGCTAATTCTGCTGCACTATAAGCAACTTAGCATCTCTTGGGGTTTGTCAGTTTATGAGGAGGAGCAGCTAAGAAACAATAAAAACATAAGCAGCCATTAACATTATAGTAGAAAAAATTATGTATTCTGAAAATTTTATCTCCTCCAGTCTTGTGTCAAGCAAATACAAAGCACTCATTCTCATATTCTCTTTCATAGTCGTGCAGAGGACATTTCCCAGCACCCTATGGCTGCTGGAGGGCAATGGTAGAGATCCCTCCAATGGAGGCTGCAGCACAGTGCAATGGAACTTCCAGGCCCTACATGTCCCCTTGCTGAGGGACTTTATTGCAGAATATGACCTGCTAGTCTCTTTGCTGGGCACAGAGCTGGGCTCCCTTTCCCAAGCTGTTAGCTGACTGGCAGCAGAGAGATACAGTGGGGTTGGAAGGGTGGATGTGGTCTCTTCCTTCTCTAAAGCACCCTGAAGGCAGTCAAAAGAGGAAACAGAACACCAGATGAGGGGCAGGAGGCCATATGAATCAGAGCTCCACAGAACTATGGGCACTACCACATTGGAAAGTACTCTAAAAACCACTTTTAATTTTTGCTATGAGGCTTAATGTCTATAAGCTACTCCCAAAAAGTAGCTGAACAGCAGCAGTTACCCTGCTGTTCTCTATAAGGCAGAAATAAAAAACGGGAAGGTCTCTCCAGGGTGTACCCAAAGACCCCCTTATCCCTTGCCTTCTTCCTGAAGTTAACCCCTTTGTGCCTTTTTGAGGACCAAAAACTGTGCAAACTGGAAGACGGTGGTTCTTAGCATCAATGCAAATTATACTTACTGGTTTGGGGTTAACTTCAGTGGAGATGAGTTTTAAGAGGCAGTTGAGGAGTTTCTGTTTGTGACAGGTGGCTGATGGAGAAACAGATTTAGGTTCAGGCATCTGCTCCCCAGGATCCTGGGTTTCCGGCCCCAAGACAGACAGCCAATCGTACTCTAGCTGTAGCTTGTTCGGTTTGCCCATCATGAGGTAGACTTCAGCCAAGGTAAGGCTCTCAGAGGTCCGCAGGCTCCATCCCTCCTCTCTGACCTGTTGCACAAGGCGGCTTGGGTCATCCTTGAGAGACTTTGCGACCAATTGTCCCTGAGGTGGTGGTGGCGGCGGTGGCGGCAGTGAGGTGCTGGGCTTCTCCTGAGAGTCCTCCATTACTACGTCCGATAGCTCCTTAGCACACATTTCCGTTTGTGGTCCGCAGCACTGGAGGGCCTGAGTTTCAGTTCTGGATGGGCCGCAGCTGGGCAATGCCACCCCACCTCTTGCCAGCTGTGCGGGACTGAGGCTGCCAGCCTCTGTGCTCCCAGACGAGAGCCTCCCGGGAGGGGAGTGCCCTGCCAAGGCAAAATCTTTCCCATTCAGTCTATCTGTGCAAAGACACTTCTCTGGGACAATAAGGTCCTGGCAAGATTTCATGTACCGAGGAAATGGGTCAAGCAGAGAGAGCTCCTCCAAATCAGGGGGGATGCTGCCGCAGTCACAGTTTGTGCTGCCAGAAGATGACCCGGTCACCAGTGCAACGGCTGGTGCCTCCCTACCCTCAGCACAATGGGTTGTGGGAACCGGCTTTTCAAGACTCCCACTCAGATCTTGAAGCCCAGACAGTGGCTTATCAAGACTATGTGCAACACTGAGACACAGGGATGCTCCTTCGGTAAGCCCAGCCTCTGAGGAGCAGTCCTCAGCGTTTGCAGTTGCCTCAAATGTGGACTGAGTGTTTCTACTTGCTTCTGTAGTGCTCTCGGCCCTGGTCCCACCCTTGCCTTCTGTTCCCCGAGGGTATTTTACCTGCCCTCTGGCTGTCCCCTGACCACTCTGTATGCCTAGAATTTGGGCAGGCGGCAGCAAGAGGGAGTCTTTTGTATTCTGCTTGCATCGGCCGGATTCCTGCCAATGCACCGTACAGAAAGCTTTGGAGTGTACAACCCTGGCAACCCCAGGGAGGGGTGTAAGCGTACAGTTCTCTCCTGGGAAGAGATGGAGCATCACTTTCTCTTCCGAATAGCTGCCACTTGCTTCAGAATCCCTGGAGTCTTGTAGTTGCCTTTCTGCTAGTGTTTTACGCTAAATACAGGACATTAAGGAACACAGCAACACTTAAAAGAGGAGAGAAAGTCTCTCTACAGTCCACACACCCACAGACCCAAGTGGGAAATATTTTATAACATAGGCAGGAAACCTTTTTCAGCTAAAGGGGCACATTCCCCTATGGATGACATTCCAGGGGCTGCATGTCAGTGCAGGGTAGGGCCAGAGGACAAAAGCAAGCATAACAAGAAAAGTGTGATACAGTAGTCTACATTCTATTCACAGAAAGCCCTGAGATTTCTCCCCAACACACATACACCAGCCCCACACCTCTCCATCCACCATCTAGGTAAGTAGGAAGCATTGTCAATGTTCAGTGATACATTCCAGCCAGACAAGAGTGCTTAGGAAGGGTGCAGAGCAGGGATGGTGAGGGGCATGACCTGGGGAAGTCTCCTACCAATAGAGGGTCTCAAGGGCCTGGGATCCTGCACCCTGTCTCATAAATACAGTAAGGGTCTAATGAAGAGTAATGGCTTTCAAGAACTTGAAGGCTAGTTATGTCGAGCGCTGTCCCCAGAACACAAAATCAAAAGGCAAAACAAATTTCTGAGCAAGAAAAAGGATACAATGCGCACCTCATGGAGAGCCCATTTCTGTTTCAGGAACTCAATGAGGCTAGATACCTTACGATGCAACTCTACGATCATCCTGGCAAGCCATGGAAGACAAAAAACACACAGAGGAGTCAGCAAATGATGTCCCACGAACAATGTAGTATAGAAGTCACAGTACACGCTAAGTAAAGCACACACTCCCTCTCTCTGCATGTGGGCATGTACTCCCTAATTTCCCATTCATTGGAGCAAGGGGAAAAGAATACCAGCTGCATTCCCACCACAGTTAACGGCTGACTATGAATGTACAGATGCCCCCCACTTTTCTCCTTTCCTACTGTGAGAACATCAAGCCACCATTCCTGGCTTAGTGTTATGTCCTAATTGGGGATCATGGTTTGCTTTGCTCCAAACAATCCTTGATGAGGCTAGACAGGTTTTGTTCTTAGTGTTGGTGTGTCTGGATCAAAAGTAACTATGATCCCCAGGTTCACATGCAATGCAATGCCAGGTATTGTGATAGGGGAGGAGCAACGCAGAAGTGATCTCCACATTCACCATAAACCATTCTATGGTTTGCTGTGATGTGCAAAGGCAGACTCTATTCGCATTAATGAACAAATCACCGTATACAAAACAGTAACAGGTATCCAGGAGATGGAGTCACTTGTTTGCTAGCAGTGGCTAAAGTAGTCTATAGGTTGTGCCAATGATATTCAAAATTCAGCTCCCAAGCTTTAGTTATGCACAACACACACACAAACCTGAGACGTGGATTCTGGGCCAGGCTCTGCACACGGGCCCATGCATGATTATTCCGTGGCTGCAGCTCCACGGGGACCTTCAGTGGAAGACGCACTGGCTTCTGATCCTCCTCATCACTGATGCCTGAGGGAAGAAGCAGCGAAAATTCCTGAATTATTCCCACAAATAAGAGGTGGCTATCCTATCACCTGACACTCACCAGAGAGCACAGGAAATTATCCATAAGAATATTCTTGGGATGAGGAGTGGGGAGATGATTTTCTAACAGAAACACTAATAATAATAAAAAGGTTTTTAGTCGTATATTAACTAAAACTGAATAACTAGTAAGAGAAAACCTTTGACCCTTTCATCCATGACTCAAGAAATATTTCTGCCATGACCCCAAGCAGTGCATCAATACAATTCTACCATCTTCTCAACATGCCAGTGGAGAGCTCACTGAAACACAACAATACTTCTTAACGCCACAGGAAGAAGAATTCTGCTTGGGCTGCCACTCCATATGCCTGGAACACTGAATTAGTTTTTCATGTAAGGTGCTTCTGCTGTCACACCCAAGCTGAAGTTATCAGCAAAATATACTGCACAATCTGAGCTATACAGAGTGTGAGGCCACCCACAGCCTCAGAAACAATACTGGCATCATAATTAAGAAGGCAGACAAAGGAGGAGTGGTCGTTACCATCAACAAAATGGACTACATAAAGGAGGCTGAGAAACATTGATACCATGTTTTACACAATGGAGTTTTATTAGATGTATTAATAGTCACTTTCCTAAACCAATTCTATTGTCACCAAAGACCACCTCACAAAGCTCAAAGCCCATTTATTTGTTGTCACCTCTCAAGCCACTTATGAAAGCATAAGTGTATGTAGAAACTAGGAATCACACCCTTCTCACACCTCAAGGAGTCACACAACCCCTAGAGCATGCACCAAACCCTGCATGGGTCCACTCAAGCCGCAATTATTATTATTCTTTATTGAATTTATATACCACACTTTATCCAGAGCCATTGAGAGCCAGTGTGGTGTAGTGGTTAAGAGCGGTAGTCTCGTAATCTGGGGAACCAGGTTCGCGTCTCCACTCCTCCACATGCAGCTGCTGGGTGACCTTGGGCCAGTCACACTTCTCTGAAGTCTCTCAGTCCCACTCACCTCACAGAGTGTTTGTTGTGGGGGAGGAAGGGAAAGGAGAATGTTAGCCACTTTGAGACTCCTTAAAGGGAGTGAAAGACGGGATATCAAATCCAAACTCCTTCTTCTTCTTCTTCTTCTTCTTCTTCTTCTTCTTCTTCTGAGCTCTCAGGGCAGTTCAATACACATTTTGCTTTGTGAGTTGACCTGGAGAGACAATTGGATCTCTCCATTGTTCTAGGTGTATTTTGCGACAGGGAATTTCATTAGCGCGAGCAGTTTCTGAGCTCTGGGACGCAGTATTGTGCCTAAGATTTCTGGTTAAAATTGCAGAGTGGAAGGAAAGGAGGACCTAGACATTCCGTTGTTGTGCCCATAACCTAGGTTTCAGTTGCCATTCAGCTACTAGCCTTCATATATCAGTTTCTAACACTGGGTCTCTCCCTTCATGATCTGTTTCAACCCTCTTTTTCTCCCAGAGCCTCTTACATACCATCTGGATCACAGAGTTTCTTCAGAGCCCTGCACATTGGGGCTTTGATGCGAAGATTCCTCCCTTTGTAGCGTACGGTTGTAGCCCTAGAAATGTTAAAAGAATGGGACAATTGAGGGCACCAGAAGCATGCACGGCAACTCTGAATGTGACTTGAATACTTGTTTCTGGGAGATTTACTGAGGTATCACACTATCCGTGGTTTTGAAGCAACAGAAAACGCCACAGTAACCTACAGAGAACTGTAGTCAGTGCTATTATTTTTCTGCCCCTTGTCACCAATTACCAGGGTTCACTAATCTGATTCAGGATATTGGGACACCGTGAAACCCATATGGCATCTGTGCTGATCCTTCAGAAAACATAATTAGCGCTTGCAGAGAGTACTCTTTCAAATGCCATGCAGAACAATGTTGCAACATGGCGAGGAGCAGAAATAGAAGCTGTACTTCATGCTGCATCCAACTAAGGGTGTGGGTGGGAGATTCAACTCACTACAGATGGAGAGATCCAGCCACGTGAGCTTTCTTTTACTGTGATGTCTTGTTCTTAGCACAGTATGGTTGCTTGGGAGCTATTCTTCTCCTGCTGTTTGTGGAGCGTAACGGCTGCACTATTAACAATCTGAGCAAGAAAAATTGCCTATATGTATCAGAATGAGAAGGGCAGGCAAAGAAATCACCACCAGTCTACTTCAGCTAGACTGCCTCCTCACTACCACTGGGCTAACTACCATCAACTGCCCTTGGGGAAAGATCCCAGGAGGAGAGGGAAGCAGGCAGACAATGCCACGAACCTACTCCTGCTCCAGTTGAATTGCCCTCGCCAGTAAGGCCATCTATCACCAGCTGCTCTGTGAAAAAGACCCCGATAACTTGTAATGTGTCTATCTAGTGTGTGTATACATATGCAAGTGTGTGCTTTAAATCTGCAATTATGTTAAGGCACCTTTGAAGGACTTATAACCTTTTTTCCAGGATACAAGAGAATGTAACGCTTTTATTGTTCTTCATTAAGTGAAAACAGCATCTCAAGTTTAGCATAGTGATTTCTTCTGAACTGTAGTTTCAGAAGGTCAAAGCAACTCTTTAAAACTAGTCAGTTCTCCCTGCTCTATAACACAATTTTATAACACACCTAAAGTAGTAAAATCATTTCCTTTGAGGAGCAGTGGAGAACTTGTAGTCCTCCAGATGCTGATGGTCTACAATTTCCATCATTCTCAAACATTAATCTTTCTGGCTAGGTTGGAGTCAAACAACATTGGGAGGACCATGGAGTCCCCATTGCTGCCTTAAGAGCTCTGGGATGGAATAATAACAACATCTGTGTGCATGCTTTTTAGGCCGGACATGTTCAGAGTAGCTTCACAACCTGAGATAATAATGCACCTCAAAAGCTAGACATTGTACCGTGATAATGCTAAAAAGCAAAAAAAAAACATACCCAACTTGAATAAGCTCATTGAGTTTAGCTGCATTTTTGTCATCCATACCTTTAAGAGCAAAACAAAAACAGATCAAGCAGGTCATTTTGACTAACATCTAACAAAGAGGTTTGAAGCTATTCTAAAGAATATATACACACACATACATGTACATCAAAACAGTAAAATATTTTTTTAGAACTACAAGCATAATATTCTTATCATCCCACAGAGCTCTGAAAAAACATTAATCCATGACTCTTTGAATAAGAATTCGTTTTTTAAAAAGCATTTCCTCTTCTGAAAGTGAGAGGAAGGTGTTCTGAAAGGAGTAATGATTAGCAGGAGAAAGGGGAAATGGTGGGTTGACATATGCATAAAGATGAAAGGAAAGAGTTGGAGACTGGAAGGGGGACAGAAGGGGATCACATGGGATAAAGAGTCAGGCATTTACCAATACAGACGCTATAATTTCCCCAGTGAGGCTGGCTCCACTTGCTGTGTTTGGACACGAGCCATGGTTTACTGTGACAGGAAGAAGCCTAGGTTTCTGCACTCCTAACACCTCCTTTAGTATAGCTGTAATGAGAATAGATGCTTTTGCTCCCAATTTCAATTAACCAGTTGCGTGTCATGACTTAACCTTAAAGAGTCGTTATTTTTAACTATAGTTTTGATTAAAGAAGCCAGCTTTACAAACCATGGTTAAGATTAACCATGGGTTGTTGGGATGACATGAAAATCTGTGGTTAAGGAAAAAAGATAGAAAAAGCTGATCTCCTTGTAGCCGTGCCAAAGGAAGGGGGTAGAAGAATGCACAAGCCTGACGCTCACCTAGACATGTTCCATGATTTATTATGTCATCTGAACAAAGCCAGTATGCAAAAGCAACTGTCTTATGTGCACCAAATCCGTTACCAAGGCAGCACAGTATTATGGAAAGCTTGCAGCCTTTACAAGTCTTGTTGCAGGAGAGCCTGCTGACAAAATGTGAATACTTATGAAAGAAAGAAACTGGGAGTTCAGAAAGTCACTGAGCAGGAGACACCAAAGAAACGGTGTGTGCTAGAGTAAGGATTGTTCTCTGCTGTAAGAGAAATGCACACTCTGCTGTAAGAGAAATGCACACTTTTTATTGCTTTGCTCTGAATATACACCTTTAGATGGATGGCTTGGGCCAAGGAATGAATGCAAGCTTATTACGGTATTCTGAACACACAAGAGGATGTGTGTTTGTGTGTGTGTGTGTGTGTGTGTGTGTGTGTGTTGACATCTGTGTGGTGCAGTCGTTACGGTGTTGGACTAGGATTGGGTAAAGCCAGGTTCAAATCCCCATACAGCAATGAAACTCGGTAGGTGATCTTTGGTCAGGCACTACTTTTAGGCTAGCCTAGCTCATCAGCTAGGCAATGAGGATAAAATGAAGGTGGAGAAAGCCAGTACATGGAAGAGAACGGTATACAAGCAACTCCCTATTCATGTGCATTCAAGGCATGTGCGACGGTGCACGCATTCCTGCAAACCCGGAAGTGGCACGAAAAGGGGCAAAAACGGAGCGAAAACAGCATCTAGTAATTTCCGCAAGCCTTTGCAAGTGCAATCCCAGGGAGCCTTTGCACCGACCTTTGAGGCCTGTGGAGAGTTTGAGTCCAACAATAACAGGAGGGCCACACATTTCCCACCACTGATTTAACTTTTGATTTGTCCAAAGTAAACTTCATTACCTAAAAGGTTAAACAAGGCAATGATTTTAGCTTCTATGATACGCCAGTTAAGTATGGCCAGTGTATATAGAAAAATCAAATAAAAAACAAAAAATTGTATAACCTATACAAAATTATAGTCCGTTGCTGACAGAGCTAAAACCAAAATAGGATACTCAGAAGGTATTTCATTTTTATATCCCAAATCTGAAGACAGACATCATCCCAGTTTTCAATTTTGAAGGAAGCTGTATCGTAAATACATGCCATTCATTATCTTTCTGTTATGCAGGGACAAGCAGTATGTGAATTACACCTAGAAAACAACAGAAGCTTCCTTCTGTATTTTCTTTTTGTGTCCTTGTATATTTTATGTTTTACTGTTTTGTACTCTGCATGAAAGAGCAAACTAAAAGATTATGCTCAGAAATCTCCCTCTGAAGCAGTATTGACACACAGAAAAATACTCGAAGAAAGCTATAATGAAAAATAAGGGCACCAGAAACATCCGGGGAGGAGAGTTGGGAAGGAGCACAGAAAAAACCCCAAACACTTTCTAATTTCATGGCACTAAAATGTTGTGTACTTACAGCCCCCAATCTTCTTCCTTAGCTCCCCATAACAAATTAAGCCATAGAGCTCCAGGGAGGATTTTTTCAGCCCTTGAGAAAACACTGCAAAGAAGGAAAACCACAGGTGTTAAGGGAAAAGAAAAACACTATTCACTTAGAGAATGATTAAGCCAGCAGATACTAAACACTCCCTTATCTAAGAATTCTTAGGTCTTGAGACAAACACCTAAATATATACAAAAGTTAACTGGTATAATTGGTATACAGCAACAAGTGTGCTGTAATGTGACGATCCGATGTATTTTGCAGCTGCGTTTTAGGACGGAATGTGCTAACGAACAGATATCACCTTTTCCAGTATTTTAACGACCTGGACAAAAACCAACTTAAAAGGGCTGTCATAATTACTAGTCTATTCTAGTACCAGATTTCACATTTGAAATCACAGGTTAATGGGAACGATGTCTCCAAAATATTCATATTTTATACACATACAACTCTCTCTCTCTCTCTCTCACACACACACACACACACACTCCTCAAATTCCAGTAGTTCATGATTTGTGTATTCAAGGTGGATTCAGCGCTCAAAAAATGGGTATATCCAGCCCTTTGAAGGTATGCAAGTTGGCCTCTATGAAGGAGGTTAGGGCAAAATAGCACAACGGCAGGGCCTTCACTGTTTTAGCCCACAGACCAGGGTATACACTTCTCATTCAAGGTCTGCCATTAGTCATCCTGGTGCAGACTGTTGAAGGACTAGGCTATTTTAGTGTGTTTTGCTGATTTTTTTCTGATGTTCTAATTTATTGTAAATGCCTTGCATTTATAGAAAAAAAGGAAGTGCAATGTCATTTTAATGAAACATACTGCCACAGTGCTGGCACTTCCCATACAGCTGAAGACTTCCCTAACGTGTTGGTGGTCTTAGGGAAGCCTTGTGAAGCATGTGCCCTCCAGATGTTTTGGGTCTGATGTGAGCATAGATCTGATGTAATCCAAAACATCTGGAGGGCACCAAGTTGATGAAAGCTGTCATAGTGCATGCCTGCCTCCCTCAATTTCAGTCTAACACTTCAGTGCAAAACCTCGTGTAGTAAGGAGCCCTTGGAAAAGGGGTGAGGAGCACCATGCTGCCCAGCTTTAATGCAGGGAAGGGAAAACTGTGGCCCTCCAGTTCCTGCTGGACTACAACTCCCATCATCCCTGGCAAATGGCTAATGGGAGCAGAGTCTACAGGTTCCCCAGCCTTTACCGATTTACTCCACCACTGCAGGACTGTAGAGCCTGTAGGACTCCTGGTCTGCAACATCCAGTCCACTATAGGGATATGAAGATGCCATGTGTCACACAATAATTTGATAAACTGAATCCAAGCAGAGTCCCCCCGCTCAAACATTTATTCAAAAACATTTCATTACTTTTATATTCCACCTTTCTTTCAGCATGGAACTTGAGGTGACGTCCATGGGATCCCCGGCTAGTCTCCCCTCTAGGCACTAACCAGGATGAAGCCTCCTCAGCTTCAGCATGAAAACCATGCATAGGATAAAAGGAAGTCTTTTATTTGGTTGTTTGTATTGTTGTATATTATGCTTGTTGTTTGTTATGTTTGTGTCTGATGGGGGTAGATTTCTGTGTTGGGGGGGTGGGGGGGTTTGTGTTATGTTGTAAATAAAATTTCCAATAAAGAATTATTTAAAAAAGAAAACAAAAAGAAAACCATGCATAGGTACATAACCTTAGCGGGTTCCCCCCACCCTCCCCAATTCTACAAGTTGTTTATGGACAATATAGTATAGTCTGCTTGTACCAACCGCAGAACCAAACCTAACAGTATGCTCACCATTATCAAAGTCAATGTATTTGGAAATCTTGTGCCAGGTGCGGTAGTAGAAGTGCCGAACCTGTTCCTTGTTCTTCACCATGTTTGCTGGCTTGCTTTTCTTCTTATACTTCAGGGCAATGTTGTTCTGAATGGCTTCAAAATCTTTTCCATGCTGAAAAAGCAAATACACCAATACTTTTCTACAGAATGTAAAAATTGGGCAACTAGCCATCCAAATTATTATTCCATTTGTTGCAGATGGTTTATCAGATGTATAGATTTAACAGTTACAGACGCACCCACTTCTGATAGGCAATCTGCAGAAGCTAACAAATTATGAAAGCATTTTTACAAAAGTGTCCAATATACTGGGATCTGCAGTTAGGGATGCTAGGAATTATAGCTTGGGGGGGTGTCACATGCTTTAAATGTGCATTGGATGAGCTTTAAATGCATGTTGTGGATCTTCTCTATCACGGTCCAATGACCTTTCCCAGAATAAGCATTTGAAGATACAGACAACACCATAGGCGCATGGGTATAATGCACACAGAGAGACTGGGATATTGGCTTAAAAGGAGAATAATAGTTTCAAGTAACTTGGGGGGAAATTATTTATACTATCCTCAGTAAAAAAAAAACAACTAAAAGGTATTTCACTGCCTGGATGTCAATCCTTATGTAGCCAAAATAGCACACAAGAGGATAACAATAGACTAGGGAAAACTACTAGGTTCATGGAAGATACCCCCACCCAATGAGAACTGAACATGCTAAGTAGCCACAGAATGCTAAGTGTCTGCTTTGGGAGGGGAATATGGTAAACAGGGTGAGGAATAAAATAGAGTAGAATTCGGCAGGAACCCCAAACACGAGAAGAACCCATGGCAATATTGAGAGCTCTGCTTGTTTTGACATAGCACTCAAGTATTCAACCTTTGAATGAAACATAGCATCCAGTTTTGATCTTCGAAACACATCGCTTGAGGACACCCACCTCATAGAGGCCTTCAAAGAAAGTATTCTTATCCTCGGTGCTCCATGATTCCCACTGACGTCTAACCTTCTTGCCTTCTTCCTTTTCTCCCGCTGATGAGCCCAGGTTTCTTGCAGTAGATTTTGAGCTACCAGCTGGGGTGCTGGAAGAGATTCCTGATGAATTGCCAGAGGAACTCCCGCCATTATCTGCACCTGTAGTAAATAAGACCACCACAACACACATTCTCAGTTAAAGGAGACTAAGTTCATCATATAATTCACAAGCAACACTTCGTAGCACTGCAGAAATAATGAAAATTTGAGCGTTTCAAAAACCAATGATTGAAAAGCAAGAGTATAAATCTTTTTTAAAAAAAAGAATTATTATTTTTACAACTACAGAATTTTTAAGTGTTCCGTTTCATTCTGTTAAAAATATATATTGAATTTTTTAAAAAAAGAAACTTTCATAGAATTGTAAGGGATGCCAAGGGTCATCTATTGTTGACTAAGTCAATTGTTCACTAAGGCTGCAATCCTAACCCCACTTACCTGGGATTCAATAGGACTCACTGTGCAATCCTAACCAGATCTACTCATAAGACACTACAAATTACGGTACATTTTGAAGTGGAAACCTTTGTTATTTACCCCATAATTATAAAGGGCAAATGCCTGTATTTTCTATCTCATAAAGGTAAGAAATTATGTAGATTCCAAATGCTACTATGAAGGAATTCAGGAAAAGTGATGGCTGGTTAATGGGCTGGGATAACAAAACTGAATAAGGAACAGACCTTCCTAAAGAGGGAACTCTCATACATCCTTCCTTTGGGCATGTACAAATCCTCCTACCAGAAAGATACTTTCTCATCAAAATTTTCAGTTTCCAAAGCTATAATGGATGTTGGGGAGGAAAGTGCTAGCAAGTTTCACAGAGCCTTCTCTGTGGTGGAGCCCAGTATGTGGAATGCTCTCCTCTTACGGGCAGGACAGTCAGCAACATTGTTGTCATTTTGGTGCCAAACACCTGTTTACTCATTTTAGGTCTGAAAGGGTGACTGTTTTAGCTGCCTCTGTTGTGTTTTTTTGGTTGTTTTTTTTTAAGCATGCTGTTTTATAGAAAGAGATATTTATAATTTATCAGGATAAATGAAGGGTGGGTAACAATGTTTTTAAATAAAATAAAAAATAAGTAAATGTATGCAATGGCAGATTGGCTGTAGGCTCAATGCCACTTCTTTTTGGCATTACTGTGGCATGCAAGATGCATTGAATGTGATGTCCAAGGAGGGTGGGGCTCTCAAAAGAGTAGACTTGCCCACTTCTGGTAGAAGTCTCCATCTACATGTCCCAATGCAGTGGCATCCTAGGCGAAGCCACCACTGGACCAGAATTACAGCTTCGGCAGAGAAGTTTCTTGGTCACAAGAGGATGTGACAGGGAATCAAACTGCCGCATTTCCTGCCAGGTGTCTCACGACGCTTCTAAGAGGGTGGGTGGGAAGGTAAAATTTTCGCAAGGTAGCTATGCTACACATTCATCAGAAATAACTTTCTCACAAATTGCTCACTAGAGATTCTCAATGAGTGATATCTATGAGCTCTGTACAAAGACCTGCACTTGACTGATCTTTCTTCAAACAAGCCTGTTTGATGAGTACTAAATTTATTGAACAGGTTAACATGCTCACCTGGGGCTCATGATTTTCATAAAACTGGGTTTTTCCATCAGTTAGAGGGGACATTCTTAGTGGCTAGGCCTAGAGCCGCTACTTTTATAATACAACACTAGTTGCATAATGCAGCACTGACTGGGGGGTGGGGTGGAATTTAAAAGTGCTATATCGAGATATATACCATGCCAGGCCCAACACCTACTGGTATAAAGAACTGGTCCAGCTCGTAAATAATTAGTATCTGGTGCAATCACTGTTACAGCACCACCACATCATTATTTGTGTTGGTCTACTGGTGTATATACCAGCAGTGATTCAGTTTAGTCATTCAAACTGAAAACAACAATGAAAAATGTAGAACATATCACACAGGAAAGAATAGAGTCACACATTAAAAATACACAGGTATCACATTCTAACTTAGTGCAAGAATGCCAAGAGGGAAATGTCATTTTATGTTGAATTAATGAAGTATAATTTGCAAGATATTGGGGAGGGGAGGGTGGCAGATAGAGTGAGAGATAAAGCAATGAGGGGAGACTATCAATATAATGAAAGAATTCAGCTGAGTAGAGAGGAGGTTTGAACAAACAACAGTTAAAGCAACTCAAGAACACCATAGTTTCCAGGGGAATACATGTTAAAAATAAGATCTTCTGTCATAACTATATGCCAGTTTCAATGGGTACTGAAATCTAAGAGCCAGGAGACAAACTTGCTTTTTAAAATTCGAAGATAAAGATCAGGTCGCTTTAAAGCAAATGAACATCAGCAACAACAAAGGGACAACAGATACCCTCAGACTTCTGGAAAGAAACTTCCTGGATAATTCCTTTTCTGTTTCTGGAATTAACCATTGCCCTTTTAAAGCATCTAAACTTTGTATCTTGCAATTTCTTTTGGGTGGGTGAGGGTGGAGCTGCACATCGTGCTAAAGAGAGGTGAGCAACACTCACCTCTTTGGCATGCACATGATTACCTTGCTGATTTCTATCAGAATCCTGAAAATTTCCACTTTGGAACAGTGTGTGTGTAAAGCTCACTTAATCAGTAGGTAATCTTGGTTTCAAATGGTCTTAGCAATGAATATGAATACATCTGAGATGACACTGCTTTATACCATTGCCTGTTCAAAACTATGAAGCAGAAAAGTTATGTAATTCTAAAAGGGTGAGATTTACAATCCACAGACTCAATAGGTATCATTTTCTTTATAAGCCAAGATTGCATCCTATACATGGGATACTTAATGCTGACTAAATGGAATTTCATCAGCCTGGTTTTTTTTAGGATTCTGGCCCCAAAGATTTGTAAACATAAAGGTTAGATTACTGCTAGGATACTTTTGTACAGATGCACCGACTAGCTGTCTATTAGGGCACGACAAAATCTGTGCCTTCACATGCTACATGTTAGGCACGATGTAGCCTTTGTAACCCACACAGAGAAAGTGGCAAGACAGCTGTACAAAATGTAGCACTAAAACAGAACTCAGCAGCAGTGAAATGCCCCGAGAACACGCCCCAAGTGAGTTGTCAGCCATTTTTTTCATAAAGCAGTACATCTTGTGCTTCAAGCCATTCTAAATGTCTGAACTGGCATTCCACAACTATTGTAAAATAAGGCATAAGAACAATTCAGCCAAGGGCTAATCTAGGGGTTGCCAACATTGTGCTCTCCTGATGTTGTCGACTACAACAACCATCATCCATGACCATTGGCCATGCTGGTTGAGCCTGATGGAAGCTGGAGTCCAGCATCTGGAGGGTCACAAATTCCTCACCCTTCTTCACACCAAGATGAGTATCTGTAGCGATCTCTTGCAACTAAGAATCAGAGATGGGAAGGGTTATGATCCGAAACAATTCCTGACCACAGAAAACACAGTAAATTATGCTGATAAAAATGTTCACAATTCATGTCCAAAATTTTAAAATTTTAAAAGACACTTGACTATTGGTTCTGAAATATTTATAGAATTTTCCTTGGGGGGTGCGGCTGCTGTTATCACTCACCGCAGTAATTTTAGCATTACATGTGAATAGAATCAGAGATAAAGGAGTGCAAAAAACTTACTGAAAAGCCATGGCTGACAAGAAGAACAGTGTATAAAATTTAATCAGCAGGAAATCTGTAAAGATTTAACAGGGATGCAGTTCTTACCCCCATCCCAGAGTACTCCACATTTTTCTTCATTTAACTCTATTTTATCTCTATTTAACTCGTATTTTATCATAATAGTTGAAACTGAAGGAGTGTGCATTAGTAGGTGAATGTGATTGAAAGAGGAGCGTGGAATTTTTGTGAGCAATGAGTAGAGATGTGCATTGAGCAAGTGTAATCCTGATTATATTCTATTGTTTTATATATTGTATCACATTATCTCATTTTGAGTTTACTTTGCAAACTGCTTTGCAAATCATTTCTGATGAAAAGCAGAATATAAATACTTGAAATAAAAATAATACTGTAACCTAGCACTTTCTAAAACTTACAATCGGCTATCGAACCTATCAGAGGTTGCTCTAAATATAAATATCACAAGAACACATCACTTAAGGGTTGTTCATTACTAAGACACAATCAAGCTCAAACCAATGGGATACAGCTAGCAACCACTTAAAATTAAACACTAGGTTTAATGAGCATGTCGTTAGTTCTCTCCTGACACCTCTCTTGAACATTCCCAGAAGACATATATATGGATTTTGAAAGGAGCACTCCCTGAAAAACAATGTGAAATTATCTTCCTGAACAATTTGTCTGCTAAATCAACATAAGAATGGCTTCTAATTCCACTAGAACACAAGGGCAAAGCAAGGATTCTGAAGGACAGCTCTAGTGGAGGCCATGCAGTTCTACCTTGCCTGCAACTTGCACTGATGCTGTGAACAAATCCAGAAATAGAGGGAAAACCTGTTTGAGATCTACAAATTGATAACTAGGGAGTGGAAATGCATTTTAGAAAAGAAGGGGGCAGAAAGAAGTGTCCCATGACACTTCAATAAAACTGCAGAATCTCAATTCATTATTTTTTTGTATTTCTCTCTCAGCTATAACAAAAAAAATAAAAATCTGGTGATGTCAGGTGTACCGTAGTTGAAGTAAGCACATATGCTGAATTTTGAAAGCATTCCACAGATCTATATGCTAAAATTCTGAAAGATAAAATAGTTAACGCACCCCGTTTCGGCAAGGGAAATTGGTGTGCAAAAGTGGGCTTGAACACACACAACTGAAGCACCTCTGGATATGCATCCTCATCACAGGCTCATCCTGACTCACTGTCCTGGCTAGAGAAATCCTTTTTAAGGGGAATGTGCATTCCCCTGAGGAGCCACTATTGTTGCATGCAGGTAGAATCAGATCAAGTCAAAACAAAGCTCCAAGATATTGAAAGAAAAAGCTACCCAAGTTGGGTTTTTTAAAGAATGCTTATTGATGCTTCATTACATGATTGAAAGAAAGTCCAAAGACTGTTAGGGGCTTTAAAATGCTGCACTTCTGCAAATACAGATAGCTTTACATGGATAAATATAATGTAGGAACTATTAAAACAGGGGCTGGCAACCTAAGGCCCATGGGCCACAAGCGGCCCACGGGGGTCGTTTAACTGGCCCACGAGCCACCCCCGAACTAAGCTGCCCACTTGGCGAGTCCCCGCGTGCTGCACTAAACCAGTGCAGTGCGATACGGGGACTTGCTTCCACGGTGCAGGAAATCGCATCTGCGCAGATGCCGGAAATTGCAGGTGCACGCACGATCTGGCCCATGGAGGGATCTCCACTGGAGTGAACCAGCCCAGGTGAGGTAAACCTTGCCGACCCCTGTATTAAAACATGCCTGTCTGAGAGTCTAATTCATGAATTTCACACATGTATCATTAATTTATAAGCTATATCACACACAGACACATATATGGAAATCACACCCATCAACATCTGCAATATAGAAATTTAGGCTTAAAGATTAGCCAATATGTCCGTTTTTAAATTTAGGATTCAGAATTCACTAACTCATGGACTCACACATAGAAGGACAAACAGAAAATTTTACTTGAGATTTTTGCCACCGCTGAAGAGGTAAGTTGAAAAGAAGCTTGTCTCTTCAGCAACAGGACTGCAAAAACAAAACAAAATGCAAACCAATAGTTTCCTGTATTTCTGTTTGCTTTCCAGAGCCTATGTGCCCAGTTTGCCTAAGGACACAGCATGTGGCATAGCTCTGCACAAACTACACAAGAACATGGCTGCACTTCTACAGAACTGCCATACAATTCAATGTGGCTTCTGCAGAAACAGGGGTAAAAGTTGCCCAATGCAATTAAAAAAACACTGGAGATGGACCATAGCATAGTGGAAGAGCACAGGATTCCAAGGTTCGTTCTCTGACATCTTCAGTTAGAAGGATCAGGTAGCAGGTGATGTGAAATACCTCTTTTGAAGATGCTGGGGAGACATTGCCAGTCAGAGTGGACAATACTGGGCTAGTTGGACATCTAACTTCACAGAAGTCAGCTTCCTATGTTCCTAATTATTACTAATAATCAGATCAGCTTGCATACTGCTGAATCCTATATGTTTTCCTTAATTGTAAACAATAAAATAAAAATTAGATCAACTTCAGATTATCAAAACCTTCTTTTAAAGGAAAATGCCCCAATTCAACAATAGAGTGCCAATGGAGGATAAGCTTGCACAGAAAATGCAAATATGCTATGAGATGCTTATCTAGACACCACTAATATGGCTAGGTGTGTCTTTTGTTGTAGATGGGAATGAGCATCTACGTAAGGGGCTACTAGTGCGACTAGCACTGGATTGGGGCTAAAGATTTCATGGGGCTGGTATATGGATGCATATTTAAGAAATAGCGCAAGGGAGAAATACACTAAGCAACCAAAATGGGATTTCTGCACAATGTGATAGAATCATTTTTCCCTTTTACTGGGTTTGCAGTCAAAATGTCTATTTCCCCAATGAATCCCCAAGCTTTTGTACTCGCTGCCCTGATAGTAAGTTAAAACAGAACCAATTGTGTGATGAGAAAATATTGAGATCAATCCTCTGGACTTTGGGAATATGATCTGACATCAGACTTCTCATCAATATCTTCATTAATGACTTCTATAATACATATTTATATAAAAGGTGCTGCAATTCTTATTTAAAAGAAATCTTCCAGCATTTAGATGGTTTGCATAAATAGGCAGCATCTTATGAAATGTGCTTCTGTTCAGCATTATTATTATTGCTGTTGTTGTTAAAAAATAGGTCTCTCAGCATCCAATATATGTTGGGAGGATTTATTTTTTAACAGATGAAGCTGTTCATTACCATTTTTGTGTTGTTGTTTTTAAAGTCTTAAATATTTAATTTTTTCCTATAAAGGCAATTTGATAATAAAATAAATCCTGGGATGTAGAAAGTTCTTTATAATAAAACCTTAGTCCAGGCATAGGCAAACTCGGCCCTCCAGATGTTTTGAGACTACAATTCCCACCATCCCTGTCCACTGGTCCTGTTAGCCAAGGATGATGGGAGTTGTAGTCCCAAAATATCTGGAGCGCAGAGTTTGCCTATGCCTGCCTTAGTCAAATATTGGTACTGAGGATTACCTAAAATGCCTTCCAACCAACCAACACAATAACGAGTTAGATGGCAATGAATAAGGGCTGTATATCCTCAAGAACAATAATTTGTTCAGCTATCCACCATGCTTAAGCCAAACACATAAAAGGTTCACTGATCAAGAGCATAAGGCAGCATGGGTTATGATACTTATGCAGCAATGCCAAGCCACGGTCTATTTATCAAACCAGGTGTTGTCCCACAGACAACCAGCAAGCCATGGCTTACTTTGTAAGAGCTTGGTTTGTTTTCAAAATGCTCTTGCCTCATGCCTTCGTGACTTAATTAGTGCTTAAGGTAGGAGTGAACAAACCAACCATGGTTAAGGAAGGTGCTGAGTTTGTATACAACATCAAGCAACAGTTAAAACAATCAAGGTTCCTAAGCTTCAGAATGCAGTTCAATGGAAGTAATCAAAGCCTAGTGAAGCCTCTAGAGAGGGCATAGTTGATCAAACAAACTATGGTTTAACAAACCAATGTTCAATAAACCATGGCTTAGTGTCATACACAACCAAACATGCCCCAGAATTAAATCTTTTATCACAACTAGTTTCACAAATAAACTTTTGACAAGGACGATAAATACTAATTAGTTATTTGGTAACAACTGAAATGACAAAAAGGCCAAATGCTAGCTACTCAGGATGGAATCAGGGAGTCAAACCTCTAGCTCACTTCTAACTTAATACCCCCACCCCAATCAACTGACCATGGCTTTTAAAGCTTACCACAGTTAGTTAAAGCAAAAGCAAAGTCTTGTGATGCCTTAAAGATTCACGAACTGATTAACGCATAATCTTTTGTGAACTGGAGTCAAATTCATCAGATGCTGAAATGGACTCTGGTCCACAAATGTGATGTTATAATAAATGTGTGAGTCTTTAAGGCACCACAAGACTTGGCTGTTTTTGCTGCAGCAGCAACGCTACCCCCTCCAGGGATTCTTAAAAAATGCCCTTTAGTAATAGGCTCCTGGTCCCTTTTCTATGCATATGGGGAATAAACAAAACTACAGATTTATCAAGCGAAAAACCTCGGGATGCACGAAAGCAGTGGCAGAAACGCAAAGCAAGAACAATCACCCAAGCAAGGCGTCAAGGGCAACGGATGCCAAAGGCACCTTCCTCCCCGTGGCATGTGTGTTTTAGGAGGGGTGCGAGGTCAATACTGTACCTTTTCCTTTTGCTGCTGATGCAGCAGCGGTTGCATTGCTGCTGCTGCCACCTCCAACTGCGCAGGATGCCTGAGAATCCTTCCTTAACCTCTTGCTCTGAGGTCTGACACTGGACCTGAGGAAATGATGCTGGTCGTTGCTGTGGGCAGGCTGGACGGAGGAGGAGGAGGAGGAGGAGGAGGACGAGGGGGCTTGGGGCAAAGTGGAGGTTGCCAAGAAGGGCCCCCGGTTAGTGTTGCTTTGAGTGATCGCCTCTTCTTCCTTTGTGCTGCTGGTGCTGGGAGCTGCCTCTCCTCCTTCGCCTGCTCCTTCTTCCAGGGACTCTTCTTCACCTGCTCGCTTGCCCAGTTTCCTCAAGCCTTCCTCAGTAGTAGTCGTGCTGGTGTTGCTGCTGCTGCTGCTGCTTTCGCCCAGCTTCACTGTCATCCTATGTGGAGGAAGAGGAGGAAGGGGGGAGGAGAAGGAGAAGGAGACAGAGACAAAGTGGGGAGGGGGCACAAAGTCAACCAAGAGACCCCTTCAGAGGAACAAGGAAAAAATATAAAACACCCCGAAGCACAATGCAAACCCACAACGCGCAAACACACATAACACACACAGCCTGCCTTCAGAGGGGAGAAGTTTAGCTGCAGAAATTCCTCTCAACATGGCCGCCGTTGTTTGTTACTAAATCCCCTTTCGTTGGCTTGTCCCGACCCAACAACCTGTGCCGGTGGTGGGGAAGCGAGGGGAGGGGGGGAAGGAGGCCAGGAACCCCTCCAAAGGGTAGCCAGCGCCGCCGGGCAGCCCCCTGCCCCCTCGCCGGGAAGGTTAAGGGCGCCTTTGGCAAGGAAAACCGCCGAGGCAAACTCGGGCGTTTGGGGGGGAAAGCGTTCGGCAGCCACGGAAAGGAGGAGCCGGAGGGGGGGGGAAGCACCCTCGTCGGCACACGGGGAGAGAGGCCAGCAAAAAGAGAGAGGGGAAAATATGAGATAGAGAGAGAGAGAAATGTCCCCTAAAAAGTGACTCTCCCCCACCCCATCCTACCCATTGTGTGGGTCTTCTGGGCCAGGGGGGCTCTTCTTTCTCCTCACCATGGAGCCGAGGCGATCCGACCTACTGAGGGGGGAAATTCATATTCCTAGATGCAGCAAGCAGCTTCGCTGCCGCCTCCTCCCTCCCTCTCTCTCTTTCTCTCTCTCGTGTGTGTGTGTGAGCGAGAGCGCGAGCGAGTGTGTGTGCGAGTATGTGTGTGTGTGTCTGCCTCTCTAGGACTGGGACTGGCCAAGGCTACAAAGATTTCCAACAACTCCCCACACACCCACTTCCCAATTGCTCAGCACCTTTCCGAATCGCCCTTAAATACGGCGACTTTTCTCCTCACCAAACCAGAAGAGTGCCAGGTTTATTTTCCTCGCCAAGCCAACCCCAACAACTAATACATTAGCTTGTTGTTTTTAAAAACAACAACAAAAAACCAAACCAACACAAACCCAAAACGCACCACTTGCACGCCATTTTTTTTAAGTTTTGCATTTGAAAACGTGGGAGTTATTTAAGGGTTTCACTTCAAATAGCTAAAGAAAGAGCTATGGTTTCCTAAAGACATTCTTTCTCTTTTACTTTTTGTTGTTGTTGCTTTCTTATAGCATGGGTTTTTCAGCATTTGGAATAACCGCAGCTAAACTCAAACCAGATTCAAAACAGTTCCCCACCCTTAAGACATACGTGACCAGCCAGTTTGCCCAATAGTTACAGAGGGTTTAACAAATGTGCTCAGATGCTACTGAAATCTTTATTACTACTTTCACATTACTGAGTTCAGTGTTTACCTAATGCTATGTCAGCATATTCTGCTGTGACCCACAACACATTTTCTGTATTTCACACATACATACACACACACAATGCACATGCAGATTAAACTAGTGAACTTCAAAAAAATTGCAAAGTGATTGAAAGCATGGTACCGTAAAGCCAAAACAACTTTCAAAAAAGTAACAATTCAAGAGTACAATAGAGGACAATAACACTACAAAACTGTGCACACTTACTTGGAAGTAAGTCCCACTGAATTCAGTGTGACATACTTATGAGCAAATACACATAGGATCATGTTGCACTATATAAAATGCAATTTCCTTCCCACAACAGAAATCAAAATTCAAGCACCACCACCAAAAATATACTAACCAACAAAAATAATCCCAGAATTCAGACTAAAAGTGCAGCACTCATTGAAATGAACATCAGTATTACACATTTTACAAAGGGATATGCAGTTGTTTCATAATGGTTTCATTACATATGACTATCAATCACTCCTCTCTGCCTCAAACCCAATCCTAAAACATATATGGAAGTAATCTCTCCCCCCCCCCAAAAAAGTTCTGTGAAATATATTTGTTAGAAAGCATCAGCTGGAACCCAAGCCTTCAAGTTTACATTCTTGGCACACTTTTTAATTGTTTTGGGCTATTCTATGTTGTGTCAGTAGTTTACACAATTTTTTTAAATCCATAAAATTTAATGTGGAATTAAAAGTCATCTTTTTTTTACACACAATAGGTATCCAAATTTCATAAACAAGGCAGGACTAGTCAGAAAAGCAATGACGATCACCTGACATTTGAAAGACTGATTCTTTTTCATTATTCTGTGCTACTGAAAGACCAAAGATTTACAGCATTCAGTTCCACACAAGGGGTGATTAAATAAATAAACGTCCAACATCCAGGATGAGGGCCCAATTATGTAAAAAAGCTGGATCTTCTAGTCTGTTGGAACGTTACTAACGCCAACATACCCAACCCATTCTCCTGTCCTCTCCCCAAATAGTGTCCAGTGCCTCCTGGCTTCATCCCGAATGCAAAGTATTCCACCCACATTATTCCCTCTGCTTCCAGTTTCAACTTCAGGTCCCACGTCACTCCTGTCAAACTGTGTTGATGTAATATATTTTTTGCAAAGGACAATTTAGCTTCCCAAAGTTCTCCATCATTCCTTCTTAATCCCCAATCGATTTCACTCCTTCCCGTTCTCTTTGGGGCAGGAGTTTAACGTCAATGATTTCTGCCGTCTTCTAAATCGTCCCCCGCGCCCCTTTACCGATCCAGATCCGCCCCAAGGAAACGAATCTCTTCCCTCCAGACCCGCTCTAAGGAAGTGAGCCCTTTACTAATCTCACTTCCGACAGCCGGGGCTCCGAGGCTACAATCCGATACACATTTCTCCAGAAGTCAGTCCCACTGCATTTTACTTTCTAGCTAACACGCGAGCTTAGTGGTGCATTTGAAGTCTTCTCGATACACATCCTGGAAAGGGAAGAACCGATCTTCAAGGAATAGCATTTGGGCCCAAGTCCTACCTGCTGCATGGATGCACCGTTGCGACGCCGGTACCAGATCCCTGCAGCCTAAAGGCCGATCTTGAAAGGTCCCGCTCCGCTGCCCAAATCTCCCCAGCCCCTTGGATTGTTACTCCCACCCTTACGCCTTGCTCGTACACTGGAGACTGATAAGGTCCCCTTCCGCTTCCTCGTTGCCTCCGCGCTCAGCAAAGGGGCGGGAAGCAAAGGGCTGGGGAAAAGCACCCAACGGGCCCGGCTGAGCGCGCAGACAGCCACGCCCCCACAGACCCCAAACAAATCGCTTCATTGGCCGGCCGAAGCTAGCAGGAAGGCGGAGCCTGAGGCTGCGGTGGTAAAGGTGACCAATCGAAGCGCCGCGCGCGGCTGATGACACCGGACCAGAACTGGGCCAATGGCGAGGCGGGAGTTAGGAGGCGAGATTCGAGGGAAGAGCAAAGAGGGCGGGAGAGGGGCCGAAGCGTTAGAACGAGATTCTCATTGGCTAGAAGGGAATAGACGCGCGCCGATCGTAAAGGGGAAGGGCCCGTGTCATCTGCTAGCATTTCCATTGGCTAGTTTCCTGTTTGACTGGCAGGTGGTAATAGACTACATAGCCGGTGGAATTTTTTTATAGGGGGAGGCCTGTTGAGTTTTGCAGCATTAACAAAGGGTCTTGTAGTAGAGTATTATAACTGTTTTTCATGGAGTCAGCTTTGGTAGATTATTAGAGTCTCCTTCATCAGAGGCATGCTCTGCTTAATTGGGGGCATCTTAAAAGGCAGCTGCTTTATTATGGCATCTTCATGCACCTGGGGAGATTCAGTGTCGTAGTTCAGGAAACATTAGAACGTAAATAATCGGTTATGATTGAAGATGCCAACAGATTCTTTGCTGGTGTAGCTGGAAGCGACGTGGAAAACTGTTTTTAAAAAGATGAAATTATCATAGCTATTGCCTTGCAAACCATACTAACTCCAGCCCGTTGTGAGCCATTCCTGTGGTTTTCTGCTCACTACAGAATTATTTCGGATCCGTGGGCCCGTTAAAGGAGCCAGTTTATGCATTCAGCAGAATTTATTTCCATACAGTATTTATAACGAGACTCTTAGCGATAAGAATTCATTTGAGTATATCGCTTCAGTCTGCAGGTTGTGTGTGTGTGTGTTTGCAACATAAAAATAAACACCAGTTTTGCCTGCGCTCCCGGCAGGGCCTCTCTCGCTTTTCATTGGGATTTTTCTATTTACCTGTGGATGGCGGATATTGAACCTGAGACCTTATGCATGCATGCAAACCATCTGCTTTCCCCCCCCTCCAAAGCCCCCGCGTTCTTTGCACACATGAAGAGAAAGTGAAAGGGAGGTTCAACTCTCCTTAGAAGGAATGCCTTAAGGAAAAGGGAGCTTTTTAAACCACCAGGAACTTAAACTACTTACAAGTAAGCTGGAACTAGCGCCCTTGCTCCTACAGAAACACAACTGACCTAAGGGGCAGCGAGTTGAGAGCTCGGGGGTTTCCGTGAAGATTTCCGCGAAGCGTTCCCCTTCGGAAAACTTCGCGTTCCTTCGGCTCTGTGTTCGGGTGTTTCCGTAACGGCCGCCGTTGTCAAGGGTAACAACGCTCAGCGTCTCGTTGAGTCGGGCTTGAGGCCCGCCAGGCCTCTCTCTCGGGCTGAGGTGGCGCTGTGAGCCGGTAAGCGACAAACTCGAGGTGGGGCTGGGGGCAGGCTGGGATTCAACTTGGACTCGCTTCTTTCGATAAGCTCCTCGGGGGTGGGGGTTGCTGCTCGCGAAGGCCGTGGCCCGAACTGGCGCCTCTGGGGCCGGTCCTGTCATGGGCGAAGGGAGGGAAACGTAACTTTCGTGCGCACTCAGGTTGGCGATGAGACCCGATGAGTTGGTGTGAGGGTCGTGCTGGGCGATGGGGAGCGTTTCAGCATCTCTCTCTCTGTGCTTAATATTGTGGCTCAGGCTTCTCACCTTTTGGGTTGCCTTTTTAACACCTGTGAGACCCAGGCAGGAATTTAAAATGCTCCACGGATGGTATCTCTAACACCCAGCAAACTCGTCAAGATGAACTGTATAAGAAAGGATCCAATGCATGCTGGAAATGCTAACATTTTGACTGGTTTAGATTAACTCTTGTAATGAGAAACATCAAAAAGTGAGGGGATGAGTTGGTTACCAGCAATCTAGATCAGGATTTCCCAAACTTGGGTCTTCAGCTGTTTTTGGACTACAACTCCCATCATCCATAGCTAGCAGAACCAGTGGTCAGGGATGATGGGAATTGTAGTCCACAGGCAGCTGGAGACGCAAGTTTGGGAAACCCTGATCTAGATACACAATGATAGGCATCCCAACCAAGAACTTTAAAAGAACCAAGTAAGAACCGGAGGGAAGTCAGAGGTAATTAGAACATCAATAAGTTGAATGGCAAAGAATATATTTTTGTTTTTTTTCCTTTATTGTGATTTGGAAATATTTGTATATCAACAAGAAATTGAAACTTCACATTGCGATCTTATGTTAAGTAAGCATTTCTGTTGTAAAAAACCAATAAAGATGAATCGCAAAAAAAAGAAAAAGGAAATGCTAAGACAGGGCACCTTTTTCCACATGTGGTGGACGCGTAAGAGAGCAAAAAAGTATTGCCCCTCCTCACTTGGCTCATATCTAAATTACACAACAGCCATCTCCCTCTCTCCTCTTGGTGTGTATTCATTCCCATGCTTGCCCCAAGTGTGTATGGTGGCCACATTTGACATGGCCTCAGAAGCTCCCCTCCTTTAGCTCCAATGTTCTTCAGCCCTTCAGATGAGAGCTGGCTAAGTTAGAATAACCATAAAATTCTTCTTTTAGTATTCTGTATAGAACAGCTACTTGTTCTGGCCATTACTTTCTAGAAGTAAATAATGGTTTAGTATATGTTTTATCTGCATTCTGGCCTGGGTTACAGTGGTGCCTCGCAAGACGAAATTAATCCGTTCCGCAAGTCGTCTTGCGGTTTTTTCGACTTGCGAAGCACGGCTATTAGCAGCTTAGCAGCTATTAACGCCTTAGCGGCTTTAAGAAAAAGGAAACAAACTTGCAAGAACTCACAAGACGTTTCGTCTTGCGAAGCAAGCCCATAGGGAAATTCGTCTTGCGGAACGACTCAAAAAACGGAAAACGCTTTCGTCTAGCGAGGCATTCGTCTTGCAGGGCACCACTGTATACAGTTCGTATTTCACCCCTCGTGCCGGGTGAATACAATGAAATAAGACTACATGAAGGTGAGTTCTATCACTCAGTAACGCAGTAGGTGATGACTGCAGGTATTGTGAGGACCATTATGGGAAGCATACTCTCAGTGAATCTGGATCAGATTGACCTAGTGACCTGCAGGATCCAGTGCCTTGTAGGGGACATCACATCTCCCAGCTCCTGTCTGGAGCAAGGGTTTTTCTGACCTGCTGGTGGGTGGCAGAAATAATGCCACTGATGAGCTTTGGTAGACATATGCTGCATTTCCCCTTCCACTTCTCACCTTGGTAGGGTGGGGAGAGAAGGGCTACTGTTTAAAAAGTATAAATTTAAATTCCTTGTGTTTGCACTGTATTTTTATATGCAATATTTTTATATCTTTTAAATATGTAGATTAGACTACATTTCCTATTGATGCTCAGGACTTATTTTACAGTTAGTTTGTCTCTAAATACTTGTTTGTGTTGTAGCTCTTTATCATGGCTGTGTACGTTGATCATCGTATAGAAGCTCTCGAGTCCCGTGGATGCCATTCTCACATAGCTTGGCACCCTCAGCAGCCATTTTTGGCTGTCGCATCTATTAATTTAAACTCTGGTGGCAGTGTGGATATTTTTCTAGAACAGGTGAGCATTCTAAAACTTTCTCTTTTTTCTTTTTTTGCACTAGCTTTGAACTTCTGCATCTGTAAAGATACAGAAGTTCAGTTTTGTTAAACTCAGTTTTTTATGTGTTATATATACACAGTGTCCTAGTTCACTTTAAATCCATTGAATTACCTCAGGATTTATTACTTTGCTGTTATTATGTCTAATGTTTTATAGGTGCTGTGCAAATATTTTAAGAACACACACTCTGCTCACAGGCTTCTGATTAGACGTGATATAAAACACTTTTCCTTTCCACCTTGTCTTGGGAAAGGAAAACGGAGGGTTTCCCCTCTTCCAAGTTGGGCCTTTAGAGAAAGCACCATCCTCTGTGCTACCTTTTGCAAGACCTGGAGAGAGAGAGAAGAGCCTACCCTTTGTTTTCTCAATTGAGAAGAACGATGAGGCCTTTTTTTGGTTGTTTTTTTCAGTTAGACTTTTACAGAAAGCATTAAAAATAATTACAAAAGCCCAACTTGTAGGAGGAAGAAAGCATCTTTCCTGCGACTGATGGGAGTTGGAAGGAAGTTCAACAATATCTGGAGGGCCACCCCAATGCAAACCCTTTTCCTAGTGTGTTTATGCACTGCAGAGCAAAACAATAGGCCTTTTTTTCTACATTCTACCCAGCAACAAAATTCAGCTTACAGTGTAGTTTTAACTTTCTTTTAAACATAATTAGTTCAGTGGAAGGTAGAAAAGGAGGGCTTCTTGTATCACACATGATAGGAGCTAGAATGACCTCTGGAGGTAGAACACCAGTTTATTTGGAGAACGCAGAATGCTTGACTTTTCAGAAGGCTGAAAAGAAGGAATGTAAAAAAGATATGTGTCGTGTTGTTTGCAGGGAGAATATGTGTGTGATGCACACTTGGAAAGAAGCTTCCAGGCCACATGCCTCAGTTGGCATCCAACCAAACTGATACTGGCAGTGGGCTGTGAGATGGGCGACGTGGTGGTGGTGAACAAGCAGGACAAGGAACATCATGCGGTACCCTCCAACCATAATGCTGATATTACAATTCTAAACTGGAGTACTAATGGCACCCGACTAGTTTCTGGCGACAAAGTAAGTAGCAAAATCAAAATGGTTCTTTGATGAACATAGTTTTAATAGGTACTACAGACATGCAGCTGTGTAATAAACTGAAAGAAATGTGGAGGTGGCAACAGTGTCCTGGGACAAGAATAGGAAGAGGCATTCTAAAGGACCGAGAAACAAAGTAGGAGGCCAATATTGGGAATGGAGTGCCAGAATCCACGGGACTTTATGTTACCTAGGACTACTTTTCTAGCGTACTATATTGACTTCTGAGAGTGCAGACAGTACAGTTGTCTAGCTCTAAACCTCCATTGGCCTGTGTTTGCTGTGGGAATGCTGGGAATTATCTGTGATATGGAAATGAATAGAAAAGTCCCTTTATAGTGTAGGAGCCCCTCAAGACACAACCCTACAGTCTTTTGGTGTTGTTTATGTTGTTTTAGAATGTCTGAGCTATACAATCCCCAGAGGACTCATTTAGTCTGTGCCATTTCGACTGGTTTGTTGATGTGACGAATTCTGTTGCCAGTGTGTAGCATGTTGTGTGTCTCATGCACCACGTTCTGTCTGCTTTTTCAAGAGCTGTGTTACCTCTTCCTTGTTTAATGCAAGGGTATCAAAATAAGAGTGCAGGAAGGTCCTGAACAGACAGGAATATACGGTATTGTTGAAAAGCAAAAAGCCCAGTGTATGTTTCCACAGCTTGTTCTGTTTTGTCAACATTAAAGTGATATTTCTCTGCTGTGTGTTTGCAAAATGAAAAAGAGGATATTTCTCTGCTTTGTGTCTGCAAAATGAAAAAGAGAGCAACATGAGGGTCAAACCAGGTGATATGGGAGAGCTGTCATCAGGATCTTCTGGGTTTTTAAAAAACCCAACAACATTAATAGTAGTTTGTGGATGTGGCTTTGGCTCCAGAGATTTAAAATTTTATTATTAAAATTGTCTGTTTCCTGTTTGAAAGTTAGTACTTGCCTGTGGGGTATGCGTGGAGATTGCAGGTACCTGTAAGCCGCCCACTCCACCCATGTTCCAAGAGGATGCATTAGCAAACTGAGCATAGATGTAGAATGGTCAGTGCACTGTAGATGAACAGAGGGCTTTTGCTTGGCTACTTTAAAAAAATGAAAGTAATTGGAAATGAAAAACTTTTGGGCTTATTCATGACGCTCATATGACATGGCAGCTGCAATTTTCAATCTGTTCATGTTTATTTTCTAGCACTGGCTATCAGAGACTAATGTTGTCATGTGTATGCTGATGTCATGTGCTACAATGTGCTGGATCCACTGGTGGAGGAAGAGGAGTGGGGGGGAGCGCAGCGCACCTGGCAGTGCGATCCCGGTGGGGTGCCATCGCAGCTGCCCCCTGCCCACGCTGGGCACAACACCCCCACAGATGGCATGCCATGTCCCTGGGGCATGCGCCCCCCCACCCCCGCCTGCCCTCCGCCCCCCCGAATGTATTTTCTATCTTTATTTGCTTATTTCCAGCTTTTGTCAAACAATCCTAAAACAACGCCACAATTCTCAGTATAAAATGCCAGTAATAAAAGCATTGTGTCAACTCTCTTAATTTTTCTTGTAACCTTTATAGCTTGGTGTCCTTGTGTTATGGAGGATGGACCAGCGGGGTAGAGTTCAGGGCCCCCCTCTGCTTAAGCATGAATATGGAAAGCATCTCAATTACTGCATCTTCCGACCACCCCCTCCTGGCGAGTAAGTAGCACACTCTGGCCAGACTTCTGATAGGCAATAGAAAACAGGTGGAATCGGACCTGCTGACTTCCTCAGTGTCCAGTCAACAGTATCTATCTTGGATCAGACCTCCTCTTATTTTGAGTGTTTTTGTAACTCATATACTCCCACCATTTATGTTCATTAAAGCTTCTACTCCATCTTCTAATTGACCTTGCTACTTACTGTTGTCTGCCTTCCTCCTAAATCCTCTATTGGAATTAATCTACTTTTTCAGTGTCATGCCCAGGTCCTTTGCCTTCTTATGAACCTGCTTTTCTATTCTGCTTTCATGGTCCCATCACCAGTTCTATTCTGGCTGCACTCCTGCTCTCTGTCCAGATATAGTTCATCGTTACCTGCCACTGACAACATCCTATCTCATGTTAGTCGCTTTTGAATCTCCATTTCTGTTCTAATTTATCTGGAAAATTTATTTCCTGCTTTTACCATTAAAATTTTAGTAAAAGCAAAATAAAACCAAGAAAAATAACAACAAATACCAAAAAGCAGCAACAAAAGCTATGAAAGACCTGAGAGAATTGTTTCTGAATGCAGTGTAGATTTGTCAACATACAGCAAGCAAAATCTCTTTTGTTGTGGTGAGATCTTGTTGGTAACCAGGGGGTGGTATTCAACTAAGTTTTACTCAGATTAGACCTGTTGAAATTGCCATATTCTGAAATAACTGAGGTTTCTGATTGATTTTCAAAAACAGCCTTTTGTGAAACACATTACAGTAATTAACTCCACAGGCATCTTTTTATCCTTGGCAGTAACCCTGGAAGGACACTATGCCATGATGGCCATGACGCTGACCCTTCCACAGTGTCATTGCGGGGTGGGGCAGGAGGTGAAATGGCCTTGGAGCAGATTAAAAGTGCTGCTTGTCATCGAAACAAAAAGAAAAAACAGAAGCAAAGAGAAGGACAGGGAGCAAAGCCTCTGTTTTTGAACATTAAACTTTCAGCACACCACTAGCACAAAATTAAATTGCCACATAACACCTTCAGTACTTCCTTTAATTACTAATAATGTCCAGAAACAAGCTAATACTGGAAAAGAGCTCATACTGGGAATCATGTTTGCAATAGTTTGAGGGATTCTGCTCTAGGCCTGGAGTGAGCATTTCCCCTTTGTCATAAGTGGTGGCTGCTTCTGACAGTTCCTCCAAGAAAGGAGCCAAAAATAACATGCTGTGTTGTTGCCTGCAGGGACTTGGTACAGCTAGCGAAAGCTGCAGTCAGTGGAGATGAGAAGGCCCTGGACATGTTTAACTGGAGAAAATCTGGGATGGGAATGCCTCTGAAAATGGGACCTCAAGAAGGGCTGTCCTTCTTCATCAGTGTGACAGATGGTACGGAAACTGCTGTAGCCTGGTGGGAAAAGTCACTTTATTGAGGCTTTCTTTGCCTATACATTGTGAGGAGGTAAAAAAATAAATAAATCTGAAAGGAATGGTTTGGATGATCTTTCCAGTCCAATTTTCTCCATTCTTATGTTGAAAGATATCAGTAGATCCTCCTTTTTCCAAGTTCTATTTTCTTAGACAAAGATCATTTGTGGAAACAGACTTTGTGACTGAATTTATTGACTGTATAATAGTATTTGTTAAACTGTATCATATTTGATTTCTTAAGAATACAGTAGTAGTAAAATTGAGATTAAAGGTGCAGTACAGTACAGGTTTGCAGGAGAATACTAACAAGGTGAAAGTGTTGCACCCCTGCCACTAAAGTACTTTCCTCAGACTTGCTTCTATCCGACTCAACTTTACTATACCATATTCTGTTATTTCCTTTCTGAAGAAGAAAAGGACATCGTAAAAAGGGGCCTCTAAATCTTGCATGATTTAAAAACTCATTTGTACTGCTTTCCATGTGATTGGGCTATGTACCTCCAAATTAGCCCCAGTAAGAGATACAAGATGCCACAATATTGGTTTTGTCTACATCTTATTGCTGCATGCCAAATGAGAATAGCACTCTTTTTTCTTTTTTGCTTTTGACAAAACCAATATTGTTGCATCTACCTTCGCTTATTGTCTCTTGGTTTGTAGGTGCACAGCCCCACCTAGTGGTAAGCAGTAGAGGTATATCTTTAAATCATACAATTTTTGCCTTTTCCCATACCTTTTGTGGGCCAAAACAAGGTAAAGGACAGAGGAAAATTGCCCATCTAGTTCAGCATCCTCTTCTCGCAATGCCCACCCATCTATGGGAAACCTTCAAACAGGACCCGAACATAAGTGCACTCTGCCTTCTTGTGGTTTTCTGCAACAGGTTTTCAGTAGCATTACTGGCTCTGACTGTGGAGGCAGAGCATAGGCATCATGGCTAATAGCCATTGTTAGCCTTCTCAGTGAATATGTCCAATCCTTTTTTAAAGCCATCCACATTTGTGGCCATCACTTCCTCTTGTGGGAGCGAGTTCCATAATTTAATTGCACTGTGTGAATAAATGTTTCCTTTTATCTGTTCTGAACCTTCCAACATTCAGCTTCATTGGATGTCTACAGGTTTGTGTTATAAGGGACAGCTGCCTCTTGGGGGGTAAGGGAGAGCTATTTCACTTCTCTAAAATCTACATGTTGGTCTCCCACCATTTACGCTGTTGATATTGAAAGTGAGAAATACCCATTTCAGCACTATCCTACCATCTCTTTATGGTGCATTAATTTTTTGCTGCCTTTTGTTTTCAGACCCTATATGAGTTTTGTCCTCATATTAACACAGCTCTTGTAAACTTTCCAGGTGAGCCTTTGTGTGGTTCTGCAGTGAAAGCTTTATCTACAGGGCAATGAAAAGCCCCAAACATCCCGTACCTCTATACTAATAAAGGATCTTGAAACAGTGGGTGGTCTTGCATAATGATATTCAGCACTTTGTATTGCAGTATCCTGGCCACTTAGAACTTTCAAACAAACCAAGCCTGAAAGTCCTGGAATCCTAATCAAATTAAAGCTTTTACAATGGTGCTCGACTCACCTAGGCTTTTCAGTCATTTTAATTGCCTTTTTTTGTTTTTTGTTTTTTAGATCTCTGATTAAAAGCTTTGAATCTCTCTATAGGAGCTTTATGCAAGTGGGGGGCCACTCTGTAGTTGTACTGGCCATCAGTACAGGGAATTACTTTGCGTTTAGAATTTTGCTTGTAAATGTTTTCTCTGTGTTGTTGTGTTAAGGGTACAAAAAGTATAGTTGTTCCCTTTGTTTGTTTTGAGATTTCTTTTTAATCCTTTTCAAGAACCATTTAGCTTCAGAACCCTTTCTGGTGTCAAATTGTGAAGAAGTAAACAAATATTTTAAAAAATAACAATTTCCTGTCATACATGGTTCTTTTAAAACCTGTTTGCAAGGTGCTTTGATATTCCTTAACTAAAGCAGTCGAAATAAATTAAGGAATTAAAAAATTGTCCAGTAGCACCTTAGAGACCAACTAAGTTTGTTCTGGGTATAAGCTTTTGTGTGCATACACACTTCTTCAGATACCTTAACTAAAGCAGTTAGCATATGAGGAACACATATGCTTTTAAACTGTTTTAAGCATTATGTTTAACTATTATAACCCACCCAGGTCCTTAGGATGAAAAAACCCCAATAATAATAATAATAATAATAATACATTTTAGATATGTCCTTAAAATTCCTTAGCTGTACATTTGTAAAATAAATAAAATAAAATAAAATTGTAGTAAGCTGTGGATAGAAATGTTTTTGTAGATATGTGTATCCTACAGGAAGATGTGAATGGTTATAGCTCCCTGTTGTTCACTTGATAATAAATTCTGATTTCCCTTTGTGTAATGCATGAACCAACCTTTGACAAGTGCCTTATAATAATGTTTGACAAGAACATAATAATGGTTCACACTTTCCCAAACAGGAGGCATTATTGGGTACCTTTTCTACTTTTTTTTTGCTTGGAAGCATAGCAAAGTAGATTATACAGGTAGGAAAAAGGCAGGTGGCATTAATGTTAAATCAGTGCCAGCCTGCTTTAAGAGCTTTGGATCTTGACCAGCACAGAAGAGCAATTCCTATTGTACTGTTGTTGTTTCCCCCCACTAACCTCCATTCTGGTAAATTGGTGTGATGCATTTCAACAACTTGCAATAGTCAATATCTGTCAGGACTTACTTAGTGTTCCCTTGAAATGACTTGGCTATACTAAAACCAAGGGAGAAGCCTGTTTTGTCATATAGTATTATAAGTCTGTGGCAATATGGATACTGAGCAAAATAAGCTTGATCCTGTATTACTTTTTATTTAAGCTGGGTGTATTTTCTAGGGTGTATTTTGCTTCTGTAACAATATTATAATGTACCAGAATGAAACAACCTTGATTTCATTGCAGGAACTGTGCATTATGTGAACGAGAGGGGGAAAACGAGCCAGGCATTGACCACAGAGAGTTCAGTCCAAAAGCTGCTTTTCATGGAAAAAGATATATTGGTAGTAATAACGGAGACTCTCCTCTTATCTCTTCACAAAATTTCTCTTGAAGGAGAAGCAGAGGAGGTCTTGAAGGTAGGCACCGCGGGCTGTATGATAACATCATTTAAAAGAGAAAATTGATTCTTTGGTTTTCTGACTAGTCTGCAGGCTGCACAAAAGAATCTTGAAGGCAACTTATTGTACATTGTGGAAATCAGGATTCCAGATGCTAGTTGAGCATTTGAAGTGTTCTCTCTTTTTGAACATTCTTGCTTAAAACAGTGAGTCCGCTGAGCTACACTGCACTAGGTTGGAGCCATGTATTTCAGCTGGCCATGAACTTTAAGAGAGGACACTTAGTAGTACGGTGTATGTCTTACATGAAGAATGCTCCTTGGTGAGGTAGCAGGGCTGGGAAAGACCCCTGTTGGTCTGAGCTGCTACCAGTCAGAGAAGACATTGGCCTAATTGGGACCAATGGTCCAACTCCATATTAAGACAGCATAAAACGTTCAGTGTGTAGCTGTCAACAAAACACTTACCCTAAATTGGAGCAACAGGAGGATGTCCCCACTTGCTTCTGCAAGTGTAGAACTGTCCCTGACAGTGAAGCAAATGAGGAATCATCTGCTTACAAGGAATCTCTGTGTGATTTGGGCAGGGTTTTTCTCAGCCTTATACCCTTAGTTGTGAAATGACAGCAATTGCTGACTTTCATAGGAAGTATTGTTATGAAGATAATAGCTGTCTTAATCTGTCACAGGAAAAACAAAGTCTTGTGGTTCCATGAGGATTAAAGATATTTATTGCTGCATATGTTTTTGTGAACTAGAGTCTACTTTGTCAGATGCATCCTGTAATAAATTTGTTAGTTTTTACAGCACTGTAAGATTCTTTGTTGTACAATTGTCTGACAACTGTAAGCAAACCGACATTGATACCTAAAAACATACATTCAAGCCTTAAAAACATGAGCTATCTGAGAAGTAGCCTCATTATTTGCCATGATTCCACCCCAAGCCCATTGCTGCCAAGTAATACAAAGAGATTACCTTGTGTTTTCAATACTGTTTCCTTGCATAACTTATTATCAGGTGAAGCTGAGTGGAAGAATGGGTCATTCCGCTGATATCATTTTGATTGACCGTAGCCTTCTTATAGCAGCAACAGGTGAAACAGTTCTTAGGTAAGAAAACTGGCAAGGGGGGCTTGGCTTAGTACCAGGTTGTGGGCTGTGTTGCTGTTTAGATACTATGTCATTTTTCAGATAAATTTCATTGAACAGTGTCTTTAGCCTGATTGTGAACCATTTGCCCCCATTTTAAAGGGTCGCCATATTGAGGGCCAATAAGAATGTGAGCTGCAGACTCAACAAATCTTGCCTATGCCACACACTTGCTAGATGGCTTTAGGAAAGCCTCTTATCTTCAACCTCTGCCCCCCAAATATGTGAATAATAATGCTGTTCTAGCTTGTGGATTTCTCATAAGGGTTACTGGGAGAATGTATGTGAAGGCCTTCCTTCAAACATTTGAAATGTGCTATGAAAATGCTGCGTAGTGTTGTTGTTAAAAGGATTATAGCAGACTTCCCAACCTGGTGCACTCCAGATGTTGGATTACAATTCCCATCAGCTCCAGTCACCATGTCAGGCTTTGGGAGCTTGGCTTCCTCCCCCCTTGGCCGTAGATAAGCAGTACAAAGAGAAAGCAGTCTCTTACCAGTAACAAAAATGCTTAATGAATGCAACAAAAGAACAAGCGACCATTCTCAGAGTGCAGGTGCTCCTAATTAAGGTTCTTCCCACTTCCCTCTAGTCACTTCCGTCCTCTCGTCTCCTAGCAACCTGATTTCTCAGCCATTGAGCCTTTTGCGAAGCCACCTTATCTAATCTCCTAGCCTTGGGTCTGAGAGGATGTACATCTTCCAGTGAGAGAGACTCTGCTATCTCACTCTCTTCCCTTTCTTCTTATTACTGTTCTGCCCAACTACTATCTTCCAAACTGTGACCCTCAGCAAACCACTGTTCCAAATCAACACTCCTCCACTGCTCCTGTGGAGTTTCAGGATCCTGGCCATGAGCAGGGGTAGGGGTAGGCTCCCACCATTCCTCATCAGAGTTGTACTCCTCAGCCTGGTCTCTGACACACCATGGCAATGGATAGGGATGGTGAGAATTGTAGTAGCCCGCCCCCCCCCGCCAAATGTGGAGAGCCCCAGGATAAGGCATAGCAATCCAGGATAAGGCACAGTATGCCATTATAGTGTGTTCTACCATTAGCTGTTACTTCCCTGGAGCAGTGCTAAGTGAGACAAGGAGGACTTCATTGTGCGTAAAGGTTGCTACAAAAGAGCAGAAGCTACACCAAAAAGGCAAATGTGGAGGAGAAAAGCTGAGGGCAGGATCTGTGCCTGTGGCCAGCTTGTTGACAAGGTGATTTATTATCTACCCTCCTCTGTACTTTCTCTGTAGGTTCTGGGACTTGGAGAAAGGTGAGAACTATGTGCTGGATCTGGATGAGCAGCTTGGGTTTGAAATAGGAGAGTGCCTCAACTGTGTTTCCTTTTGCAATGCTAAAGGTGAGGAAGAACTTTCGTTGACTTCTGATGACCCAATTATTCAAATTTTCAGTCCCATGGCATTCATTCAATTACACTCTGCTTGGCTGAGAGTTATCTATTGAAATTGCTATGAAATTTAAATGTAACTTGCTTATATGTAGTATAAATGTGACTGGAGAACTGAGCTACTGGAATAATAATCCCTAACAGAATGAAGGAGCTTGGAAAATAAACATATGAATTGTAAAACAGAGGAATTTTTAGGTAGGACATGCGCCTTCACACATAGATTATTCCTTGGCCTTCCACTTCTAAAGGCTCGGTGCAGGTGACAGGGCAGCAATACATTACTGCTACCATTAAACTGTATTTTGTGCCATTTGGACACTGAAAGCTGTTCAGAATCTGGAAGAAATATATGGCCAGGCTGGCAAAGAAGCCAGAGATAGGTGCTGAGCAGTGGGGAGAACTGAAAGGCAATAGGAGGTACAGATACTTTTAATACACTTCACTGATCAATTTCCCCCTAACATCCCAAGCCACTGTTGGAGACAGCATTTGTGCTGTGTGCCAGGCATTCAAGTTTTACCAAGAGCTATGGAGTGTTCTTAGTCCTGAATACAGATTCAAGTTATTTGTACAGTGTGTGACTTACTAAATTAAATTCGGCCAGCTTAGTATTGTGTGTGGCTGCCACTCTTGTCTCCTTCAATGTTAAAACTGAAATCCTTTGTTTCTCTACTTCTCCTACCCTTTTCTTCCAAGTTGTACATCCTCCCTATATCTCCCTCAATCCTTTCTTCTTTTCATCACCCCACATCTCACTCTAGGGTTTTATTACCCTGTTGTCCTTGTCTGGCTCCTCTATATGCACCTTTCATTTTTACAACTTGTTGCTAGCTTCCCTGCCATTGCCACATCTGTAGAGAAAAGCTGATTACTTTTCTTGGGGATTCTTCTTACAGTGCATACACTAGGCAAAGGTTTACAAGGCGGTGGGGAACTTGTTCCCCCCCCAGGTGTTGTTGGAACTCACAACTCCCATCAGTGTCAGACAGCATGGCCAGGATGGATGATGGGAATCATAATCCAACAACCTCTTGAGAGCCACAGGGTTCCCATCCCTTTCCAAACGCAAGTTGTGTTATACAGACTTGATTTCTTAGACTAGAGCGTGACAGATTGTTGGGTTTTATATAGTCCAATATAAATGATGATGATGTTGCCCTGATCAGAAGAGTGTGGTGTATTTTGCAGGTCTCCTATCAGCTGGCACCGACAGAGGGAAGATAGCTATGTGGAGGAAAGTGGCATCCCCTTCCCAAAGCACTTGCTCACAGGAAGCCAAGGACAGCTGGAAGCTTCAAGCACCTACTGAGCTTGAGGGGAATATAATTCAAATACAGGTAAAGCAGTGAATATATTCCTTTCTACTTTTTTGTTTATTTAGGTGTAATAGTGTGTACCATGGAGGATGCGTTCAACAGTAAGCAGGTTTGGTGCACAGATTAAACTGCCTGAAACAGGCTGCTGCCACCCTTCCTCCTTGCTCTTCTCTCCCAACCCCTATTTTAAGTAGGTATGCATATATATGATTGCATGTCCAATTATAGTAGAGTAGGGCCGGACTCTCGTGGGGCAGATGTGTGCCTCTGATTTCTGTAACTTTTATGAATCTTGCTGGTTTCCCCTCCCGACCTATTTGGCACATTGGTTTCACTTGACTCATGGTTCCTGAATCACTTGCAAAAGGACACATCTGTACATTTCCCAGTCCTCCCCAACTGTCTTTAAAAATTATTTCACAGAGGACAAAAACCATGACAAATTTTTGTATCTGACAAGATTTCATGAGCTGACAACTAGTTTTTCATCAAAATTCCATTAGATATATCCTTCCACATAAGAGGAGTTTTGTAAGCTATAGAAGTCACATCATTCAGAGGTAAAATTAAAACAATTTGGGAACTGCTTTCAAAATTTCTATACACTCTGTCATATCAGAAGTTACAGTATTAACCAATCTTGCCCAGTTGTGCTGCCTTGAGTATGAGCTGTAAAAGAGAGCCCCTCCATACTACTAGATAGCGGGGAACCTGTGTCTCTCCAGATGTTTCTGAACTACAACTCCCATCATCCCTGAACATTGACTATGCTGTCTGGCACTGATGGGAGTAGGATGTCTAGAGAGCCATGAGTTAATTTGTTTGTTTATTATTTATACCCCGTCCACCTGGCTGGGTTTCCCCAGCCACTCTGGGCAGCTCCCAACAGAATATTAAAAACATGATAAAAGATCAAACTTTTTTTAAAATGAATCCATGGGTACAGATGTTGCTTCAGCAGCAGTCATTCTCAGACCAAGCTTTAAGTAGGAACTACAGCTCTATCTCAATAGCTAGCTCTGCTTTTGTTGAGAGGAGCCTCTTGATTTAAAGGGGTCCAACCTGCTTTAGCACTCATTGACTCTCATGAAGCAGACGAGACTGTAATTGTGCTAGGACTTCACTCAGGAATCCCCTAAGTCAAAGAAGGGCCATGTGACATCCTTGCGTGGGTCAGAGGGGTAGTGGCAGCACAGGCTCTTCTTGTATCAGTGCTTCCAGTTGGTTAGGTGCTCCTGGGGCTGGCCCAGAAGCCAATTCCCATTCCATTCCAAATCCACAAGCATGAAAACTGCTATAGAATTTTGAACTTCACTGAGTTAACATTTTAAAAAAGAAATAATGTCAGTGGTATTCGCTTTTTGCTCATGCTTTTTTAAGAATCTAATGCTGTAGTTCAAATGCATTGTTTTAATTTTCTAATTTAAAATGAGTTTCTTGTACTTAATCTCTCTTTCTTCATATTGTTTCTAGTGGGGATCCAAAAAAAATTTGTTGGCTGTAAACACAGGCAGCTCTGTAGCAATCCTTAATGAACAGGCAATGTTGTCACACTTTCACCAGCAAGTGGCAGTGGTGCAAATTTCACCAAACCTATTCAACATTACCTCCTTCAGCACAGGAATGACTGACAACCTTCGCATTGACATGCACGTGAATGGAGTGTGTTGTACTAAGGTAACTTGCATCACTGCCAATAGATTTTCTTGTCAGGTTGGGGTTCTTTGTGGGGGGATGGAAAATATGTTGTTTGTTTATTTTAAAAAAATGGATGCAGAGCAGCAGTGATAATGGATGCAGCAGCCAGTAAAGCACATACTGTGCAGGCAAGTACAGCTAAACAAAAACACAATACATGAGATGAAGCCACCAGAGTTAACTACCAAAACTTAGAGTAGACAGGACAGACCTAAAGGATAACTACAAATGTTTCAGGCAGACCTTCCTTGGGGTTCCCACAGTTGGGTTAGAAGCCCAGGAAAGGCCCTCTCTTTGGTAGCTACTCTGATAATTCTGCAAGCAAGGATACCTGGAGGAGGGACTCTAATTATAATCTCAGCTGTTTGGCAAGTTCATATAGGTTCAGACAGCACTCTGTTATCACCTTTTGTGCAAAAACAAAATTGCAAGGTTTTCCTCAAGAGAGAAGGGGCATATGACAGTCAACTGCTATAGCAAGGCTTTTCCACCCTCCAAATCCCAACCTCCTTCTGCTGTTGCCTGTAGGGAGGAAAATTACCATAGGGTTTTCCTAGCCCCCTGATGTTAACATAAATATTTACATGGGTGCAGAGGGGAGTGGATTTGAATCTTTGTTGCTGTTGCATGACATCTAAACAAGTCTAGCAGTTCTCTGTATGGGTGTAACATCCTTTCCTAGCATCAAGATGCAGAACACCTTCACTGCTTTCTTACTGTCTTAGTCTGAAGAAGCTCATTTGTATTCATTTTACATATTTACTGTCAGATTAATCTGGTATAAAACTTCCCCCCCATCTCTCTCTCATAATAGTATAAGAATATTCCATGAAAACATTCTTTTTAAAAAAATTCTGGTTTTAAATCCCCATAGAGTCATCTCCTGAATTTCCATTGCTTATAGAACAAAATATATGTAATAGAAAATAGGCCTGCCATTCAAACAAGTTAATTGCCACAACACTGCAATTTATTGATAAATTAGTCCTGGGTTGCTAGTAGTAAAGGGTGGTAGCATTTAGCAAAAACTGGTTTTATCTATTTTCTGTTTGCAAAGCACAAGTTTTAAGATGCATTTTTTAAAAATTCTATGGCAAACCTTAGGATGCTGTAGCATTCTGGAATGGAAAGCAAGTTGCTATCTTCGAACTCTCAGCTGCCACTGCACGAAATTCAGGTAAGATGAAGGGACTTCAGAGTAACTTGTGAGTGTGGATGTTGGATGCAAAGTACCCTGAGGATGTTTATACAGCCAAAGTATGTATGTATGTATGTATGTATGTATGTATGTATTTAATATTTACAATCCATCCTTTCTCTATGGTGCTTGTTGGGGTTTTTTTTGCCTTGTGATGTAGGCTGTGCTGGAAGGTAGTGCTTTTCCCAAGACTACTTAGTGATGAGTGGAGATTTTCCACATCCAGACTCAGTACCTCTCCATATACAGTCTTCTTATCTATATTCTATATTCTATATTCTATATTACCAGTTTGCACAATATAAATGGTGGCCCAGGGAGGCAGCAGAGTCATAAAAGTATGCAGAATATAATTACCAAAGACTGAGCACGTGAATTCACTATGTTCAGGAGGCTGCATCCCTGGTGCTCTTTTTATTGGATCTGGTTAAAAAGCAGGCATTGTATGTTTTATAAACTCTGAATAGTATTGAAGTCAAGTAGGTGCAGTAAGATCCAATATTCTTTCCTGCCCATGCTACCTTAGGAGCCTTATTCAATATGGTGCCGAGGAAGTATCTGGAAAGACTTTCTGTAGTGCAGTTTGCTGTACTTAAAAATATAGCCTCATTTACATTTTTACATTTGATCTTGGATGGAATTAATCCATGAAAGACAAGGTAGGAGAAAAGTAGTGATCATTTTCTGAGTGCTACACTGATCGATGGAAGAATGTGATGATGATTAATTGGAAATTACACATATTTTATGGACCATATGGATGGAACTCTTAACTGTTTCTTTCAATAGGTTGTGATTGTAATGGAGAAGTTCTCTCTTATGTGGTTCCAGGTTCTTTCCCTTGTGATTCCCCCGTGCTGGCTATGCATGAAGAAAATCTTTACACAGTTGAGCCAAATCGTGTTCAAGTTCGCACCTGGCAGGTAAGCAAGCCAATTTTTATGTGAGGATGATTGCAGGTGGCTGCCTCACGAAGAAGGGTGGCAGGGCGACATTTGGTAGCAGAACCAAAGGCAGTCTTACCAATACAATCAGGCCAGTTAACAGTAATGTCATTGTTTATCCTTCCTGCCAAACCTGCTTACATAAAAGTGGCAATGATTAGATCAGAAAGGCGCACTTGGCAGCCTAATCCTGTGTAGAGACACAGAGGACCACAAAAATTAATTAAAAATGGCCTTTCCCCTTGATCTCTGCCCTATCCAACATTTTTCCTCAACTGGAGGAAATAGCTTGAGGGGAAGAACTATCTAATTTTTCCAGTTTCTTCCCCCACCCCCATTTCATTTCATTTGTGTGCTATGGTTCCCTGTAAAACTGAGGTAAGAAACCTCCAAATTTTCTTGGACTCCAATTCCCATCAGTCACAACTGGCATGGCTAGTGGTCAGGGCTCCATCAGGAGGAAGGGCAGGATATAACTCGAATAAATAAAATGTAAGGGAGTTGTAGTTCAGTGACATCTGAAAGGCGTCAGCTTCCCCATCCCTAGTGTAGCAGAAGAAGTTAAGTGCCAGACTCCCATGCTGGGACAGTGGAATACTTCATAATTTGTTGTTTCTTTCCTGTGAGTGTGTGTGCTGATGACACATAACATTCAGACATCTATTTTGGAAACTGGGGCCCCAAATATTTAGATAGATAGATAGATAGATAGATAGATAGATAGATAGATAGATCCTACAGTTAATATGTGATGTTAAAGTTTCAGATTGGTAGAACTGGACAGTTGTGGAGGGTAACTTTTTTCTTTTCAAACATTTTGATGCCTTTGTTAGATAGGGCGCTGTGGGTCTACTTGGTAATGAGTCAAAATGGTCTTTTGTGGTAATATATCAATGAAAGGAAAGTGATGGTTTTAAAGTTGCTGCTCTTTTTCTCTGCTAGGGCACTGTAAAGCAGCTGCTGGTGTTCTCTGAATCTGAAGGGAATCCATGCCTCCTGAGTGTCTGTGGAAATTTCTTGACTGTGGGAACAGACCTGGCTCACTTTAAAATCTTTGATCTTTCTCGCAGGTACAAACAAACAATTAATGGAACTTGATTATATATCTTTTGGTTCCTTTTTAAATTTAAGGTTCATTGAAACATTATTCTTGACATTAAAATATGAGGGGTAGATTTTTGCTGTTTTATAGATTTATGTAATGAATAAAAACTGAATTTCTTAAGAATTACAATTGTGTAGCAGAGATGACCTGTAGTGACTCAGAATTTGCAAGAGGCTTCAGACATTATCATGATCATAGATCATTCTGTTTGTATTAAAATATGGCTCAAGTATAATTTCATGATTCAGCATGTAGAACTTTGGTAGATGCTGAATTTTTTGAAACTTCTAAGGTATGTCAGGCACAGTACTGGTTGTGTCACATACTTTTTGGTGTGTTCTGTGATATCTCTTTTATACTTGTAGTGCAGAAGTTGACATGGTTGCGCTTGCTAGCATAGAGCAGGCATGCAGAGTTTGTGTGGGAAGGAAAGAACTTGTAATTCCATCTGGTATGATATTGACTAATAACATAATGAGCCATTTTCTTCCTCACTGTGGATTGCTCCTCAAAGATTACTTAACATGTGGATATCATTGCTTTGTAGGAGAATGGGACGTATGCCAATGCTTCTCATAAATACACATTATATGTTTTGCCAAGTATTGGCACAATGGGAACCTGCAGTTAGCCTCAGTGAACTTTGCTCTGCGTGTGCAGAGCAAAAAAAGTAATCGCACATGAGGATACATGCTGGCTTCTTACAAAGAAGCGAGGGTCGTGTGAGAAATTAATATATGAAATGACTCACAAATGAGCCAGAAATGACTCTTGTGGTTACCAAAAAGGCAGCTATCTTAAGACCAAATTGTATTACTAGGAGGATTTTATTATGATGCACATATTCCCATAATTTTGGTGAAGAGCTTGCTCTTGTTGAGCAGACTGCCCTAACTGCCTCATCTCCCCCACAGGGAGGCAAAAGCACACTCGAGTAGCAAGGCCCTGGGTGATCTGGTTCCAGGCGCTAGTGGGATTGCATCTGTAAAGTGTAACGCAAGTGGCAACAAAGTTAGCATCCTCATCAACAAGGTGAGTCTGGACTGTCCCTTGCCTGTGACTAAAACCTGAATGGGGCATGGAATGGCTAGGCCAACAATGAATCTCTTGTTGGGACGAATCTGTGATCAGTTTATTACAGACTGCGTTCAAGCCATAGCTTGATGCTCTGTGAACTACCTATGTGCATTCGTGTTCTGATTTCTCAGCTGATTTATTGGGAAACCATGATTTGCCTGCAAACCAGGACTAGCACTAAACCAGGAGAAATGGAACACACAAGGGATTGAGGGAGCAGGCAAACACAAAAGTTCATTCACATAACACTCAGCCATGGCTTGGCACCACATCTGAACCAACTTTACCAAAATGCAGCCATCTGCACTAAATTGCCAGTATCACACTGCAGGACAAACAGCTACAGGTTCCATACTTCCATACAGGTTCCATCACTAGTGTGATTTTAGTGCAAGCTTCTACATGGAGTCCAGAATGTTATAGAATAGATTTCTCCCATGCCATGCTATTCTGGATTGCAAAGTACAATGTTTCTTTGGATTATTTCTTCAACTCTGCCAGTTCTGTAGATGCTGGAGGTACAGGCAGAAACCAAAAGCTGGTGTTAATATAGGTTTGACTTTTCAAATAAACTCCACTGTTTAGGTAGATAGATAGATATGCACACACACATATCACAAGCATATATTATAATGGGTAAATCAAATCAAATAAATTTGTGCGTTATGCACCTTAAAACAATGGTAATTCAAGAATCGATGTGATTTGAGGAACTACTTGACCAAGTTTGAGAACACCTAGAGAACCATCTTGACTGCTTTGTAAATTTCTTTTTTCTTGCTCTGTTTCTTCCATCCCAGATTGTTTTTTATTAATCTTCAGTTTTATGAACCATAGTGACTATAATGAGACAATTAGGCTGTCTTTTCCTGTTCAACTTCTCTTATTTATACTTCTGTAGGCTGATGGGAGTCTTGACTCCAAGATCTGTCTCTATGACATTGAAATGGACACAGTCACTCTGTTTGATTTCCAATCTGGGCAACAGAAGGATGCCAGGGAGATGATCTCCATTGGACAGGAGGCTGAAGGGTGAGAATGCTTTTTGAGCCTGAGGTGGAGGGAGAGATTATTGATGTGAATTAATTAATGAGAGTGGAAAAAACATTAATTATTTGCATAAGCTCACCTGAAGACTTCTTTATAGACCACTTAGAAGTTACACAGTACAGCCTGTACATTTCTTATTTACTCTTTGATATACTATAGTGTGTGTGTCCGCACACACGTACATACGCTCTATACTATACTATACTATACTAAACACAACCCCTTGTGGAATGGCTCTGTGAGAAGTCTTCTGCTAGCTCTTGTGCAAGAGTTCACAGAACAGCACTAATATTTTTTCCTCACAAAAGAGATAAAGGCTCCTAGTCTTTTGAAAAGCCTCACAATATTTGCTGTTATGCAGCTGGGCATAATCAGTTCAGTTTATCAATTAATGCTAAGCTCCATGTCTTCTTCCCATGGTACCAGTTGTTTTGGCTGCTAAGGGTGGAGCATCACCTTATAGAGGTAACTGTAGCACTTCCCAATAAAACTAATGCTCTGTGCATTATATTCTGTTCCCAGTCCACTGGCATGCTTCCCTTCCTCTTGGCTTGGCACCACAATACTAAACTGGAAGTCTCCAGGAAGCACCATGATAAAGTAGCAATGATGTGGCAAGGAAGAATGCCATGCCACCATTCTTTTAGGGTGGTGTACATAGTACCATTCATGCAAGACATGCTGCATTTTCTGTCATTATTTCTACTTTACCTGTATTAATGTGTGCACTGGTTCCCTCCCTCCCTAATTTTTTTTTTTTACTGCTCCTGTCATTCCGTTTGTTTGTTTGTTTGTTTTCATTTCTGCTGGCCAGTAGTTGTTGTTTGGGAGAGGATCTGTCTATAAACCTTACGTAAGTATCATCAGCTAGAACCACCAAAATTCCTAATTATTTAGTTGGATTTGGAGTCTGCCTTATTTGGCTTATTGTTTTGCATTATAGCACTGCTGCTATACTCACCCAGCGGAGGGAGCTTAAAGCTGCCTCACACAAGAATAAGCTGTTATGAACAACAATCTATAGTGTTTGATATTAATGCCATGTAGGGATGGATGAATCAGTTTCACTTTCACATATGTTCACCTATAAGATCATTATGTCCTGTTTCTGCATTACTCTGTTCTTTAAAAAAACTGCACAGAAATCTGCAGCTAGTCAAGTTTTTATTGGCACTTGTTTTGTTGCTGATAGTTGGCTTTATCTATAATTTTAGTTTTTATTTTCTCTTATATTAATCACTATGATTTTAGAATTGCTTTCAGTGCTGCTTTTGATTATGGTTTTAAATGGAAATGTAGTTTATAAACATTTAAACCATCCACCAGGGGTCACTGTAAAACTGGATCTCCTGTTTACCAATATTCAGCATCATTTTCATGGTGTTTATAGGGGAGGTGTGTTCCCATCCAGTCTTTCTCATCTGTACACACTAACCCCAATTGGAATTTGGTGGGCCTCATGTTCTCATGAGTTTCTGGAGAGAGTTGATTAAATAAGGTGGCCCTACATGTTGGCTTATTTCTTTTCTCCCTCTGGAATATGCATTTATTGCTGTGGTTCTATCATTTAATTGTAAGTGCTTGCACTCTTAATGAGTTGGCATCGGGCTGTCCTGTCCTCAGCAAAGATGCCCATGGGGCAAAGGAGGCTTTTAGTTGCAGCACCATGGAGAGCTGCAGGTGAGCAGCTTTCAGTCCTTGAGTCTTAAGAATGGACTAAAGCCATTTATGCCTTCAGGAGCAGTTCACCCTTCCTCCAGAAGTGGCAATAGAGCCTAGCATGCCGCCTCCTTCCTGAAAAGTCTCTCCAAGCACATTGCCTGCCTTGACAGGTTGAAATGGGGATGTGGGTTCCTGATTCAGATCCCCAATGGGTGCAGAATCTCAGGGTATGGATTGTGCAGGTCCCAGCTCAGGCTTCAGGGATCCCTGGCTCAAGAACCCCTGATCCAATGGACTTGAACTGTGAATTGGGCCTAGACATTATATTTGCTTGTTCATTATTGCATTTATATCCCACATTTTCTCAATGGAGCCCAAGATGCTGTGTACATGATACATGCTGGGTGGGATTTGCCGGGGAGAAGAGTTCTTTCTGTGTCCTGGTTCTTTTGTTAGATTGCAAATTTGCTGTACATTCTACCTTAATAAAACTAACTGAACTGTCAGTTGTCAGTAATAGCCTCAAGGGGTATGTAATATGTCTTTGATGGCATCTATCACATGTAGCATTAGCTGGAGCTCACCTATCTGATTCTGTTACAGTTTCAAATCCAGCATATACAGTCGTCTGGTTCTTGCTTGTTTGTCCCCCCCACCTCACCCCCCCCAAAAAAAATCACCCTATATTTTGATTACTAATTATGAATGTGTTTTACAAGTAGTTGTGGTCTGGATTTATACTTGCGTTGTCCATGTAGGAGAAACACCTCTGAATATCCAGAGCTGAGTGATCGTATTCCTACTAGTCACTTTTGGGATCAAAGCGAACCAAGGCTTTTTGTGTGTGAAACAGATCGGAACCCAAGTCAGCAGTCCCTGGACAAGAATCAGCAATCAGAAGAAAACTCAGTATGTCTTTCTCCTAGTCTCCTCTGGCTTGTTGCACTGTAGGGATTGGTTGTTGATGTTAACTCTGTGCTCAGGGGTTTAGCTAGAATGCTTCAGTTGGTTGCCATGAGGAATCCTTCTTGAAGGTCTTGAAACTTAAAATAAAAAAGGCTGACTGTATGAAATCTTGTGACAGTAGCAGTTCACATGTTGTTTAGCATAAATGATTGTCAGGGTTTGATAATAAGGAAGGGTTCAGCCAGGAGTCTCCTCTCAGTTCCAGGATTCATGTATTTTTCATCTTCTCTTCACCTGCAGAGTGTCTAAAAGGGGGATAATCTCTGTGCATGTGTAGAATTCCATTATCTCTGAGTGATCACAGCTGCCTGTGGATAGCCTTGCCCACTTTGGGCTATAGCCCCACCCACTGCCAGCTGCAGCCCCTCCCACCAGCAAAAATTCAGCCTGTGGCAAATTCCCCTGAAGGAATGTGGCCCTCAGGAGAAATAATGTTCCTCATCCCATGTATAAACAGAGCTAGATGCACTAATGATTTAACTTGGTATAAGCCGCTTCCTCTGTTCTGCAGTCTAATATATAGCTCTGTTTTGTTTTTGTAGCTCCTCTTCAGCAAAGTGGTTGGCTTATGTCAACATAAATGTTTGCAGGGGCTTCCCCTGTTGAGTGAAGAGGTGGTTTGTTCCTGAAATACAGGACGCTTTGTTACTGTCTTTCTGGAGTGCAGGCTGATTTGTGGGGTGAATTTATGATCAGTTTAGAGAGGATCCCTGTAACTTGGCCATCCGTAGCAGGTGTGTGTTCTGTTGTTTAACTGAGAACTCTGCCAAGTGAAAATGGAAAATAAAAACAAACCGTAAAAAGGATATTGCTCCATAAAACCCAAATAGTGTTCAATTTCCCCTTCCAGGTGGATGTTTTGATCGTATCCTTCTTCTGTACTGAAGAGCATGGGCTTTTGCTCCATGATCGCTTTCCGTTGCCATCAGCCTACCGGTCTCTTTTGGGCATGGAGGTGCCACATTATTATTTTGCCAAAAAGGTAAGTGGTCAAAGAGTTTATAAAGAGTTGATCCTTGAAAGCTTCCCCCTTATCTCCATGCAGGAAACATTTTGTTCTCTGGACCAGGTTAAGGTAAACTGAGACTTGCCTGTTATTATTTATAAAGCACCTAATATCTTCCTGGGTGCTGTACAAATATTACAGCAGACTTACAATCTAATACACTTGCAGCCTTACAGTTTTGTACACATGATACAAAAGTATAAAGAGATAGGAAGAGAATAGGAAAACAAGCAAATTCAGCCTCCAGTTCAAAGTTACATAAAACATGAAGTCCTGTTTTTTTTTGTTAAAACAGTGGTGACTAATGAAGGCTGTGGAGGGACAGTACAGTAATTTAACTGTGCAGTCATTGATGTTTCTGTGGTGGCTGTTCCAACTACTTCTCCTTTATGGTTTCATGTTGACCGTAGGAGATGATAGCTTCTTCCACTTCAAAATGTGCTACCTGCCAACTGCTGCCAGGTAGCACCGGATGTTACCCCCCCTCCAAGGAGTGGGACATTTCACCATCTGGACAGTTGGATAGTCTGAATTTCTAGCCACTCCCTGGTTTCAGGGGTGACTGATAAAGGCTCCAGGAAGAACAACAATATAAATATCCACTCTCTGGACCCTAGAGTAGGTAGGTGGAGGGGGGTCAGATGAAATCCTTTGGAGCTTCCATCCAACAGCAGCAGAGGTAATTAAGTAGCAATGCAAATAAGAAATCACTAGAAATTACAAGCGATTTGATTTGTTTGCACTGTTCTATCATTTGGGGCTCTTCAAATGTGCATAGAATGACACTCTGGAAGTAGCGGAAAAAAGCAGCATGATCAGCCCAATTCCATATGGTATAATCTGTTCATAGTCCACCAACATGCTTCCCATCTTCTTGGTTTGCCTTTTTAACACTGAACTGGAAGTCTTAGTGATGATGTGACACTGAGCAATGCCATGCTGCCATTTTTGAGTGACGCACAGAGCACCACTCATACTGGATATGCAGTTGATCCCCATCTTCATTACAATTGAGAGCAAGACCCAGAGCATTGGCATTTTGGAAATGGAGAAAAATTAAATCCTGTTTTGGCAAGAATATCTGTGATAACATATTCCTTATACATAACTGGGGTGAAACGGCACATCTAGATTACAGAAGAAAGACCTCAATAGCTGCAGTTTAGATACTTGCCATGCCTGAGGTTTATATACTCTCAATGTAACAGAGGCAGATTGTCTGTTTCATTGCATTTTCTGTCACTATTTCTGCTTTGTCTGTTTTATTCTTCACTCTGTCTACATACTTTTTTTTATTAAATAAAATGCTGCTCCTATCATTCTGTTTCTTTTTCATTTCTGCTGGCCAATAGTTGTTGTTTTGGAGAGGCTCTGTCTTTAAACCTTATGTAAGTATCATTCGCTGGCCTTTATTAAATGAATTTGCCTCCCCCACCCGGATTTCATTGTTTCAGTTCCTGTTACTTAAAGATTATGCACAAAGTCCGAGAAGGCTTAGAAAAGTAGGTTTGATGTCAGTGAGGTGGGTGGCATGAGAGAAAATGCAATACTTCAAGTCTATGTGCGAGTGCCTTCCCTTAATTGCAACTCACAAGTGCTTGCAATGGCCCAGTAAACTCAAGATTCACTGTCTATTTCCCCCCACATATCTGATGTTGTGATATCTTTTGTGACATTTAATATGGCATGGCCTTTTTGTTGATACTAGTTGATGCATACCCTGATTCACCCATGTAAACACATTACCTAATGGCAGTTGATGAAAAGAGAAGAATACTTATTGGTGAAATCAAAGTGTGCCCCACTGGAATTCTCAATTACTTTGTTGCATTTGGAGTCACCATAGGATTTCCCAATATGTGTTGTGTTGTGTTGTGTTGTGTCTTCTATTATCTCCTGCAGTTCATTTGTATCTATTTATTTATATTTGACAGTGCATAAGCTGCATTATTTATTTATATGTACAAGCCATTTTTCTGCCGAAGGCCTCTAAAACAGTGTAGAATTTACATTATCTTGTGAGCTGTAAAGATGAATGGAAGTGGGAGAATTCTCATATTACAAAGTCACTGTGTTGAAGACCATTTAAAAAGCTTCCACATTGCTGTTGTACAATAGTCACTTGTCCCAGAGATTGCTCCAAATAGCTCAACTCTTAATTTTCCCCAAAGGGTGAAATCTTCAGAAAGTAAAAGTGGCTGGGTTTGCAAGTTGCTATTTGCACTCCTTAAATATTGTGAAAATATTTTGGATTTGTTTATCCCTTTTGTCATGCGGCACTCCTTTTAAAGACTTTTTTTAGATTGGTAAAAAATAATAAGTATAGTGCTAATATGAGGCTTTTACTGTGTTCAAAAACTAAGAACTGTTTTGGATAAGAATATAGCTGCTGTCACAGGCTTAAAAATTATTTAGGAATTTCTTTTCATGGGAAAAACTAATGATATTCTGCTCATCATATGACTTGTGTTTTCCTTTCAGCCTGAAGCTGATAAAGATGAGGCAGAGCCTAGTGGGGTAACACTCTATCAAATGGTAGCCAGAAGGCCATTGCGCGACTTCATTGGGTTGGAAGAGTGTGACAAGGCCACATGTGATGCTATGCTTAACTTCAGCCTCTATCTCACCATTGGGGATATGGATGAGGCCTTCAAATCCATCAAGCTCATCAAAAGGTAGGGACACTAACTTGGTTTGGTTTTTACAAGATTTGTGTATGTGCTGGCTAGGATCCAAATAGGTGTGTAAGTAAATCCAGATGCCCATTGAACTTTTGGGCTTATATTTCTTGTAATGCAGCCCCCAATTATTATCCTTTTCAAACTCTGAAGTTTCAAAGGTAGTTTGAGATATGTCATTGGAATGCTTTGTCTGCTCCTATAGCAGAACATAAACCCTCTTGGTCAGTTCTTGGAATTTTTTTCCCTTGAGGGCAACCACATTGGCTACTTTATCCCTCTACAACAAACACAATGACTCAAAAACATAACAGTAGAACTGGCCACAGAGCCACCATTTGTTTTTAATTTCACATTATTATAGTATGGCTATTGCAATATTAGCAGAAATAACATGTCTTAAATATTCCAATATTTTATTTTATTTTATTAAAGGTAGTTAATTAGAGCACATTTAATTTTTAGCATACAGAGCTTTTCCAGAAAGCAAGCCAGGCAAATTTTAAAATAAAATCCAGTTTTTGATTATGTGATCATTCAGTGCAGTCTTAGGAAGATGGCCTTACAAGTCTGTGTTAAATTCTGGAGGCTGGCCGTGGAGTGTGGTGGGAAATTAAGAGCAGGAAAGGACAATTTGTTTCAACACATAGATGCCTTCCCACACAATTTTCATTTCATGGTTCCAACTTGCATTATTTACAGTACAATCCTATACAACAGTATAGGTACAGTACAGTCCTATTCAACAGCAAGACCCAGTGTATTCAGGTAAGTGTCCACAGAACTATAACTTTAATTGTCTTGAATAATTTTATGTATGAAGTTTCATAGTACTAGAGACACACAAGAATGGTTAGTGTGTATTCTGCACTTACTTTTTAATATTCTTACTCTGATATAGGTTTTCCACTTGCTAAATGTACAGATTAAGCCTACAGACATGTGAGCTTGCACCCATGATTGTTTTGAAAAAGCAATGAATTTGTCTCTTCATTTTGCTGTTTCACCACTATCTATTGAAATGTATTTCAATAGATTTTTGAAACGAAAGCTAATCATCTCGGTATTCTAGTCTTTATTGGTTGACTTGATAAATATAGTTCCTCAATAACTGTATGTGTGCTATGGGCACTAATTTGTCCACATTTGTCCTGCAGTGCTGGGGCTTAAGTGACAAACTTGGCTTTCTCCCTTATTTGGCATCCAAATTACATTGTAATGAAATTCAAGAGCCAGCTTGATTATTTTCTTTGTGAAGAAAATGAAATTGGGGTGGGGAGTGGAGTGGAGTGGAGAAGATGAGTTGGTGACGCCAAAAATCAAAGCACAGATTTAAGGATATATACTACACAGGTCTCTGAGAAAGAGACAGTAAATATATAAGTTCACAGCTCTGTCATCCTGATCTCTCTGTCTCAGTGGCTATGCCTATAGCAAAAATGTAGCATCTTCAGTTTTATGTGACACACATATCACTTCCTGCTTTTCCCACCTTTCTTTCTTCCATGTGTTTTGGACGTGGCCGTTTTACAATAATTTCAGTGCTATGCCAAACAGAATTATGAGGCTTGTTGGAAGGCAATATTTTTGCACTCCCATTAGATAAATAAGAAGTAACTTTTATCTCTAGTAAACTCATCTCAAACTCTACCCTACTCCTGCGCCTCCTGATAGCGTCTTTAGTTTGCCTCTCAACTGGGGTGGATTTTGGTCTTTCAAATTTTCAGTGGCGCCCTGTGCGAGGCCAAAATTCAGCACCCCCCTGCCTCTTGCCTTCCATTCTTAATTCACTACACCATAGTTGTGATGCCCTGCAGCATCCCCTAGGCTTGGTGTCCAGTATGGTGGAACTGGTTGCACTGTCTTAAATCCACCTCTGATATAAATTTTTAACATGGCATCGTACATACCCAGTAGTGAATCTTTCAAATCAGCACCAAATATGAAAATGCCCAGTAGTAAAATTTGAACTGGGTAACTGTTTAGGGTGATGAAAAGAGGGACTGTGGTTATTAACATAACTATATAAATGGATCACATTACAAGGTGTTGGGGTTTTTGGGTGTACTTCTTTATCATCGGTTTAATGACTTGTGAAGTTTTCTGAAACATTTGCTTTAAAAGAAGACAAGCTTGAAACCTTCAACTTTCATTCCTTAAAAAAAAATGCTGACATTCTTTATAAATTTTACTATTATGTCAGTAGCTTTTTGGTTTGAAAATTTTGAAATAGAAATAATTGTTCCTACCAGATTGAACGCACTTAACATTATGGATGGTTGACTCTTTAATATAACGTATGTGTTACACAAGCATTATTAATTGAATGATGTTGATGAAAATGTGACATGGAACAAGTTTTCCTTTCCTCTTTCATGTGCTTTATGTTATTGGATCCAAAAAAGGATACTTTCCATAACTAAGTTTTTTATTGTGGGATAACTTTCTCTGAACCAAGTTTCAAGCTTGGAATATTGGGTTATCTTTCCCCCTTTCCACAGTCCTACAAAACTCATCTTGGGTAGATCTGCCACATTTCAGATCTTCCTAGAATGGCCATGTGCCCTACTTCTCAGATTATAGTCTTCTGCTTAAAGTCATCCTCCATTTGAAGGGCGTTCTACTTCATGCCTGGTTTAAAGTTAAAGAACCATAAGGAAAGAAAACAGGGAGGGCTTTATAAGTTGCTGTCCATCAACAGTTAGCACCTGGACAGCAGTTTGCGCAGACACACAGGTTACCATCTTGTTCCCCACCATGGTGAAATATATTGTGTTTCTATTTAATTATAATAATTGTTTCTAAATTTGCGACAGTACATTTAAATTAGCAGGTGCACATTATTTAAATCTCTGTCCCATTTTGTCTTCTTTTTTGCAATGCATTTCCTGGGTTTGGGTACATAAGCCACCACCCTTAATATCCCTGACTTTTGACTGAAGTTCCTTCAGGATAGTTAAGCTGTTAATATTTTACACTGTACATCAGAGAGGAGAGGTGGTGTATAATGTACACATGTATATAGATGTAGCCCATCCAAGTAATAATGTTGGGCTTCTTTAATTGAAAAGTGAACTTAGTGATTTCCTTCAATGTTTAAATTACATGGCATATTTCATAGAAAGCAGTCCATTTTGTATGTCGTCTTCGCTGAAGAGTCTGCCCCTTTTACCCACATATTCTCAACATGGTGACTCAACATAGTCATTCTCCAGCCCACGTCGGAAGCGAGCAGTCAGGGTACGACTGATAACGATGACTCTGGGTGCCATGCAGTCCTCCCGTCGGTGAAGGATGTTCCATATGAGAATGGCAGCAGCCAGTGTGGCCAGAAGACAAGCCCCAATGTTCAGGTAGCAAGACCAGGACAGGCTGGTATAGGGTCCAATACGATAGAAGGTCACCAACCCAATGACCAGAACGAAACCTGAAAGAAACGTACAGAATAGAATGCCATATGTGAGTAATGTATCTAGACATTCTAGAAAAATCACTTTGTATCTTGCCCAGTAGTGTGCATCTGATAGTGGTTCATGTGTGCAAAAGTGTGCATGCACAAACATATATCTCCAGATTTTGGCTCTAGAGTAGTTAAATATCACTCATGTTTTAATCACAAGTAGACCCATTGAAATTAGTGAGCATGAATAAGTTAGGCCCATTAATTTTGATAGGTGTACTCTGAGTAAAACTTGGCATTGAATACCACTCAATGTAAATTTTCTGTTTAATTCTAGGAAGCCAAGGGACACGTAAAACTTTGGAACCAAGGTTACATAAATGAGTAGGAAAAGGAGACTGGAAACCAGTTTGACTCTGTGCATTTCTAGATGCACAAAGGAAATCCATTCAACCAGTTTCACTTTCTCTGAGCCTTTAGCACATACTGTACCGGTCACTGGTTTTCAAATGAAATCTTGTTTTTAAATTTAAAAGCTGTGTTCTGAGTTTTGCCTCTGTTACTGAGCTAGCACCAGTTGTGGCCTTTATCATAGAATTGTAGGATTGGAAGGGACCCTGAGATGCAGGAATATGCAGCTGTCCCATATTGGGATCAAACCTGCAACCTTTGCATTATCAGCACCACACTCTAACCAACTGAGCTATTACTCTAATTTATTTATTTCCATTTTATACTCTGCCATTCCTTCCAGCGGGAATGCATAGTAGTTGCCACATCACAGCAATACAAAAAAGGCAATAATAAGAACCCCACTTAAAGTACCAATAAAATGTACAAAACTGCCATAAGAAATCAGCAGCAAGGTCAGCGGGATTTTCTTTGCACTCCAAAGCCTGGCATTTCCCCACTCATACTAAATACTGTGCCTTGGCTACTCAGAAAATCTGATGTTCCCCTATTGAAAACTCACATATCCAGGATGTCCCATACATATTGGCAAACAATCATGTAGAAAGGTCCTCAAACTCTAAGCTCAACTATGCAGGTTTTTAAAACCAATGGACAGTACTGGGTCCAATTAATACAAGCAGTCACCTGTATGAGTTACCTCTTTTGATGTGTGGACCCATCTCTAATTAGTAGATTGATTGTGCAGGCTGTTGTAGTGTTTCGTGTTGCACATAAATTTAAACAATGTCAGTGCAGCTGATCCTCTCTAGGAAACTGTTCTTACAGAGTTAAAAATCGTCTGAGTCACAGAAAGAGCCATTCACACCAATGGCTTTCCATATGGAGTTGGCTCTATGTGGTACTAGTTCAAGAGGCCATGAACAAGGATTCACATGCTTTCAATGAAGAGTTATATAAACACGGATATTGTGAAGAAGGAAAATAATTTTTTCCTCTGGGAAATTCCTTTATCTAGGAATCTCCTGTGAAATGGTAGGAAAACATCTAATCTTAAAGCGCAACAGTATTTTGCCTTTCTGCAGCACATTATCCCACTGCTCTTGAAGATCTTTATGAACACAAAGAATCCCACCGTGGCTTCCCGCTTCATATGTATCCTAAATATCCGGTTATTCATAGTTTCAGAGATGAGGAAGCTGAGGTGAGGAGACTTGTCTAGCCATGCAGGAAATCTGTCATGGGGTCAGCAGTAGAACCCAGAACATCTGACCCCAAGATGTTGTGTATGCAGTCGCAAAACCTCCTTCCCTTTAAGGCAGTGCCCTATTTCTTGATGAACCTCACTGCAGCATTCTAGTTTCTCTTTCCCTCCTCCACCCTCACAGGTCTAGTTATTAACTTTTGATGGAAGTAATTTATGGATCTAATTAGCCTGACAAGAACAATATACAAAGAGGCAAATGTGTCTCACATAATAGGGAAAAAATCAGCTTCCCCTACTCCCATAAACACTTCCTTAACCACCACCATAACAGAAGGAATTCACATAGACAAAAGGGCCCCTTTGCAAAGGGAGACTAGAATAAACAAAGGCCCATAAACAGACATAAAGATCTGCAGATACCATTTCCGTTAGGTTTGTGGGCAAGGACAGGTCAGACATGAAGAAGGCCATTTCTCTCTGCTTTCTGTGAATTACTGGCATTGCTTGCACATCTCTTACAATATGACCATTGTATGTGACTGCATCCTAAAAAATGGCTACAAGGGAACTTGATGGTTTGTTTTCTTCTATAGTGAGTCTTCTGAAGGGGTCAGCAACTAGAGGCCCTTCAGCTAAATTCAGCACCCTGAAGATACCAGCTGCTTCTCCCCTGGAGGCAAGAAAACTGATTAGAGGATGTGGCAATTATGTTATTAGGACTTGGTGGCACTTGACTTTGGAGAACGGGGTAGTAGCTTATCCCCACCCTTCATTCACTTATCAGATTAGTCCACGTGTAAATTGAGTTGCTGACCAAGACATTATTGGGTTTGAATATGACAGCTGGGGGGGGGGGGATGACTAGAACTAGATTTCCATGTGCAAACTTGATGAGTTTCAGTGCCATCCAGTACAAATTATCCTTTCACAAAAGTTCCAAAAAATCCATTGTGTTATATTTTTATACAGCCTTATAAAAATCGTTTAAGCCTTTCTGGTTTTGTTTGGTAAATAGCCAGCAAGAAATAAAGGGATTGTTCTGAGGAGTAGCAGGTTCCCACCCACCTCCAGCTTTCATTCACAGTTAAGTTTCTGTATAGTATGGGTTAAATCCTTTGGATCTAATGTCCTTTACAGTGCCTTTTGCTCCCTGAGACTAGTTTTTCTGGAAATGCTCTTGCAGAAACAACAATTTTTGTGTGCTGTCCTGTGCACTTTAAAAATGGAAAGATAGGAACACAGGAAGTTGTGTTATACAGAGTCAGACCACTAATCCAATCCATCTAGCTAGCTCAGTATTACTGGGGGAATGAGTCTGTGACCTTCTACATGTGAAAGAGATGCTCTGCCTCAGAGCTATAGCCCTTCCTCACATTTTCACATACTCTTCCCTGTGGGGATGTCATTGTAGGGCGCTTGCAGCACAGTCCTACATATGTCCACTCAGAAATAAGTCCCACTAAGTTTTTTTGGTTTATTCCCAGGAAACTGGGTATAGGATTGCAGCCTTAATGCAGTCTAACTCAAGATATGAACCAAATTAAAGCACAGAACTTGGAGAATTTCAATAAAATAGTATTTTTGCTAGTTTGCTTTTTAAAAAATTATAGTGACTTGTAAAAAAGGACAAAGCATGAATAAGCATAGGCTGGCTGTTAGTGGTATCTAGATGTTGCTTAAAGTGCTGTCATATAACAGACAACTTACAGCTCAGCTGCCACAATTTTGGCTTCAATTTGTGTGTGTGATTCTACTGACTTGAAGCAAAACATGAGAGTTTTGTTAAAATGATGACTGGAGTTGAAGGAGGTAATAAGAAGAAAGAGAAGCCCAGAACAGCAGCAATGTCTCAGACCCTCCAAGTGTCCCTATTTTCCAGGGACGTCCCTGATTTAGAGGAGCCATCCCAGTTTCTGATTTGATCCAGGAATGTCCCTATTTTCGTTGGAGAAATGGTGGAGGGTATGGAGTTATCCAACCCCTGAGCCATCTGAAGGCAATCCTGTAAATGGAAGGGTTTTTTATGTTTAATGTTTTATTATATTTTTATATATGTTGGAAGCTGCTCAGAGTGACTGGGGCAACCCAGTAAGATGTGTGAGTTATAAATAGTAAAATTATCAATATGAAATGGGATGTCTCTATTTTCATTGAAGAAATGTTGGAGGGTATGGTGTCTGATATTGGCTTGGCCTGGCCCAGGGTTGAGATGTGTGAGAAGATGTGTGAGAATGGCTAGTCTTGATAGTTGCCTGACTCCTTAGTTCAAGAAATGTCCACCTATTGGCAATTCATCAGCAGGCATGAACCTTTGTACTTCTCTCTCCTAGTCAACTGACATAATGGTGCAAGGATTAGAGAACTGGTTCTAGATTTCTATAGGCCTTGCTCTGAAACCTGGAATTACTGGTCCTCTCCAACCCTATGTTTCTTTATCTAAATGTAGAACAAATACACATAATCTTTGCTGTGATCTTTAAGTAATTTGGTGATGAATGATTTCTAGAGATGCAGCAATCATGCAGCAATTCAAGCATATTGGTATTATAGTGTGAAGGCGCAGCTATATTTCACTTATATCTTCAGTAAGCAAAGTGGAGTACCTTCAAATATATAGATAGCAAAGTGGCCTATGTTTGCCTTTTCAAAAAGCAGTATGCTGTACAAATGTTATCAGAGGTAACGTGTGGCAGCAACAGGGCTAGGTTGTGTTTATTCCACTGGCCAAAGGCCAGTCTCCTTTTCCTGACCAAAGCTGTGTTGCAGGAATTAGGGGAAATAAAATGCAGAAGAAATGAGCCTCAAATGTCTCAAAATGTTGAAGCAGAGGTATGTGATGAAGTGCTCAGATACAATTCTGTAAAAAGAGTTCCAACTCCAAGTGAACAGATCGAGTGGGGGGTACATTTCCACCAATCGCCAGGAGTTTGGTTAAACACGTGTCTCAGGTTTTATCAGCAGAGGAAAACAGTGGCAGAAATGATTATTTTTGTTAGTTTCTTTGTTGTTGTTTTGTTGTTTAGTTGTTTAGTCGTGTCCGAATCTTCGTGACCCCATGGACCAGAGCACGCCAGGCATTCCTGTCTTCCACTGCCTCCCGCAGTTTCTTTGTATACCATATAAAAGTGACTGTAGTTTGTGGATTACTGTCCTATGTGTTTGTGTGAGACGCATATGTAAGTGTGAAAACTGTCATGGAACAGAAAATAACAGAATTGTCCATCTCTAATGGAAATCCTGTGTTTTCCATTTTTTCTGTCGTCGTCCCCCCCCATCACTTTCATCCTAGCCCATTCCCACCCTTGCTATATAAGCCACTAAAGTTTGGCCTAACGTAAGCCAGCACTCTCCAAGTTCTTCATCTTTTATGTAAGGGACTAATTATTCATCACAGAAAGCTACTAAACTTCCTTGTGTTGCTCAAAATAAAACCACTTGTGTTAGCAAGGCTGTTTCCCTTCACAGGACCTTTGCTTGAACTCTAACTCTGAACAGCAGTGAATGAATGACACGCCACCCTTTTCTTCTCTTCAGATTTCATGGCAAGTCCCAGGCAGGTGGGGAAGGTCTAAAAGTTACTTATGTCACCAGAATATTTTAAAGTGATGCATATAGGTTCAGTATGGGATGCCAAAACTGTTCTAGACAAACACCAAGGTTAAGAAACAGGTAGAGCTGCTGGCTGTGGCTGATGGGACAGCAACAAAAACTAGAGGGTCACAGGTTCCCCATCCCATAGCTGCCATCCATTGGGTTCTAGAAGCTCAAATGGAGAGCACAAAAGTGATAGCTACCTCATTTCTCCTCAGTCCCCCTTATTCAGAGCGAGTGTGTGACTCTGAACACAGAGATCCCATTTAAATATTAGCCATGATAACTTATGGAATGCACTTCCATAAGACATCGTAGTCAACAGTTCTGATGATTTTAAAAGGGGGTTAGATAAATTAATGGAGGCCAGCAGTAGCCATAAGCTCCCTTTTTTCACAATCTAGTTTCCACGCTGGAATTCTAGGAATTAATTTATATCTGAAACTTTGATGATGTCACTTCTGAACCAGCATTGTGGACTTGACCTGTGTCTGGGCCAACAGCGCCAACTCCCACCTGTCCAAAACATCAGGGGGCAGGGGAGGCAAAGCATGGAGCCAAACGTGGCACGGATTCAGTGGCCAGGTTCTCCTTCTACTGCCACGGAGGGGAAGGAGGTGGGAAGCAGTCCCCTGCCGGTGGTGGCAGCGGCAGGAGGAGGAGCTGTCGGCCATTGAAGTCGCATTGCTGCTACGTTTAGCTCTGCCTGACGTGATATCATGCACAACGTCAGTAGCCCCCTCAGACTTCCTCATAAGTTGGCCCCTGTGGTCTGGGCTTACATGTAATCCTTCTCCTGCTGAGCATCATATCTAACAACATCATTGGAGCAGCTGGGAGAACCTAGAGGGGGAGACACCTAAAACAACATCTTCTTTTGAATGGCTGCTGTCCTAAGAATAATCCAGCTGGCAATTTTGCATCTGACCACCTGTTTGAAACACCTATTCTAAAGACTCTCAGCAGGCTAAAATGTCTGCCGGAGGGAAGTTTGAAGAATACAGAATCACTTATAAAAAAATCCTACAGTGGCCAATCAATCTGTGCATATTTATTGTGTACAAAACCTGCTAAGTTTTTGTCCCACTGTTCAGTAAAAATTGTCCGTTATTTGCTTTGTGTTTTGGTGTCTCCAAAAGAGTTAATTGGCGAAAACGAGTCAGCATTAAGTGGGGGTGGAGGGTGCCTTTCTACTGGGAAAGGAAATAGATAATGGATTTGTTAAGAAGAATCCTGCAGGGGATGGTGTCAATGGTTGGGCAGGCAAAGTAGGAAGGGGAACGTTGCTCTGTGAACTTACATTTTGGATCAGAATAATGAGCTTCCTGTTTGAATCATTCTGGCAGAAAGCCAACTTCAGTTTCAAAGCTTATCTTCATTTGTTTCTACAGAGTCGTGCTTGTGTTAAATAATAAAATGATATCATGGTATAACATAAGGATTGATAATGAGAGCCAGTGTGCTGGATGAGGACCTGAGGGCCAGGGTTCAAATCCTAATGCAGTCCGACCTTGAGCCAGTCTCACCTACCTCACCAGATTGTTGTAAGGGTAAAACAGGGAGGGGGAGAACAATATATGCCACCTTGAGCTCCTTGGAAGAAAAGTGGAATAGAAATAAATACATGTTGCCAGCAGGTCCATCCTGGCAACCTTGCCTCAAGCAGAATCCCTTTTCTCCTTGCAACACAGGATTGATTGTCTTACTCTTACTTATTTAGCTAGCTATATAATGATTAGCTCTGCTCAATACAAACTCTTTGGAATGGAAACCTCACTTGACCTCAGACTCTGTACACATTACTGGCTTAAAACACATCTAAGTCATTCTTTCCATCAAAACATATTTTTTATAATGAAGCCTTCTTCCGCTGTAGCTTGATTATTCAATAAACACATATAAAATATAAGAAGTGCCATGCTGGATCAGACCAGTGGCCCATCTAATCTGATACCCTGCTTTCCACAGTGGCCAGCTAGATGCGTATGGGAAGCCCACAAGCAGAATATAAAGACAACAGCCCTCTCTTGCTGAGGTTCCTAAACCACTGCCTCTCCTTGATTTCTCACCATTTATCTTCACTGAATGACCCTGACCAGGGTAGGAGGTGCATTTTGAGAGAGGGAGAAAAACTTCTTTCTTGGTCTACTTTCTCCTGACCATGCATATGTTTATGTTTATTGAAACAGCTAGTGGGGGGGGGTTGTTGTATGTGTATCTCTTTTATGGATATAAATGTGTTTCTGCATACATATGACCCCGACTCCTTCCTCCCTTCCATTTAATTTTTCAAAGTTTCATTTAATTGCAAAACTGCTTGGGGGGAGGGAATTGGAAGGATGTTTGCTGATGGGAGACTATTTGAGTGGTGTGAGGCTGACTTCTTCAAATTTCCTGAACATTTTTTACAAAGCAAAGCTGATTGTACGTGATAGCAGAATTTGCAGGGGCTTTTCACTTATTAACAAGTGTAAAAGGCAAAGCTTGTCTACTTGAAGAACATAGAAGCTATTCAGAGTTCTGTCTCTATAAAGAAAAGCCTCTAAAGTAAAATGTATGAGCTTTTACTCAAAACCCTCTGTGCACAAAACTGCTTCCATTTTCACCACAGTGCTTTTCCAAAGCAAACAATTCTTTCCTGTAAGGTGTGAGGCTGCACAGTTCTGGAACTGTGTGTGAATTCATGTGCAGCCGCCAGAGCAATACCACTTCCTCTACTCTTTCCTTCCTCTCTGCTTCCTAAGGTTGTATTTTGTTAGATTTTTTTAAAAAGAAAAAGAAAAAAGGATGCACTTCTATCAAGGACACACGCAGGTGGCTAAAGTAAAAATGATGCAGGGCTAGGAGCCATCGTAAGCCTCAGTGTGGTGAGTGTTGACAAGTGTCTGTGTGCTTGCCAAGGTCATTATTATGTTTGGGGTATTTGAGGTATGACTGAAATACTCAACTCTCTCTGAAGTGTGACTTCTCTTCAGTGTGATGATTAGGAAACTGCTGTATGGTTTGCAGACTATGAAGATAGGATGAAAATAAGATACTGGCTTGGATTTTGTGTAGTCTACACTGTTGGTCATGCCCTGACCTAAGGTGTACCGCTGCAGCGGCATTGACACAATTCCATCCTTTATTTTTGGTTTGGTTTCTTAAAGACGGGTGACCAGAGTTGAAGCCTCCTGTATCTTTTAATAGTTGTGTATAAAAGAATTTTAGCAGGCACACACCTGCGTGACATGCAACGCCTTCCAAAGTTCTCTCTTCTGTACAAGTACTAAAGGGTACAGGATGCATCTGGTCACCCTAAAGAAAGAAACAAGAAGTTGGTAACATGCATGGTGGGGGTTTTTTAGTTTTGTTTTTAAAAAGTGGGTCCCAGTGTTTCAAATTGTAGTTCAGTGTTGGTGCTGTGTCTGAAGAAGCTTTGAGATTACTGCTTTATGCCAGCATTTTTCTCAAGCCTTTTATGAGCGTGTACCCTGCTTCTCTTCCCATTCAGTGTGGCATCAATAAGGACACAATCTATCAGAGAAGACCTACCATTTGTGTGTTCATCCATAAAACTTGCCCTAATTCTGCCTTCAGAATAAATGTACATATTTATTTTTATGTATATAGTCATACCTCATGTTGTGTCCACTTCAGGTTATGTGTTTTTGTGTTGCGTCCCACGGCAACCCAGAAGTACCAGATCAGGTTACTTCTGGGTTTTGCCGCATGCGCAGAAGTGCTAAATTGCGCCGCGCATGTGCGCAGACGCGGCACTTCGGCTTGTGTCAGTTCCGTGTTACGCATCGGCCTCCGAAATGGATCCCGTCCATAACACGAGGTTCCACTGTAGTATGCTTTCACGATCAAGGTTTTCATAGAATTTTTGACAGGGCTAGTATGGAAGAGGGCAAGCTGAATGAATGGGAAGTAGAAATAGCTTCCTATGTTCCAGAATACAATTTGGTCATCTAACTCAGTATATTGGCAGCAGAGCTCCAGGATTTCAGGCAGCGGTCTCTCATGAGATGTCCAAGACTCCTCTATTACTGAACTACAGCACTTCCCCTATCCAGATATTCCTCTTATCTCCAGCCCATGGGTACTGTTTCATGATTTGGGGGTGGATGGAGAAGTTGGTGGATGCAAACAAGAGTCAAAGTAAATCAAAGGATTACACTTTGATATATTTAAGTTTGAAGACAGGAGTGCCTGGCGTGCTCTGGTCCATGGGGTCACGAAGAGTCGGACACGACTAAACGACTAAACAACAACATATTTAAGTTTAAATGGCAAAAGCAATAACATTTAAGAATATTTTTGTGATTACTTTATATAATGCATAATATAGGTGCCCCTGAGGAATAATCACATTCCCTCTCTGTCACTCCTCCCTGAATGGCATCTATCAAAATTACCATAGAGTGGAATAAAAAGAAAAGGCTAAAGCATGGAGAGCAGGGAATAGCTAATTCACAAAGGGTCTTCCGAATTATTACTCCAGTTTTTCATATCCAAGCTAGAGATTATGACTGAAAATATTGAAGAATCAGTGGGGCGAGTTCCATGAAATACCAGCTTGGTGTCCAATAACAAATATAAGCTAATGCTGTGAATAATATTGAAGCCTTCATAAATACTTCTTTCTCAGAAGTTCTTTACACTGTTTGCCTTTTAGACTGCATGCTATTTCAGACAGCCATCCCTTGTCAAAATAGAAATAGAAGTTGCAGACCAAGGCAGCACATATGCTTGTCTGTTGTACATCATGGTGTATTGTACATTGGACAGTGTGGGCCAGACATGACTGTGGGCCTTATATTGCTTCCCTTAGATCAAGAGTAAGCTAATATGCTAACCCAGAAGTTTTAGTTCTGGTTATTTAACTTAACAATTAAAGCTTTTGTTAAAATCCATTTAATCTAACCAGCATAAGGAAGACATTAGTTTTTCCTCTGTTCAGTCAGGGAACTGTATTCTGCATATGGCCACTGTACAAACAAACTAACCCTCCAACATCTGTCCCATCTGAACAGAGAGAATGAATGCCAAGAGGCCAAATTTGAGATGAACATACCAGAGGTTTCATCCCTCCTTTGCTCTGTATCCAAATGTGTTCTGCACCAACAATTGTCAGCCAAATCGTCTGAATGTCTAGAAGAATTTATTTTCAGTGCAGGCTTATGTTAAGCTAATGAGACTTTTAAAAGTGTTTCATGTAACTTATTACAAGACTATTGTGGAAAAAAAATTTTTATTACTATTTTACCGTTTTTCTACTTGTAGCTTTCATCTTCTTTCTGCTATTGTTATAAATAACAAAATCAGTTTCTTCCTGAATGGGAACATTTATTTACTTTTAAGCATCATGAATAGGTAGATAATATAGAAGCCCATCTAGTGGAGATTGGTGCATCTGATGGCAGGCATTATGTTCCTCCTCTTTCCATCCTCTCATGGGACAAATTGCATCATCTTTGCAAAACAGAGGCATTGGAGTAGTGCAGTTTGATATTCCCAACTCTATTGGCTGCCAAATTGTGCTTTTCACACCTTGAGCTCAAGAATCAAAATTGCAGTGCTTGTTTGAGTCTGTCTTAGCAGCACTGCATTGAACATTCTGATTCTGGCTTCTCTCTCTCTCTCCTTTTCCCTCCCAGTACTGAGGATTTCAAGGTTCAGCTTGCATAACAGGTAACAGCAGGCATTTCCTTCTCCTGTGCCGGGATATCCTGGCGCCCTTCAGTCTCTCTCTGACTGTGTTTAAAACAGACTGTAGCACAGAGGGGGAAAGCAGCCTAATCTAAAATTAGCAGCCTTGATAGAAGAAAGGCACACGGCTGTCCTCTGTACTGTTTGTCAATGAAACAACAAATCTAAACAGGGCCAGAATGCATTTCCTTTTCATGGAAAAAAAAGGAGGAGGATAGTTTGGACAGCAGGAGGATGGAGCAATGGGGAAGAGAGCTTCAGGCTGCTTTTAAAGGGAGTGTGGGAGTTGAGGTTGGGGAATAGCTGAAAGGTTTCCAAGCAGTTTAACTTATCCAGAATAGTAGGCGGCTTGCACAGAACCACTGTTCAAATGTATCCTAAACCTCAGGGGTGGAATTTTGGGTTTTGGATCTATCCCTTGCTGTCCTGTGCTTCCTATATACAGTTTATGGTGTCTCCTGGCCCTCACCTTTCTCTGCCACTGCCTTGTCTTCTGTGCACCATTGTGTTAAGCATACTGACCCATATAATTTACAAGCAGTCACCATTTTGATCACAGAAAAATGAATAGTATCATCATCACTGGCTGCCAAGCATTTTCTGACACCAGCTCAAAGTGCTGGTTTTGAGGACCTGAGTATATTTAAGGACTGCCTTCTCCCCTACGAACTTTCAGACTTAAATCTTCATTGTGCGCTCTTCTCTGTATCCTGCTGCTGGTTAAGATAGTTGAGAAGTTGCCTAGAGGCGGCCATGTATAAGGTGGCTAACAGTTTGAAGACTAATAATAATAATAATATGGCAGATAGCTACACAGAACAGGGTCTTCTTGGTGGTGGTACTCACTTTCTGGAATTGTTTGCCCTGTAATATCTAGTCATTTCCCTGTCTGCCTGCCACCAAATCAAGATGCTGTTATTTCAGCATAAGTTGAACTTGGGCTGTAACTGAGTATCAGTTTGGCCCTTGGGGAAGGTTTAATTTTGGTTTTGCGGCTTCTCTTTTTTCAGTTATGCTGTTGGGTGTCTTATTTGTTTAGTTGGTTGTAAATCAGTTTGGAATGGACCAAATAAAGCGACTCTCAAATCAAAACAATCAATAAATTATGATGTATATTTTAATCTCCTTATATAGTTTTTTCTGTTTGGTTTATGGTAAAATATTTTATTAAATTAATTTAGGAAATGGCAATGATGCAGCGCCCAGCATTTTTATTCTGTTCCCCACTCCCCACTGATTTTTGTGACAGCAACAAAAAAGCCCAGCACTCTGGTGGCAGTGTAAATTACCCCCTCCTCATTCATCATATGATGAGCACAGGGATTTCTTTATTTAATGTATATCCTGCCTGTTAGGAAAGCTTTCCTTACCATGTGGTTTACAAAAGCAAATGAATGAAGCACCTACTTAAGACACAAACCACAATACAATCCAGAAATTATCCTGCTTTGCATGCAGAAGGTCCCAGATTCAACCACTGGTATCTCAAGTTAAAAGGGCAAGATAGCATGCGATAGAAAAGACTGAGACCCTGGAGAGTTGCTGCCAGTCAGACAGTAGTGGGCTAGATTGAAAGGAGAGTCTAACCTGATATAAGGCAACTTTTTGTGTCCTTATAACATGCAAACAGGATGCTTTTTCATTAAACACACACAAGTTCTGAAAATGGTCGTTTGTACTCTGCTTAAAGAAAATGCTGCTACAATTGCATTCTGCTGCAGTTGGGAGGGGTCAGAAATCAAATTTTAAAATGCACACACACAGCACAGGCTGTAACACTAGGCTGTAACCATTTGAAGTGGTTGAAGTGTGGAAGGAATGCCTGTAGAATTGTTAGAGGAAAAAGGAAAGGCATCTTTTGGTGTCTTAAATTTATTGTGGTATCCACTTTGGGGGACTAGAGCTCACCAGATGCATGATGTTTATTTTTGCTTTATAGACGCACACATAGAAAAAAATTGTAAACAGCAGGGTGGAAAGGCTACGAAATTGCAAGAGTCAGCCCATATAACTCCTATGTAAAGGTTAAATAGGTAAGAGGAATTCAAAATGGCAATTCATGAACACAGTAATTAGTAATAAGCATTATCTTCCTATCTTTGTGTATCGCTGATTTAACACCTATAATAAGTGAGAAAAGCACCTTTTTATTGAGTCGTAAATGACTAGGGCCAACATCCAATGATGTCTCCCTCTTTGCCCAATGGAAATGCACTTGGACAACAGGGCATCCAGTTTCTCTCCTGCATGCCCCCAAAATCTGCTCTGGAGGGTCCGGTTGGTTGAGCTTATGGGGGGAAGCTGAGTAGATTGCATAACAACCCTCCTTAATCAACACAAATTTACACAAATTAAGTTTTTACTCAACTGATTAACATGATTCCCCATAGATCATACAGTTTTCAGGTACCATCTTCATTATATATCTCTGTTTTAAATTCAACTCCTCTACCAAATCATTAACTCAATGCTTTCAGACTAAGAAGTATTAAAGGAGAGATTTGAGCAAGAGTTAACGTGAAAAGAGCTGCATCCAACTCAAGGAGGGGGGCTCACAAGTAGCTCTTAATGCAGAAATCCTAGCCTAGAGCTAGGATTTCCAGATGCCAAGAAAGAATCAGGATTGAGTTGGATTTACCATGCTTGCACAGATCTGTGAGTTCTTAAAGTATTTTTAAAAGTTCAGTGACACTGTTTCACATGTTCCTACTTGGTCTTTATAATGTGGAGCAGTGAGAAGATTTAGTGCAACTGGATTGAATGCACAACCAATGCTATTTTTAAAAAGAAATGAACAAGAAGTCCACAAACAGGCTCAGGCACTGGGGTGGCGGTAGTGATTTTGCTTTTCACTGATAATGTCATACACGGCACCAGCACTTGCTCAGCCATATTACAGAGCACTTGAAACAGCAATAGACGTAGTGGGAACATTTTATTGTTAAATTTCACTCTAATAAGTTAGCACTTGAAAAAAAGAAGTTACGTACTGGCAAGCTGAAACACCGCGGCTATGGCTTCTTCCCACCACTGGGTATCCTGGGAGATAATGGGCAGTTCCACCAATCCCAACACAAAGAGGAGCTGGCCAGCTGTCAGAGCCACCGTGGCAATCATGTTACAGGCTCGCATCATGTCAAACTGCACTGTGGGGAACAAAAGGCAAAAGGGCATTAGTTCATTAGCATGAATGTGAAAGGCTTGAGAAGCCAACCATTTCCAGTCCCTTCTGAAAAATCTTGTGTGCTCCCATCGTACTTCTTCACGAGTTAAGACAAAGAGATTAACATAAATATCACAAAAGTGTGTGGTTTTCAGTCTCTCAGCTTCTCAAGTGGGCTGTGAGGATAAAGATGGGAAAGGGAGTCTGGCGTTCTGAGATCCTGTGGAAGATCAGGATTAAAACGCTACTCAATAATATACAGACTCACTGACTGATGTAGCGTATAGCAATTTGCTAGAAAAACCACCACGCTTGATCTTTATGGATATCACCACTATACATGCAGGTATTTTGTTAAGAAGAGATGGTTGCTGTTGCCATTACTGTACAATTATTATAGTGTTTTATACTTGACTTTTGTATTTACATTGTACTTTTATCTTTTATGCAAGTAGCTATATCCATGGTGGATATTTAAAAGGAAATACTTTACACTGGATTAGCATTTGCTGAAAAGGTCTACATTTTTTCCTTATTTTCTTTTCATTGGTAGATTTCCTGTTTTCATCCTTTTCCTTCCTCTCCCTCTAGGATTCATAAGCACCACTGTGTCAGCGCAACATCCTAGCTTCCTGCTGGTATGAGGTAGAATTTTCTTGCTGTACAAATGGCTGCACTTGAAGGGAAACCTTTCCAGAACCAAAATCAGAGTTTTGTTTTATAAAATGCTCCTGTATAGTGGAATTGTTGGTCAACCACTTAAACTAGAATTTTAAAGCACCCAAAATTTATTTTTGTCAAACTGATTCCATATGTTTAAAAGAGACCACGTAGCAAATAATGGGAAATATCTCTGAGACTATGAACAGGGTAGAAATTCAGTTCAGTGTGCATTTAAAAGCGAACCTAACCAATTCACATTTTCTGAGATAATACAAGAATAAAAATGTAGCCATTCTTCAAAAAAATGCACTTTTCTTTCCTTCCTTTTACAGTGCAGTTATCCAGCCAAGTAATGTGTGTAAAAATGCATATACTAGGGTAAAATGTGCATCAAAATTCATATAATAGTGAAAATAACATATAAAGATGTATTACGGGAGTGAAAGGTTCTATTATTCAAAATGGGCATAATAGAAGAAATTCGCTGATGAATTTTCATGAGAACTTTTTAAAAAATGCAAGTGATATGGACATGCAGAAAACTGAGCTTAATATTAGAAAAATGAGAAAATTATGAAATCAAACTTGACAGATTTGCCCTTTCCAACCCAACAACCTGGAGAGCTGCGAGCATAATATTGGCCTGGATGGACAATTTGTCTGACCTGAAGTGAAACAGTTTCCTGTATTAACAATAAGAATGTGAGTAATCTTCCCTATGTATGAAGATATTATAATGCCGTGGGGGAACCCCTACCTTGCAGCACTCCAACAAACACACCTTTAACTAAAGTCTCTGCTATCTGCTCTGCACACAGATGAAACCAGCATGGGCTTCAGTTAGGGTGGGAATTTAATATATATATATAGGCAAAATGGGCAAAACTTGTTTTAGAGGCTGGGAAGCTGATATAGATCTACATGTACATCTTAGGATGCAATGGGTTAGAAGGCTCTGCAATTTTTTTGGACCCTCACCTTTTAAAACTTTCAAAAACACTTACAATTATAAAAACCAATTTAGAGATGAGAATGTAAAAGCAGAAAAGAGCCAAAATTTATCCCTTCTAACTTGAAGGTTTACATGTATTTCTAGAAGTCAAAAACACTGATTAGGAATGAGCTATATATTCTCAAGATGTGAAATATACTCTTTAAAGTGTAGTTCCACTTTGATTTGCAGTAGACAAGTTGCTGAGTTTTCTAAAGATATTGTATCTGCACACTGCATTTGAATAATAGAATCATAGAATTGCAGGAATTTCAACTAGATTGTACATGACAGATGGTCATCTCTTGGGAGTCTGTTCTGCTGTCAAACAGCTCTTACTATCAGAAAGTTCTTCCTGATCTTTAGTTGGAATCTCCTTTCTTGTAACTCAAATCCATTGGTTCAGATCCTACTCTCTGGAGCAGGAGAAATTTTTTTTGCTCCATCCTCTAGGCTTTTAGATATTTGAAGATTGTTACCATATCTTCTCTCTTGTACCAGACAATTGTTGTTATATTGTTATAGCTGCTACGTGTCTCTTGCAAACTTGCATGTTTACTCCTCATCTACATCTCTGTTATATAATATTTTTGCATTAAAGGCTGGTTGTTTTGCCCATTTATGATTTCCTTTTGGCTTTGTTGCAACCTTTATAATATCCTTGAATTTAACAAACAGCATCATTGTAACCATTGCAAACACTCTTTTTCCTTTTCTTTTCTTGTGACTTTGTATAAGCTCTGCACAATCACCAGTGGCATTGCCAGTAATCATTAGCATCTCAACCTATTGTTCAGTGTTGTCACTCTGACAAAAGTATTTCAGGGGGCCCACCTTTTTGTTTTGGAATTTTTTAATCTGCTGTGCCTTCTACATTAAAAACTAATTGTTGATGGGTTTCCCATATGTCATGATACATTGTTGATAAGCCCGATTCCTCTTGCATCGACCATTTGGAAAAGTCTTCCTTTAAGATCCATGTCAGATCCCCTGACTCCTCCTTCAAGATTTCCATACAAGAAGCTCTGATATTAAGTGAGTGTTAAGGCGCTAATATCCCAATAATACACAGCTCTGTCTCTCCATTCCATCTGAATCAGAAGAGGCTGCAAAAGTGTTGGATTGATGTCTGGCAGCAATGATTGAGTAGGAGCAATAAGCTGAGGCTAATAAGACAGGTGCTGCAGGTGGGTGGTTTGGGAACTAGGTGAATGGCCTGACTGGGATTGCAGTGTCCTTGAAGGAACAGGTTCATATTCTGAGAATACTTGTGACTTGCCAGATATAGCTGTCCCTGGACTTGGGTAGCCTGGCTCTGTTGTCTGTGCTCTAGAGACCTCCTTTCTGGACTACTTTATGTCTTCCCTGCTACAGTGTGTTCAGGGCCTTTCCATCTGTACTTCAAACCATCTTTCTGGGTCAGCCTACCACTCCCATCAAACAGCTCATTTCCAGCAACTATGGTGTTGTTATTCAGAAGCAAGGGTAAGCCAGTAAGGTATACTTTCCCACTTTACTTCTTAGAAGATGCAGCTGTGCTTGGAGGAGTCACACCCACGACTTTTAAAAGCATGAGAATGCAGTATCAGAAGGGTAATACTTTTGTTTATTTTGAAAAGGAGACGCTTGTAAGGCAAACTTCCAGGCATTGTTCCAGAGTCAGGACATCTCCTCTCTGAAATGCACATGATTAGTTCTCTTTCAACATCGTGTTCCTAACATTTCTCAAGATACACTCTTGACAGGCTAGTTTAAGAAAACTCCATTGGATGCAGCCTAAAAAGTTGTGTCATTGATGAATACATCTTTTTACACAACACTTACTGGACTTCTATGGGGCTACCCTTCAAATCTGGTCTCATACAACTTTCTTCCTGGTCCAGCTCTGCACACAAATCATTGTGATGCTACAATTCTTTCAGTGGGCCTGCACTAACCATGTAACATTTTTACAAATCAGTTTCATTTGTTGAGACATTAGGGAGAAAAGGGGGAAAGAGGTGGAGGGGGGTGGGGGTGAGGTCAGGTGGCAATGTTTCTATTTTACTTACTATATGTAGGGTTTGGTGTCAGCGTTGCTTGTGCAGGTTCTTTGTTGTTCACTTGTGTTCCTTTGGTGGTGAGAGAAGTTGGGGTTTGCCTATGGTCTGGTTATTCATTTGTGGTTGGCTGTGGTGGTCTTTGTTTTCAGGCAAGGGGCCAAGTTGACACTGATGCTATAAGCGGAAATTGTGTTGCTTCTTGCTTAGCTACCAAGGTAGGAGATAAGCTCAATAGACTGAAGAGTCTTCTGCTTGCCTCCTAATTAGGCTACCCATAATTTTAATTTAAGTGAGTGTATTCTCAGTTTAGAACACCTTAAGTTACACTGGCAATGTGGGAGCAGCTGCGGTATATGAGCTTTCTGTGCCGCTAAGGTAGCATGGGACACCCCAGAACACGGAGGAGCCCATGTTGTGCCCAGCTTCGTCCCTCCCTGAAGTGGTTTAATTCAGAACAAACTTGTGAATAGACATTCAAAATTGATACAGACTGGGAGCAGACAAATCACTCTATTTCCAGTTACAGAAAGCTGTGTGGCTTTCACCAGAAACAGCAGCCCTGCACCTCTTCTTCATAGTTCTCCCATAACTTGTGGTAACACTAGATAACATGATGCCACAGTGTAGTAGAGAGCAGGGATCAGGAAAAGCCTAGTGTAATAACATCATGCCATACCTTTTGCATTACTAGATGCTGCCAGAGGGGGAAGTGCATTATATATTTTGGGTGGCAGCCATGCATCTCCTGTAACATCTAGCTCTGATTCAAACCTGTACCTTGTACAGCAGATGTTGCTGTTTTTTAATTAGTTTTGTGCATTCTGATCCTATGCATGTTTACTCGTAAGTAAACACCAGTGAATTTAACAGGACTTACTTCCATGGAAATGTACATAGCGCTGCAGCCACCAAGTGGAAATCAATTAGGTCTAGTTGACAGTGCATTCAAGTTCCAAAACCATCTCAGATTTTCATTTCTATTATCCAGACTAGACCAAGGCAGGTACAGTTAATTTAATTTCCATACTTATGAACACAGGCTTTATTTGGTTATGCTAAATGATGTCCTCAGGGACATTAGTGCTCTGTAAATGCATAACAGTCAGATTAGACAATAGTATGTGATTTGCTGGTGTAATTAAATAAAAATGATCTCATTTAGAAACCTCATTCTGCTTGGGATTTAAACATACATCTCTATCTTCTTGTTTGCTCTTTCAGTGGCTGAAATTACTTTAAAACTTGAAAACTGAACTGTGAATTATTTGCTGAAAGGTTGCTTTTGGATAGAGCTAGCTAGGATTTTGGGGTACATTCTGTTACTCTTTTCAGATAAAATTTGTTGAGCAAAATTTGTTTCAGACATAAATGTAGCATGATTGTCAACAGTCCTGACTGATTGCAGCATGTCTCTCTCTTGGTTCCGCCCCCCCCCCCCAAAGTTGAGCCTCTGTGATATGAATTGGAGAAGGCTAGATTTTTATGACTTTCTATACCAGTGAGAAGCTGCCCTGGCAATCAAACATGTGTCCAGTTTTTTACAGGGATAGATTAAGAGATTTGCTGTTTCAGGTCAGAAGAGTTTGTTTGGAAAATAGTATTTTGGTTGCCTTTAAATGCTTGGCTAAAGCTGCACCAGGCAAGGAGCTTTGTGTTTTCAAAGGGAGATGGTATTTCTTATCTCTTTTCACAGAGAAGATTAAAAACCTTCTCCATGCAGGACAAGTGATGTGTTCTTAGATGAAAAAATGTGTGTGTGTGTGTGCAATGTGTGAATTTCTTGCATATTGTTATGTTTAAGAATGTTTCTTTTTGCCATTATTGGCAGAAAGAAAGAGCAGAGGTTGGGGGGGGATTACATAGGTGACTGAGAGAGTATGATGACTTCATTTTTCCATCTTGTGCACATGTGCGCATATGCTAAACCTGAAGTGACACTGGATGTGTTTTTGTAGTTTAAAGCAGCTATAGGGGCTCCCAAATTAGATAGGAGAAGCAGCATTGTGGGAGGGGGTGTAAGCCTTTCTTCAATGCATGATTATTTCTCTGATCTAGTTTGCCTGCTGAAGTTTGCTCCATGGGGAAGAACAAAGCTGCACTGTACACATACTGCAACCTCCACTTGCCACGGATGCTGAAATGTAGATCCTGAATCAGAACATAACCCTTCACAAAAAAAAACCCACCACAGGGCTGTGCAAATGTTGCCCAACTTGTATTTTCTAATATTGGAAAGAATAGCAAGGAGCAGGCTGGAAATGGTTGAAAAATCCTCCCTCGCCACCCTTCTTTTGAACAGACCAGCGTCCCAGTCCTTTTCAGTGAAGATGATACCAGCTAGAAGCATTTTAAAGTGCCTCAGATTGTCTTAGGACACAATCGTGTGGCAAAATACATAGGATTTGTTCAAAGAATGTGGGTTTACATAATTGGGACCCTGCCTGTATCATCCTTTTGGTTTGCACTCAAATACCACAGAGGCCTCAGTAATACAGCCTATCATAGCTAAACTCTATTTTTGGTATCTTCTGGTTTCTGCCTGGCTGTTTTCCAAGAAGAAATATCTGAGACGTGGCTAATGATCCCTGGGATTGTCTGGTTTGATGCCTCTATAAACATTTTCCAGTTTCTTTTTCCCACACAGAGCCGTGCCTCTGGCCTCGCTGCCACTCCCCCCCCCCGGGGATTTCATAGTGAAAATGTATTTTATATAAATCATACCCTGTGGATAGACAGATGTTTATATCTAGCGAACATGGGAGTCACGTAGACACTCACAATATTGGGCCACTCCCCACCTCTAGACATGCTTGACCCTAAGAGCTATAATAAGGAAATAGCTTCATTACTCTGTGAGTCTTTGAGAAACAAGCTTCATATCACTTGCCTTTTTCCTGTGTCTTCAACATCCCTGAGAATCGTCCAAGTCCCCTGTTCCTGCCCCCCTCATTTAATTTCCTTTCCATGATTGGTTTTAGACTCTGCAGTGCCTAAACAGTATTCCTTTGCAAGTACAGCCAGAGACACGATCTCTCTGTCTGAGTACAGCACTCATTATAATAGCGTCTAAGCATCCTGCTCTCTGGGCAGCAACAACAGCTCATTCATAACCACCATGATTGCTGTTTGACAAAGAAGCCCACATCCCATTCAACATCTCCAGTGCCAAGTGCTTTCTAAAAGAAAGAAAGAAAAATCTAAAGAGATTTAGGCAATTCTTCAGACCAGGAATGGGAGACTTGTTCAGTGTGAGGGGACCTTCTAATGGGTTGTAGTATTTGGATAACATTCAAATCCAGAGAATCAGCAAGGTAGTACAAGCTCAAGGAGATAGAATGGACTTCAAACAAAAATGAGGCATAGCACTTCTAAATACTCCCTGAAATTTTGCAGAAACTATATGCATTTTAAAACAACAACAACAACAAACAACAGGTAGCTATGTTGATTAGGAGAAATTTGCACTAAAATGCTGATGAATTGTATGGATTTTCCCCCTTGTTATCTGATGTGGAAATGTAGAGATGGGAAAAATGAGAAACCTAGATAAACCCAAATTGACAGATTCGCCTATCCCTGAGGTAATCAGTGCTGATCATGGGGCCTGTTTGCTGCTGATCCCAGGGGTGGAGTTTGGTTTTTCAAATTTCACTGGCACCCTGTACAAGGCCAAAATTTTGGACATGCACCCCTCGCCTTCTGTTCTGTTCAATTCACTATGTTATAGTTGCAGCGTCCTGCAACAACCCTAAGGCTTTGTGCCCAGTGCAGCAGAACTGGTCACACTGCCCTAAATCCGCCTCTGCACTTTGATCCTCCCTACACTCTGTAGTCTTTTAGACCTCTTATTAGCACCTCATTTTACTGCTTGTATAAACCATGTTTTGTCTCTGTTGCTTCAAGTAGATTATACACAGGGCCAAATATACTGTATACTGAATACCGTATACTGTATTCTACATATGATCACACCACACTTGTAAGAATTAGATGCCTGAAAAGTAATGCTATATTGGCTCTCTTTTTAAAGGAGGGCTGTTACCTATGTAACTGTTTAGATTAATTAAAAAACAACAACCATTTAGGCCTGATGAGACCTTACAAGACAAGTAGGAGGTTTTGGAGGCCTTCTAGTGATCAGAGGCAGTGGTGTATATTTCCTCCCTTGCCCTGAGCTAAAAGAAGAGCTCTTTATCTTCCAGTTTGAAAAGCAGAAGTAGAATAAATTAGTGGAAAGAAGCAGCTGTATGCAAATTGGTTAATTTTGTGTACTCTGTTTGAGCTCTGTATGCTTCTTAACAGTAGTACAGCTATATTAGAAACTTCTTTGTCATTCTCTTCCACAGTGGAACTGAAAGGTGGAAACACCTTAGACTAATTTGGGTTGCATTTTTTGGAGTTTGCAGAATTTGGCTACCTTCTCGCATAGTTTCCCCCCCTTCTCCTCTAGCACAGTGGCGGGGCTAGCGCGCATCCCGGGGGCATGGTGTGCTGCCCGCAGGGGCGTGGCATGTATCCTGGGGGCATGGCACACCGCCTGCGGGGGCGTGGCACCCAGTGCAGGTGGGCTAGCAGCTGCAATGGCACCCCACTGGGATCACGCTGTCAGGAGTGGTGCGCTCCCCCCCACTTTTCTTCCTCTGCCAGTGCTCTAGCATGAAATGGATGTAGATCAGGTTAGAAGTCAGCTGTTCTATTTCTGTGTATCATATGAAACATGGTGTATTAGTTAACACTTGCTCTCTGTCAGTGTGTAAATCCATTGAACATTGGCTGTGTGCCAAAGCTTTTAGACTGATCTGGACTTTTTGTGCAGCATCTGCTTTTTGACACATGAGGCTTCTGAGAATGCTGGGGTGGTGTCACTGCCAGATTTTCTTGTGCCACTCTGTTCTGGTTTTCAGAGGCAAAAAATGTACCTTATGGTCTTCCCTTTTCATGCTTGTGCATTAAGTAGCAGACCTGGCTTAGTTGAGCTGCTCAAGATTGATAGCCGCCACAGTATATTAAATTCTGTCCCATTAAAAAGGCAGTTAAAATAAGGAAAGGGGAAAGGAAGAATAGGGAATCTGTGACCATCCATATACTATTGGACTGCAACTCTAGTCATCCCCGACTGTTGCCCAGTCTTGTTGGGTCTGATGGGAACTGTAGGCTAGCATCTTCTGGAGACCCAAGCTTCTCCTTCCATTTGGGGCTATATAATTTAGAAAAAAAGTGACTCAAAGTGCACGGGTGATATGATAGAAGTTTAGAAAATCACATGATGCTAGAATTTGTAGTTATCCCGTAAAATTGCTTGGCTGTGGACTCAGAACATGCAAAAAGAAGGGTCATCTGTACAGCATTGAAGCATGGAATTCACTGCCACAAAACACGGTGATGGCCGTTACAGGAGATCAGTGAAATGCATGGAGATTTATTGACAATTGTTAGCTATGATAACTGCATGGAGCCCCACGTTCCAAGGCCACTTGCCAGTAAATGCTGGTTGCAGGAAAAACAACAGCATGAAAGGGTTATAACCCTCACATCCTTCTTGTGGGCTTCCCAGCGGCATCAGGTTTGCCACTTTGAGAAAGAGGATGCTGGGCTAGATATAGCCCTTTAGTCTGATCTAGCAGAGTACATCAGATGTTCTTAAAATCATTTTGTTCCCTATTTAGTCCAAGAGCACAAACCAACCAGTGTAGTTGGCTGGATGGCTGTTTGCAGATACGTTGTATGGCAAAGACACAGATGCCTCCCAAGACAATTACTGAGTTATACTTCAGAAGCAGTATGACACAGGAGTTACAGCATATCTTTGTAGCAGTACAACCGCAGACCTTTCTGCTATGGAATAACGTTTTGTTAGGTTCTTTATTAGGAATATTAAATGATACAAATAAATAGACCAAGTCTTCTCATGTCATTGGTATATCACAAAAATAGCATAATGAATTTGCAGTAATATCTACAACATATGGTGCATTACTGGAGGTTAGGGTGTAAGTTATTGGTTTGTGATTTGGTTTAAACAAAAACAAAGGGGATATAGGATAGAACAGAATTAATAGGCAGATCTTTCTGAAGGAAGGCCTGAGTCAGGGTTAGACAGCTTTGTTCAACACTGGGAACCACATATGAAAAAAATGTTACAGTAATGTATCTGTCGGTACCAGCATGAGTGCTAGAAAATTTTCTTTCTTAGAAAAGTAAAATGCAGACTTCTCAGTATTCTAACAAGACCCTGTGATCAGGAGCAACAACAGCCACTCCTGACATAGACTGTGGACTTCTAAACTGATGACATTTAACTGATTGGCTCTTGATGAAGTGTTAAGGGGAGTGTCCCTCTGTGAGCATCTCATATAATGTCTTCATCTTGGACTAAGATATAATCTGGGCCAGGAAAAATAAATAAGCAGCCAACTACAGGCAAAATTGTTGTGAGAATCTGCTGAGGGTGGTTTCCTCAGTCACAAGCAGGCTGAGATGTTGGGGTAGCACCTCTTCAGAGGAGGCAAGAGGGGGAAAGAGAATATCCTAGAACAAGTCTCTGGAAGCTCTGGAGCTGGTAGACTCTCAGACCATTTGCATTTTTCCTCTGCCACTTCTTCTGCAAATTGTGTCAACATTAGAAACAAAGCATGTTTTATCCCTCCCCACCACCCCATCTTGTCTTAACCATTCAGTAAGATTTACATGAACAAAACAGAAATGGAACATGAGTCAGTTGCAGGGCTGCATGATTTAATTAATTCCACAATCACATCTCACCAGCAATTGCTTTTTTGGCACAGAACTCAACATCTTAAGAACAAGAGCTTTCTTTCTATCAGTAATTGCGGGGTGTGAGGGATTTTTGTCAGTATCATCGCTAGGGTGGGACAAACATCCTTCACATGCTGCTGTCCCAACTTAAGTTTCTAGTCTTCATGGCTTATTTGTGGGAAACATCTGGTCAAATTTCAAAAGCCAGGAGTAGGAAGGACTGGGCCAGATTTCCAGTACTCAGGGAGATGGAGAGAATGTAGTGTGCACAAAAAGCAAATGCATGCAGATTTGTATAACTTATTCTGATCACATCATTCAGCTTTACCTGTAGCAGAATTTGAGTTATTTAGGATACAGAGTTGTGAAGGGGGGGGAATGCAGAGTATGCAAAGTTTTGTTTCTCTCTCATAGCCTGCTTCACTGGATTTGCTTACTTTCCATTCACTGAATGCAATTCTTAGTGGCATCACTTTCTCAATAACACTTCTGGGTGGGTACAACTGGTTCAATTTGGGAGGGGATGTGTATGGCTTGTTTTTGTCCAACTTTTAAGCCCATTTTACATTTTGAGATGAATACTGACTCGTATGGTTACCAGTATGTGACAGCAATTGAATAAGAACCTGTCAAGAGCAAAATATGGGCAAATTGATTGTGTTGTGTCAGATAAGGCAGGAGTGGGGAACTTTGGTCCTCCAGATGTTGCCAAACTACAACTCTCATCAGTGCTAGCAAGTGTGACCAGGGATGAGAGCTGTAGTTCAGAAACAACTGGAGGACCAAAAGTTCCCCACTCCTGCCTAAGATAAGGGTGTGTCCAGATGAACTGTTTATTGTAGGTTTATCCTGATTTGCTAGTACAGGTACTAAGCTTACAAGGAGGTTTGGATATACAGTGGTACCTCGGGTTAAGTACTTAATTTGTTTCAGAGGTCCGTTCTTAACCTGAAACTGTTCTTAACCTGAGGCACCACTTTAGCTAATGGGGCCTCCTGCTGCCGCCGTGCTGCCGGAGCACAATTTCTTTTCTCATCCTGAAGCAAAGTTCTTAACCCGAGGTACTATTTCTGGGTTAGCGGAGTCTGTAACCTGTAGCGTATGTAACCTGAAGCGTATGTAACCCAAGGTACCACTGAAATTCATTCTGATTTCTTTGCAGGGAGTTATATGAAAATGAACATTCATCCTGATTTACTTGTGGAGCGTTTACACATCATCCTGTTAATCATTCTTTCATCTCACACTTTTCAGTGTATTTTCAAGTCATCTTCCGAACAGCAAAAAGGCAGTTTGCACTAGGGCAACAAAACACTACAATCGCTTTCAATTGCACAAACCTAAATTTCCAGGTATGCGCTTAGATCCCTCCCACAAAATACTGACATCCTGGATGCACCTCAAGGAAGCTGAGTTAGAGAGCGGCTTCTGAGAAGTACATTTTCTCAAGCCATTCTGAATCCCCCTTCTGAGTTTGGAGAAGGCTATTTGAAAGAGGCTGTAGACACATGCTTTTCATGCAGAAGATCCCAGGTGCCTTCCTTGACATTGCAAGTGAAAAGCATCAAATGGCACATTGGTGCTGAGTATATGGGGCAGAGGGGGCTTCATCCCCTTCAATATTATGGGGCTCAGCCCCAGTATCTAGTTTGTATGGTGCATTTTAATTGGTCATATCATCCTGCCACCATCTCTGAATGCTTACTGTCCCTCTCCACACCTAGCAAGGTATTGCCACCTAGTGAGCTGGAAGTCACACAACAAAGGGTAAAACCACGCATGACACTAAGTCATGTGTAGTTTTTCTCTTAACTTTTTAAAAAAAATAAGGTGCAACTAGGGAGGCTGTAATCTACAACATGAGACCTGGGCACAGGATGGGGCTGCTTAACTCTTTCCCTTACATCAGGCTTCTGACTAAAATTGCTTACCCATCCCTCTTAGCTTCCTCAACAGGGGGAAATGTATGCCACTTTGGCAGGAAGTCTTCAATCCTGTTTTGGGCATTGCTGAGGCCTTATTTCTAACTCAAGGTTGAGTGTGGGGCCTGCAGGTCTGCATTTCTTCCTTGCCTCTGTACCTATAACATTTCTTCATTGTATATCAGCAGGGTCTAGATGAAGCATTTAACAGCAAAGACACAAATGAGAGCTTCTCATCCCATTGGAGATGTGCCTGTCCACAAAGGTGCACACTTTGGCCTGGTTTCAGACTTGAGTTTGACTTTTATGGTGTCTCAAAACTTCCAGTTTGCACCTCCTGCTAGAGACCAGGTGTGCAATTGTCATGACCCAAACTTGCTTTCTATTTCCCCCTCTCTTCTAGTTTCTTTCTTACTTACTGGGGCTCAGACTCAAGAGGTGCTGGAAATCCACAACCTCTCTGAGGTGTGCAGCCCTTTTCTGGCTGAGCCGTGCTTCAAAGTCAGGTCTTCCCATGGGTCAAGTGCCAACACCTGACTTGAGAGGTGCTCTCTACATAACACAAGATAGACAGTGATGACGAAAATCAAGACTTACGTTTGACAGTGCTACGAGATTCCTGGAACCCAGCTGGCTCCGAACCCCAGCCCAAGGATTCACATTCACGCTCTGCCCCTTGCCCATGCCTGGCACCTGAGCCTGCACCTCCTCTTCCCTTCTCTGCCAGCCAGCACATCTTCCACAGCCCCACACTGCGCTTTCGCCCATCCTCCAAGGTCTGATACACCCAGTTGGGGGTAAAGGCAGCGGCGTTGTTGAGAATAAGTGAGACCAGAGCTACCAACACAGCTGTGGCTACCAGCTTCTGGACAGTCATATCTGACTGTCATCAACCGCTGGCAGCCTCTCTTTGTAGAAGATCCAAGAGTCCCGATCAGCTGCAGTACATTTAATTGGGGCTGCAGATGGGAGGCAGGCGCAGGATGAAGTTATGAATGGCTAGAGAACATCACCATTCATTCTCAAAGTCAGCTCCTGGGGGGTTTCTGATTGCACAAAGAGCGACTAGGCAGAGAGGGGCAATCCATATAACGAGCAGAAGCGAGGCTTCCAGAGTTCTGTCTTCCCAAGCGGTGCCTTATCCACCTTCCTGCACTTTGAGCAGAGCCAAGCTGGTGAAGAGCTGAAAGATGAGGTGCATTCTTTCTGGAACCAACTTGCGAAATGTTGATGTAGGAAGTGCTGCGTTCTTGGACAGTAGAGGCTAAAATGCCTGCAAACGGTGCCGGGTGCCTCAACCTTCTGGAACACAGCTGTGAGAGGAGACTAAGATCTGCATAGGAGTTAGGCAGCAAGAGCTCTTAAATCGTTTCACAGCTGCCCCAAACTCAGAGCATCCCACAGACGCAGTAGAAATTCATTCTTAACACCAAGAGAAATTCTGAGGAAAAATTCAACACTTATTCCCCAAGGAGCCCTGGAAAGCTGGTGTATTCCAAGGAAATCTGTTCTGCTGTCCCTGTTCTTCTGCGAATGTCAGGGCTGTGCGAGGTAGAAGCAGGATAGCAGAACCTCTGCTGCAAGGAAGTTTTTTCCTCCTATCTCTCAATGGAGAGGAAATCGTTGTTTTTGTGGCTGTTTTTGGTGAGCCTCAGGGCGTAGCCGGCTGCAACAAACAGAGCCACTGCCACAGCAGTCAGATGTGAACAGGATGTGTTTCCTGAAAGGAAAAAGACTAAGGGAGACTTCTAAAGTTCCAATCTCTCTCTGTCTCCCCCCCTGCCCTCCCCCCATAAGCCTCCCCCATTCCAGTATTCTCCTCCCTCTCTCTTCCTTTGCTTCCCAGAAAAATGTAACCAGTTCAGTGATATTGTGTTAGTAGGATTAGTTTTACAGGTCCTTTTATGTGCCAGATTCAGCTGTTGGGGCTTGAGCCAATTATGAAACCCGACTGGGAAAATCAAGGCTTTTCAGGGACTAGAGTTATCTGGGCCTCTTCCCAAGCAAAATTAAAAATCAAACTCTCAGATCCTGGCAATGAAAGCAAGAAGTTTGGAGATCTTTTTTTTTTTTTTAAATGCTTACTGACAGGAAAAATAACCAAAAGTATGTGAGGGGAAATTGTCACTTGGGAGTTTCTCTTGCAGTATCTGTCTTACAAAGACAAATTTAGCATCGCATCATGCTGATGTGCACTTTATGAGAGTAATTCCATTTGCAGGACAAAAATTGGTCATGTTGATGAGTGCTAAGGACAGTCAAGCAACTCTTTCCCCATTATTTTTTTTTTGGGTGGGTGGGTGTTACTACAGCTCTTGTCTTTATTTGCAAAAGCTAATTTTACTTTAAAATATGCCTTTCACATAAAAAATTGAAAACAGCTAATGACCTGAAAGTATTCAGTAAAAATAAAACTATAGTAAAAAGCAGTAAAATGCTCATAAAAACAGACAGCAGATGTAAAAAGAACAAAAGCAGAAATGTGTGTGAATAATATCAAACAGTGGCAGAAGTATCCAGTAAAAAACAACCACCTGGCAATTGGAGCAATAAATAAATAAAGGTGCAACTTGTGCTCCTCATTCATATCATATCTCTATTTGTTGCTGTTTAATCGTTTAGTTGTGTCCGACTCTTCGTGACCCCATGGACCAGAGCACGCCAGGCACTCCTGTCTTCCACTGCCTTCCGCAGTTTGGTCAGACTCATGTTTGTAGCTTCGAGAACACTGTCCAACCATCTCGTCCTCTGTCGTCCCCTTCTTCTTGTGCCCTCAATCTTTCCCAACATCAGGGTCTTTTCCAGGGAGTCTTTTCTTCTCATGAGGTGGCCAAAGTATTGGAGCCTCAGCTTCACAATCTGTCCTTCCAGTGAGCACTCAGGGCTGATTTCCTTAAGAATGGATGCGTTTGATCTTCTTGCAGTCCATGGGACTCTCAAGAGTCTCCTCCAGCACCATAATTCAAAAGCATCAATTTTTCGGCGACCAGCCTTCTTTATGGTCCAGCTCTCACTTCCATACATCACTACTGGGAAGACCATGGCTTTAACTATACGGACCTTTGTTGGCAAGGTGATGTCTCTGCTTTTTAAGATAAGGTGTATCTCTATACACAGTTCCTAATATAGTGGTAAAACTAAATCAGTGGTGGACAATGTGTTGCCCTCCAGATACTGCTGGACTCCAACTCCCATCATCCCCAGCCAGCATGGCTTAATGTTTAGAGATGATGGCATTCATTAGTCTCAAGAGACAATGGAGTACACTTACAGGGGTGAAATCAAAATGCTGCCTTAGCAGCACTTAAGTGACCTTCTTGGAGTGCAAGCCTAGGCAGTGTATGTGGAGGTCCTGGGCTGCCCAAACAACAATACTCACTTCTTGGCATCTCTCATGTGGTCCAGAGGAAAGTACAGCAATACATTTGACACCAGCTGGGCTGCAGGAGTTGACGGAAGGATGTGTACAAGGCACCATCCAACTGTCTTAGGGATTCAACTCTGGATTTGTGTAGGGTTTACTCCTTAGCCTTCTCTTCTCCTGAAGATATCTCTCAAGGCAGCGGACGTTTAGAATCAAAGTGTTTCTTCCAGATGGGCTACCTTCCCAGGTTGATAAGCCCCATCTGCCCCTAACTTTCCTCTATAGTATGTGCAGTAACCACCTTCTTGACCATTGGGCACACTGTTGGTCTTGTCTGCTCAATTTACCAGAGCCTGTCTTCACATGCAGGGAAAGTTCTTAATTTACCAAGGGTTTGAGATCCGTGGGAGATCTGGAGCAATATCTGGAGGGCCACAGACCTGCCTCCCCCACCCCCACCCTCCGCCAAACTATAAGACTAGCAGGTAACTGTAGCTTGAAATTAGTATGAGTTTTGCTTTTTTTAGTTTTTGAATATTCAAGGTTGTAGCAATCTCAATTATGCTCAGAGTAGGCCTACTGAAATTAATGAAACTAAGTTTGGTATGTCCATTAATTTCAATAGTAGGGCTAGCATTAGATACAATCCTCTGTGTCTTTCTTCCTTTTTTGCATAATTTTTGTGTTAGCTATATACTGCACTAAATCCAAACGTGTGATGATTACATCATTTTAAGCCCGAGTTGCAGGTGTTCTTGGCTTTCTTTGGGAAACAACACATGCTTATACCCATCTTTTTCTTTTATAAAAAATAATCACACATATGTAGATAGTAGAATGGACTGGGGAAAGGGTGATGTCTGTGCCACAGAACTGAATTGGTTTAACTGTCATTTGTCTCATCAGCAAATTCTGCCTCGTTTGAGATCTCTAACAGAGATCTGCACCCACACCAAACTACAGCTGTGAGGATTCTCTGCAGGATGTCATGATAGCTAAAAGCAATATAACTTGGTATCTGCTTTGCTTTTGCTCCTGCAGCTAAAATACATGGGCGAACGGCAAATAAACCCATTATAAGACCGGGCTTTTTCCAAATGCACAACCTATAGGTATCATGCAGAAACTTCACCCTGTTAAGTTGACTGAAGCCAGTGTATGGCAGGAGTTTGGTGACATGCGCCAGAAATGGAAGTAAGCTGTACAGTGGCCCCTGCATATAATTTCCAGCTGTCATTTGTGTGCTTGAAGCAAACCGTAGAGGAACCCAGAGCGGAAGGTGTTTCTGGGGACTTGGGCATCCTTCTGTTTCTACTTCTGAAAGTGGAAGCGGGAGGGAGAAGTATGAGCCAGCTGGGAATAGTGCTTTGCCCTCTTCCTGGCCCCGGCCTAGGGTGTGTTTTTTTAACTCAGGAAATCTTGAGGTCCATTTCAGTTATATAGTTCTTCAATATGGCTCCCATCCTGATGGGGACCTGGCAGGATGATACTTTTCCTTCTCTAGTTCCTGTCTCCTCCTGGGGAGGGAAGCAGGTGGGGCTGGGTAGAGGGGACAAAGTTGTTTGTACTGTTCCACATTAGGGTTCTTCACATTCAGTGTTGTGTTGTTGCTTTTTTCCAATGAGAAAGCTGAAATTAGTCATCAGGCATTTACGTATACTGTGGTTTTCCTGGGGTTTGTGGAGTTGTTTGCAGCTGTCACCCAGACAAAGCCAGCCCATCATGTGCTCCTATTGCATGGAGAATCAGTGTTTTATTACCATTCAAGTCACTAACCCAGCTTGCTGGTAAATGGCAGTCCTTGGCTTCCTACTTCTATCAGTGTGGCTGAGTGTTAGCTCAGTTACATCACTGTCAAGCATGTCACACACACACACACACCCCTTTACCCCTATCATTTTTTAATCCCCCACCAGTTGCCAGTTGTCTCTCCCCCCCCCCACTTTACTATTATGTTCTTCTGTGCTATTGGAGGCTGTGCACTAATCTGTTGGAGCATATTTGTCCTGCAAAAGATAAAATTTTCTCCTTCCCCCACCCGCAGCAAAGCTATCCTCATTTATTTTAATTCAATGGGAAGTGACTTTCGCAGTGTTAACATGGCATTGCTGCCTTCTGTTGAGCAGGTGTCTTTCTCTTGCAAGGTCCATAACAAGAAGGGCTGTAGCTCAGTGGTATATCTGGGTGGACCAATGGCCTGACTTGGCATAAGACAACTGCATATGTTCCGTTGGACAGTTGAAGATTTGTTGATTTGAAGAAAGGATGCTCAATCATAGCCCTTGCAAAATTTGGTCATATTTTTTAGTTCCCACATCTAGTGGTGAAGTTGATTGTCCATTTTTACATACTTTGTTTTTGTGACTTGTATATGTTACTAAGGTACTGCAATGTTCTCAGTTTTAGATAACGTTTAAGCCTTATGAGAGTTGCTGTTCCGCAACGTAATTCAGGATGCCCCTTTTTTCAGTCTTTAGTCCACTTGCTATTCTGAAAAGCATCTCAATCACATCAGTGATAGATTTTGTGAACAAGGTGCAATATATCCTATACTTCTAGAGAGGAATGTAAGAAGGCATCATTTTCCATTCCACCCTTTGTTTTTTACATGCAGCACTGTTTCCATTCCACTGCAGTTCATTTCCCTCCAAAATCCATATTATTTGTCATGCTGTTTCCTATGGCAAAACTTCTGTAATTTAGTTAATTAATGACATCGATTATGTTGCCATTATGTTATTCCACCCCATCCATTTCAATGCAAAGGAAACACAGTTTAAATAGGGGGAAACATAATCAATTATGTATCATTTGTGGGCTAAAAGCAGCAACCGTAGCAATACTGGCTGTGTTTGCTGGTTTAATTTTCATTCTGGACATGGGACAAATAATCAAACATCATCAATTTTCACTCCAGTTTCTGTTTTCAGCAGAATTGTCCCACATTACTTCTTCTAGTTGATGCTCTGTCCTTTTGATTCGAATGAATGAAATACAAATAAAGTGTGTGTTGGGGGGGAGCAAATGACAAGAAAACATCCAAGTCTGGAATTGTTATAATTAAATGTATAATTTCATAACACTTTTAAAATGCATGTTTTGCTTTTATCCTCACAACTCTATGAAGCGGGCAGCTTGCGTTCCCATTTTACAGGTGGAAAACTGAGGATGTGCCCCTTTAAATGAGGGGAGAAATATTGTAATCCATCACTTCTCCCTTGCTGCATCTGGTCTTTGTTAGGACCTCTTGCTCTAGCTGATGAAGTGCAGATGTGAGGTAGCATTCCAAAGATAAACTCAGGAAATTCTCAGAGTCTGCTGTGGGGGGCTGAGTTGGTTGTTATTTGACTTTTGCTCTGTTTTGTTTGGGGTGCTGAGCTTAATATTCAGCAGGAAAAGAAGTGGCCTTTGATAGACTGCACTGACAAAAACAGCAGCCTTCAAGAGGGAGATTCCATGAGACGTTTTTAAAGATAATAGGTCTGTGCCTTCTGTCCATTAACATTCCTTCTAATTCCTTTAGTTTGCCATCTTAATTGCATTTTCTGAAGAGCAGAGATGCTTAAGGATCAGTCTGCATTTTTAGTGAACCAACTTGATTTACACTTCCCTGGATGAATGCAGAGACTGCAATACAATTATTCTTTGAATTTTGCAATACATGTTTTGATTCAGAATGGTTTCTGGCATTCAAACATCAAAGATGACCCTCGCCCAAACTTTGGGAACCCTCATGCCTAGTTTGGCAATGATATCTCGAGTGGCAGTCAAAGCAGTGTCAAAAAACAGGCAAAATCATGCCAAAGTGATGTTTTGGTCTGCCAACCTGATTCAATCAAAATGCCATCTAGTGTCAGGGATGGCAGGGCTCCGAGGTGTGTGTGGCAGAGGCAGGGGGCTCTGAGACTGATCCAGGAGAAGGGGTCAACAATTTGTGGGGTTTTGTGTCTCCCATGAGGCAGGAGCCGTGGCTGAAGGAAGGGGAAGAGGCCAAGCAGTTGGAGACAGGGGAGGAGGTGCAGGACATGCCAGGAGCAGACTGTTCCTGAGATGACTGGGCCAGTAGAATCCCCTCCATCCTCTCTGCCACTGTCTCCAAGGACCAGGAGGGGCTTGAAGAGGCAGACACAGCAACAACTTCCATGTAGGAGAAGTTACAGGTTGCTTGCATGCACTCTGTCAAGCAAGGGTGCTTAACTTTAGGTGGAGGTGTGGTCACACTGTTGCTGCAACAGTGCAGCTTGAAGCCAGGGGCATCAACTTGCCCCCCCCCCCACATTGAAGGGGTGCTGTCATGTGATGCGTCACGGCATGCACCATGCAGGGGTGGGACGCGCGGAGGGCTCTGTGCTTGCATGGCCCAGCCACAGCCAGGGAGCTGAGCTGCGGCTGGGATGAGCAAGCGTGGAGATTGCCCTCCACACTTGTCCAAGCCGCCTCCTGACTTCTGGGCTGCTGGGCAGAGGCTGGGGCTGGGGCTGGGACATGTTGAGGGTGCCCGCTGGCAGCAGGGGGTGGCCCTGCACCCTGCAAAAAAATATTGGGGGAGCTAAAGCCCCCTCCGTTGCCGCTGCACAAGCCTGGGAAGGGGATGCTGTAAGGAGGTGTGTGTTAATTTGAATTTATGATATGGTTTATCTCTCTAGATCATGGCATGAGCATAGGATTGACATAACTCCCATACAATATGAGACCCTCCATGATTAGCTTCGGTGACTTTGGAAAAAGACTGATCCCAGCCCCCTGCTGAAAGGCATTTGGGCATATTCTGAGTTCACCCACATCTGACTTAAAAGATTAACACGCGCAAATTTAGTTGCTAAGTACAGAATACTCAGCTTCTCAGAATGATCCATCCACACAATGCTAAGGTGATGTAAAGGCAGAGGTGCCTTGGTTCAGATAATTGCTTGCTATCAAAGTCTTTCACCCACTTGTTAAGCAAATAAGATGGCCAGCTTTAGCCATTTTTCACTAAGATGGACAAGGTGAGAATTAAGCAGGAAATTCCAGGGAAAAGTATAGAAATTGTAGGAATCACTCATTTCACAGCTGCCCCCCTTACTTGTATGCCTTGGCAAAAATGTATTTTAAAAACCTAAATTCAAAGGTTAGGTAGCTCTCACATTTCCAACAGGACAGCACTTAACCCAGCGCTCCCTCCCCTAAGACTCGACATACTCTGCCTTGCTTTAAGGACAGCCATACTTTCCTTCCCCACCTCCCTCTTTCTAGTGTGGGTTTATGGCAAGATTCTCATGCCATGCTTCCATAGGCCTTTACAATAGTTTGGGAATCTTCTACTGTTTAATCCAAGTGTGTATGTATTGTAATTTGCTACCTGCTTAGACTGTAACTTTGCTGTCTAAGCAGCAGTTTTATATATTCTATCCCTCCTATTTTATATAATAAACCAAGTTTTATTTGTTTCTTTGTGTGAGAGTTTCTTGTGGGCATAAGATTAAGGGTTAATGTGCAACCATAACAAGTACATGTCATAACTCCAGCAAAAGATCCTAAACCTCTCAGCAGTGTGTATATGTGCTGGTGGTGCACATGTAAGTTCAGGTTCACACATTGTGGCAATGCCAGCTACTTAGTCACCAGAAACCTCTCTGTGCCTCAACTGAGCAGCTTCAACAATAGGCCTGGGTAATGCACTGATAAATCATTCAGGACTGGTATGAGGGCATGTTCAGCTGCCCCAGTGTCTTCCCAAGATTGGTTCCTCCTTTGCAAAATACAACGCTCAGCATCTCACCCCTTCTTGTTTCCTGCAGTGAATCCGTCTGGGAGAACATGGCCCGCATGTGTGTGAAGACACAAAGGCTGGATGTTGCCAGAGTTTGCCTGGGGAATATGGGCCATGCTAGAGGAGCCAAGGCACTGCGGGAGGCTGAGCAAGAGCCAGAGCTGGAAGCCAGGGTAGCCATGTTGGCAATTCAGCTGGGTATGCTGGTAGGTCAGGTGTCTTTTTTCAAAGCAACCCTCTTTCATTTCATAGTAAGCCATTTGGAGAGCATGAGCGGTTCCCAAATTGTGTTGGAGCAGAAAAAAAACAGGCACTTTGAAAAGATGACTAAAGACACTTCCAGACTGCCACTATTTTGGGGCAGGATTCTGTGTCATCCTGGGAAACTCAGGCTGCACAGTTAAAGCAGATCGGGACCTCTTGCACCCGCTTTGCTTTCCCCTGACCTTCCGCTGGCATGCAGCCCTTGGGTAATTGGTCAACAGCAAATGTGACCGTCCAGCTTAAATCCATTAGCCACCTCTCGTTTAATACCAAAAGTAAACTTTAAAGGTGCTGCAAACTTGCCTTTGGAAGAGAAGCTCTATTTGACAGCTGAGAGCAAATGCTGCCCACTCTCTTCCTCCACACTTGCTATGTCCTGTCTATTGCTTTGATCTTTGTCTGATAACTTCACCCACACCCACCCAAATTCATTAGCCAACATCTAAGGCTGCGTAGTTTTCACACTTTGCTAAAAGTCCAAAGTCTGCTCTAGAGTGACAGCATTTCCCAAGCCTCCATTTATTTCTACTGGGGAATTGCTTCAGAGATTGCCAAGACTTTTTCAGCCTGTTGGACTGGAGCATGCGGAGGCCGCCTCCCTCACCAAGTGACCTAGAGGTCGGATTGCTTAGCGTTTTCCTTATTTTTATTTAAACATCCTGTTTCAGTCATAATGCTTCTATTCTGGGCTTTGTGGGCTCAATTAGTTCTTCAAATTCCTTTTTTAATTAACCCTTGCTGCTACTCAATATTGGAAGTGCGTTGTTGCCTGTCTCAAAATTGCACATTATTGCTCTTATTTTTTATGTATACATTTAGTCCAATCTTCTTAGGGCAGCATTGCAAAATTCTCTCATATTTCTAGCTTTAACACAGTTTGAAAAAAAATAGGTCATTTTCATTACACTCCAACTGAATCACGAGGAATACGTTTGTTGTACACCAGAGAGCAATCTGAAGCGTGACAAACTGCTTTCCTCTGCCTGGGCCTGGACAGTCCAACTGGAAAATGAAAATGGCAAAAATGTGATCAGTATTTTTTGCTCTCTCAATCTGCCCGCAGTTCATGAGAAACACAATATAAAAATTATTAGTAATTTACAAGTGACAGCTCACTTGTTCAGCTGCATTATAGATTTGGGGGTGGGGGTTGGCTAGTTGAGTACTTTTCATCACTTATGGTGTGGGTACCATATCATATTTATTTATTTGAAACTTTACTTCCTCTCAGTCTTCTAAATATCAGGGGAGTTCACAATGCTCAAAATTGCAACATTGTCATTCCCATTTTTAAACTTAAAAATTCAAAAAGACACATGTCAAAAAGACACACTCTTTACATAACTAAATGTATTATTTTCTACTAAACACTTTGTATAATGATTAGTGGACTTATTGTTCCTTATCACTTACATTTTTATTGGCCAAATACTCGTTTTCTTTTTTTATCACCCACATTAGTTTGCTTTTCATCAGATAATTATTATATTGTTTGCGCAATGCACTTTTTGTCGTTCTGAATCACTCACCTCTCGTGTATCCAGATTTTGTTTAATTGATTTCTCATTGTTGCATTTTTGTCTTTTGTATTCCCATTTTCCTTTTTGTACAAAGTATATGCGCATGCATATAAAAATTGCATAATTTCCAAAGCACTCTTCATTCTTTAGCTGTCTGATCTCCATTCCAGGAAGATGCTGAGCAACTGTATAAGCAGTGCAAGCGCTATGACCTTTTGAACAAGTTCTACCAGGCCTCAGATCAGTGGGACAAAGCCATAGAAGTAGCCGAGGTTCATGACCGCGTCCACCTGCGCACCACCTACTACAGTTATGCAAAGCACCTGGAAGCCATAGCCGAGCGCAATCTTGCACTGACCTAGTAAGTATTAATTTGAGTCCCAACCCAAAGTTGTATCCAACTCTGTGCACAGAGGGCTCAGCTCACACAGCAGGACTTCCCATTCTTCTCCTCTCCTTGCACCCCCCAAAAAAACACCCTGTTCTGGTGGATACCCCAAATCCTCTTAAGCCAATTTTGAGGGTGCATGATGGTGCTCCAGGGAAGAGGAATGGAGGGGGAAATGACCGTGTTGGATGCAATCTCCAGTTCTATGGGTGTCTGCAAAGGATTGCTGTTAGAGCAGTCCGAGCTATATCAGCATCCTATTCCTAGTCGTGATACGATTTTGTTGGCATACGAACACCTAGTAGCCAATTTTTTCAGTTAATACACCTGTTTCATGTTCTTGCTGTTCTTGATATAAGTAGAACAGTGCATAGCAGTGCCACTTTCCCAGTCCTGAAAACCTAGGCCCTGAAAACCTAATGAAAACATGCTGTTTTCCTGCACAGCTATGAGAAGTCAGAGACACACAAGTTTGAGGTTCCTCGAATGCTTTCAGAAGATCTACAGGCCTTGGAGTCTTACGTCAACAAGATGAAAGATAAGTGAGTGTTTGTGTGATCCCTCCATGCCAGACTGAACTCTGCTCCAGCTGCCAGTTGCCCTGTGACTGAAGTAGAGAGGGCAAGATCATTCTGGTCTTATTTGCTGGCCAGACAAAGATCTTCTGGTAGTTCTGCCCTCTCCTTCCCAGCCTGCTGTCAAATGAATATAAATCATAGAATTGTAGAGTTGGAAGAGAACTCGGGGGTCATTTAGTCCAACCCCATGTAATGCAGGAATCTCAGCTAAAGCATCCATGACAGATGGCCATCCAGCCTCTGCTTAAAAACCTCCAATGATCTCTCATGCCACATGAGATCCAGTGGCTTCTGTTTCAGAGGCTGTGATCATAAGTCACTTGTACTTGGTCAGCCTTATTGCATTGGCATTCTAGAGTAGCTGTATCTTGGGTGAAGCATCCTCGGGGTTCCTTTTCAGACTCTGACATCTCCACCCCGTCTTGTCCCTCACATCTAGATTGTGCACCCTCTGGGCAGAAGCCATAGCACTTGTTTTGTTGCAAAGCTAGTGCTCTAGCTGTGTTGTGTTTTGCATCTAGTAGGACACACTGTTTAATGAGTTAATTGAGTCATCCTTTCTCCGTTTTCCAGAGGCTTGTGGAAGTGGTGGGCCCAGTATCTGGAAGGTCAGGCAGACATGGATGCGGCTTTAAAATACTACGAACTGGCTCAGGATTATTTTTCCATGGTCCGTATTCACTGTTTCCTGGGTAACACCCAGAAGGTAAGCTTGAACCACTTCACTATTCCATCTAGAAAGGAAAGGCAGTATATACATTCTTTCAGTACTATTAAGCTTCCTTTCTGTGAGTTCTCTAGCACTGGCAGCCATTTGATGCTTTAACCTGGGCAGTAAGTATAATGGTTTTTCTTCTCCCTCCTTTCATTTCAGGCAGCGGAAATAGCAAATGCAACAGGGAACTGGGCAGCTTCATATCACGTCGCCCGTCATTATGAGAGCAATGATGACATCAGCCAGGCTGTGCACTTCTACACCAGAGCACAAGCTTTTAACAACGCTATTCGGTTGTGCAAGGTACATGCAGCATTCACACACCACATCAGTTTCCAAATGAAACCATAGAGAGCCCTTTGACTCACAGCTGTGGCGATAATGGGAAAAGCCAGCCACAAGGGCCAAAAAACGCAAAGAGATTCTCAAGTACAAATTCCTGCTAGTTGTTATTGTCCCTGTGTTGTGGATGCTATTCAGCACATTCAACCTGAGGATTCTAGAGAGAAGTCATGGAAATGTGATGTCATCAACATTCTTCCATATTTTTTTGATTAAAGTATCAGTAGTGTCAGCAGGCCAGAGAATCGCCTTTTTCCAAGTTTGAGGTTTGTGTAGTGAACAAAGGCAATTTTCCGGCAGTGGAGGTACAACCTGGAAGGAAGATGTATGTGTCCTTTGCACCAAAAGTGTTACAAGGGTGCTTTGTCTTCTCGCAAATGAATTCTGTTTGCGTAAGCTAAAACTGATAGAGCTGCTGCTATTATTTCCTGGGTCTGGTCTGAAGGCACTTGCTTGAAGCTAAACAGTCCTGGGGCAAGTCAGTGCCTAGAAAGGAGACCACCCGGGAACCTCTGTGGGTTCCTTTCACAGAATAAAGCTAGCAATGAAATGAATAAATATTATTTAAAATTTCTTAACTGCCTGGCTCTTTAGAACTCCAAATACATGTAAATTAAGATAGCAAACAAGCAATTTAATTGTCCAGTTCAAAGGAATTGCATAACATTGGGAACTATGAGATGCTTTGGTTTCTGGTTTTCATCTTGTATTCTCAGTTTTAACTGTGGACATTAGCAATGGACCCCCAAGAAGGGAGGTTCTAGAGAAGAGTCATAACCGGCTGCCTGAGGTGAAGGGCAAGATGGCACCTCCCCAGTTACACTGCCAGAAGCCAGCTGGCATAGCAGTTGAATCTTACTTCAGCACTGGTGATAGGATAGCATCCTTCATCATGCCAGAGATTATAAAGTCGGATTAAGGGACCCAGGAGAGGCCAAGTGGCAACATTTGGGAATGGCTGGAAACTCTGGAGGAACAGCTAGGCACTGTTGCTGCTGCCATCTCTCAGCATCAGCTGCCTAAGGCGGTTGCCTCAGTGTGCCTCGTGGGAGGTCCAACCATAACTAATACAGTAAATATTTTTGGAGTAGGAGAACAATCTGGATGACCAGCTGATGAACCTGGCTCTTCTCAGCTCACCAGAAGACATGATAGAAGCAGCCCGCTATTACGAAGGGAAGGGGGAACAAATGGACAGGGCAGTGATGCTGTATCACAAGGTAAGCCCTTCTGTCTCTGTGGGAAGTCCCTTTCTCAAATCAAATGAATACTGCTGTGGGAGGCATAATTCTTTCCTGGTGGCTGATCGGCAGCTTCTGTACTGCAGTGGCCATGTGGACTTGCTCATTTTTAAGTGGGCCTTGAAAACATGTGTTTTCATATATGTGTGTGTGTGGCTTTGTGGTGCTGTTTTAATTCCAGTTATATGCTGTTTTCATAGTCACACTGTGTGATGATGGCTGTTTTAAAACTGTGTGGTGTTGTTGTTCATTAAACTTGTGTACTGCACTTCAAGATCACGGCGAAGTTCACATCATAAAAATACAAAATGAGAACACAAAGTAATAAAACAAAAGCAAACCAATAATTTCCCTACCACAAACATGTTTAAAAGGTTGAGGACAGTTAACCAAGACACATTTCCCCTGTGCCTCTCCCAACAGAGGACATAATACCAAAGCAGTTTTATGTGCCAAAACTGGGCCTAAACCCTGGTTGCAATGGATCTAGACAATCAATTTCCTGCAAGAGCACCTGGCTCTGGTCTGCAACCATCCATTCAAGAACCTTGCCGAAGGAGGGGAGATTAGCAACTGGCTGGTAGTTACTTAGATTTTCCAAATCCAGGGATGGTTTCTTGAGGAGTGGTTTTACCACTGCTTCCTTCAAGCACAGGCACCACCCCGTCCCATGGGGAGGCAAGAACAGAGACATACTTAGCAGTTGCCCTGACCAGTCCAAGCACCTTGTCTTTATATTGTCGTATGCTCAGTATGCATATATTTGTGTTTACTGTGCTGTGAAGAAATCTTTCTGCAAAGTGGATTATAAAGAATAACAAAAATCTGGAAGCTAAAACCTCATGTCTCCTTTGACAGGCAGGACACTTGTCCAAGGCTCTGGAGCTGGCTTTTGCCACAGAGCAGTTTGGAGCCCTGCAGCTCATTGCTGACGATTTGGACGAGAAGTCGGACCCAGCCCTGCTGGCTCGTTGCTCTGACTTCTTCATTGAACATGCCCAGTACGAGAAGGCCGTTGAACTCTTGCTAGCTGCCAAAAAGGTAACCTGTATATATGACATTACAGCAAATGGCAGCCTTGTCCTCTATGCCCTCAGTTCTTGACCTTGTAATCCGTAAACCACCATTTTTAGGAAACATTCTCAAAATCTCCTCTGGACTAAAGCTTTGCATGGGCAAAACTTTGTTTGGCAGGCAGAACGGTTCAAGTATAATAGGAGCTTGTAATGGCTTGGCTTTGGTTACTCTTTCAGTGATGTCTTATTTTCCATTGTGTTGCTAGGAATCACCTTTGAAGCACTGCACATTCCAAAAAAAAGAGCTCAGCCTCAGTTAGAAAGTGCTCTTCAAAAGATGCTCTCATCCTAGGGCTTAGGCTTGGCAAATTGTATTGTCCTCCTTCCCTCCCTCTCCACCTCCACTCACCTTGCAAGATCTTACTCTGTTTGTTCTGTCTTGCAGTACCACGATGCTCTCCAGCTTTGTCTGACACAGAATCTGACCATCACCGAGGAGATGGCTGAGAAGATGACCATTTCAAAGGACTCCAAAGAGGTCCCAGAGGACTTGCGACGGGAACTTCTGGAGCAAATTGCCGACTGCTGCATGCGGCAGGGCAATTACCACATGGCCACTAAGAAGTACACACAGTCGGGGAACAAGCTGAAGGCAAGTTGTGCCGCACTGCTGTGGCTGCTGGCAGGAGCTGATGCTAGTAAAAGGTTTCTGGAAGTCTGAGCACTGGTGGCCAAGGGCACCTTTTATTAACTTCGGCTGGTGAAGTTACCAGAGAAGGACCTAGGAAGATGCCTTTGGGAAGCCCAAAACTGGGCAAGAAGGAAAGAGAGGCCTGTTGTTCTCCAGCAAATGTTACCACCTCTGAACCTGGAGCTTGGACAACCTCTCCTCCCTGTCACCCATGCTTTTTTGTTTTCTGTAATGTACAGTATAATTCAGAATGTTGCAGTCTGTCACCTTAGGAATGAGGTGGCAAGAACATATTACTCCCAGTCCTTGATCTTCTGCACTTGCTTCCTGTTAGCTTATCTTGATTTAAGGTGCTAGTTATCACAGATAAAAACCCTATGTACTGATTGTCTTCAGCCTAAGAGTGTGGGGATGGGAATTTTTTGTGGGGTCCTAAACTTTGGACTGAAACATGCAATTCTGCAGGTCTTTCTTTCCTAGCTCTCTCTGGTTTGCTGCTGCTGTTTGCCACAGACAAATGCAAGCCTCACCAACTCTGCCCCTTCATTTGCAGGCAATGAGAGCCCTGCTCAAATCGGGAGATACAGAGAAGATTGTGTTCTTTGCTGGTGTCTCCAGACAGAGAGAGATTTACATCATGGCTGCCAACTATCTCCAGTCCCTGGACTGGCGCAAGGACCCAGAGATTATGAAGAACATCATCAGCTTTTACACCAAAGGGAGGGCTCTTGACCTCTTAGCTGGTTTCTACGATGCTTGTGCTCAGGTGCGTAGGTGTTTCTCAGATACAGAGTTTGGGTTGCACAAGAGAAAGTGAAGTTCATCCCATTTACTTTCTCTGCAGGTAGAGGTGGATGAGTACCAGAACTATGAGAAGGCACTGGGAGCCCTAACCGAGGCGTACAAATGCTTGTCAAAGGCGAAGACACGCAGCCCCGTTGAGCAGGAGAGCAAACTTGCACTCCTCCACAGCAAGATGGCCCTGGTGAAGAGATTCATTCAGGCCCGGAGGTGAGAGGGAACAGCCAAGACTTCTGTGCATTGGGAATGCTGCACAATCTTTGTCAAAAGCATCCTGAACTTCTGCAGTTCAGGAGGCTCAATCGGAAAGAGGTTGTGAATGATAAGCTGGACACTCACTAGACTCTCGGGATGGTTCCCCCTTCCACTATGTCTGCTTCAGGCTGGCTTTGCGACTGACACAGCAGCCAGCCTATCGGAACTGTACACAACCCTGCTCTTATTCCTGGTGAAGAACAGAAGGGTGGGGGCAGAGTCTTGGCAGTGTATGATGAAAACTCTGGTATTTGTGAGTGGGGATGGAAACTTGTGTGCTTCTTGGAGCTTCAACTCGCCTGCAGTCTATGCTTTCTGCTCTTTCCTTAGTCCCTTCTAAAATATTCAGGGAGAAAGGAAATACTACTGCTTGGAGCATGCATGAATTTAGATTTCTATACCTGATAGGCATCAAACAGTTTTTCCACTAAGAGGCAAATGATATAACAAAAGCTTTTCTCCCATAGCACTTAGTGTCTGATGTTTCCCCTTCCTAGGCTTTATTCAGAGGATCCCAAGGAGGCAGTAAGGCAGTGTGAGCTACTCCTGGGTGAGCCAGACATCGACAGTGCCATCCGCCTGGGAGATGTTCTCGGCTTCCTGGTAGAACACCACCTACAGGTCCAAGAATTCCAGATGGTGAGTGGTCCAAGCTCTTTCAAGGGTATTTCAATAAAGACAAGCCTCCTTGATAAGACATGGGCAGACCCATTCAAAATATTCAGCACCACACAAGTGTTGTTCTTGTGAGATTGTATCACCACAGATAATATGTGGTGGTACAATTCTGCATACTATTTTGTATGCAAAATACAACAGAAGCATACTTGAATTCTTTCTTGCATGTATTTTTAGAACTCCCTACACACAGAGAGCTAGAATGTCAGGGAGCAGCCCTTCCCTCAAGTACTAGTTTTCTACCTGTGAGAATGGGGAATATTCAGGCATGCAGATCTTCCACTTAGAATCACTGGAGTAAGTGAATGTGTAGGAATGTGTAGTAAGTTTAGGAATGTGTAGGTCAGCTCTCAGAAGCACAAATGGAAAATAGCTCACTAGAAGTGTAATGTCTAAACCAGTCCTGAATAAGATTATTATATAGTTGGATGGCAGGAGGTGGCAGTTCCAAATATAATTTATAAACATTATCATCAGGGGATATTTCTTTGCTCTTACCAACACCTGGTGTGCGGGGAGGAAGGGGGGAGCCACAGACAAGCAGAGGAAACAATTGTGTTGAACCATCTGGAGATGCAATGATTCATTTGCTAAGAGCAGGAAGTGTCAACATGACCTAGTGTAAAATAGGGAAGGCAGAATTACTGGCTGTGGGCGAAAGGAACTGCTGCTCTGGAACAGCCAGGTGCTCTCTAGTCACATGGAATTCAAGCAAAAAAATGAGCTGCATTAAAAGACACTGCCTGGCAGCAAATCTGTTCTGCAGACAGATCCTGCCGGACTATTAGCCGTCTAATGCCAGGTTTCCCAACTAGTACTGCTAACATCTACCTATACACTGCAACATCTTTAAACAGTCTGTCTCTTGGCTTCCAGCCCTTTAATGCAGGTTCTAACTATATGAACATGAAGGAATACAAATTCTAGATATTATGGAGCCTTGGGAATCACTCATACAGCTAATGAAAACCAGCATCTCACAACCCTTCTGCTGTTGGTATAGCTATTAGAAAACTCCTTAGTCAGATGTTGAAAACCAGTGGATATGGTTTCACAAAGACAACTCAAATCCGTGGTTATGATTGCACTGTTCCAGTATAAGCAGATAACGGCTTACAGTCTGAGCTTAAAATAGCTTGTCAGTGCCACAGTCACCTGGAGGTAGATTTTTTTAGTTCATTTTACCATTCTGTTCAAGTGAGAACAACCCTTGACTAGGACATACTTTTGTTCTCCCTAGGCCTACCGGTACCTAGAAGAGTTGCGGAAAAAGATTCCCTGCGTCAACCTCAATTACTATGTGAGCCAACAGACTGTGGAGGCAGTCCACAGGGGACTGGGCATTCCTCTGAGCCGAAACACTGCCCCAGAGAGGGTTCGCCACAACAGCATGGAGGAGAAAGGAGTGGAAGACGAAGTGGCTGATGAAGCAGAGGCTTCCTAAGCAGTCTGAGCTTGGTCCCTGTAAGATGGTAACTTCTATTCCTGCACTATTAGAGGAGAGCCAAAGGATTGCCTTGCCTCATTTTATTAGGGGTAAATAGACTGGTGAGAAGCCAGTTTCTAAGCTATATTGTATGCTTGGCTTTTTCCAAGATGTTATGGTTTGAATGCACTGCCCAGTTGTTGAGGTTTGTGCATCTCTTAGCAAGTTAGTAGTGGTAAACATATGTATATGCCATTTTTGTTTTTAGCCCACTTTCAGGTATTTTAGTACTTTTATTACATTTTTGGGAAACACAAATGTCTTGAGTAATTTTGTATATCAGAAAAGATGAGAGAGCAAGAGGTTTGGGCCAAAACAGAACTTGATGTAAGCATCATAACACATTGTTTGAAAATCTGATGTAATCAAACAGAGCATCCAACATGACTTCCATTTTCCCTCAACCCCACCCCCTTCTCCTCTTGGTTACTTTGCAGAAAATGCATCACATTTAGTGCAAGTTGAGAGTGCGCTTTTTGCAGTGTGTGTGAAATAGTGCCAGGAGAAATGACTTCATCTGCTCTTGGCAGATGAGCCACATGACCTGTTCACCAGTCCTCTGTTCAGTGAACATCTTAGGCTGAGTTAACAGCACTTTCAAGCCATTTTATCAGACCTGATCAGTCAATAGAGTCCTGCTGTGTTACCATTGGCTACTGTAGTCATGCACAAAAGTCAAACAGAAGTTAATGCATGATACCCAGTAAGGACCCAAAGTCAAAAAGAGCCCATACTCTATCCAGAGCTCAGATGAGACGAACAACACACAGGTTTTGGAGCTGGCGTAGATCCTTTCCTTTGCAACATACTCATATTAACCTGGTTCAAGAACACTGAGTAAATAGTCTCTTTGCTCCTGTCCTGGCTACAGTGTCAGCCTATGCACACACAAGTGTGTGTTTGCAGAAAAGCAGCAGTACCAGCACACCTCTCTACCAACAGACCAACAACAAATGCATACTCAACTACCCTCTGCTACCAAGCCCAGATGTTAAGCTACCTATCTATGGCTTACAGCTCAGTGTCCTCCTTCCATTCCTGTCCTCCAAGCAGAGACAGGGCAGATTCTGAGCCACCAGCTGGACAGAGGGCAGGCAAAGGGCATCTCCATCATCAAGCCCTCCTTCACGTTTCAAGAGTTTTTTTCTTCAGGTTTTCCATCAGTAGCAGATTCTGCAGTGCCAAACTTCTGCAGTCACCATCTGGGTCCTTCTCTGCAACATCTGCAGAAAATAGGAAAAGACAGACAAGAGGAGAGGAAAGAATGGCTCGAGGAAATCCCTGTAGAGCATTAGTTGAACTGTCAAGTGTGCTTCAGTAAAGGAACAATAAAAGGAAGTTATCCCCACCCCAGCTCTCCAAATATCCAGCTTGTTTGATTTTAGACCAAACTTTATTTAGCAACATTTCTTTTTTACACAGTTACCCCGTGTAACCAAAACATCTCAGCACTAGGTGCTGGCAAGATAAAGTTGCAGCAGCTGTCTGTTTTCTTTAACCACAGGACCAAGTAAAGATTGGAGGAGTTTTAACACTGAGTAACTGAGGGAACACTGGAACGTGCTCTTTTTTTGGCTCAGTATTTCAGATTCTTTACCTCTAAACTAGTTTTAAAGGACGAATTTAAAGCCTGACTCCCACACAAACCCAGCTCAAGTTTACAAATCCACATTTTGCATAAAACTTTATGTGAAGTGGTGACTTCCATAAAGCCATTTCAGGCATGCACCTATCTGTGTGTGAAAGAAATTTCTGCCCTCATACTCAGAGGTATGCTTCCAACTGCACAATGCAGCAACAATAAGCCACTTTGTACAGATGCATTTTTATCAACCGGCAACTTTATGAAACGAGGTATGCACTTCTTTGTACAGTGGTGCCTCGCAAGACGAAATTAATCCATTCCGCGAGTCTCTTTGTCTAGCGGTTTTTTCGTCTTGCGAAGCAACCCGATTAGCGGATTAGCGCTATTAGCGGTTTAGCGGCTATTAAAGGCTTAGCGGCTAAAAGGCTATTAGTGGCTTAGCGGCTTAGAAAAAGGGGGGGGAAGCGAAAAAAATCTCAAGACTCGCAAGACATTTTCGTCTTGCGAAGGAAGCCCATAGGGAAATTCGTCCTGCGAAGCGCATCGAAAAACGGAAAACCCTTTCGTCTAGCGGGTTTTTCGTCTTGCGGGGCACCACTGTACTGTGAAGCACAAACAGTCCTCATACCATACAGAAAAGTTAGCATCTGATGTGGCACTTGCATCATTCCTTGTCTTGAGCACTGTGCTATACGGCACATCAGCTCGGCTTGCCGGTCTTGTTCTGGCTAGGTTTTTGTACCTTAAACAGCTGCAGACATATTAAGAATCGAGAAATGCAGCGGGCAAATCATTCCCTCCCCCCGACACACAGATGCCAGGACAGAATAAATTTCAGCTACTGAATTTTTGCTTGCTAGGCAGCAAATAGGCACTGTACCAGGGGGAGGGAGGGGGTGGCTGGCAGCTCTATATTTCTAACAGTCTTGCAAAGTGGAAATCAGGATGTCAGAGCAGAGGGGAGCCTGAACGAGTGGCGAGTCTGTGGGAGGAAATCCTGTGCGCACAAGCTAAGCGCTTGAAGCCCAGCACTAGGTCAGTCTGGGTACATGACTCACTCAGATAGCCCCCCTCTATTTATAAAATGACAGAATGGAACACAGTTCTAAGGGCAGCCTGCAGTCCAAAATGATTAACATCAGCAGTTGCCCCAATGTAACAAAGGCTCATTTAACGAGAGAGTGTGCACCGTGGAAGCAGATGGCTAGCCAAGTAGAAGAAATAAAAGTCAAAACCTCTGTGCTATCACAATTTTCTAAGCCACTAGCTCTTGCCTTCCCTTTCCATATGCCTATAGCGCTTCATGAGCCAGGCAACATGTTACCCACAAGGACAAAGTTTCTAGTCATCATGGTTGGAGAGATGTTTAAATATGTGATGACTTTGCCCCTCCACACCTTGACTGCGTATGCAAATCATACCCTATTCACATTACACAATACTTTCCATCTGCCTAGGAGGATATGGGATTTTAGCACCAGCCCAGGAAGACTCTTCTCCACCTGTCCAGTTGCCCTCCTGAGCGTTATCAGCCCAAGACCATGCATCCCGTCTCCTTTCAGGCTAGCCTCAAATCATTGCTCAGCAGGCTACGCTCGAGGACAGCAAAAGCCTATTCCTCCACACACACCACGGCATGGGAAAAGAGGGAATCTTTAGGCTCCATGGCAGCCCTTTTCCCTTTTAAGGGCACAGATTTCTAGCAGCCAGTCCAGGGATCAAAGACTAGCTGTGCTGGTGTCACATCCTCTCCAGCTCCCGTGGGAAGCTCACTCTCAGGATCCAAATGGTGAGGGAAAGCAACCCAGGGCAGAAATGGGAAGGCTTCTGAGCTTATGTAGGACATGTGGCACTTGATTCCTGGCAACTCGCCCCTTCAGCAATGAAATCTGAGTCAGGCTGCATCACCTCGTGCATTTCTGGGCATGCAGGAGACGCTCAACTGCCCTCTCCTGACTGGAGACTGGTTGTATCCTCCTTTGCTTGTGGGGGTGGGTGCTGAGAAAAATGGCCCAGTGGAATTCCCCACTTCCATACACCCCTCAGGAAGACAGACCCATTCACATGACCAAACTGGCACACTGGGAACAAGGACAGAGAAATTCCAGCCTGGGATGTAGCTTCTCTGCCTCTCGCCAATATCAGAGAGTGAGAGAAGGGTTGACCTCAGCACAACCCCTGCCAACGGCCTGCTCTCACAGTGACTTCTCACCTGCCAGCCAGGCTTGGGTCTCTAAAAGCTCCTCCGTCATGTCCTCCAGAAGGCACTCAGCAGGGACACTCAGGAGTGTGGAAGAGACAGATGACAAAAGCCCTTGGCGCACATATCTGCAGGGAAAAGGAGTGCCCTTGTGAAAGCCAGCAGGAAGGAATCTCATCCCTACCCAACTGATAGCTGGTGGCCTTGACACTGCCTTCTGCTTTGCTAGCTTCATTTTTCTGCTGGAGTCACCAAACTTAGTTGCTTGAATTGCACCGAGAGTTACCCAGAGCTGAACTCAGGAGATTTCTGTCCCACTCACATCTTCTAGTTGCTATTTGGAGTGTAAAGAACACCACCAAGAAAGCTGTAGCTAAAGCTGCTTTCCTAGAGCATGGGTGGGATGTCCCTCCCCCCTCCTTTGTTTTAATGCATCTACATGGGTTTTTAAAAATTATTCTTTTTGTGTGTGTGTGGAGGGAGAGAGAGTGCACAGGGAAAAAACAAGACATAAAAGTGGGGGAAGAAAAAGGGGGGAAAGAACTAACACCCATACGAAATAGTTTAAAAACCCAGAACTTATAAACATTACAAGATCGTTACTGTAGTTAACCTACACTTAACCTACTTGGGAGTTGCCTTGGGCAAGAAAAAGCAACTAACAAATTATTTATTTAAATTTATTTAAATAAATAGGGGGCATATTAATGAAATAACAATAATAATAATAATAATAATAATGGCATATTCATGCCTGAGGTTGCATCAGTTTCACATTCAAACTACAGACATTGGAAAGTGTTGCTTATGATAATGGCTGACTCATTCAAGAACTTGAGGGCAGTGTGACTTGAAATGCTCTCTCAGCCTCAGTTTTACTCAACCTGACTTTCCCTTTTTGTAGCCGTTTCTCTTCCCCACCTGGCTCTGGCATCTTGGTACTACTGGGGGGCCCAAAGGGCGAGAATGGGACGAAGAGAACAAACTCCTTCCCCCACTTGATTGGGTTCCCTGGCTTTGGGTGCAGGGGGTCCCTCCCGCTGCCACCATGATGCTCACAAGAACTCACGTGTCTGCATGGAAGCGCAGGGTCCAGACGAACTCTAGCAGGGCCTTCCCCATCGCAGATGCTACCTGGAGGAGACACACAAATCAGGATCCATGGAAGAGGCATTGAATGGTTAGCCTCGGGTATTTTGCTTTCTGAGACAGAAAATCCAAATGGTAAAGATATAGTAAGCAAAGGCTGCAATCCCATAGTCACTTTCCTTTGAGTAAGCCCCACCAAACTCAATGGGACTTGCTCCTTTGTAGGCAGGTATAGAATTATACCGAAAAGCAGTGACAATTTGCCATCTGTTAACAGTACTGCTGGCTATTGCTTGAGATCAGCAGCCTCCTCCACTCTCCCTCAGAAAGTCTGCCCTGGATTCAAACATTAAGAGACCAGGAATGGAAACAGTGGCTCATCCACAATTGAAGGCACTACTGCTTCGTACCTGGGGGCGGAGGCAGGGGAATCGCCACATCCTGCAGGTGGTACATAGTGGGGGAAACTCGGCATGCACTGATTTAAGAAATATTGACATACATTTAAAAAACTGAGCTTCACATTTGAAATTTAAATAAAGTGTCAAATTGTGTTTTTTTAATTTTATTTTGTGGGATACGTATTTATATCTCCCTACTGAACGCATTGTTGGAGTTGTTTGCAAGGCCAAGGAATCTGGATTTATTTATTTTTTAAATTACAAGTGACCCAATCAAAGATAAAGGACTCAGTCTTGGGAGGCCATCAGGTATGTTAGTGCTTGAAGAGTGGGAAGGCAACAGTGACTGAGAGCTGTGTCGAGAGTGGACATTCCACCCACCTGCATTCGCTAGGTCTGCTGGTTTATTGCTGCAGTTCTGAAACCAAGCAGCTTATGCAGAATCCTGAGAGCACTTGGCTTTTGGAGTTGGGGCAGGGACCCTGTGGCCCTCCAGATGCTCCCAGCCCCAGCAAGCATGGCTAGTGGTCGGGGAAGATGGAAGCTACAGTCCAGCAACATCTGGAAGGCCACAACTTTCCCACCCTGATTTTAGAGGGGCAGAGGGAAGCAAACTCCCAGAGCCAGTGGTAATTACAGAGTGAAGCATGGAGAGGTGAGCAGCTTCTTCTGCCTTGAAACCAAAGGGTCTCTACTAATTCAGAGCCAGAATCAGACCACGCAGTTTCAAAAACTCCCTGCATACACCATGTGTAGATGCTTCAACCCCTCACATCCTGTCCGCCAAAGCAAGTGTTCACTGGCTCCCTTTGGCAAAAGATGGGAAGCCACAGCATGCCAAAAGCCAAACACAGGCAACTGTGTACTTCTCAGGTACTTTGGAAGGGCCTATCTAGTATCCTCACCACAGTGTTGACAGCGAAGTACATCAGAATTGCCAGGGTGTGTGTCAGCCGGGCCAAAACCAGGTGATCATCTCCCAAAAGGTCAAAGGTGGTCAGTGGCCTGGAAAGCAGAGAGGGAGAATGTTCTAACTGGCTCTGAAAGTTGGTCTCCTTCCCTACAAACCCCCTTAGGTTTTAAGATCAGCAAAGGGAGCCTCTTGGTAGTTCCACTGCCCTCAAAAGTTTTGGGAAGGGAGTTGGCCCAGGTGGGAGAGGGCGTTCTCTGTGGCAGCTCCTAGGTTGGGGAATTCTCCCCCCACAGGTGTATATATAGAACCTTCATTGGTTTCCTTTGTGTGAAGACACACTTCTGACACCTGATATACATGTTTTCCTGGGACAGCAATTTGTTCTATTTGTTAAAAAAATATTATTATTATTATTATTAATAATAATAATAATTATGATGAAGATGAAAGAGAAGGAGGAGAAGCAGCAAGCCTTGGTCTTAAACTGCAGCTCCCAGCTCCTATCATAATTGCTGTTTACAAAAAGCTGAGAACAGTTGTTCTCCATCAGGCACCCTCTGCTATTGCTAAAGAGAACCAAATTCCAGGAGCCAAGACAGAGCCTTCTTTTTCAGAAGCTGAGCAAGAACAGACATGCAGCAATTCCAAAAGGAGCCAAGGACCTGGGTGCAAAGGCACCCTTTGGACATTTTTGCTGCAAATGAAAAGGTGAACTACAGTTTAGTCTTTTTAAAGAGTTTGGACTGTTCTGGCTCTTGGAGCCGTTGGGAGTGGCAAAATAAAAAGACAGAAAAAGTCCTGTACTCTGTTTAAATTAAACTACTTGTTTGTTTAAATATAAATGCCTGGTGCATTTATTAACATGGAATACAGACACACAGCCCAGCACCTACCAAACCTGAATCACACACCTGGTTGATTGCTAGCTTACTTTTTCTGCAATGAGATAAATTTCAGCCATGAATATAATGGGTGCTGTTGCAGGAGATATTCAAAATGTATTCCATGCATGCCTCTGATAACACAACACAGCCCTAGGGACATGAAAATGCAAATGGCCTCACCTGTCGAAGTTCCGAAGAAGCGGGAAAAAGAAATGACCAGCAACTGGACCAAATCTGTTGGGGGCAGATGGTGGCTTTGCTTGCGACTGGCCCTGTTCCAAACGAAGTGAAAGGTCAGGCAGGAGAACCGTCACTAGCAAGTGAGACTTGACGAAGACCCCAGAAGAGGCTTCATGGATGCAATGTTTTGTTTCACTCTCCCTTAAACAGACCAATCTGCTTTCCTTGTGAGGGATCATTGTAGGACTCTCAGGGTCCTTTCAATTCTATGATTCTATGAATTTCAGACATGCCAATCCAGATCCACGGTAATGCTTTGACTATTTGGAAACATAGTTAATCAGCTTAGCATCAGTTTTAAAGGGCACTGGTGTCTGAAACATGAAATGTGTTGCCATTTGCCCCTAAGTAAGAAAAGGGAAGTTTCTTTTGAAATGCTTAAGCACCTTTGTGGTTAGCAGTGCAACATCTTATGACCAAGTTCAGCCACAGACAGGGAAAGCACATCTATTTCTGAATTTCAGGTGGTATCAGCTTAACTCAAAAACGATGTCGGGAGATAGGTGATGTTTGGTGGTGAAGGGCATGACCCAACTGTGGAATGTGATTGTACTGCATCACCTTCTATGGCACAGATCTGGCCAGCACCTGAATGAATAGACAAGAAGATCTGTGGGAGGGGGAAATGGAGGCAATAAAAGACGGGAGAGAGGACTGAAAAGTTGTCCTCCCTTGAGATGACCATCAGAGGCAGGAGGCCCATCCCAGGATGAAAATAAGAATATGCTATAGCTTTTCTTTTCCTGGAACAAGATGTGCCTTTGAAATAAAAAGTATGCTAAGTGTTTCCTTGCTGTGTTGACTGGCTCTTTAAGGCAAACAATCTCCATGCTGGAGTAGTGGTATAGAAGGAGCCATTGTTAATTTGTTAATTGTTACTTTAACCAGATCAGGGATAGAGCTCTCAAGGTGCTTCCACCAATGTAGCCCTATCAGGAGAGATCAAGGACAGGTCTATAATTTATAGACGGGTTGAAACGGAGGAGAGCTGATCAAACAAGACCCTAATAACGTAGGCTGCTGTCTCTCCTGGGCTGAGTAAAGAAGTTTCTATGAAGGCCTTCAGAACAAAGAGAGAACTCCTCTCCACATGGGGTAGGTGAATGTATGGCCCCTCCCATTACCAGAAGTTTGGGAAGCCTGAACTAAACAGAAAAGCATATTTCTTGGATGGAGTGGGAGACCCTTGAACACAAGACCAGCTCGTCTGTCTGCCCTGATGTGCCCCTGCTGCAGCTCAAGGCAGTTTTGCATTTCCTGGCTTCACCTTTGCAAACCTTCGGGTCTTGCTTCGGATCCTTTCATCCACAACTTTTTGCCAGTCTGGAGAAGAGCTGTTGCTAGGCAGGATCTGGATGCTGGGCTGTTTCAGACTAGGAAGTTGCTTTGCTTTAGGAGAAAAGGGCTGAGAGAGTTCCTGGGCTGCTCTGGCCAGCACCTGAGTGAATAGACAAGAAGCTGTCAGGCGCTTCTAGCCTGGAGGTGCAGTGCATCCCACTCGCTTCACAAGGACAGCAAATATAAAACACAGAGCATCGTTCAAGCTACAAGAAACCATTTACAATAGCAAAATAAGGGATGCGGGAGTCAGAACTTCACATATACACAACTTCATGGCAGAGGTGAGGAATGAACTGGGGAGCTTCCGACAGGTAACTCAGTCTCTTAGCTGCAATGTAACACTACCTCTCACAAGGCTTGCTTATAATATGCTGGAAAAGGACCACTTACATCCAGGATGTCCATGCGCTGGCGGAGACTATAGTTCAGGGAGTAGAACTCAGAGGTCAGAAACTGAGCCACCTAGGCAACAGAAAACAAAGGTGAGTTTAGAGGTGTTCTGTGGCTTCTTAAGTCTTACAAGCTGCCCCATCAATCTGGCAAGCTAGGGGCAGAGGAAAGAGGGCAGAGGAACAGACTGCTTTATTCCAGTGCTTCTGCCCATGGCTTTCCTGCTCTTTCCTAGTAAGATGGGCTTTCCCTGTCCACCTAGTGCAACCTTACCAATCTCCTCTTCTTACCAGCCCCTTAGCTAAGCTTCTCAAATGGCCCACTCCAAGCCTGGCTAAGAAAGGCCAGCTGCAGAACCTCAGCCCCTGCAGTCAGAACCAAAGACAGCACAAGGACTCACTGGTGTTGGGTCTGTGACAGCGATGGCCACCAGAGCGCCTTGACGAAGCCCCACAAAGCCTTCTACGTAGCTCTTCTCGTCTAGATGCAGCAGGACCTTTGCCAGTTCCACGCTCACCTGCACAAAAATACCAAAGAGTGTATGTGTGTGTGTGTTTTGAAGTCTCGGCCATTCAAGAGGCTTGATGTTTCAGGCAGGTCAAGTTGAGAGTCAGCTGGTCTCATTGAGTGTAATAAAAAGTTGCAGGGGGCAGGGAAGAGATGACAGTTCCATACCCCATCTCTTGCTGCCACCTTGACACCCTAAGTTGGGTGTTCAAGAGATCACCAAGGTTGCCTAGACTGATTATGCTGCCAAGGAGCTTCAACGTATGTGCAGAGCAACTGGAAATCATCTAAAGCATACACCCCCAAACTCGGCCCTCCAGATGTTTTGGGACAACAATTCCCATCACCCCTGACCACTGGTTCTGTTAGCTAGGGATAATGGGAGTTGTAGTCCCAAAACATCTGGAGGGCCGAGTTTGGGGACGTATGATCTAAAGTCCTAACTGCGCCTTCCCCCCTCACACCCCAAATATGATATTTTGCCTTGGACAGCAAAGAAGTCAACTGTCGTAGGGTTGCTGCCACCACCAGAATTACAGAGAACTGTCATTGCCTTCCAGTGGCAAAGGGGACCACCCTCCTGTATTTCTCACTTGTCAAGGGCAAGCCCCTGAGCCCCAACAAGTTCTCATGGGTTATCTCTAAAGCTGAATCAAGATCAAACCAAGAGGCACAGGTCACATTTACTTCTCGAGCAGCTGCCACATTTCTTCGGATCAAAGACTCCAGAGTGCTCATTGTGGCTTCATACTTGTCTGGATCTTCGGGACCAGTCAGGACTGAGAAAAAGAAAAGACGAGAAGGAAGCTTGCATTTGACTTCCCAGTTGTCCAGTTAAGTTAATGCTGTACCAGGAATATATGTTGCATGAACGCAGAAAGTTCATGCAATCATATGCTTTAAACTGAAAGATTTGGGTTTGCAAATAATTGTGGCAGTCTTTCATAGATAGGTCTGGGACAAAAGTAGCCAATGAGGTGCCTTCCAAAATTTGCTTGACTCCAACACCCATCAGCCCATGAGTGGTGGTTAGGGGATGATGGGAATTGGAGTCCAGCCCCATCAGTTAGGCACCATGTTGACTTGTCCTAGTCTGGGACACAGGAGATAGTAAAGAAGTGCAGGAGGCTCTGAATAAGGCATAGAATGTGTCAGCCCAACAGAAAAGCCACAGGATGTTTCACAGGCAATAAATGTGTTTACTTCAACCAGGAAACACAACACATGTTGAGAGCCACTGCGGTGTCCTCAGTTTCTTGGATGAAAGGTGGGATACAAACAAACAAAACATCCCAGAAAGCTAGTTCACATGCCACACTAAACCATAGGCTTGCACAACTTGAACAACCATGATAAAGCCGCATGGCACACTTCCTCTCTTCCTCCAAGGAGTTCCAAAGCTTTTGCTTCTGTATTTGATTAACCACAGCTTGCTATGCTTTACAAACCAGAAACAGTGGTCAATTTTAACTATGGTTAGTTTAAACAAGCCAGCTTCAGTAACTATGGTTTAAAGTTTGCTTGATTCAAACTATCTAGTTCGTGTCAGTCACAGTGTGCTGGTCTGGACAATGCAGTTAAGCAAAAGTGGAAACAAACGCTTCCAAATTGTTTCTCCTGGTCAAATGAGAGGAGGGGAGGGGAAGGGGAAGTCTGAAGGCCCATGGCTCACTGCGGCTCATTCTTACTTGCTCTTGTCATGCTAACTATGGTTTAATGTGTCATGTGAACAATGCTATGGACTTCATACCATCTTATCCCTTATCACTTACTTTCAATACAGTCTCGGATGTAGGTGGGAGCCTTGGTCTTCTTCAGTTCTTTGTCCTCCGACATGTCGTACGGAACGAGGTCATCATCGCTGAAAAAGAAACAAATTTAAATTCTTCCTCAAATGAGCTTCAATTCACGCACACAGTGTGAAGATCCCACATTATATCTATCTTCTTGATTGGAAACAACATTTTCCCACATACCTATCAAGCTCAGAGTCATCCCCCTGGTCCAGTCCTGCAGAAGCACTTGGCTGTGGTTTCACACTGGGTTTCAGAATAGTGCTTGGTGTCATGGCTGGTCTGCTGTTCCTGCAGCACCAAAAAAAAAGTTCCTACCAACTGAGGGAAAAGTCTTGCTCATGCTGATAATAGGAAAGAGGTGCAACAGCAAGTGAAAACATAGCTATTATACAAACATGCTGCAAATTAGCCTGGGTTCTCAAAACGTCAGAAGTTATGTCCTGAAACTCTACAAAGAAATAAGAAAACTGTTACGTAGACTAAAAGGTCCCATTTGCACAGAATGCCACATCATGTTTTAGTGAGCTTCTCGGCTCATGTGATCTTTCCTTCCCCCACCCACCGCCCTCCTCTGGCAAGCCATGGTGAGAGGTCTGGGAACACCTGCTTCCTATTTTAAATCAAACACAGTTTATGATTACATTTGAAAGGGAGAAACTGTGGTTAGCTTAAACCATGCTTTGTTGAAACAAGGTTAGATCAAACCAGTTTATAATCCTGGCTTATTCAACAAAGTGTATTTTAGCACCACACAAATTAATGCAGATTAGTTTTGACTATGGTTTAGCTTAATGTGTTAAATAGGCCAAACTCTCCAGCGGAGAAAACAATGACAAAAAGCAGCTAGTGCTAGTTGAATCTGAAGGAGTCTAAAGGTAACTTACCCAATGCTCTGGGAATCACTGTCAGGAATCTGCTCTGGCCTCTGAATCAGCAAGGTCTTTAAATCTCTGATCTCATCATCTTCTTCATACTAACACATTGAGAACAAAGCAAAACATTAAGATAGAATAAGGGGACTAGTACACAGGTTGGCTCTTGCATAAAGGCAAGTGGCAGCTGTAATTTGATTTACTAAGTCCATTCTTGGGATGGCGCTTGTTGTTTCACCTCAGAAAATGGTTGAAACAGGTTGACCCACAAGGTTTGTAACAAGAGACAGGGGCCTGCTTAAAAGCAAGGCCAGACTCGACTAAATGTTGGTTGGATTCAGACATAACAGGAAACCACAGTTTCCTGCTAAATGAATGAACAAGCCTCACACTTGCATACTTTCCCTCCCGGCCTCTTGTACAGCCACAAAGAGACATAAGGTTTTGCTTCCATTTTTGAAACAATCCACAGTTGCCCATTACAACCAGATTTGAAAGACCATGGTTTGTTTCAACTATGGTTTCAGGGAAAAAGTCAGGATCTGAAGCCATGGTTTTGCAAACCAGTCCCCCACGTTTGGACCTAACAAGGAGATGTTGCCTTTCTAAAAGCAGAAGCAAAAGTTTGCGCTCTCCTCCTGAGAGGCAAAGGCTCCTACAGACTTGTTCACATGGTGGGATCCTGATTTCCCATTATATTTAAACAGAACCATTCTCTCTGTCACACACACAAACATATACACACAACAATTTTAAATGGCAGAAGCTGTGACACAATACCAAAGGTATATTCCACTAGCATATTTAAAGGATTTTTCCCCTGCCACAACTGAACACTGCAGAAAGTTCACTTGGCTGTCTCACCTGAAATTTCAGAGCAGGGCCTTCAGACATTACCCTGGCACTGACGCACTCGGCCACAACCATCCCCATATGGCGGATCTTTGGCAAGTTGCTGTCCAGGTGACACTTCATCCCTTCCATCATGACTGTGAGTAGCTCTGGAAGGGCAAGCAGAAGGTGACCAGGCAAATTCAGCAAAAAGCACAATAGCCAGCTTGGACACATTTAAAACCTGATAAGGAGGTGTTGTGCTTTCCACAATGGGGCAAATATATATTTTGGCATCTTTTGAACCATCTGCTATGGCTTTCCAATGCAAGCAGAAGAAGACAGTGCTGACCGTTCCTTTTCTTCGGATACTTTGGCCTACAACTACCATCAGCCCCAGCCAGCACACACATGCTAGGTGGGTCTGATGGGAGCTGTAGACCAAAAACATCTGGAGGTCTCAAGGTTAGGGAAGGCTGCTGCAGGTGGACTATCCCACCCTATGCTGGGCCACTTCTCAGCTGATCTCTATTGGCAAGACATCCTACTGATCTCACCACATCTCAATAAACTGCAGTTTTATGACATTCACACCAAGATAATGGGTTCTATCCAATGGTGGTCCTGTGCAGAATAGTCCCACTGAAGAGAATGAACAGGGCAATCTTAGGCTTATTCATTTCAATAAGTATACTGTGAGTAAGACTGGTACCGGATACAACCAATTGCCGTGGCCACCCTGTGAGCATCTCCCAGGAAGTCACCCAGATTCCACCATGAAGATTTTGAGGTCCAGAGGCCCAAGATGCCAGCTTGGTCCTTTTCTCTCTCCCTTACCTTGTCTGTCGCTCTGTATTTCTGCTTCTTTCAGATGAGAGAGGCAGATCAGAATGGCCTTGCTGATGTACAGCTGCTGCTCCGCTGGGGAGTGCTTCACAGCAGTGCTGCTTCCCCAGGTCTCCAGCAGCTCTTTCAAAACCTGCGTTAGAAACCTGAGTGTTGGGTTCAACGTGTCATTCTGCCCCTGTCCCCACAAGCCTCCTTTTGGGGCCTCTTAGCATAATAACCCAGCAGTGACCGACTCCCTTCGTCCACCAGAGGAGGCACCTTCACATTAAGTGCCAATGAACCCAATTCCACTTTGTATGAGGGAATCTTCTGCTGGAGCCAGACCTATGCCTCTTAAAGGCTTGGTTAAGATATCTCATCATCCCCTTTTTATCCAGAAGCAAAATTTGGGGGTGTAAAGACCCCCCAATTACCAGCAGCGTCAAGGAGGAGTAAGATGTACAGAACCTCTTAGTCAAGGCAGTAACTCTTAATGTCTCGGGATCATCTGCCCTGTGCTTTACTAAGAAAGCTTTGCCCTGCATATCTGGGCTGAATTGCCATCTGAGGCCTCCTCTCAAGGGTTGGGCTCCAGGGAGACAGTCCCACCAGTGTGTGCAGAGCTTGCTCCTTGGACTCAGGATGTCTTGGGAGAAAGGTGTGTGTGTGTGTGTGTGTGTGTGTGTGTGTGTGTGTGTGTGTGTGTCTTTCTTTGCAACAGTCCCAGCTACAACCCCCCTGCCCTCCAGATGGAGCAGCCAAAACACAACATTCTCATCAATCTGCTGGAAGGAACACATGGCTGCATCTGCAATCCCACCAACTTTTTCAGTCGGTTAGTGACTATTGCCTCCTCTTCCCACCCTAGCAAGCTAAACCAGAAGAGGTGAGGATCACAGAATCATAGAGTTGGAAGAGACCACAAGGGCCATCGAGTCCAACCCGCTGCCAAGCAGGAAACACCATCAGAGCGCTCCTGACATATGGTTGTCAAGCCTCTGCTTAAAGACCTCCAAAGGAGACTCCACCACACTCCTTGGCAGCAAATTCCACTGTCGAACAGCTCTTACTGTCAGGAAGTTCTTCCTAATGTTTAGGTGGAATCTTCTTTCTTGTAGTTTGTATCCATTGCTCCGTGTCCGCTTCTCTGGAGCAGCAGAAAACAACCTTTCTCCCTCCTCTATATGACGTCCTTTTATATATTTGAACATGGCTATCATATCACCCCTTAACCTCCTCTTCTCCAGGTTAAACATGCCCAGCTCCCTTAGCCGTTCCTCATAAGGCATCGTTTCCAGGCCTTTGACCATGTTCTCCAGGAATTCTCAAAGATGACTGCCAGTGGTTCTGAGATCACATCTGCCAGTTCTTTTAATACTCTTGGATGCAGTTCATCTGGCCCTGGAGACTTGAATACATCTAAACTAGCCAGGTATTCTTGTACAGTGGTGCCCCGCAAGACGAATGCCTCGCAAGACGGAAAACCCGCTAGACGAAAGGGTTTTCCGTTTTTGAGTTGCTTCGCAGGACGAATTTCCCTATGGGCTTGCTTCGCAAGACGAAAATGTCTTGCGAGTCTTGAGATTTTTTCCCGCTTTCCCCCCCTTTATCTAAGCCGCTAAGCCTTTAATAGCCTTTTAGCAGCTAATCCGATAAGCCGATAAGCCTTTAATAGCCGCTAAACCGCTAATAGCGCTAATCCGTTAAGCCGCTAATAGGGTTGCTTCGCAAGACGAAAAAACCGCTAGACGAAGACACTCGCGGAACGGATTAATTTCGTCTTGCGAGGCACCACTGTACTATCTCCTTAGTTATTCTGGGCTGTGTTTCCTCTGCTGAATCATTTGCTCCAAATTCTTCAGGTCGGGCATTGTTTTCTTTATCGGAGAAGACTGAGGCAAAGAAGGCATTGAGGAGTTCAGCCCTTTCTGTGTCCCCTGTTTGCATTTCACCATCTTCTCCTCTGAGTGACCCCACTGTTTCTTTGGGATGGAGAACCCAACTTGGTTTCAGTGCAATGGTGCTCCATCAACATCCAATATTCCCCAGAACTCGAAAATCCTCTCTCGCACAGGATATTCAGCATCTTGTGACAAGTGGGAGAGCCAACCTTATGAAAAGATCTCATCCACTGACAGAGAAAGGCCACTCTGAAATGACCACCCATTTATCTCACTTTTAAACCTTTAGTTTGTTAGCACACGGAAAAGGAGTGAAACACAGGCTGGCAAGATGAGTGGCTCTGGGGTCACTCCTCTTTCAGTGTAAGTTAGTTCTGATGTGTTTTTTTTACATTACACATAAGAGGGCTGGGAAGGTACTCCTATGAACTCTACCAAGTTGCATGTTATCTCTTTCTGTCTCACATATATAGAAATATATTTTGCTAACCATTACCCTGCTTACCTTGATCAGTAAGAGACGCCGCATGTTGTCCAGGGCTAGATATCCAAGGAGGTTCTGGAGCACCATAGTCTGTATCATACAGAAAGCAAACAATGGAAATCACAGCAGACCCTTTGAGAAAGAACAAACTCTCTCAATATCTTCCGGTAAGCTATGAACTATAAACCAAACCAGGTGACCTACTGTTCAGATCATTATATGGGAATATGAGCTTGACAATGAATGTTCATAGCGGACCAATTTGTTGTAATTGTAAAATTTACAAATATGCTCAGTGTACCATTACGATATGCATTGTGTTGATATTGTAAAAGAAAATTAGAAGAAAAGAAAAACAGTGCATGCAATTTACAGGTTTATGGTCAGAAAGCAGGATGGCAGGGTTATTTCCTTAAACCAGGGTTTGCCAATGTGATGTCCTCCTGATGCTGCTGGCCTACATTTCCCCAAACCTGCCTCAGAAGGGGCACCCTGAAACTTCTACTTGCAAGTCCAAGAGCACAAGCACCGCAACATCACAACTTGTAAAAACACAGGTCACCCATCTTAGACATAGCATATAATGCCATCCCAACAAACATGCTTGCCTCCTGATTAATGACATCCAAGGACTCTCACCGGATAGCTGTACTGAAGCAGCAGCATCTTCTGGGTCATCACAAATTGAGCCTTCTTGCTTTTGACAACCAAATTCCCCAACAATCGTGACAGCACGGCAGGTCTAGCAATACAGACAAAACAACATTTCAACCATGAATGTCCTTCTTCTGAATCGGTGCTGTTTTAAAATCACAACTGGATCACAAGACTAGATGATTCACAAATAGAAGTCTGGAATGTATTGGCAAAGCAAGATATGCAATATTCAGGTTCCCGTCCTATAAGGGCAAATAAAAGCAAGAGAGATGTCTCTCTGCTCAAATCTAATATGTCTGAAAGACCACCCTTGGCCTAACCAAACTTTTAAGATTCTTTTCAGGTGTGGTATTGGGGTGCTCCCACTGAATAAAGAGATATGGACAACCACCAGAGAGAAGGCCTTTTTGGTACTGGCACCTAGTAATGGAACTCCCTTCCCAGGAAGGCTTGCCTGGTGTCATCCCTGTGGACTTTTCAGTGCCAGGTAGAGACCTCTCTTGTTACCCAGGCCACCTAAACAACTTATATTGCCAGGTTCTCTCCAGTTTTTAAGTCTGTGTTTTACATCTTAGAGGTGCTGTGACCTGTGTTTTTCTTGTAGTTATTTGTAGTTCATAGTTTAACCGTCTTATATTCAGATTGTTTTAAAGAGTCATTTATTGTAAGTTGCCCAAAGGGCTGTGTTTTATGAGGAGGCATACATACATACAAATAAATAAATAAATGAAATAAATAAGCCTTCCTCCTTTCCAAACTTCAACAGCTGAGCAGGATGAAAGGAAATCTAATTTGTACAGTGGTACCTCGGGTTACATACGCTTCAGGTTACATATGCTTCAGGTTACAGACTCCGCTAACCCAGAAATAGTGCTTCAGGTTAAGAACTTTGCTTCAGGATGAGAACAGAAATTGTGCTCCGGTCGCGCGGCAGCAGCAGGAGGCCCCATTAACTAAAGTGGTGCTTCAGGTTAAGAACAGTTTCAGATTAAGTACAGACCTCCAGAACAAATTAAGTACTTAACCCGAGGTACCACTGTGGTGCAGGGGGAACCATTTTCAACTGCTGCAAGGATACAAGGAGGCATGACACGCGCCCATCATTCCACACAAAGGTTTGGCTGCTTACCCTGCTGCTGCCTGCACAAAGCCACAGACCACAGGTTCCACCCAGCGATCCGGCACACTCTCCACCAGTCGCCAGCATATCCTCTGCCAGATGCAGTCAGACTGGGTATGATCCGTCAGGTGGGACACCAACACGTTCAGGATTTCTTCTGCATTCCAAAAGAAGAAGAAAAGGAGCTGCTTTGAAATCAAAAATCCTTTTTACTTCCTTATTTATTTATTTATTTTGGCCAATAGTTAAGATAATTTGGGTGGTGGGAAGAGGGGGATCTTTCCTGCTGTTCTTTGAGACGGAGAGCTTTTAAAAACATTTTTATAGGAATGCCCTTCACACATCATATAATATTGTTCTTCGCCACTGTAAATCATGGCATTATATATTCCTTCCATGGCATTGTTCTTTAAAAGTCTGCCTCCTAGTGGCTGAAAAAGGGATAACAGCTGCATTCTCTTAAGCAGTGCTCAGTCTTAAGTCTGTTGAGATCAAGTCATTTAAAGAGAGACATAGAATACAAAAGAAAAACTGGCTGTCAAACCAATACTCCCTGTTTAGCCAGCATCCAGTTCCTCTTCCAGGCCACCTGCCTGGCTGTCCGAGTCATTTATAACTTAGACAGTTTCTAAGAATTCATCATAGCAGAGGTGGCTAACCTCCAGTCTGGGGGAAGGAATCACATGAACCCAAGGTTCACTGCAGCTCATGCATGCCACAATAAACCATGGTTTAGCTTTACCAGGTAACTTGATTATGTATTCCAGCTGACTTTCCTTGTCTCTTCCTCACGTGGTTTATTGTAATGTGGAAGAGCACCCAATGACTTTTCACAAGCCATGGGGTGGGGGTACAGGGAAAAGAGGGCAAGACAGCAGGAACAAAAAATCAAGTTATCTGGAAAAGCTAAAAGCTCTCTTGGAATTCTCTCCTTAGTGGCCCCAAATCATCATTTGTTATTATTAACTAACATTATTATTAAGTTGCTTAATATTTCCAGGTTCCAGAGACTCCAGCCTCCTCATAAGACAATAATCTTCATAGAGTTGTAACTCGAGAGGCTAAATACTTTTTACGATACGGTGTAATTTCTTACACTTCATTATGCACATACAGTTAAATCTTCAGAATGAGTGTGACTGTTTTTTGTGAAATGAGCTCCAGCGATATGCCAAGCTTGGGGACTCTGTGCATAAAGCAGTTGTAGGGCACAGGCTCTGTACTCATAAGGTCCCATGTCCAATCCCCGGCAACTTCAGTTCAGGTAACAGCGCTGCAGGAGGAAAATCTGCCTGAGACTTTGGAGTGCTGCTGACTAGGCAGAGCTAGATCGACTCAGCATAAAGCTGCTTCAAATGTTCATATGAACCACACTACCAACTGCAACACTCTAACCAGACTACATAGGAGTTCTTTGAAGCATCATTACATCAAGTGATAATCAATTGCTGCAGTTTGATTCAACCAGTGACAGAGCAGAGAGAAAGCAACTTTGAAAGCAGACATGCTAAAAAGGAAGCTATGGCTTACTGCAAGCTTTAAAGAGCACTCACTTTGTCTTCCATGCATGCATACCTTCCCTAGCACCTGGGACACAAAGGAGATTGAGCAATCCAAGCCACCTGGAATACAAGAAAAGCCACATTAGTCGATGGATCTGTCAGATCACAGAACTGAGACTGAAGCTCCAGCTGCAAAGCTTCCACGAAGATGAACAGAGCACTGGCATAGAAATGGAAGTCCTCAGGGGAAGTCAATAACCTGGAGCTTTGTATAAAAAAAATAAATAAATTGTCCAGTAGCACCTTAGAGACCAACTAAGTTTGTTCTGGGTATAAGCTGTCGTGTGCATGCACACTTCTTCAGATAAAGCTTACACCCAGAACAAACTGTTAGTGAGCTAAACATGAAGAATGAAAAGTGGGTCCATGCAAGTGAGGATGACAAAGTCCTTTCAGAAGAATAAAACTCACTACTCAATGAAAGCCTCAGTATGAGGTTTGAGAGAAGCCAGCTCTGCACAAAATAGGTTGGCCTTCCTTTCAAGGCTAGGAAAACTAATCCATTTCTGTGAGATCATGAATGACCACAGACCCAGATGATTACACAGCAAACCACTAAGGCCCACCCCCTCCAGGGGTGCGGGGAACGTTCCCCAGCAAAAACTCCAGAGAGCCACGGCTGGTCAGTGTACCCTGAGATAGATGCAAAGCACCATCTGCATCACTGGCACAATATAAATCAATAAACTACTGTATACCTGCAAAAGATTTTTTGAATTCTCTAGGCCTAAGACTCACACTGACAACAATGGGATTTAAATGTGCTTTATTTTGGTTGGACTGCACACGCACGCATACACACACACACACACAACCTTCTGCCTTTAATTATTCACATGCACCTAAAGATATACGGGTGTCAGATTATTATTTTAAGTAACAATGTAGTTTGATAGCTGTGATCACTGTGTTGGCACCAAGAAATACAAATATAGTTTATTGGACCAAGTTCAGTTTGTAAGTTTGGTCTTCACAGAGCTCTTCATCAAGCAGTATCTAGACAAAAAATTATCCACAACAAAGAATTCTGAAAAAAACAAAAACCTCAAAAATATTTGCATACTCCTACTATACCAATGTAGATTCATGACATAAAGTTATTGTTTTGTCTAGTGCTCAAATTACAGGCAGTCAAATGGGGAGAGGCTACCTCCACCCTAACTTTTGTGTTGGGTTCCTTTTGCTTCCATTTTAAAAGACTAAGGGAGGACATGATTTGGTCCTCTACCTCTACTCAACGGTCACTAGCTAGGATCCTTCCCCTGTTTCTGTAACTATGTACCTGGCTGAGGACAGCAATCTGGTCTTCAGCTATGCATTGCTTGGTTTGGTTGAGACCAGCCATCCGGTTTCACCTGTGTTAACTGCTTTATTTGGAAGACAAGAGGCAAAGTCTGGCCCCTTTCTATTTTCTGACACCTCCTTAGCTATTGTTTGCAAAAGGTTATGGGGAAACCTGTCATTTGGCTAAACTTGGGAGGAAACAGGGGCAAGTCTTGCAGATTTCCTTAAGGGTCCCCTTCCCTTCCCTCCGCCCTCCCCTAATTTCAGAACTGGTTTTAAATACTTGTTATTCTTAGCCATGGCCTGTCAGTGCAGCAGCAGCAGCAGCAGCAGATCCTGTGAAATCTCACCTCGCAGTGAATCAGAGATCCTCTCCAGCACCTGGACCATCTCCACACCAAGCAGCGGGAAGTAGTTTTGGGGGAAGAAGACAGGCCGGTTTTCTTCCTGGAGCTTGTTGCCTAGGTGATCAGGGAGACAGGCCACCTTATTGAGGATGGCCTCCTGTAGGACTGAAGGGCCAGCTTGTGTTTGTTGTTTGCAGACTTCCCACATCAGAGCAGACAGTCCAGCTCTCTGCAGGAACTGCTCCAGCACATCGACAACTTTATTCAGACGGAAACTGGGCCTGCATGGAAAGGTATTTTTCTGCCTTTGTTTTCAATTCATAAGGAAAAAGCAACTCAACAGATAACATCATCACCTGCAATTCTGGTGGTTGTTTTTTAAACCACACTTTTCTATGATTCCTGGTTGTGGGCAAAGACTTGAAAATGTATAAGCAATGCGTATTGAGGACTCACAGATGTCCATCAAGCTGTTCTAGAATCATAGAATTTTAGGGTGTTTCCAACATTAGTCATACTCAAAGCAGACCCATTGATATCAACTAAGGAACATCAATTTCTGTTAGCTACCACCTTTAGAACTGGAAGGAATTTTAAAGAACATCTAACACAACTACAGGAAAGAATTATAGCATCCTTGACCAAAGGCAGTTCACTCTTCCTCTAACATATCCACACCACAATTATTTCCACACACTTACCCCATAACTCTTGTATAACTCCTGCAACCACACATCTCCTTTCTTTGAACCTCAGGATGATATCCCTTACTAAGGGATTCAAAATTCTGTGAAGCCCAAAATATTGCACCTAAGAATGTGTGAATTAGGCAAAATAGTCAAGTCTACATTGTTTTCTAAAGGGGAATTTTTAACTTTTTATGGTGTAGAAATTGTATTCTTGGTATAAAACTATGATCAATCACGATAGCAACTTTTGCAAAGTGAGAGGTAAAATAAAAGCATATTTGGGTTCTGTCCATGCAGTACTGTATACTGAAACATTTACCAGGTTCAGAAATAACACTAAACTACAGTTCAATATTAGGAAAATGAGTCTTGGGATCATGCACTTTCTCCTCTTCACTACTTCTTGGCATGTATGAGAAGATCAAAAGCCTTTGCTTTTGTTTTTTGAATTAACCACAATCACCTGTTATTTCTAAACATGTGAACTATGGTTTGCACTAAGAGCAGCTAGTTAAAAAACATTGTTTTGAGTCTTATTTGTTTTAAGTAACCAGTTAGACAAACCTCAGTTCCTAAGTTAGAACATACAGGGATCTGTGATTAGTTTTAAAGGGAAAGGAGAAGCTTTCAATCTTCTCATGAACGCTGAAGAGGAGGGCACATGAGACCAACATTTAGCCATGCTCATTCTCATGATGCAAAACCATGCTATAGAGTTATGCCTGAATGCAGCCAATGACTCATTTCAGATGTTATGCCAAACCATGGCTGAATGATTAGGCACACCCTCAGCCCCTTGGCATTGCCTTCCATTTATGGCTTGTGGCAAACTAGTTTGCCCTTACATCCAAACTCAGAAACTACAGTTTGTAATTGGCTTGAAACCTAAGATGGGCAAACAGACTCAAACTAGGAGGGAGAAGACACAGTGCATGAGCACAAAGCTTATTCCATGCCAACTCACACAGCACCAAATAATGGATTTTCGAATTACATCTGAACTGAGCCTACAAGTGGGATTTAAAACACAAACACACACACACACACATACACACACACACTCCTTTGCATATGCATTTTGACATTTTGGGATCCTCTTTCCCACTGCACCTCAAACATTACACCCTACTCCAAAAAGCTGCTATGAAATGTTGAGTGGCATCTGATGAAGTGCGAGACAGCTGTCAAAAATAAAAATCAGCAGTCTCCCTATGTGTGCAAAAGTGCTTTTAGCACTGGGCTCTTGGGATTCAGGCCTCTAAATTGAGAGCATCCTAAAAACAAAACAGTTTTAGAATTAGAGATCACAGCACAGTAGCCATGCTTACGCTGTAGAAATAATGGTGTCCAAAAGAACCATAAAAGTTTGGTCTGCTGGTCCTTCCAAGAAAAAGCAATCCCATAACTCCTTATCTTCATCTGATTGGAACTGCTCCAGCCAATCAAGACTCAGGTTACTGATAAGACACTGCAGAAAGGTAGTAAAATGATTACGAGTAAATTCTTCTTTCTCTTTCATGGAGGGTGGATTTTCAGTTCCACCAAGGTAGCTCTTAATTGTCCGCAAAGTCTCACAGATCTGGGCTCCATCTCTGGAAACAGATAGGGTGCCAATTGCTTCTTGTACTATATGGCGAACTTGAAGCAAGTCAGAATCCATTTATCCTGGTCACTTCTGGAAAACAACAAGGAGGTCGATAAGTAATACCACCAAGGTTGGAGAAAGTAGAGTTGGTAATTACTATCCCCTGAACAGAAGAAGTGGGAAGGGTCATGGCTCAGGGGTACAACTTCTGCACTGTATGCGGAAGGTCCCAGATTCGATCCCCAGAATCTCCAGGTAGGGCTGGGACAGACTCAAAGTCTGAAACAGTGGAGAGTTGCTACCCATCAGTAGAGAATACTGAGCGAGATGGACAAATGGTCTGACTTGGTACCCTTGAGTTACGTGGTGGAAAACGTGGGATATAAATATAGTAAGTAATAAGAACCACCAACATCCTGACCTCCTTGTGGGAGCGGAGATTTTAAAAACCTAAATAAACATGCAAGTACAAAACTTCAGGATGCTCCCACCTGTGTAGGTATTGTGTGGGCCTAAGGGAAACTTCAGCCTAAGCCTGCAATCCTCTATCTGCTTACCTAGGAATAAGCCCCAGTGAACTCAGTTCTGAGGAGACACGCAGTGGTTTAGCACCGCAACAATGAGTCTTCTGGCACCTTAAAGACATAACAAATTTATTATAGCACAACCTCTGAACGCCCCTCACGAAATGGGCTGCCGACCACAAAAAGCTTAAGCCAAAGTACTGTAAACGCGTTAAGTATTTAAAGAGCCACAAGATTTCTTCGCTGGGCTTTGCTTTTGCTTTTTGCTGCTGCAAAAGACTAACACGGCTGTTGCTCTGGAAATTACCGTAACGCGGAACCCAAGACACGTCTACTCGGAAGTAAGGCTCACTGAATTCAGTGGGACTTAATCCCCACGCTGATGTGTAGAACAGGACCGCCCGGCGTGAGGGAGAAACGCCTCAGCGCCTCGCTTCCCGCCTTGAGAAGTTCCCACCTCCTCGCCTTCCCCCCGCCCCCGGGCGAGGCCTCACCAAGGGCAGAAATGATGCCACGGCTAACAGCGACCCCCCAAGACACTCTCCAGGCATGTGGACCGGAAGCCCAATCAAGCCGGTGAACCTCAACCGGAAGTTCGTGTGTGTGTGTGTGCGTGTCATTCTAGCTTTTGCTTCGCGCTCTCTATGGTGCCCAATTGCGGCGGAGCCACCAGCGGCGTCGCTTTTTACCGGAAGTTTATCTCTGTGTGTTGCGCTGCCTTTTCTCTACGGTCCGTTCTCAACACTCCGGGTAATTGTTGTTGTTTAGTCGTGTCCGACTCTTCGTGACCCCATGGACCAGAGCACTCCGGGTAATACGTTGGTCTAAACAGCAGCAGCCGATTCGACGCTCCTGTCTTATGTGTGGCCGCCTCGAGCCGAGCCTGTCGAATCTGCTGATCTTTCTTACGATCCTTCGCAGATCTCGCGCTCTCCCGGCCCGGCCCCTTTCTCTTCCGCCCTTCTTCTTCTTAAAGAGACAGTAACAATGAAGTTTCTATCGCCCCAGAGCATGGAAGAAGAGGGCCTGTTTTTGAGAATCTGGGTGGTGTGTTACATCCCGAATCTGGTTTCACTGTTGGGTTGAATTTTATTTATTTTTTGTATTCATACCCCATTCTTTATCCAAGGATTTTGGAGGTTGGCATGTATGTTCGTCCCCCTCCCCGGTTTTATTCTCACAACAATCCTGTGAGGTAGGTTATTGAGTTGGCTGAACAGGAAAGTGAATCTTGCTCCCTGGGATCCTACCCAATCCAATACTCTTAACCACTACCCCCAACCATGAAATCTGTCCCAAGACCTGCTGACAGTTTTGAGCACCAGCCCCTCATCTGGCTCTTCTAAAGTGGCCTTGCCAGTTGCATTATTATTATTATTTTTTAAAGTAATTAATCAGAGTGGAACATTTAGCTCATCTTTGAAGTCACCAAGCTCCTGCAGAACCTTTCTTACATCTTGCAGTGGTGTAGCCCACTCCCCCTTAATCGTGGCCTAAAAGGCGGAAAATGAACCCCGCTGGCAATCTTCTTTTGTTTCAGGGGAAAACAGAGGCTCCCATGATGACAGGTTGTGCTTCTGGAATGGCTGCTTCTAAGCCAGAGAGTAGCTCATTCTGTAGAGCAGGAGTTTCTTAATATCAGGGTCATGGGTTCAAGCCCCACAATGGGCAAAATATTCCTGCATATTTTGGACTAGATGACCCTCGTGGTCCCTTTCCAAATCGACAATTCTATGATCACCTAGGAAAGAAGAGGTGCGGAAATACTTGGAAAGCACAGGCAACAAAATTGTCTACAGCTAAGGACTTTCTCTTGCTGATCTGCCCTTTCGCTGAAGCCACCTTATGAACTCAGGGCAGGTTACAAATTTAGTAATATTTTGTTACTTTTAAAAACATTTCTATACCACCTCCCTCACCAAACCTCAAGGCAACATACAGCAATATTAAATGAATATCGAAACATTAAAATCCTGTCTTCGTCCTATACACTTTTTGTCCTACACACTTACCTGTTCTGAGCAGGTGGAGACATGGTATATTTGGATGCCTCATTGAAAATTGGGCTGAGAAACCAGCATAGCCATTGCAGGATTCAGTGGTAAAATTTTAAGCACACAGAACCACCACCACATTTCTCAACTACAAAAGAATCCATACACATTTATTCCAAACCTTATTGGTTTATTCTGTCTTGCCATTCCACACAAGTACCAACAACATGACTACAAGATGCTAAAGGTATACAAAAATCAAACTTTATAGTAATGACTGTACAATAGGTTGCAAATCTCTTGGCCTTTTGCAAACTGAACACTAGTTATCCCAATTGGTCTCCGACACATCACCTTCCACCCCAGGAGGAAGGTGACAAGAGAAACAGCTTTTCTGCCTATTTGTTTCACATATTCTAAAAGCAAAAGCATTTACATCGGTCTTGGGAAGGACAGGGCATGTGAACAATGCACCAAAAACATTTTAGTAAAGGAAGGGATGACTTACAAAGAACACTAGTCCTAGTCCTCCAGTTCTTAGGCTGGTTAAATGCACCAGCAGCAAGGAATATGAAAAAGCTTTTCTCTGTGCCAACATCCCTAAGAGCTGAGGGTGGCGGTGGGGGGAGAGGAACCAGTCCATATCTAAATTTGCTGAGGGTTTTCTTGCAACCTGCCATTTCTTTCTTCCAACAGTATAAATTTATTTTTGACATATCCTAAAAACAAGAGACTTCACTGGACTTAAGAGGACAGTATCATGTCTAAAAGAACAATGTTTCTTGTTGAGAAGTTGCAAACCAAAGCTCCCTTTAAAAAGGACTTTAAGTCCAACAAAAGTCCACAGTTCACCCTGCTGGGCCCAAGACACTAGGCTAGCTTTCAGTTTCTCAGCTTTCCCTTCGTTTTATTTTCATTCCTCTTTTATTTTTAAAAGGTACAATTTTTAAACTGAATGCACTTTTAAGTTTTTTTTAAAAAACAAAACAAAACAAGGAGCTGCCAAGTCCCACATTTTATCGGGAAGAGTTGGAACTGGATCGGCTGCGATGACGCCTGCGGCCTGGAGATCTGGATCGTGACCGTCTGCGAACTGGGGATCTGCGCCTGGGAGACCTGGACCTGAAAGGGAATATAGTTGCAAGGAAGAGAGTTGAGCTTCAGTTAGGAAAATGGATGGTAATGGAAAGTAATCCACACTTATATAGTCCCTTTTTATTCAACAGCATTCAAGAGTAGTTCTTATATCCTAAAGGGTGAAGGCAGTTCAGCATGCTAACATTTTGTAAATGCAGAAAGCAATATAGCAACTGTATAATAATAACTAAATAAATATTTTCTCAGTTCCTAGATCACAGTGTTTTATTTTTGCAAATACACATCATCAGCTTATATTAACAATAAAAATATTCCATCAATCTCGACTTAAACAGATAAGGCATATAACGGTATGTTAAAACTTAGAATGAGTTGTGAGATTTTAGACACATGCCCCATGAGTACTTGAGAAGGGTCTATACGGCAGAGAATGTTGGAACCATTATGGCGCAAGTACTTCCACCTGCCTTCTTCCCCTAATGTATTTCTTAATGTATTTTTAAAAATAAAATTGCTGGATTTATTATTGTACATTTGGTATGCTGTGAGTCACTATGAGCACTGTTGTGGAAAAATGGCATACAAACAAACTGATGCTAATGCTCTGGAAGGGGGCGCCTATCCTTCAATTACTTTGTGTAGGGACAGTCTTTGTTCGCCATCAGCTGTAGTGCAGGAAGTAAGTCACTGCCCATCCTTGGTGTGACTCATCTGAGACCGCAGGTGTCTTCTTTTTAGTTTGCCTCCCTGGACAGAGCTCCTACCAGCTGTGAACAGCTAAGCCCCTCCGGCTTACCCAGCTCCACAAAGGCAACCTACCTTCTCCTCATGCGAGGTGGAGAACGACGCCACATGGGCGGTGGCGGCAACATCCTCCGTGGAGGGGAGAAACGCCTGAGAGGCATCCTGGGCCGAGGAGTCAGGACAGCCGTGGCAGTGATCTCCTGACCATCAATCTGCCCTATTTAAAGATCACAGAAGCAGAAAGTTGATTTGTTTCAGCAGGGTGAGGGATTGACGCAAAGGCTCCCTGTAGCCACTGCCTTCTTGCTCACTAGGGAAGGTCAAACTATGGCAATGGTGGGGGGGAGCAGGGAACCTAGAGAGAGATATTAATACACAAGTAAAACATACATGCAGGGAGATACCAAAAAGACATTGGGGAACCACAAACACCACTTTGCTTACCTATTACGATCAGGCCCAGTTCCCTGACTGATTCCCTCTGTGCGTCATTAGCCCCTCCCAAGAAAAAAATAGATTCGTAACCTCTGACCTACAATATAAATTCTTAAATGTCCAACATGGGACTGCAAGTTTTTCCTGGGACAAGCCTCTGCTTTCTTTAGGAATAATTGCTGCCAACTTATTCCAAGGTCTTTGCTCATGCCCACAGGTCCACTGCCTTTCTGGAGAATGCAGTTTACCTTGGGGGCCATTTTCATCAGGATGATCCACCCTTCTCACTTTGGGCCTGAAACCAACAGGATGTGGTTGCAGAGGTCCCACCAGCCCATATTCCTGGCAGACAAGGTTGATTTTTTAAAAAGAAGTCATACAGGTAAAATGATATATTTGTATTATTATAAGAGTAAAACTTGAAGAACCAAAAGCCTTATTTTGTTCAGGTGTGCTCTGCAAAGAGCCCTCCTAGCTGGTAGAACCTATATCACTTTTGGGAAATCTGAAACCCTTGCTTTAATGGCGTGATCATCTCAAATTACAGATTTTTCAGTTATGTAGGAGTCACACCTCTTAACAATGCAGCCAGATTCTGAAACCCACCTCCATCCATGTGCTTCAGTGCCTTCTCAGCATCATCTGGATTCTCAAATTCTACATATGCATAACCCTTTGAGAGGTGTGGGTTGAGTCTGTCGACTGGCATATCGATCATTTTGATCTTTCCATAAGTGGAAAATATTTCCATTATGTGGTCCTGGAAGAGGAAAAGCAAGCTCCTTAACGCTCATGGCAAATGTTCATTACCTTCCATCTTCATAACAACAAAACACTGAATGGGCAGCGGCGGAAGCAGCAGCAGCAGCAGCAGCAACACCCACCCACCCACCTTTAACTGGATTTGAACAAAAAGAGTGAAGACCATTCAATTACATATTGAAACGCTTCAACAGTTTTGCTTCCCAGGTTACCTGAACTTAACTCAGCTATATCTATAGGAGAATAAGAAGAGCCTGCTGGACCAAGCCAGTGGCCCATCTAGTCCAGCACACTGTTCTCACAGGGGTCAAGGCTCTCGCAAGCAGGGCCTGAGCACAACAGCACTCTCCCCTATAGAGATCTAGTGTATCAATACTGGGAGGGACCCTTGGTCAACAGCATTCCCAGCATTCATATTCAATATGGACTTACAGGAAGCTGTCTTATACTGAGTCAGACCATTGGTTCTGGGGGGCTTTTGTTTCCCTACCCTCTTTGGCCTTTTTACTTCTTTCTGGGTATGAGTGAACAACAGGCATCTGTTACCTTCGTCACATTTCTGGTGAGTCTCCCAACATGTACTTTGGTAGGTTTGGGTGATGGACTCCTTCTCTTCCGTTCCTTTTCATCTCTCTTAGGCGGTTTAGACCTTGTGGAAATAAACAAAAAGTGTCAAACAAAAATTTAAACGTATGGATCTGCAACTCAAGCTCTTCATTAACTCCTATCATGCAGCATGACAAAAAAAACCACCAATGATCTTATTCTGTATTCCTTGCTAAATTTGGTTTTTTTTTAAAGTGGCTGGTGCAACAACTACAGGCCATTTATAGTTTGCAAGAAATAATTATGCTAAAAGTGAGTAACTATTGAGGCTTAACTTAAATTCAGTAGGGCTTGGAGGGACCTTTATTTGATACTATCCACCAAGTTTGAAATTTAGAAGCATCCTTTTCATAAAACACAGGTTCCCAAAGATGAGATTCAAAAGGCAAAGAACTGGCCAATCGGCTATTTTACCCACTTCTGCCTCTGGCCCACTGCTAGCATGTGCCCCTCCCCAAGAAAGAAACATGGGCTTTGAGCTGAAAAGTGTTCCCCACCCTTGTCTTACAGGAAGCACGTATCAAGGCCAATGGAAATAAAATAGCCAGTAGCCTCCGGTAATCTAGACTCACTTTGAACGGGAACGCCTCCTGTTGTCATGCCGATGTCGAGATGGGCTTGGAGAACCCGATGAGCTGCTGGAGCTGGAACTGCGGGATGTGCTTGAACTCCCAGAGCGGCTTGACGCGGAGGAGGAGCTGGAGCCACTGCTGGAGCCGGTGCTGGAGCTAGAACCAGAACTGGATGTGGAACTGGAGCGAGACCTGGCAGAGAAGGTGTCATGCAAGAGACTAATGGCAGCAAGGGTGTTCTCCCGATAACCCCCAAGAACTTTTGAAGGTGTTGGAAAGAACACACCATTGTCTTTTGCAGTTCCAACCCAAACCTGGCCACCTCCCAATGCAGAGGTGATGCTCTTTCTAAATCATTTCACTTATTGTACAAATGGTCCTTTGTCGAAAAACAGATTTCAGAGCAATATACAAAAGTCACCTCAAATTACAAATACCTTATAAAACCAATTTCATGAAGAATGAGAAAAACCATTCAACCCACTAAAAATGCCACCATCTAAAATGCTCAGGCAAAGGAAAATCTTTTAACAGTCTCTGAAATTACCTCCCTTTGGAGGGTGTTCCACAGCTGAAGTGCCCATAACACACACACCCCTTTGTAAATGCAGGACACACATCTTCTAAAGATGAACACCAAGAAGGGCCTCCCCTCCAAACAGATCATTAGGGTGCAAACAGACCTCCTGTGCGAAACCACACACAAACCCCCAATATCTCAATCAGAAAAGAGGACCTGAAGTCAAGTATGTGTTTAGCATTACTGCTTCACTCAACTTACAACCGACCTGCTGGTTCACATCAAGGGGCATATTTTAAGTTCTCAAGCTTAACTGCCCTACATTCCTGGGAATCTCACAAGTAGGGCATGGTGAGACAGCCACCACAACTCCATCCCTGTATCCAACATCTGAAGAGTTAAAAGGTTTCCTCTGTCTGAGCATGGCGGCATCATTTTTTAACTGCCAATTAAGAATCCTTGGGAAGGCCTGGTCCTTGAAACGGCCTTCAGAAACCCAAGAATTCCTGACTCTGCTTACCTGGTGCTGCTACTACCACTGGAGGCGCTGCGCCTCTTGCGAGTTTTGTCACGCCCACGATCCTTTTCGCTTGACTCCTTTGTAGCTGGCTTGTCTTTGGACCTGTCCTTGGACTTTTCTTCTGTACGGTCCTTGCGCTTGGTAGGAGAGGGAGCCCTTTAATGAACGAAGGTTCAGAAACTTAATTTCCAATCCCGCAATTTCAGTTGCAACAAAAGCAAGAAATGTCACTGCTACAAAGATGCTAAGAGACAAATCCCCAGTGTTTACACTATGGAGCGGCTTCATGAAAGAAAGCCAATGGTGTGGAATATATGGAGATTATGAAAAGGAGGGAAGATGCATTTCTAATTCCTCATGCTTGATGGGAAATCCCTAGGAGTCTGCACAGATCCCCCAAGAGGGGTGAGGCCTTGAACATTCAGACAATTATTACCTAGTGCTGGACTTTTTATTATTTTCTTTGATTCCTAGCAAACTCTTCTTTTTCATTCCTGACAGCTCCATTTTCCCCTTCCGAGTCCAAAAGCGGCACTTTTTTGGGGGGGCTCACTTATCTGAAAGCTTACTTCTAACTCCTTGATTCTGAGAAACGATCCCTAAGCGAATGCAATAAACTCCAAAGAGCAGCCTAGTGACAAGATAAAAGGGATATGAGACAGTTAACATATAGGCAGAGGAAAAGAAAACCCACTTCACAAGAAAAGGCACAAGCTTCATGCAAAGCATTATAGTTCACACACTTCTGTGTGGCTTGTTATTACCCATTTGAAAATAGCATCTGCTGAACAACTTAAGAGTGTGTTTACACAGAGCATTTGAATTTTCTTTCTAATCACCCTTCAAAAGGAGGAAGAACACACAGCAAAGCACACAGAGGTTTCCAGTCTGAATTTCTTAGTACTTTTCCTTAAGATATGCAGCATTACAACAGGACAGTGGTAGCCAACATGGTGCCCTCCGTATGAATTGAACTCCAACTCCCATCAGCCTGTCATCACAGCCAACTCTCATGGATGATTGGAGTTACAGTCTGGCAACATCTGGAGAACACCACGTCGGCTACCTCTGCAATAGAAAGCAAGGTACCTCAACAGGACATTGTGGTACAGTAGTAGCAAGAAAGCATTTTAAGTCCCAGGAAAACTATAGTAGATTTTAATTGTTTATAAGAATTTCTACTGCTCTTCCTAAATTCTTAATGCAGTTTCTCATTACTACTGCTAAGCTTTATTTTGTATTGATACAGAGTGCTGCAGTTAAGTCTGCAATTTCAGCTCCAGGGTCACTCCCAGAGACTATTAAATGTAACAGAGCAGAAGCACAGCGCAAAACCCTATCCTCAGATCACACAACAGGGGTGGTAAAACCTGTGGTCTTCCAGATGTTCTTGGACTCCAACTCCCATCAGCCCCAGCCAGAATAGCCAATGGTCGGGGTGATGGGAGTTGGCAAACCAACAAAATTTGGAGGGCCACCATTTCCCATCTGTGGTATAAAAGAACCTCAGTTGGAAATGCTGCTGGCTATTCCAGATAAGCTACAGCAAGTCCTTATGGGTTACACCAGGGGTCAGCAACCTTTTTCAGCCGTGGGCCGGTCCACTGTCCCTCAGACCATGTGGCGGGCCGGACTATATTTTTTTTTTGGGGGGGGGAATGAACGAATTCCTATGCCCCACAAATAACCCAGAGATGCATTTTAAATAAAAGCATGCATTCTACTCATGTAAAAACACCAGGCAGGCCCCACAAATAACCCAGAGATGCATTTTAAATAAAAGGACACATTCTACTGACGTAGAAACACATTGATTCCTGGACCATCCGTGGGCCGGATTGAGAAGGCGATGGGCCGCATCCAGCCCACGGGCCTTAGATTGCCTTCTCCTGGGTTACACACATTGTGGGCTCAAGAGTGTCTCTGTAGTCTGAGAGTAGCTATGGCTTATTTCAAGTACTTTAATTCTACCCCTCAGTATAGAACCCAAGGTGTTTTAAAGTCATACATTAAAAACAATGACTATTTTAGAATGGTAGAGTACAGGGTACTGTACATTTCAGATTAAGTGTATGTATTTTTCTCTAGCGAACCAGCATCACGGCAATCTACGGGAAATGGGTGGAAACTCTGAAAACAAAGCTTTTCATCCTTGTAGTTCAATTCCTGTATACTGCTATGCTCAAGTAACTCAACAGGCACTGAGAGAGCAAGGTTGCTTTGATGTACATTTGACGTACGAAGGACAAATATGTTTTATCATCGTTAAGATTAACACTTGGAACTATTACTTTATGGAGGGCAACCTGGATTAAAATTAAAGATGCATTTTCATGTGCTGAGACTTCTCTCAGGCACATTATACACACAAACTGTGTATAATGTGCTTATGCAAATAACCCTTTGGGAAGGTCCAAAGTAAGCTCCAACAGGCCATTATTCTACTGGTGTCTGTAACTTAAATTGCAAGTGCCTGAAGCAGTTCAAACATAAGGGAAAGCACATACTGTTATACCACTCTGCTTCTGCTATAGCAGAAGACTATTCCCACAAGCTTAGCTTTTCACTTGAAGCTCTGGTTAAGTATTTCTGCACGAGTCATTCAAGAAAGCAGCTCTTGCTTTTGTGTCACTCACAGCTATTGTAGAAACATAGGTGTGTAATGATATTCCCTGCCCTAGGGAAGAACTCAAGTTCAGAAAACCTGTGTCTGGATATCTCAGTTTCTTAGCCATTCAGCTTTGACAACGCTGAATGTAGCCCTGTGTTATGTAGCAGTCAGGAGCATTTTCGGAAGAAGCAGTAGGACGTACTCCAGCAGATGTTTTCATCAACAAAGAAATTAAATGGGATTAAAGGTATTATTCCTCTATATCCACATTTCATGACCCACTCTCTAAGTGGTACAAAAACAATTTGAAAGAACCTGTTCAGGTTAAATGAGGTCTTGAATTAACTTGGTGGTTAAGAGAAATCAGTGCACCCTCAGTAAAAGAGAACTGTCTGCTGTATATCACATCCTCAGTGCTTTAAGACCAGGAACACCAAGCCCAAGCTTACCAGTACTGCCCAAAAAGAAAAGAAAGAAATATTGTGTACAAACTTCAATGGTGCCTAGAGGTCTTTCTGTGGGAATCACTGACTTTGCAAACTGACTCTTATCAGCATGTTCACAAAGTTAGCAGAATGGCTACCTGTATACCTTACTGTGTTTGGGCAATACAGTACATTTACTTCACTGTGGTGAAAAGCCACTTGGTACATAATCAAGTGAATGTTTTTAGTCTTAGTGTTTTTAACATATCAGTGGACTTGCATATTTGTCTAAGTAATCACTGATATTATTGAAAGGCAATTTCTTTGCTATTGATAAAGAAATATTAAGTGAATTATAATAGCACCTGCCACACTACTGCTCTTCACTACCACCATCCCAAGAAGACCCTCTAAGACCAAGACCACCCTCTAAGACCAAGAGGGACCAGAGATTTGAACCTGAGCTTCCCAGATACAAGCTATATCCTGTACTAGCTCTGCAAGCAGGCTGAATGGACAACAGGTTACATCTCAAAGTAAGAATCGTACAACCACAGTGCTGCAACATAAAGCCATATCTGAGAATCCACTGAATGAATCCCCACGCTGGAAGCCAAGGTTTAAGAGGTAACCAATGGGGCCAGTGTGGTGCAACACTTAGCATTACAGAAGCAAGAGGGTTAAATCCCTGGTCAGTCACAAAGCTCAACGGAGTGGCCTTGGCCAGTCTGAGGGATCACAACAGGCCTATCTCACAGGGCTGTTATGAGGTTAAAACGGGGGTAAGGGAGAGAGGAACCATAAACTCCATCCTGTATTTCCTTGGATAAGGGATTGTCTTTTCCAACATCAAATAGATAACACGATCAATATAATAATAGAAGGACGCAACTTGAATGTGCACAGTACTGGTCAGGCAATTAAGGGGGCTTGAAGGAGACTTTCAGAGTGGGCTCCAGGAAGTTTGGGAGACCCCTCAAGGGAGAAGGGCGGGGAGGGAAGAGAAACGAAACCCCTCCTCAACAGGGCCTAGCTGGCGAGACGAGCTTTCCTCGCCCGACACGGAGAAAGAGGGAAACGGGAAGGGGCGGAGTAAATCGGCTCTGCCGCTTCAGTCAACCGACCCCACACAGCGCCTCTAAGGGCTCCCAAACTCTCCCCTCCAGCCAAGGCCTCCCCGCTCCTCGAGCTCCTCCGCGGGGCCGACCTCCCTCACAGACCCACCCCCAGCGTCCGGGAACCTTTTCTTGCCACACTCGGGCGCAGTCACGGCTAACTGCAACCGGACCGGGGCAGATGGCGGCGGATTACCGCCTCTCCCCTCTACTTACATCCTCAGAGCCCGACCGTCGCTCCCTCGTCGCGCTCGCGGTGACGTACGGATTGCCGCCTTCCACACAGCGGCAAAGAGCAGCTAGGCGGCGCGCGCTGATAGCGTCACCGAAAGAAAGGAAGCGCGGAGAGGAGAGGCGGGGTAGCCATTTATCTCCATGGTTACTGGCCCCACTTAAAGGGGCAGATCGACCCTTTTTGTTGTGGTAGTTTAAGGCCCCATGGAGATAAAAAAGAAGGTTTTTTAGGAGGGTTGGGAGAATCCAACAACAACCCACTTATCTGTTCTTAAAACATGATAACAGAAAGGGAAAATGGGAGTTGAAAGGATTATTGGCTCATCCTGGATTTTTTCCCAAGCGCCTAGCACTTTGGACATTAAACATTTTTTTAAATTTTTTTATTCAAAATTATAACAAGACATATTATCCAAAAACATATCATCCTTATTCCCCCCCCCATTTTTCCTCCCTCCCCCCTCCCCCACAGAACCCCAACCCCACCCCACCCCACCCACCCCGACTTCCCTCAGTTCCAGTCTTTGGTTTTTCTAATGCTGTTTTCTGCATGTTACAAAGTTGTATAGATCCTCAAACTGTTTAGCTGATTATTATCAATAAAAAAAATTGTGAATGTTTATTCAAAACCTGCCAAGGAGTCCAGTTCGCTGGACATTAAACATTTTAATAAACTCAGTGGGAAGGCCTGCTGAGACCCCTGGCACGGGAGGCTAAGGGAGAATGCTTAGAGCCTGCCCAGATCCCTTTAATGTTGTTATTCTTCCTTCAAGGAGCTCAAGGTGGCATGCGTTGTTCTTCCCCCTTACTAATTTTATCCTTGCAACAACCCTGTGAGGTTCGGTAGGCAGCGTCTAACCTACCACACAAGGCTGTTGCATGGATAAAATAGGATACTTCATAAATGTCCTGCATTCCTTGGGGGAAGGTTAGGATAAAATGTAATCAGTAAGCAGCTGTATGGCAAACAGGCAGGGATTAAAACAGCAGAATAAAAGAGGCATGTGGCAAACAGTGTTTACTCTGGTGTGAGCTTTCATGGAGTAGGGTCAACTTCATAAAATACATGAAATGCTATCTTTAGTTGGCAGATTGTACAGATAGACACATTTTTATTTTGTGTCTTTGCTTAAAACCTATTTATGTATTTTGTTACATTTGGATTCTACGTTTTTTCTGTTATAGCACACATGCCTGAGAATTAGTCAAAAATCTTATTTGTGACTTTTAGTTTGTTCCAAAAAAGTTATTACACCACTGTTATTTCGGGGTTTCCCCCCCTTTATAGGTAGCTAACCAACACAGCTACCTGTGAATATGTTACAATTTAATGACATGACTAATGTCCAGTACAACAAACCAAATCTACTTACCGGCTATAAAACAAAGCAACCATCACACACCTCATTGCAGTCTAAATTCCCATAGATTTCAGTGGGAATTGAATTAAATCATGACGAACTTGTTTGACAAATTTCAGTGGGACCCAAGTTCAGCTAATTCGTTTGGAACCGACCTTATTTATTTATTAAATGTAAAATGTATCACTTTAAAGGTCTTTATAATCACTTTAAAGGTCACCAATGTCTCAGCTGCGGGCACATTTGTGCCCATAGGGTACCCCCACCAGCTGAAAATAGGTTTGAAGGAAGCATTCTATCATAGCCAATGTACTGTACTTTAATTTTGTTTTAAACTGCCACACACACACACCCTACAGTGGTGCCCCCTGCTCGCTCTATTGAAACATCTGCCATTGTTTAAAATCAACACTATTGTTCTCATTATCTTTCCATCCCTGCTTTACTCAAATGTAAAAGTGCCATTTCCCTCTCAGTGTCCTTCTACTCCCACTTTACTAAACTTTTGCCATTGTTTATGACAACCACTTTCCCCCCTTCACAGTGTTACTCCCTTCTCACTGTACACAAACTTCTCCCTCTGAAACTCTGGTTCCCCTTCCAAACCCATGATCCTGTATCTATGAGGGGAAGCGGACAGCCTAGTTCGTTTGTCAATATAATGGCTTTGGCTGACTAGTTAAGTACTATGATTTAGAACAGGCAAAAAGAGGCTGCTTTGTGCCATAGAAGCAAATAGGTGAGCTTTCTTGTGAATCCCCTCACCTAGCTGCTACTAGAAGAACAATAGTCAAGAGTGATGTGTGTTAGTTGGAAGCTGGAGACTGATGCATACCTTGCTCTGTTGTGGGTCTAAAGCAGTGACTAGAGGAGAAGCAAGGTATTTTGGAGTACTAATGCTGTGAGCCCCTCCATATTATGCTCAGGTTGTATATATGTGCAAATAAAGCCACATATTCTAAAGACACCACAGTGTCCAGTGACCTTCATTCTCAAGAGTCCAAACCCTGGAAAAGTGCTTGGAACCCCTGGAGTAACTCACTGCTCAAGAGATTGGGGTGATAACAGCATATTGGTTTATCTTTAGTAACATAACTTCATCTAAACAAGGTGTGGGGAGCCTTCTGCCCTCCATCAGTTGCTGGATTACAACTTCTGTGAGGGCCAGTAAAGCATGGCCAATGGCCAAGGGGGGTGGCAATTGTCGTTGCAGCAACACCTGGAGAAACAATGGTTCCCCACAAACATACTGGAGGAGTAAGATTGTAAGCAGCGCAGGTGAAATGCCATGTTATGCAAGAGCAGCAACCTGTGGCATTTCTACAGAAAGCTCAGGCACATGCAACGGGTGTGAGGAACCTTTGCCCCCTGCAGATGTTGCTGAACTACAACTCCCATCATCCTTGACCATTTGCCATGCCTGCTGGGACTGATGGGAGTTGTAGTTGATCAGCACCTGGAGGGTCAAAGGTGATCCACACCTGGTTCAGTTTTTAAATTGAGCACCTATTTCCTTCCCTGGGCTCTTTGGGAAGGAAGGGCAGGATGTAATTTTAAATAATAATAACAACAACTGTATAATAATAGAGCAATAAAATTATACGTTTGGGTGGTTGTTGTTTAGTCGTTTAGTCATGTCTGACTCTTTGTGACCCCATGGACCAGAGCACGCCATGCACTCCTGTCTTCCACTGCCTCCCACAGTTTGGTCAAACTCATGTTGGTAGCTTCGAGAACACTGTCCAACCATCTCGTCCTCTGTCATCCCCTTGTCCTTGTGCCCTCCATCTTTCCCAACATCAGGGTCTTTTGCAGGGAGTCTTCTCTTCTCATGGGGTGGCCAAAGTATTGGAGCCTCAGCTTCACGATCTGTCCTTCTAGTGAGCACTCAGGGCTGATTTCCTTAAGAATGGAGAGGTTTGATCTTCTTGCAGTCCATAGGACTCTCAAGAATCTCCTCCAACACCATAATTCAAAAACTTCAATTCTTCGGCGATCAGCCGCCTTTATGGTCCAGCTCTCATTTCCATACATCACTACTGGGAAAATGTCTGGGTAGACTTGCCTAAACAAACAAACAAACAAACAAACAAACAAACAAACAAACAAACATTAGCAAACGTTTATCCTACATAAACCTTGAAGGAAGGCGGCTCTTCTCCTGCAAGGGTTAAGCTGCTTCTCCCCTTGACCCCTTCCCCTGAAAGGGTTACAGAGGAGCTCCTCCTGCATCTAAAGTACACAAACCTTGTTCCCAGCAGGCTTTGCGAAGTTTGGCTTTCCCCCAATCAAACAAAGAAGGCTGGAGCTTTTCGAACAGCTGCTGCAGCCTCGTCAGCAGCCCCGGGACTGTGCAAAGTTGGGGAGAAACCGAAGCACTTGGGGTTTGAGAGGTGCAAAAAGAGCATTTGAGTTGGCGGAGCGGCGTTTCTCCTCTTAGCAGCGCGATCCTTTATGAAGCAGCCGGAACAGTTTTGAACAGAAGGAGGCTATGAAGATTGCAACTTTACACCAATTTAGAGAATGAGATCTGCGTGGGAGTAACATATGGTTAAGCGTGCAGAGTATAGCTTTGCACATCTGGCTGGCATGGAGATCGCCTCTTCGGTCAAGATTTGGTGAAGGGCGCTTTGTATTTTGGCAGGTTTGTCTCATTGCTCTCGTGGTTTGTTATTAAATTGTGCAAAAATCGCGGGAAGGTTTTTATTGTTGTTGTTTTGTCCATCACCAAACAAACTAAAAGGAACCCCCGGGTAATACCTTTGGTGTCAATGCTAATGTTAGCAATAAGCATCTACAAAGGAGCGAGGAAGTTTCCTCCGAATTAATCAAAACCTTTTAGGCTATAATTCTCTTGTCTGCTTACCTGATGTAAGCCCCATTGAACTCGACGGGGTTTACTTTTGACTGGGAATGCATAAGATTGTGCAGTTAACTCTTCTTAGTTTACAATCCCAAGTAATAAAAGAGAGCTCTCTTGGAAAGATTCAAACTTGAATGTCGGGGTATAAATAGAAACAGAAATAACAATGAAAAATTTTCACCTGGCTGGAAAATAAAGCACACACACATTCAGTCTTACTTATGTAACTTGCATGCCAGCTGCAGTAGAAAACAGAATACATACATTTATTTTTTTGGCATCTGTCTGTCCCAAAAGACAATGGAGTGCACCTCCTGGGGTGACGCCAAACCACTGCCACTAAGCGCAAGCCTGGGCAGTGTGTAAATGTAATCCTAGGTACGTCTACTCAGAAATATCTCCCTCTGAGTTAAATGGTACCTTCTTCCAGGTTAGACATGTTTAAGGATTTCAGCCTAAAACCCTAACAACCTCTTCCTGCCCACTCTTTATTTAATTTGCTTCACATTCGGCTTGGTGAGGAGCTCTGATGAACTCAAAATATTTTGTGCACCTCATTGTGACCTTTTAGTTAGGCTTGATTATTAAAATATAGGAAGATATACAGATTATACAGTTCCTTCAACAGATTTTTCTTAGCTTTCAAGGTAAATAATGCAGCAGAACCTGTAATCCCTGATGATTATGTACCCTCGGGCAAGAAGCCAGTTTAGGAGAAATAGGATTGTGGGTTATACTCCTAACAAATGACAGCTTCAGGGATTCTAAGTGTACCTTCTTATATGTTGTATAACTCTTTAATAAGTGTTGGCTAACAGTAAAATCTTCTGTTTTCTTAGTGTAGTATCTTAACTGCTGTGTTTAACAAGCCCACCCACTGCAGTTAATAAAGGAATATTATGTCTCCTGGTAACATTCCACTAGCTAGGCAACGGTTTGAACATTGTAAGGGCTTTAGCTGCTTGTTCATCCTAATCTAGGGTGTAAAGGAAAATAGAAAAAAGCTGCCATTAATAATACATTTAAACATCAATACATTCATCTTAGTTTGTACATATAGATCAATATGTGCCATCCAGATGTCCTAATATGTCTTCAAATGAAGTTGGTGTTCATAGAAAGTGCACTCAAATGTTGCAAGGACTTTAAGGTCATCAGACCACTGCACAGTAGATGGTGCATATTTATTGTTCCAGGCTTTTAGTGACCATTAGGACATGTAAAATCTATTATTATTGTTCTGCCATTAAGCAGCATACAATAGAAATATAATTTAAAAGTACATGAACATCTGCAAATTTCTAGGATTTTGCCAGTGCAAAATTGATAAGGATAACATCTTTGGACCAAAAAGAAAATATCACCGGACATGCCCACAGGGTTAGGGTTTTAACTGCTATCAAAAATTGATAGTCTACTTTCCCTGGGCTGGAGACATTTATTACATTTGGATAATGAAACATATCTATTGTTAGTGCTTATTACAGGAGAAAATGGTATTGGCCTTTGTAGATTTTAGTCTACCTAAAATAACACAGTAACCAGTTCCTTGGCCCAGGTGGAAGCTTCCAGGCAGCTGTGAACCCCTAGACTTCTCTCTCAACCCTTAAACCTTCATTGAAAAGGGAAAACTGCTGTATCTCCTCTAAATTGTAAGTCAAAGAGCTCAGATGGTATTTTGCTTTCTTTCCTTGGGATAACCAGATTGTCTTTAGGTTAAAGCTTCTTTGAAAGGTTGTAATGACATATAATTAGGTGGACTCTGATCCTGTGGAAATACTCCCACTGTCGTGAATCTGTTCAAAAGAGATCCTTGCAACATCACAATTCACTTCTAGGGCAAATAACCCATGAATTCTGTACAATGTGTACTGTTTGAAATGTGTCTGTACAGGCCTGGCTTTTGGCCTACAAAAGTGCATCGTTGCTGTGGCATCATCTGTAAAAAAACCTTTGGCTCACTAGGGGTGTGTGTGTGTGTGTGTGTGTGTGTGTGTGTGTGTGTGTGTGTGTGTTCCTTGAATTTCAAAACATTCTCTAACTTTGAAAGCTTCTTGTGGCAACATGAGTAACAATTCACACATTTCCTTGAATGTCCTCCTAACAGGGCAGAGAACCATAGAGGCAAAGCTTAGTTTCTGAAGACTCTACATAGACAAAATGCTCTAGAAATGGTGTGTAGGATGTTACTAAGCAATGAGGGAAATGTGACCCTCCAGGCCTCTCTATGTGGCCCCATATACCTTCCTCTGGCCATGCCACTCACCAACCCTACTTCATTCCTAGCTGTCTTGGAGTGTTTTGGGTTGTTTGGGCTGGAATGTGTCCATAAGCTCTGATACTGCTTCTTGTTGGCTGGATGAAAAATAGAGGAGGGCTGGCTGTAGAAACTAGTCTACTCTGCAGAGGTAAAATCTGCATTCATTGCTCTGCCCGCTTCTGAAGCCCCTGCCCAGATGGAAATGAGGCCCTTAGTTTAAGAAAAGTCCCTTCCCCCGTCCCCCGAACTGGGGTGTCAAGATCTGGGACAGCGCATGCCTCTGTTCCACTTGGTGGTCAACCTTGCAATTTTACTTTGCTGCCATCTGAGCCCCCAGGCCCTGCTACAGTAAACAATTCACAGCACTTTTTATAAGTGCACAGCTGCTTATCCTATAATATTGTCACTTTAACTTGCTTTGTCCTTGGAATTTGTTTAAGTGCTGTGGGGCTGGCTAACAGTGTGGCCCTCCAGAGGCATTTATTTATTTAGCAGCATTTATATTCACTTAGTTTGCAATAAAATCCCTAAGTACTTTCCATAAAATGGTATAAAATAGCAACGAAAACAGCAGACATAATAAAATGACCAAATTATCGTTAAGATCAACAGATGTTAGAAACAAATGTACGCAATAAGACCAGTGTCATTGGGCTCCCAACTCCTATCGGCTTCACCAGCATGGCCAACAGCTGGGAGTTGTGATCCAACACCACCTGGAAGGCCACAGGGTAGCTATCCTGGTTTGTGTGATCATAGGGGAAACCTGAAGTTAGGAAGCTACCTAATTCTCAGCCAGATGGTCCATCTAGGTGTTCAGAAGCAGCCACCAGATAGAGCCCTATTCTCTCTTTCCCTCTCCCTCTCTCCTTCTTGTCTTAATGAGAACAATTTTATTCTATCCTTGTTTGTTTGTTTTCTCTTCCAGCCCAAAGTTCTGCTTAAGAAACAGAAAACTGCAAGAAATCAGAGAGGGATTTTCCCAGCGTGGCTTCTCTTCTTGTGTGGGCATTGAGTGGACAGGGTTAGACTGATGCTGTTAACTCCCGTCCAAGGGTTACTGGAGTCTTCCTTTGCTACAGAAAAAGGATATATATTTTTTAACTTCCTGCCCATCTTCTGAAGGGGATATATAAATCCAAAAATACACAAGTGTTTGTTCCATGGAAAAGGCCATTGGCCAGCTCAGGAGCTGGTGATCTTTGCTGGATTTCAGAATGGATTTAACCTTTGCAGTGGCTTTCTATAGGACGGTGCAACAGTGATCGTGACCTTGGAAGGAACACTGGTTGTTTCCCCAGCACCATTTTGCCTGTTTGACTTGCTAATCTAGCAGCATCCACATCAGGGTCTCTGTTGGCTGTTAATGTACCCTACCTTGAAAACGGCGTATTCTTCTGGAATGTAGCCACTGTCCATTTGACTAAAGGAAGAGGCCAAAGTCCTTGGCCCCGCCATGGGTCGCTTAGATGACCATGCCAAGAAACGGATTGTGGAGCTGCGCAAAGCCGGCTTGAGTTTCCGCAAGATCAAAAAGGTGCTGGAGCTGGACAACATCCGGGTCACCCCGCAAGCCATCTACCTGTTCCTTAAGCGCAAGAACGTGGAGCCCAGCCAGCCCCCACCTGTCTCTTTTCTGCAACCTGCTCTTGAGAATGGAAGCAGGAAGACTCTTGTGGACCAAGCTGGCTGGGAGGACAACCAGCTCTGGAAGTTACTGCAGGAAAACGAGACTGAGCACCATGGGCAGAGAGAGGCTGCTGGCTCTGTGGCAGGAGTTGGCCCCAGCTATGAGGTGCCGCCTTGTAACGGCCATTGTGATGGCGAGGAGCACATCAAAATAATTAGCGTGACTTCCTTGAGCAAGGATGGAGGGCCGTTTGGGAAGCAGAGTGCCTCCCATGAGGGCCTCTCCAGCGGATCTCAGCTGGGCCAGAATATGGGTAAAGCTTTGCACAGCCTCTTTGTTCACATGTGCTGCTGGCTTCTGCTTGAGGCCTGTTTAAGAAAACTCCCACAACCTTTGCTCACAGCAACCACCCTCTGCAAGTGCAGGCTGTCAGGGGTCCACTTTCTATGGGTTTCTGGGCTGGAGGGTGAGTGACGGTTTAGTAGCACTTCTAAGGGGTAATAGCTTCTAGTTTAGTTCTGAGTGCCATGTGACCTATGAAGCCCTTAATGGCCAGGGCTTAAGGCAGCAATGGGGTAACACCAAACCCATGGGCCTAATTCGTCCTGGCACATTGTCCCAATTTGGCCCATGAGGCTGTTCCTCAGAAACTGCTCCTACTTGCCCCACACTTGTCATATGTGAACATTCGTGTGGGGCAGGTACAGACTTTGCTGCAAATTTCTTTGCAAGTGGGGCTTCCTGTCAGTGCCTATTGGCTAATCAGCACTGATGGAGAGTTCAAAGGCGATTGACAGCACTAAGGAACACATTAAAAATAAATGAATCAATTAACAATTATGGGAAGATGCATTCTTAATTGTCTGCATAGGCTTGGAGGAAGATAAGAGTTTTCAGGTGTTTAAAGGTTGAAACAGAAGGCAGCTGCCAATTCTCCATGGACAGAGTATTCCATAGCACTGGACTGACAGTAACACTGAAGGCTCTGTTTTGTGTTGATGTCAGATGAGCCTCACCAACTTGGGAGACAGCCATCAACACACCTGCAGATGATCTCAGTGATCAATCTAAGGGTTCAGGCTGTCCCTAAGGTACCCTGGACCTAAGTTGTTCAGGGCTTTGTAAATCAATACAAGGACCCTAATCCTGGCTTGGCAGCAGATGAGCAGCCAGTGCAGATGTTTAGCAATGGTATCACACGTTCCTGGCCATGTGTCCCCATCAGCACATCTGGGAGGCACCATATTGGTTTGCTACCCTGCTTTTCTCTGTTGGGATGACCCTGAGGCACCTCCACTTCTTTCTCTTCTTCACTTCCAGGTGACAACTGCCCAGGGCCAAAACCTTCTGTGTCGCCCAGCTGCTTGACTCCATTTGCACCTGCAGTTCCTCAGCATAATCTGAATGGCAAAGGGAAGGCCTTTCTGCCACCTGCCCGGAATCCTGCCTTGATTGTGAAGAGGAAGATCGTAGGCCGGGCCATCCATCTCCAGAAAAAGGTGGGAAGGGCACAGAGAGGGTGAGAGAGAGAGACAGAAATGAGCATGATTGGAAGCCCAGAATAGAATCCCAAGTTAGCCCTATTATTCTTGAGTAGTTTCATGCAACCCCTAGAGCAGTAGAAAGGGTGGGTCTGGTGTCCTTCAGTGGGGTATGAGAGCTGATTCCCCCCCCCCACATGTAGGAACCAATGCGACCCTTTGGATTCAGATAGCGCATGGGTAGACCAGTCTGAAAAGCCCGGGACACAAATTTTCATGGCCCTCTAGTGGCTATGGTGGCTCATTTACCAGAAATACCAGTAATGTAGGTAGCTGTGTTGGTTTGATGCAGTCGAAGTGTGCATGCACATGAAAGCTTATACCCAGAACAAACTTAGTTGGTCTCTAAAGTGCTACTGAACAATTTTTAATTTTTATTTATTTATTCAGAAATAATGTATTTAGTGTTAACTCTGGAAGTTGTATACTCGATTCTGACCAGACCAAGCCTCCTAGAGCAAAATAAAAGAGGGTGGATGCAGGATGGAGAGAAGTGCTGCATGAGTGTCAAACCTCTGCATTGTATCTAGCCAAGTGTTACTCAGAGTAGACATATTGAAAGTGACTTGAGATGACCCTCTTGCCTTTTGCGTGGCTGGGATGTAGTTCGCTCCCAGAAGGGAATGTGGCCCTTGAACTGAATGAAAGGTTCCCCACCTGCACTTTTTTCATCTTCTGGAAGTACAGCTCTTAAGCAGAAACTGAGTCTTCTCCCTTGTCCTTTAGGCAACTGTACAGAACGGGCAGAATTCATCTGGTTCTACACCCAGTTTGCCTTTCACAGTGAGGGTGCAGCCAACTGGCCATCCTTCCAGGGGGACAACTCCTGTCCCGATGGCATCTTCTGGCTGCTCTGCACATGTAAGTGACGTAGAGTTTGCGTGCTTTAATAGCGATATATGTCAGAAAGAGTAAAGGCTCCCAAGCAAAAGGAGGTTGATTGTTTTTTGGGGGAGGCGGGGGTGGGAGTTGAAGGATTGTGTGCATTGAGGTGGTAAGAGAGTCTGTAAGAACTTCAGAACCCAGTTGGGGAAGAGTTAGGGCAGGGGGCCACTGACCATTTGGGAAATGCTTGGAATTTTGAGAAAGTGCCATGGGCACCAGTCACAAAATGGCTGCCGTGAGGGCATGGGGGTAATTGCCACATCATCTTAAAGGGAAGAGACAGAGACAGGGCCACAAAATGGTGTGGGCGTGCTCTCCCTCTCCCCTTGCAACAATGGGGGGGGGGGAGGCAGCTATATCAGCCACCACCATGCTCACTCGCAGAGAGAAGCTCTTTGCACCTCTCATCTGAACAGAGGGTAAAATGCCAACCCAGCGAAATATTGACATGTTTTAAGGGGGCGTGTTCAAAGTAGGAGAAGCTGAGACGGTGCAAACAGGAATTGAGGAGGAAGAGCAAACAATCCCTGGTGTTTGGTGGATTTTAGAGGGGATATTTATGAAGACCTGCTGCAAACGCCAGAGGAGGCATCCTGGCACTTGTGATGTTTGTGACTCCTGAACTAGAGTCTTTAATTGAAGAAGAGAATAACTATTTGGTGATCCTACCGTGTTATGTACTGAAGTTCTCACCCTGGGCCAGCAGGGGGATACTGTAGATAGTTATGCAAATGAAGGATTGAAAGTGACATTCAGTGATTGGATAGTTTTAGAAAGTTGTTACAGTAATGTGGTACTGGAGCTCTATATAAGCAGGCTGACTGAGCCCTTCAGTTCAGTTCTGTCCTGGCCTGTGAATAAACAAGAGCTGTTTGAAGAATCACTGTGTCGTCTGATATGTTCACCCACAACTTAACACGCCATTTCTTCTTCTTTTTTGGATTCCCCCTCCCCTTTCTAGACTAAAGATGCCGGTACTCAGACTTGTACATTTAACCCCACCTACCCTCCAGTTCATCAGAATCCTCAGTGGGGAGCTCAGATGACTACCTCCTTGGTCCCTGCTGCCAACCCTCAGCCGCTTGCAGAGAAACTGGATACAGTGCACACTGAGGTCCAGAAGCTTGCGCAGGCTGTGCATATGGTGCTGGAGCGCCAGTGCCGACTGGAGCGCCAACAGGAGCAGCAGCAGCGCTTCCAACAGGAGCTTCTCATGACGCTGCAGCAGCTCAGCTCCACTGTTGGCCACGGGGCGGTCCCTGCCCATGCCCCCTGTACTCCTTACAACGTGGCTGACCCCTCGCCACCCTTGCCAAGCTTCAGCCAGTTCAAGATGGAGCTTATCTGACCAAGGACTATGGGGATGGCAGTGGAGGTAATGAGTGAGCTGTTTTATGTTCTAAGTGTACTGTATTTTTCGCTCTATAGGACGCACCAGACGATAAGACGCATCTAAGACGCAAGAAAAAAAAATTCTGAATCCCAGAAGCCAGAACAGCAAGAGGGATCTGGCTTCTGGGATAGCCTCTTGCTGTTCTGGCTTCTGGGATAGCCACTGAAGCCTCTCCCGGGCAGCGGGATGAAGGCTCCCCCTGCCTGGAAGAGGCTGCGCGCAGGTAAGCTGCCCTCTGTACCTTCCCCCATCTCCCGCAAGAACCGCACACTCTTTAAAGGGAGTGCGGTTCTTGGGGGCTTTTCTGGGAGGTGGGGGAAGGGACAGAGCCCCCCACTTCCCACAAGAGCTCCCGCTGCCCTCCGGAGGCTTCACGGGCTGCCCCAGAAGCCAGAACAGCGAGACGAAGCGCTGCACAGCGCTCCGTCTCGCTGTTCTGGCTTCTGGGGCAGCCCGTGAAGCCTCCGGAGGGCAGCACACACATTTTCCCTTACTTTTTAGGAGGGAAAAAGTGCGTCTTATAGAGCGAAAAATACGGTATGTCTTTCGCACCTGGCTCCGGTTAGTAGATCTGCAGGTTCTAGGAAAACACACACACTAAATCCTGCAAGTCAAACTCGTATGGCAGGGGCTGTTGCAAAGTAAATGGGGTCAGAACATCCTTTGCATACCTGGTGCCCTCCAGGTGTTTAGGACTACAGTCACAGCCAGCATAGGGCAGCATGCTGGCAAAGGCTGGGTGTGAGCTGTGTCCCAGTTCTTTGTGGGATACCTTGCACAGGATTGGTTGGGGAGTACCTTGTCCCTTATGACCTGTATCAAGGCCCTGTGCAACCACGTTCAGAATAAAACTGTCTATTTACACACGTGTGCCTTGTTTTCATAATTTGTTCTTTTCTTAAATTACTATTTTTAAATATAAACTTCACATCGCAATAAATTAAATATATCAAAAAGTGAAGACGGATTACAATGAGTGTTAAATTAATGTGGCTAGATTAGATATTTTCCCATGTTGGTTTTTGTTTTTTAAAAAATTACCATTGCAGAAAATACATGAGGATTTTGCTACAAGTTGTAGAACAGTGTTTATAAGTTTGGATCAAAACATACATAAAATGATAGTGTTCATAATTGTTATACAGAGAGGTTTTATTTTTGCACAGTTCAGATATGTAAATACACCTGTTTTGGTTTAATTGCACCGCCAGCAATGTGTGTTTGGATTGTCATCACATTTCTGACTTCTGTTTTTAACCAGATTTTTCTTGAGAAGCCGTTCTGTACTTACCTGCATTCTTGGAAACACAACAGGAACCTCACTTTCCCCTCGCTCTTGTCAATATACTGTGCCCTTAAGCAAAAAGGCACATGTTTTTGTCTAAGGCTTCTTCACCTTAATAAAACAGCACAAAGAAACTTAAGACAGGTTTTTACTGCCCAAAGCCAAATACCACTGCATCGTAGGGGTGTAGTAAAATGCCACAAAACAAATCCACATGTGTCAAAAGGGCATGTAAAGCTGCAGTCTTATACACAATTAACCTGAGCACAATATCTATGGGGTACCACATAACACTACCTCTGCCCTAAATGGGAGCCTATGCAGTTGGGCTACCTCTGGTACCATGGTACTAAGAACACTGGTACATTCTATTTACCCCCCACCCCAAGCTTCTGTAGGGACAACACAAATAATAAAGAGCAGTGCTTGCTCTTTGCAGTATGCATGATGCCCAAGCATGTGGAAGAGGGTGCCACTGGGGCCCTGGCACCCAAACAACCCCCTCCCCTGCCAAAATTATTATGGGAAGAAGTGTCCTTTTGTAGCCCATAGACTGGTTGTGTAAACTTGGTTGTTGTGCCCACAACAATTGTTTTTGTGGTTTGTAAATGCGCCTGTAGGTCCAAAAATGTGGCCATCACAGTACAGAAAGGCTTATCAGTGAAGTTAAAAGGTAAAGGGACCCCTGACCACTAGGTCCAGTCGTGGCCGACTCTGGGGTTGTGGCGCTCCTCTCGCTTTATTGGCCAAGGGAACCGGCATACAGGTTCCGGGTCATGTGGCCAGCATGACTAAGCCGCTTCTGGCAAACCAGAGCAGCACACAGAAACGCCGTTTACCTTCCCGCCAAAGAAGTACCTATTTATCGACTTGCACTTTGACGTGCTTTTGAACTGCAATGGGAGCTCACCCCGTCGCAGGGATTTGAACCACCGACCTTCTGATTGGCAAGTCCTAGGCTTTGTGGTTTAACCCACAGTGCCACCCGCGTCCATCAGTGAAGTTAGTCGTTACTGAACCAGCAGAATGTTTCTGCAGCATAATAAACGCCAGGTGCTGTAGTGGTGACCAGCAGAGGGCAGTAGCTGATCAAAACACAGGACCCTCACTCTCTCAAGTCCCATGTGCGAATACAAGCACCATATAAAATATTCAAGATAGAAACAAACAAACAAACAGGAAAACACTGGTGCAAACTAGTGGCTCAAAAGGGGCCTATACAAAGCAGGGAATTACGGAGGTAAAGAAAAGGGATGGAGGAGAGATGCATTTGGTGCTAAGTGTCCCAACTCTTCTTTGGTTTGCTTCTAGGGGAGAATGAAATGTTGCAACAGATAAACCCTTTCCTAAGGGTTTTTTGCCTCTGACTCAGCCATGGGAAGCTGCCTATCAAGACCGATCATTAGGTCATCTAGCTCACTACTGTCTACACTGGCAGGCAGTGACTCGCCAAGATTTCAGGTAGGGGTCTCGCCCAGCCCTAACTGGAGATGCCAGGGATTGAAACTGGGACGTTCTGCATGCTAAGATGTGCTCTACCCACAGCCCTTGCCACATACGAAATCAAACTCTCTGCCCATCTAGCCAAGTACTTTCTACTTTTGACTGGCAGCAGCCCTCCAGGTTCTTGGCAGATGCCTTTCACAGCAACTGATCTTTGGTCCTTTTAAACAGAAGATGCCATTGGTTCTAGCGCCACCTACTGTTGGCCCTCCCTACCTTCTGCCCTACCAGTCCCAATGGGGACCAGCCACCGCTGGAAGAGAATTATAACCCTGCGTACACAAAACAAAGGAAAATCAAGGCTTTGCACTATGAAAATCTGCAAAATACTCCCCTCCACACCAGATACACAAGAGCAGTGGGGAGATAAAGCAGAAAATGACCTGGAAACACAAGTTTCATGCATCTCCCAGTAAGGATGGGAAGTAAACAAACAACAACAATAAATAAACCCAGGGCTTTCAAACGTCCAATGTTACATTCTTGGTCCATGTGTGCAATTGCTGGACAACCAGCACAGCTGCTTTTCAGAGGTTTTTGCTGCTTCTCATCAGTTACAGAAATAGCTTTTTCCTGGTGAAGGCTGTTCCCAGGAGAGTCAGAAGTCTGCCATAAACTCACAGCGGTCGTTCAGCTCAATGGTGGTGTAATTCTGAGGCCGTCTGGGGAGGAGGGGAAACACACACAGACACCAGAGGAAATAAGTTAAAGGAAAGTGGCATGACTTTTATTTGTTTAATCGGACGGGGAAGCGACGCAAAGCAACCGTTAATTGCATTGCTTCGCGTACAGTGCTTTCATTATTGCAAACCAGAACATTTTGTAACAAGGCTATGCATTTAGAAAAATACTTTCCTGGTTTTTGCTTACAGAGTCTGAACACACTGTAGATTCCAAATGGGTGGGGGTGTCAGTACAGCATGGAATTTATTCTTAGAATCATAAAACTGTTAGTTAGAAGGGACTCAAAGAGTAATCTAATCCAACCCCCTGCAACTCAGGGTCTTGTTCCTGAATCGTAGAACAGGACCAACTCCATGTATGAAGGGGGCCTAATAAGCACCCCTATGTCTGCACAGATCCAAATATCAGCAGGCAGCCCTTTTTCCCCTCCTGTTTATTTATGGCTGGAAGTGGGGGCAGATGGGAGGGCTTGCTGCTAAAGAAGGATGCCACTGATGTTAGCTCAATGGCAGGGCATCTGCTTTGCATGCAGAAGGTCCCAGGTTCAATCCCTGGCATCTCCAGGTAAGACTAGGAGAGAGCACTGCTTGAAACCCTGGAGAGCGGCTGCCATCATTGCAGAGACAATACTGAGTTAGATGGAGTCGATAGAAGGCAGCTTCCCATGTCTGTCTGATGAGCATCAGGCAGCCACCCATATGTTGTGGGACCACAACTCCCATCATCACCCTTGGCCTTTGGCCATGCCGGTTGGGGCTGATGGGAGCTGGAGTCCATCACATTCGCAACCTCTGCATTCCCCATTTGGGCACAAAAATCACGATGTCTGTTGCATGCACCAAAAGCAGCAGGGTGGGGGGGATGTGTCAGGAAGGGCCGCTTTGCAGCTGCTTAAGGGTGGTGCCTGCTGATGCTGAACTTGAGGCAAGGACCAAGGCTGAGCAAGAGAATGAGAGCATTGCGGTGGAAAATTGGGGAAGTCAGTTCGTTGCACAAGAGCATCAAATCCACTTTAATTGCACAACCTGCATTTGCCGGTATGTGATTTGAATCCACCCCAAAGCAGCAGCAATTTGGAAGCATCTTCAATGGGATGCCAATGGAAGGATTTTACTGTTGCTATTTGCTGTGCAGATGCATCTATTTTCCCCCACACTTGCATCCCCCCCCCCCCCGGTTGATAGCAGAGGAGGAAAGTGTTAAACCTTTCCTCCTGCTGCATTGTGGTCCCTATTTGGAACAACACAAACAGAGAGTTGTACCCAATGTTAGTCCTACTCAGAGTAGACCCATTAAAAATGCTTATTTATTATACCCCCCCCCTTCATCCTAAGGTCCCAGGACGGGTTACAACATTAAAACACAAGATTAAAAACAGTCTAAAACAAGTTCCAAACATAAAAAAGAAAGTGGCTTCTAAAACTATACACCTCAAGTGTCAAAAGCCAGGGGTAAAGAGATGCCTTGTCAGCATTCACCAGAAGCTGCACAATGAAGGTGCCAGACACACCTCTGTGGGGAGGGAGTTCCACAGCTTAGGGGCCACCACAGAGAAGGCCCTCTCCCGCACTGCTGCCTCAGCACCTGAGAGGGTCTGTAGGGAAGGAGGTGGTCCTTCAGATATTTGAGGCCTGAGTCATTTAGTCATTAAGACATAGCCACTTATTATCATTAATTTCAACGGGCCGACTCTGAGGAGGACTTAGTTGGATACACCGCAGAGCTTCAATTTCTTTGAAGACAAACGAACACCTGATATCGCTTCAAACATTGGATTTAAAGTAATATAGAGTTAGACCCTTATACACAGAAAGCTTTAAAGCATTTCATTTCCTGAAACAGGCTGAGTAGAAGGAGACTTGCCATGCTAGAGTCTGAAAAACCCTGCTGTAGACAGACAAAATAAAGCAACACAGCAAAAACAGACACACAAAGGGGTGGAGGAAACGGGAACTTGAGTTGTGGGGAAGCTTGTTGAAAAGCCCCTTCGGGTTTTTTAGCTTAGTTAAAACGTTTTAAGCAGCTACTGGAACATGCTTGAATTTCCAAGTGAGGAAGCAGAAAGTTGCATGAAGCAAAATGGGATGTGGGGAGGACCATTAGAATGGATTCTGCGTAATGCACACAAACCTCCCTTGTAAATTCACATAAAGAGAACCCTACCATAAAGGAGTGTGACATTATAACTAACTGAGGCTAACACGTTTGTTAGGGGAACTGTAAAACAAACACACTCTGTACTCCTGAGGAATTAGTTTGTAACAGAGTACACGGAGAACACAGAGTGCTTTGTTTCACGTTTTTAAGCAAAACATGTTAGGCTTAATAAATTACAATTTATTGCACTGAAGATTTGAGGAACTCTTCTTGTTCCTTCTTAGCTGATTCTTCTTTTTCTCCCTCCTTTTCTTTCACAAACAGCTAGGCAATGGCTGCCTCTGGATGGTCATATCTCAGCTTAATAAAGCAAGACAGGAATGAGCTTTGTGCCCTTGCATTCAAGAGACCTCCTGTTTTCTCCGAACCAAGAAACTATGGTTACCACCTTCAGAACAAGCCAGGATCTTAGATTAACTTCTAACCATGGTTTAAACTCCTGGCTTGCTCTAAAGCTAGGAACCATTGTTTCCTGAAGAATCAGGAAACAATGGCCAATTGGAGACTTCTGCATCGCGTTCAGGTGTGCCACAAAGGAAGGAGAGAAGAGGCTACATTCCAGGGGCACACGGCTTATTCAGATCATTAGAACCGGGCCATTAACATAGTAGGTCTAATGTAAATTTATCTTTGCTATTATTATTTTACTGCTTTTATACAGCAACTCCACTTTCTGGATGACTCACTAAGCAAAAAATGAAAATGAAAATTGTAATGCAACATTAAAATATAGTATAAAATGATAAGAACTAAAACATATTGGAAAGCAATTTTAAATTAATTTTTTAATTGAGCCTGCCTCAATTTCATGGCTTTCCGGTGCCAGGAAGAATGAGTGCCAATTACCCACTTTTACAGTCCACAATTCACCCTTCTAGGTGGTCTCTAGTTGATCTCCCAAGCACTAGGAGAGCAGACGGGTAGGAGGGCTGTGTATGGCAGAGTAAGAACTGCAGTGGAGTTTCAATCTGGTTTGTTAGACCCTCCAAAATATGCAGGGGGCTCAGGCAAAGGCTGGCACACAAACCAGAAAGCAGAACTGCCGTTGCTCCTTACCTTTTGATGCAATAGAAAGCTGTTCCAGCTAACAGCAGTACAAGAAAGATGGACCCCACAACAATGAGAGCAATCTCCCAGGCTTGAAATGAAGCTAAGAAAAAAAGAAAAGGAGGGGGAATAATTATTATCAGTCTGTCTTGGTGAGCTCCCTACAGCTTTGGAGATAGCTTTCTAGAGACAGGTTCAATTTCAGGCATCTCAACAGAGCGCCACTGCCAAACAGTGCAGACATTACTGCCTCCTCTAAAAAATGTATTTATTAAAGGTTTTTAAACAATAAAACGATTCAAACCCAACATAATCTTTACCTTTACATACATAAAGGTAAAGTACATATAAATTTATATATTTAATATATTTTCCTGCTACACCACAATGATCACTAAGCAACACGACCTACAGGTGAATTTACATCCTCATTGTCATTTAGTGCATGCAGGTAGGAGAGAATCTACGCAGAATAGATTCTATTCCTTCCAAAGTATGCAATGAGGATAAACTGTTCATCTATGTATCTTCCCTCCCACCCACCTCTGCCTCCCAACACGATATTTGGAATGTTTTGATTGTTTTGTAATAGTTAGCTTGTTTTAATGTTCTGTCAGTATTATTGAATTTTAAAGTCAAACAAAATAATTTGGGCGCCTCTCGTGTCGCCACTTCCTCGCAGCCATTTGGGCCGTTTCCCCATCCGCTCACCCTCAGACCTCTGCGCTGTTTTTCCCAGAGATGCACATGCAGCGTTCGCTTTGAGGGGCTTCCCGTCCACGGCAAAGGGGTGGGGACTTGAGGAAAAGTGAGAATGCCACTGAACGAGGCGCTGACGCTGCTCAGGTGACCTGGCCCACACTTGGCCAGAGACTTTCAGGGTGGAATTAAGGCAGGTGAACGTAACCCCTATATGGAAAGACAAAAAAGAGGAGCGGGGGTCTGGTTCAGTTCAGAAGTACCAAAGGGAGAGTGGGGGGTGGGGTTATATAGCATCAAACCAAACCTAGCATAGGGCTGTAACAGAAAGACAAGGTTGTGTGAAAGAGGAGTGTCTACAGATACAGTGGTACCTTGGGTTGCATACGCCTCAGGTTACATTCGCTTCAGGTTACAGACTCCGCTAACCCAGAAATAGTACCTCGGGTTAAGAACTTTGCTTCAGGATGAGAACAGAAATCGTGCTCTGGTGGCGCGGTGGCAGCAGGAGGCCCCATTAGCTAAAGTGGTGCTTCAGGTTAAGAACAGTTTCAGGTTAAAAATGGACCTCTGGAACGTATTAAGTTCTTAACCCGAGGTACCACTGTATACATAAACACCAAGATCCTTTGCCCCTGCTTCACTCCTGTTACCTTCACTCTTCAGATTTTTATTTTATTTATTTTTACACCTTTCTTCTAAGGAGTTCTATTTTTATCTTCACCATTTTTACCCTCACAACGATCTTGTGGGGTAGGTTAAACTGAGAGCTATTGGGCTGGCTCAAAATCACCTGGTGAGTGTCATGGCTGAGTGGGGATTCAAACCCTGGTCTCCCATGTCCTAGTCAAGCATTACACCACACTAGCTCTCAATATTTCCTATTTCAGTAAGTTGCACGCTTTATTGGATGCGAGTTGTTGTTGTTACATTTCTATCCCACTTCCACTCCCCCAGAGCTCAAGGTAACATACACGGCCCTCTCTTTCTCTCAATTTTATCTTCACAACAACCCTGTGAGGTAGGCTAGGCTGCGAGACAGTCGCTGACTGAAGATAATTAAGCAAGCTTCATGGCTGAGGGGATTTGGACCCTGGTCTCCCAGGCCCTAGGGACGCGGGTGGCGCTGTGGGTAAAACCTCAGTGCCTAGGACTTGCCGATCGTATGGCCGGCGGTTCGAATCCCCGCGGCAGGGTGAGCTCCCGTCTTTCGGTCCCAGCTCCTGCCCACCTAGCAGTTCAAAAGCACCCCTAAGTGCAAGTAGATAAATAGGTACCGCTTTATAGCGGGAAGGTAAACAGCGTTTCCGTGTGCTGCGCTGGTGCAGGCTCGCCAGAGCAGCTTCGTCACGCTGGCCACGTGACCCGGAAGTGTCTTCGGACAGCGCTGGCTCCCGGCCTCTTAAGCAAGATGGGCGCACAACCCTAGAGTCGGTCACGACTGGCCCGTACGGGCAGGGGTACCTTTACCTTTACTTTACCTCCCAGGCCCTAGTCCAACACTTCTAACCACTACTTTACACTGGCTCCGGGTGACTTGTATACCTGCCTTCATTATAATTCTGATGGGCTGTCTGCTTTTTTTGGTCTGTTTAAAGCGCCATTTGTACAACCGGAGCTGCATCTGCACCATACATTTAAAGCACTTGAACTGCTCCCCCCCCAAGCATTCTGGGAATTGTAGTTTGCTAAGTGTGCAAAGCATTGTTAGGCGACCCTAAAATACCGAAGCTGAAAAGAGCAGCATAAAATGCTTCAGGCCAGCAAACCAAACCACAAAATCAAATGTATCACAATTCTTTTAAATAAATAAATAAATAAAAACCAATTTAAAGTAGCAGTATCAATTTAAAATCCATCCGGTTTTCTTTACCCAAGGGTAGATTTAAATACAAAAGTCTATTAAGCCTCCTCTAAAAGAAAGCAGGGAGGAAAACAAAAACACCTCTCAAAGGAGATATGTGAAAATTAATTATACAAGGGAAGGGGAACCGTTGGCCCTCCAGAGGTTGCTGAACTATAACTCCCATAAGCCCCAGCAAGCAGGACCAGGGATGATGGGAGTTGAAGTTCATCTGGAGGGCTAAGGGTTCTCTACACCTGACTCATATAAACTTTGTGAGCTGCAGCAAGACTGTACCTCCCCAACAGCTGTCTGCACTAGGCAGCTAACAAATCTTAAGTTCCTATGGAAGTTGGATGACGTTTTGACACAGACCGTGTAGATAGCATTGGCAGATGCCACAGAAGCAGCTCTCCTCCATGGATCTCACTAATGCTTGCTGGAGACTTGCCAACATCTGTGGGTTCTGAGGCCACATGGAACAATCTGCCAGGAGGAGGAGGAGGAATTAAGAGATATTGAGCCAATCCCCTTTGCAACAACGTGGTTCATGCAAAACACACAGCAGAGAGAGTCCATGCTCTTTTCTTTACTTTTCTTTTTTTAAAAAACAATTTTTAAAACAAATATTTCTTTATTAAACATTTCTAAGGTACAAATTTAAAATTAAACAAATGCAAAGGGTGTGTTATGAACATAACAGACATAGGACAGCAGTCTTAACATTTCCCTCCCCCTTTATGTTTTCTTTACAGGGTTTCTTCACAAAGTTTTTTATTCATCGTCACAACCACCCTGAGAGGTGGGTTAGGCTGAGAGGTAACAACTGGCCCAAGTTCACCCAGTAAACTTCATAGTTGAATGGCGATTTGAACCCTGGTCCCCCATGCCCTAGTGTGACACTGTGGCCACATTGGCTCTCCAGAATACACTGCCTGTTCTTTAGTTTGAAGGTAAGCAGCATCCTAAATCACCTTTCCACTCTCACAAGAAAAAGAAGATAAGCTTCTCTTACTGGGGGTCAGCAGGCAGATTTCAAGATTCAGGAAGAGAGATTCCTGTGGGCAGTGATTCTCCGAGGCAGGAGTGGGGTCAGAGACTGCATAGATTTTGCCGCAGGAGGGACAGCGGCTCAAGGACAGCGGTCTGCAAAAGAAACAGAAAATCAACGAGAGTTCCCCATGGGATTTCAAAAACATATACATTTATTTCAACTTGGCATCAATTTATTGCATATGTTAAAGAAAAACAACATAATCAACAACCTTCCCCCTTCTACTTCATAAAATCATAGATCTATAGATTTGGAAGGGACCTCGAGGGGCAGCTAGTCCAACCCCCTGCAATGCAGGAATCAAAGCTAAATAATCCCTGACATATGGCCATACAACCTCTGCTTGTTATTTGAATCCTTTGGTTCGCATCCTACCTTCTGGAGCAGCAAGAAACAAGCTTGGCCCATCTCCTGTGTGACAGCCCTTCCCATACTGAAGATGGCTAACCATACCACCTCTCAGTCTTCTCTTCTCCAGGCTAAGCATATCAAACTCCCTTGTTTTCCATACACTTTATCATCTTGGTTATCTTCCTCTGTACCCTTTGCCGCTTGTCAATATCCTTCTTTAACTGCGGTGCCCAGAACTGGACACATAAATAAGTCACCTGGAAGTGAACCTAGCTTCCTTTTCCATGAAAAGTGACTTCTTGTTACGTGCCAACCAGAGGCCAGGGGTTGGAACAAACATTCAGGAATTGTGGGAAAGGAAATTAACTCTGGCTGTGCAGGGGGAGGGTAGGACTGCCTGCAAGCCTGAGGATTTGTGTGGGGTCCTTTCTGCTCATGCATGTAGTGGTAAACCATGGTTTAGTGTTACATGTGTGAACACAGCCATACTCTCTCCTCTTGTCCTTCTTTAAGTCTGTCTCTCTCCAGGTCCATAATTCCTCTCTATGATCAGGACCTCCTTTTGGCTCTTTATTGTTAAGAGATAAAGCTAACTTCACATGCTAACCATTTGGAGGTCCCATAGATAGCATGATGAAGTCACAACAGGATGCAGCCAATTATATTTTGATATACAGTGGTACTTCTGGTTACATATTTAATTCGTTCCGGAGGTCCATTCTTAACCTGAAACTGTTCTTAACCTGAGGTACCACTTTAGATAATGGGGCCTCCCACTGCCACCGCCGTGCGATTTCTGTTCTCATCCTGAGGTAAAGTTCTTAACCCGAGGTACTACTTCCGGGTTAGCGGAGTCTGTAACCCGAAGTGTTTGTAACCCGAGGTACCACTGTACAATAATGTCAGAAAGCAAGTTCTGAATAATGACTCGGTAGAGCCTTTTGCCCCTGTTCACAGCCCTTCCCCATAGCCAAAAGGAAGAGAGGACACTTTTTAAAATGTTTTTTTTTTTGAAAGAGCACTCCCAATATTGGGATAGAAATGCAATAAACCTCACCTGCCTCCTTCCCTAGATACAAAGTGGATCGGTTCAGAAAGACGAGGATGAGCTTGGCTTGCACCCGTCTCCCATGTATAAACTGCAACATCTTTGAGGTGCTCCTCCATAGTGCCATTAAGAGCATGCCTGGAGAGTGCCACAGAATGGGTCACTTCTTGCAAGGAGGGATTGCTCCAAACAGAGGGCATCACTCGTTGCTCTGGAAACACAGATGGTATAAACACAGTCAAAACCAAGGAATGTGTGAGTCTTCTCCTTCCTGCTTCTTGACAACTGAAGAGTTAGGTAGAGAACCTGCGGCTCTCCAGATGTTCAAAATGGCCTCTACCCTTTGGCCAACACACATCTCTAGCTTGCAAAGTATGCCACCACATCCACACGTGCATGAGAGATGAGAAAGGGTCATAGTGAAGTGTTCTATCCCTGGCATCTCCTGGTAGGACTGGGAAAAGACTCTTGTCCAAAACCCTGGAGAGCCGTTGCCAATTAGTGTTGACAATGCTGCGCTAGAGGGACCAACGATCTGACTCAATACAGTCAAATCTCACTTCCCGAGCACCTCCATTTTGGAACATTTCAGCTCCTGAACCCCGGAAACCTGGAAGTATTCCGGTTTTCAAACGTTTTTCGGAAGCCAAGCATCCAACGTGGCTTCTGCTTGAGTGCAGGAAGCTCCTGCAACCAATAGGAAGCCACACCTCAGTTGTCGAACATTTTGGAAGCCGAACAGGCTTCTGGAACAGAAGACGTTCGACAACCAAGGTTTGACTGTATAAGGCAGATTCCTAAGTGTGAGGAAGGCCTCATCTGCCCTCTACATTTAAAGCACCATCGTAGCACTTTACACAGCCGCAACTTCCTCCAAGGAATCTTGGAAACTGTAGTTTGTTAAGGGTGCTGAGAAAGACTAGGAGACCCCTATTCCCCTCACACAGAGCTGCAACTCCCAGAGTGGCTTAACAATAAATTACCCCTCTTACGGAACTCTGTGAGGGAAATAGGGGTCTCCCAACAACTCTCAGCACTCTTAACAAACTACAGTTCCCAGGATTCTCTGGAAGGAAGCCATGGCTGCTAAAGTGGTACAATGCTGCCTTAAATATATAGCGCAGATGGGCCCAATGTCTCTCACACAGCAGGGGAGTTCGTTAATAACATTACCCAGCAGGGTGAATGGTATGGATCTTTCTGTGCAATTCACACTTCCTGTGCAATTCACATGCACTCCTCTACAGCCCGAGATTGCAACCTGGTAAATCAGCTGCCAAGCTTTTGGGCTGCATGGGCCCAGTGGCGTAGTGTGGGGGGTGCAGGGGGGCCGGCCGCACCGGGCGCAACATCTGGGGGGGGCGCTCACACTCGCAGCTCTCTGCCCCTACCTGGCTCACTCACTCTCTCTCACTGCAGTGCTGGCTGTGCGAATCCGATCCGAGCGGCTGGGTCGCCGCCCACTGTGGAGGGGGTGGGTGCCAGGCGTGCGGTGCGGAGAGAGAGCGAGGGACTATCTGGGGGAGGGACAGTGCAGCGGCCGCCCAGCCCAGCCCAGGCAGCAGCAAGAAGAAGCTGGCAGTGGCGGCAGGTTAGGGGTTAGGGGGCGCAATTTACTTGCCTTGCCCCGGGTTAGGGGGCGCAAATTACTTGCCTTGCCCCGGGTGCTGACAACCCACGCTACGCCGCTGCATGGGCCCATTAAGCTTTTCAATTAGTGGAAGCTGAGCAGAAAAAGGTTAACTGTGTGTCAACTATGGATAGGGTAGAAATTCAATTTTTGTTTGCATTTTATTGAGAAGCCATCTAATTTGCACTTCTCAAATCAATATGCAAACCAAAACACACCTGTTTTCCGAAACCCACACTTCTCCAATTTTTGCAATATACTCTTGTAAAGTGTGGACAGTTTTTAGCAACTTAGGGAAAAGCGTGCATAAAAATGACTATAGTAGTGAAAACATACAAAATTGAATTATGGGAAACTGCTTAGGGGGGAAATGTATATTAGTTAAAATTGCATTGAATAACATGCTTATTAGGAGGTATCTTCACTAAAACGTGGCTGAATTAAAATCTGCAGATTGCTTCAGAAATGTGGAGAAATGAATTTAAGGTTGGGGGGGAAATGAGCAAGCGACAGAAGCTTGAATTGACAAATTCATCCATCCCTAGGGTCAATGTCATACCGTGAGGCTTGATAGTCTTGGACTGTCCTTCTGGCAAGATGAGGAACAAACCATTGCTTCCAAATGTGCCCTGCAGATCAATAGTGCTGTATGGTTTGGCATTGTGCCCGGAAAAGAACATCAACGTGTACCCTTTCAAGCTGACACCAGGATGCCCTTTCAGCTCAATAAATCGGTACAGAATGGTGTGGTTGGCCATGCCCAGTTCATTGATTACGACTGAGTGGTTCTGGGGCAGTTCCTCTGTGGAATTTGAGCCAGGAGGTGGGCAAGTATTTTCCTGGGAAGGAGTCATTTCTGTCACCTGCAGGAGAAACCCACAAAGACTTGCTAGGCCTGAAATATTACATATTCTAATAACATTTCTAACCTCTGTGCATTTGGTTTTAAAATAGACTTGGGTTGTAAGTTGCTTTTGGAAAGAAAAAGCGACTGATACATTGAATAAATGATAATGAAAGAATAAGTCAAGGTGTAGAGCAGGGCTTCCCAATCTGTGGTCCATGAGCTTCATTCATTCGTACATAGAAAAAAGGGCTTATTGATGGCTATAGGGTAGTTAGAGGCAGCAATGTTTCTGCTGCTAGAAACCAGAGGAGGGAAGAGTGTTATTGTGTTTGAATCTTGTTCGTTGGTGTCCCACAGGACAGGATGCCGGACTAGATGGGCCATTGGGCTGATCCAACATTCTTTTCTTGTGTTCTTATGCTAGGTGGCCTGTGGCATATCCATATTAAACACTCATATTGGTTTTTTTAAAATTGCATTTTAATTGCTTCTTTTATTTCTTATATTGTATTACTCTCTGAATTACAGGGAATTCAAACTGCCATACAATCAAATACAATATCAGAAAGAAAAGAAGCAATAAAAATACAATAAAAATCATGTTGGATCTAGAACAGCGTTTTACAATTGCTGCAATGGGCAGAAAAATCATGAAGTGGTCTACCAAGATGATAATAAATTCTTAAGTGGTGTGTGGAGAAAGAAGGCTGGAAACCACAGCTGTAGGGATACAGTATCTTGGAGGTCAGGAATAATGGGAGTTGCAGTCCAACAATCCAGGGGTACATTGGCTACCCCTGGTTTTAGGTAGATGGGATATGACTGGAGAAGGTAAAAGGTAAAGGGACCCCTGACCATTAGGTCCAGTCGTGACCGACTCTGGGGTTGCGGCGCTCATCTCGCTTTATTGGCTGAGGGAACCAGTGTACAGCTTCCGGGTCATGTGGCCAGCATGACTAAGCTGCTACTGGCGAACCAGAGCAGCGCACGGAAACGCCGTTTACCTTCCCGCCGGAGCAGTACCTATTTATCTACTTGCACTTTGATGTGCTTTCGAACTGCTAGGTTGGCAGGAGCAGGGACTGAGCAACGGGAGCTCACCCCGTCGCGGGGATTCGAACCGCCGACCTTCTGATCAGCAGGTCCTAGGCTCTGTGGTTTAGCCCACAGTGCCACCCACGTCCCTTATGACTGGAGAAACCCAGGTTCAAATCCCCACTCAACAATGAAGCTCACTGGACAACTTTGGCTTGTAGGGAGGATAAAATGGGGGGTGGGCTTAAGGCATATTTGCTGTCTTAAGCTTGCTGGAGGAAAGAAGGGAGTCTACAGCTAAGGTTTCTCATGCAAAAGATCCCAAAGTTTAACCCCCAACATTTCCAGGTTGGGCTGGAAAACATTCCTATCTGAAAGAGACAGCACTTGCCAGGCACTGCCAACCAGTGAAGAGCAGCCTTTGGCAATGTTGTGCCTTCCAGATGTTTGGGATTTGGCTCAGGCCGATGAGAACGGTAGCCCAAAACATCTGGAGGGCACCAGGTTGGCAAAGGCTGGTGCAGAGTCCACCCTGCTGCCAACAACACTGAACTAGAGAGAGCAATGGCACATGTCAGCTTCCAGCGTTACAACTCAGGGCTCCTTCTGGCCAAAGCCAGCATCCTGCCACTTACCTGGAAGCTGTTGTGGTCTCTCGGCCGCAGGCTGTAACATCGGCTGAGGGACTCATCTTGGCTGCTGTGAGAATCATCTTCAAGCAAGACCCTCTGGCCTGGGGCAAGAACAGCAAGCAGCTTGTCGGCATTGTCTGAGCCCCGGGCCTTGTAGACGAGGGCATCCACCAGCCCCACATTGGTTAGGGGCATGTTCGTTTTGTAGGTGGCATTGGGATTGCTGCGGTAGAGAGCCACAGCGTCCAGTCCGTTCTGGATGGTATTGTCAGGCAGGACAATCTGGGGCTTGGGGGTCACCCCAGTGCTACCCACCAGGAAGTAGCCTCGCTCGTCGGTCCTGTAGCTCGACAGGTTTATCACCTTGTAAGCCAAGTTGTTCTTCCCATTGTAAAGCACAAGCCAGTAGCCCTGGAGAGCAAATGGTGCTTGACCAGGATAGAAGAGCTCAATGTATTCAGTGTCCTCTCGGCCTCCCGGGTTGTCTGAATTCACTTCGTTGATAAGCAGCTCAGTCAAGGGAGTTGCTTTGGTTGTCCTTTCCGGCACGACCACTTTAAAAAGCAAAGTCACATCACACTGAACATGTAGAGGTTTTTTTTTTATTAAGAGAAGTAGCAGGATCATGCCAGCCCCACCCCTCTTTGCTGGTTTCTGGACCACAACAAATGCCTGGCGATTCCAATCCTTGGGGTTTGGCCCTGTTTTTTCGAAGGGGACTCTGTTTTCACCATCAGAGGCCATTCTCCAAGTGCTTTCTCCGAGAAAGGTTAGGAAGATGGCAACACTAGAAATGGCCTCCTTGGTGGTGGCTCCCTGTTTATAGAATGTTCCCCGCAGGAAAATATGCCTGGCACTATAATTGTCTGGTTTCAGACACCAGGCTGAATCATTTTTGTTGACCCAGGCCTTTGGTTATTAATAGGGAGCGTAGTGAAGTATGGGTTTTTGACCTGCTTTAGCGCTCATATTTTAGTGGGGTTTTTCTGTTTATACATTTGGTGGGGGGAGGTGAGCATGTTTAGATATTGTGTTTTATTGTTGTTTCCTACAGGGTTTAAATGATTTTTAATGCTGTTAGGCCACTCTGGGGCATTCCTCCCTGTGTGAAAAGCAACAAATAAAATAAACAAGCAGCCTTACAGCTGGCATTGCTCAGGAATTCTAAGAAACCAAAAACCAGTTATTAAAACCAGTGCAGTTTTGAAAGAGTCAGTCCGCCATCTTGATTCAAAATGGCGTCCAACTGTATCCAAACATAGACAAAAAGCTGCTCCTCAACCTCAGCAACCATCATACCAAAATTCCAAAATATACAGTAGATAAATCAATACAACTAAAATAAGGAGGGAAATAAACTCTTCACGCGATTTAAAAAGATATTTTCCTTTGCGGGGAATTACCCCTTTCAAAGCTAAATCCTAGCAAAGCCTGGCTTTCCCTAATGCATCATTGCCCAGCCGTACAGCACCCATGTGCCTGGTGTTTCATCATTACCTGGAGTACCTGGAGGCCCGTCTGTCATGTTAGTATCTCTCAAGCAAGCCTTCACCGCCGTTCCATTCCATTTCCCAAAGTGCAGAACCTCCTTGCTCTCAATGAGAAGCGAGAAGGCCTTCAGCAGGCTGCTGAGTTGCTCTGTTGACCTGGCAGTCAGGAAAGCAGTGAAAACCAGTTGTGGGCCCTGACAGGCTACAGCAGGATCTGAGGAGAAAAGAAAACAAAAAAATGGAAATAACCTTCAAGCTACAGCCCTGTATTTCCACAATGTCCTCGGAACTTTCTAAAACCAGTGTATCTTCATTCAGGACTTTCCTAATGGGACTGCACTCCACAATGGTGGAGCCACCACCAAAAGGGCTAGGCTAATATCAGAATGGGATCCAGAACTGTGGGGCCACCACCACAAATGCCGTGTTCAATAGCCTAAGTACTTTGGGAGGCTGGTGCCTCAAGAGGGCTTCAGAAGTAGATCTTAAGGTACAGGCAGGCTGGTATAAATGACACAGTCCTTGACAACATAAGAAGGGCCTGCTGGATCAGGCCAAAGGCCCATCTAGTCCAGCATCCTGTTCTCACAGTGGCCAACCAGATTCCTGTGGGAAACCAGCAAGCAGGATTCAAGCCCAAGATCACTCTCTCCTCCTGTGGTTTCCAGTAACAAACATTCAAAAGCATTGCTGCCTCCAACTGTGGAGGCAGAGCATAGCCATAATAGTTAGTAGCCATTGATAGCTTTTCCCATCATGAATTGGTCTCCTCATGTAGCCGGTCATTTTAAGATGGGTGTATTGATGGCTTCTGTATTCTTAATGTGAGCTGATGAATGTTTTTCACCCTTTTCTTTCTTTCTCCTTCTCTTTTCTTTCTTTGTTAAATGTTTTTTTTTTAAAATACACCCAAAATGTGTGCATAGTACACACATGAAAATTCTGCTGAATTTCTGAAAGCACGTCTAAAAAATAAATAAATTGCAAAATGATGAGTAAATGTGGAGAGTGAACTTAAGATAGTTCCCTGTGAAGAGGGATTTCTTGTAAAACCACTCTGAATAGTGTAGCTCTGTGAGGGGAAAGGGGCTCTCCTGGCAACTCTAAGCACCCTTAAGAAGCCACAGTTCCCACGATTCTTTCAGGGCAGCCATGACTGTTTAAAGTGGTATAATAAATGAATGGTGTGAATGTGGCCCTAACTGAATATACTGCACGAATGTGGCCCTAACTGAATATACTGCGCGAAGGCCCCATTGTTAGGGGCCTCCTGGTTTGGGGGCCCTGACAGATGCCTAAACCTACTACCCCCTGGAGACGGCTCTTGTTTGACCCTTTGTCCTGCCACTCCCCTGTTTGCCCTTTAAAATGTTTTTATAAATAAATTAGCTCATATAGGCCAAAGCCCAGACATATATTACAGGCACTCTACCTTTGAAATAAGCAGGAGATACTCCACAGTTGCATCGTTTATCCAGGGCTTGGGACAAAAACATCTGTAGCATGTTTTTCTCCAGGGACTCTTCCTGACAATCTTAGGAAACACAAGACAACGTTGCAGCACGGGACAGATGCACATATGTGTAAGATGCAGCGATAAAAACTGCTAGCACGGTTGCAAAGCTAAGCAGGGTCCAGTACTGTTTCAAACTGGATGGGGGACCACATCTTGAGATTCCTGCATTGCAGGGAGTTGGACTAGATGACCCTGGGGAGTCCCTTCCAACTCAACAATTCTATGACTCTATGATTAGCTTTTCCTTTTTCTACATATACTGTATGTTTAAAGGGTTGTATCCAGTGGAGGCAAATGAGACACTGCCCTACTACCCACAGTCTGCCTCTCCCTGCCTGCCTTGTTCTTGCAACCTGCCTGTCAGCCTCCTCCTCCTTACTCTCACTGTTGCCTCTTACAGAACTCAGCGGGAATAAAGATGGCTGCAGAACTAGAATTGGTTGGCTCTTTCATTGGCTCTGGCACCTGCCTCCTACTTTTGGGCTCCCCGACTTCCTTTTGCAAATATCCAGACAACCAGCTTTATTCATTTCTTCTTGAATATGCCACCCTTGGTTTGGTTTAGTTTTCATGAGTTTGTCTCATGAAGTTCTACTTTGTTATTTGGGTTATATGGATAAAATTCCATAAAAATATTGGATGGAGAGTGTGTGCCAGTTCCACAGATGGAAGCAGCTGAGATCAAAGCATACATAGCCCTTCCCCCCCCTTACAACCACCCATTTTACTTTACAACAACCTTGAAGAGAGGCCTTTTGTGTAGCTTAGGCTGAGATGGTGGCCAGCTCAAAGTCGATGAGGGAGTTCATCACCTAAGTAGGGATTTGAATGTGAATCTCCCCAGTCCATAGTCTGAGACTCTAACCACTGCACCATTCTGCCTTTCTGGCACAGAAATATGGGTTCTTAAACCACAGAGCCTAGGGCTTGCTGATCAGAAGGTTGGCGGTTCGAATCCATGCGATGGGGTGAGCTCCCATTGTTTGGTCCCAGCTCCTGCCAACCTATCAATTTGAAAGCAGGTCAAAGTGCAAGTAGATAAATAGGTACCACTTCTGCGGGAAGGTAAATGGTGTTTCCGTGTGCTGCTCTGGTTCGCCAGAAGCGGCTTAGACATGCTGGCCACATGACCTGGAAGCTGTACACCGGCTCCCTCGGCCAATAAAGCGAGATGAGTGCCGCACCCCAGAGTCGGCCACGACTGGACCTAATGGTCAGGGGTCCCTTTACCTTTTTCTTTTTAATCAATGCTAACATCTGCAGCAAGATTCTTGCAGCTTTAAAACAATACCACCAACACTGTCAACCTGGAGGCTGTCTAACTTCAGGAGTTACTGAAGATTATGTTCAATTGATTGAAGTTGTACATATATGTGTGCATGCTTATTAATAAAATACTTGTTCTAAATTACTACAATGAATTTGGGACTTCATACAGAAGACAACAAAAAAACCGATCAATATTGTACATGTATACGTTCTTGCCTCTTAATAAGATATCTGTAGGGAATTACTACATTGAATTTGGATTTTCATATGGAAGACAACACAGTCAGGAGATTGTGGTTTGTGGGGGGCAGTTTTGTGGGCCAAATAAGGACACCTGCCTGATTCAGCCTGCAGGCTAGCAATTCCCAACCCCTGCCATACAGCCATTATGCTGGGATCCCAAAGTGACTGATCCGCACTGCTTTGATTGACCTGGAGGCTGCAGCACCCACCTGCAACTTGAAGGCAGAAGGAAATGGTTTGCCCAAAGCGTCTCTTGGGACAGTCATTGAATTGCCCAGGCGTGGGCTTGCCGAGAGCATAAATGGAGGGATCCCGGGCGACGGAGCAACAGACACAGCGGTTCACAGATGTATCATTTTGCTGGGACCTGTGATGGAGATTAACAGGATAAGAAGCTGACTGACTAATCTTATGCTATAGACTGGGGCCTAAATCATTTAATGCTTTAAACACTAGTGTAAGCACCTTAAATTGGGCCTGGAAATGAACTGGTAACCAATAGATAGTTGTCTCAAACTAAGCCCTGTACGGTTTTTTCTACTGAATTTAAGCAGCTTAAGTTAGTTGCATCCACAGATTTCAATGTGTCTACTCTGAGGAGGTCAAGCATTAGATACAACCCAAAGTAAATAGATCACTTCATGCAAGATGTCCCTCGCTTGTATGTTTCTAGCTGGGCTGCCTTGCCACCCTTGGGCTCCTTTGGGACTGACTCCACCTACAAAAGCTGAGGCTGTTGAACAGATTCTTGGGCTGGAGTATTGTTCAGGGGAGATTGAGAGAGCTTGTTGCTGTTATTGATATTACTGTTGTATCTTTAGTTTTAGATCTGATGATTTATGTGGAAATTGTTTCCATTTGGTTATGTACTTTTTGATGCGTTTTATTTATTGTTTATGACTTCTGTTATGTTTGTAATTATGTAAATCTTGTCATGTTGTAAGCTGCCTGAGCATAGTTTCAACTATGGAAAGGCAGCATACAAATAAAATAATAATGAGGATATATTTCTGAACTTTTCTTGATTTTATTGTTTTGTCTTTGAGGGGGTTTTCTTACAATCCAGTGGTGCATAAATTTATGAAATAAATAATATAAATTCAATAAATAAAATAGCTACAGAACATGAAATCTGGCCCTGCGGTGTGGTGGGCTCCCTTATTGGAAAGGAAGGCCACAGAAATTCCCTGCCCTTCTTTTTCTCACCTCTCTCTTGCATGGAAGAGGGGCTTCCCGGGAGTCAAGACATCCTGCAGCTTCAAATCAGCACTTTCAGCTGTAGAGTACACCAAGGCATCCAGGAGGTCTGTTGCTGACACAGCAGCCCCCTCAGCAAAGCTGGCAGGAGTCCCTCTGTACAGGGCAACAGCATTGGCACCTGCCCTGAGGAGGGGTCTTCTGGAGTTCTGGGGGAATGGCAGGTCAACTGGAGGTCAAAGCAAGAGAAGAAAAACGAGGGTTTATTCCTATTAAAACAACCTGTTAATCAGCCCAAGGAAACACCCACATGGACACACAATGCCATATTGCTAGAGACGGTGCTCAGATTTATCTTGCATTCCATTTGCTTTCCAATGGACTACAACCCCCATCATCCCTAGCTAGCAAGATCAGTGGTCATGGGATGATGGGAATTGTAGTCCACAAACACCTGGAGACCCAAGCTTGGGAAACCCTGGTCTGGACAATACTAAACTAGATGGCCCAACAGCTTGACTTGGTATAAGACATCTTGCTACACATTCCACCCTTGGTATGTGAGAAGACGCCAACACCATGAGCAGCAGCCCAGCCCTACCTGAGGAGTTGAACTGGCCTGGGCCAAGGAGAAGCAGCCCATCAGGGGATGTCTTGCCATGCACCTCCATCACAAAGTAAATCTCTTGGGTGCTCCCCTCAATCAACACCAGTACCAAGCCATCTACTTGACTTGAAGGACGGCCTTGTAGCTCGACAAACTCAAACTCTCCAGGGGACGACACGATGTTAACCTCATTGATCAACACGGCCGATTCGTTCAGCTGAGAAAAAGGGATGCAGTGGTTATCCATGGCTGGGGTAGGCGCACCCACTTGGAAGAACCAATGAGAATCAGTCCCCCAGCATCTTTCCAGTGCCTCATCTGTGGTCCTGAAGAAAGGGTCCTCCAGGAAAGGCTCCACACCCGGGGTCAAAACACGGACCAGCTCATCCGCTCTGTCACTCATTTTAGACTTATGGACCAACGCATCCACCAGCCCTTCGTTGGTGACGGTCATTCCCTCATGCAGCTTCTTTGTCCCAAAATAGAGCGCAATAGCATCTGGCCCGTTCTGGATTGTGTTGTTAGGCAGGATCACCGATGGCTTCGGAATGACCGTAGAGGACCCCAAGAGGAAGAAGCCTTCGTTATTGGTGGAAAAGCCCCCGAGATCCTGGACTTTGTAGGCCATATTGCCCTTGCCATTGTAAAAGACCAAAGAGTAGCCATCTAGAGGGGTCTGCTGGCCACTTGTGTGATACAACTCCACATACTCCAAGGTGTCGATCCCTGGGTTATCTGCATTGACCTCATTAATGCGGAGCATGTGCTTTGCCTTCTGTTTCTTAGGGTTCTCAGTGAGGCTCAGAGAACCCACCTCATGCAGCAAGAAGCACACACAGAACAGAGATGCCAGTAATAGGCCAGGCCCCATGACTACAGAGGCTACCAGCTCTCCAGGGAGGAGAAGGGTGTGGTCCACTTTCCAAGAGAGCTGAGCAGGATGGAGGAGAAAATGGCAAGAAGAAGTTTGACTCAGTTTGACAGCAGAGCCTCTCAGTTGTGACTAGCTGAAGATGTCATCATCCTGAATCTAAAGGGGAGAGAAAGTGGGAAACACAAAGATGGTGGTGAGGAACACAATGCTTCTCTTTAGTTTTAAATTTTGCAAAAGGAAAAGGTTGTATGCCACTGCCAAGTTAGGCGTTACTTGTCAAGTAAGGTAAAGGTAAAGGGACCCCTGACCATTAGGTCCAGTCATGACCGACTCTGGTTTTGCGGCGCTCATCTCGCTTTACTGGCCAAGGGAGCCGGCATACAGCTTCTGGGTCATGTGGCCAGCATGACTAAGCCGCTTCTGGTGAACTGGAGCAGCGCACGGAAACGCCGTTTACCTTCCCACCACCTATTTATCTACTTGCACTTTGACGTGCTTTCGAACTGCTAGGTTGGCAGGAGCAGGGACCGAGCAACGAGAGCTCACTCCGTCGTGGGGATTCGAACCGCTGACCTTCTGATTGGCAAGTCCTAGGCTCTGTGGTTTAACCCACAGCGCCACCCACGTCCCACTACTTGTCAAGTAGGCATGGAAAATTAAATCATTTTCTGTTTCTCTCACTTTTCTCATTTTCTCAGTCCCCAGATTTCCACATCAGTTTGTGCATCATTATTTTTCTAAAGGTTCTCATGAAAATTTATCATGATTTCAGTCATAGCTGTCAACGTTTCCCTTTTTTTAAAGGGAAATTCCCTTATTCCGAATAGGATTTCTCGCAAGAAAAGGGAAAAGTTGACAGCTTTGGATTTCAGTATGGATTTCCTGTAATGTGCAGGTTTTTGTGTGCCATTTTCTCTAACATCCACACTTCTGCAAATCAATCACCTCCAATAGAATATGTTTGACAACAACTGGAGACCCAGGGCTGGATAACATTTCCCTAGTATGTGTGGAACTTTGTACATTACTTGTGGCTGGAGAACTGCGTTGTAAAATTTGGGAAAGCACAAATTTTGAAAGATAGTTGTTTTTGCTTTGCCTATGTCAGAAAGTGCAAATATTGTAAGCTCGCTTTCAAATGCCAAACTGAATTGAATCCACACACACACACCAACTACTGCTACTTCACGTTAGGCATCATTGCCTAACACCACAAACAAAAATGATCTGATGCAGCAGTCGTGAAAGGTGCTATGTTGGAAAATGCAACATATATGGAAAATATCTCCACCAAATGGAACATAAAAAGTGAGCCCTGTAAAGGGAGCTTAGTGAAGCCTTCAAGTCAAAAGTTCGCTATGACAGTGTGTTTTACATTGAAAAGGGGTGTTCCATCAGCCACACTGAACCACAAACAACTGAAGAGGCATGACAGCTTGGCTCCGACAGCTGTTGACCTTTTTATCAAGAGCTGATCTTAATCTAATTAAGCCTTTTCCTTTTTTAAGAGAGAAAGCGTTTGGGAAAGAAAGGAACATGCTGTGCTTCAAATCACTCTTCTCACTTTGTCTGTTGTGGGTAACACAACCCACTGAATATTTTGGAAACTTGTAATCACAAAGGGTACATATTCCCTAGCACCTATAAAACCAGAATTAAAAACACTTCAGATTTTCCTGCATGCCCAGGTTTTTGCACATGTAAGCCTAGAGGTTCTGTAAAGTTATATAACAAGGCTAGAAAGCTGCCTTGCATGAGCTACTAATAAGGAAATACACCACTTTGATTTTACTCCTGCCTTAGGCAAGCTCTTCTCTATCTCTCAGCCTACCGCTCCCTCCAAAATTGGGATAATTATATTGACCTACCTTACAAGGTTGTTGTTAAGGGTTACAAAATCGTATTCTTTATTTAAAAGCATTTACATACCACTTAGTATTTCCAAAATCTCTAAGCGGTGTACAGTGTAAAAAACAAACAATATGTCATTAAAACAAAAGCAAAAAGAAAACCTAAAAATCAGTATAACAGCATACTGTATAGGCAAAAAAAAGGTAAAGGACCCCTGGACGGTTAAGTCCAGTCAAAGGTGACTATGGGGTGTGGCGCTCATCTCGCTTCAGGCCGAGCAAGTCAGTGATTGTCCGAAGACAGCTTTCCAGGTCATGTGGCCAGCATGACTAAACCACTTCTGGCACAACGGAAAACCTTGACGGAAACCAGAGCGCACGGAAACGCCGTTTACCTTTCTGCCACAGGAGTACCTATTTATCTATTGCACTGGTATGCTTTCAAACTGCTAGGTTGGCAGAAGTTGCAACAGGAGCTCACCCTGTTGCACAGATTTGAACCATTGACCTTCCGATCAGTAAGTCCAAGAAGCTCAGTGGTTTAGACCACAGTGCCACCTGCATCCCTTATAACAGCATATAGAACACATATAAAGCATATAAAACACACACACACACACACACACACCCGAGAATTCAAATGCATAAAACACGGTCCAGTCTTGTGGGTTTGGGAAAGCCTGGGCAGAAAGATACATTTCCCAAAGACATCTGAAATAATTGATGGCTGCTGCTTCACATATGAGAGAGGGGAAGGTATTGCCGGGGGTGGGGCCCCAAGTAGAAATACCCTAGATAATCTAAGCTATTTTATAAAATGCTGCCCATGCTCAAAAGATGCTGTCTAGAGTATCAAAATGCAAAACTGTAACCAGTGAAGATCTTATTCTGCTTCTCTGACCGGCAGGAAAGAAAAATAGTATAAAAATCATTGGCAGTGGGACAATTTCAGTTAGCACTAAGCCAGGATGGTTGAGCAGCTAAGAGTGTCAAACTAGGACTGGGAAGACCCAGGTTCCAATTCTCCCCCAGCCATGGAAATCATTGGGTCAGCCTTGGGCCAGTCACATCTCTCAGCTAAGATGTGTCAAACAGGGTATGAATCTTCCGCTAATGAAGCCGTGCCGATGTGAACAACTGGTGGGAGGTTGGCAGGTGGGAAAGAACCGGCAAGGTATGAAGGTGAGGAACAACTTCACTGAGCTCTAAGGCCCTAACGTGAACACACACCCTGTTAATGCAGTTTTAAAATATTCAGTCAGCTGGACATAGTTTCCATTAAAATCAACGCGAAAAAAGTCAGCTATCTACTTCAGGTAAGCCGCACGGATTTTCAGAAGTTCAGCGAACTTCCAAGTGGCTCTGATCCGCTCCTCCTGTTTTTTCCAGCAGAGAGAGGTTTTTACACATCCAAGTAAAGCGGTTTTGTTTTTCACTTGGCCTGAGTTGAGAAACTGGGTTGTGTGGTTTTGCAACGCCAGGCAACACACGAGTAGCTCCCCACCCCAAATCTGGACAAATTTCACGACTCCCTCTGCTCACTTACCTCGAGGAGGGGGACCAATCCTCTCCGCAACCCGACCCGATTCATTCAAGGCTTGCAAAAGCGCAACCAGATTTCAGGCAACACGTTTTTCTTTCTTTCTTTTCAAAAATCGCATCTATCCCCCACCCTGCGCGCTTTGCAAGAGGAAACACGACGCTTGTAAAAAAGCGTGTCTCTCTCTCTCTCTCTCTTTACGAAAAATGGGGCGAAACGAAAGAAGACTCTACTGTATATACTTTTTGGGGTGGGGAGGGGACGTGAACCAATATGTTGCGGTTCTCGCTGGATCCTCCTCTGACTTTATAAACACGCGGTTCTCTTCTCGCGCTTACTCATTCGCCAGCCGCTCAGCCCCAGCCTCCTCTCCCCTTGCAAAGAGGAATTTTCTCATCCAAATGAACTAAGAAAAGGGGACAGGATTGGGGAGGGGGTCGGGTGCTTAACAGTGGCTTCTCCAGTCTCCTCCCCTTTCCTTCTGTAAGTTGATCAGGGGGTCTAATTCACTCCGGGTGGAAAGGTTTGTGGATTTTAAGGGATAGTGATCCGTTTTGAGGACACGCAAAAATGGATTGATTTATATAGCAACGACTGGAATTTGTAAGTTTTTATCCCTAAAGCGCATCCAACACACATGACATCCCCCCCACAAAGAATCCTGGGAGCTGTAGTTTCCCCCCTCACCGAGCTACAATTCTCAGCACCTTAACAAACCAATGTTCCCAGATTTCTATGGGGAAGTCACGATGTAACTTAAATGCATAGTGTGTGTACACAGGCAAAAAACAAACACCGCCCTTCCCATCGCCAAGGCAACCCCTCCAGTCAAATAAAAAGCCACAAAAAAGCTGAGCTTTTAAACTAAAAGTTTCAGAGAGGGAAGCAGACAGAGGTATAAAACCTGATATTCAGAAACACAGCTGCCTCGATTGTGGAGACGGAGCGTAGCCATCATGGCAGGGAGCCAACTGACAATCTTATCCTCCAAGAATTTGTCCAATCCTCTTTTAAAGCCACCCAAGTTAGTGGCCATCACTGCATCTTCTGGGAACGAGTGCCATAGTCTAACTATGAACTTATATGAAGAAGTACTTTCTGTCATTGCATATTGTAATTATGGATGTTTATAGTTTGTTCTGCTGTTCAATTTATCCATCAGTATCAGGTCCCAAAATTTGGTCCATTGAATTTCATAAAGGTCGCTTTCTAGAGGCTGCAAATAGTTTGCAATGGTGAGCTGTGCCACCATCGTGAGATGCAGTGGTGAGCTGTGGTACCATCAAGGTATTTTTGAAAAAGGTCCAAAGCATCAGAGTTAAAAAGTGACAAAAGGGCAGGTTTAGGGTCCAAAGGAATGGTTTGTTGTTAATCAGACCCGCCTCACAAAACACCTTGGTCCAAAAAGAATGCACTCAAGGACACTCCCACCACAAGAGAATAAGTGTCCCCACAATTCCTCCAACATAATGCTGCATTATTGCTGTTTATCTTGCTCAAAAGGAGCAGGTGCATATACCACTGGTAGAGAGTCTTAATAGCAATTGATTGCAGAGGTATACCTAAATGGTGCTTTGTCCCAGATCATGCAATGTCCTCTTTGTGTACACCCAAATCTGCAAGGGACACAGGTGGCGCGGTTGTCTAAACCACTGAGCCTTTTGGGCTTGCTGATTGGAAGGTTCGAATTTGTGTGGCGGGGTGAGCTGCCGTTGCTCTGTCCCAGCTTCTGCCAACCTAGACATTTGAAAGCATACCAGTGCAAGTAGATAAATAGGTACCACTGCAGCAGGAAGCTAAACAGCATTTCCATGCACTCTGGCTTCTGTCACGGTGTTCTGTTGTACCAGAAGCAGTTTAGTTGGCCACATAACCCAGAAAGCGGTCTTTGGACAAATGCCATCTCCCTCGGCCTGAAGCGAGATGAGCGCTGTACCCCATAGTCCAGAGATCATTACCTTTACCTTTACCTTACACCCAAATCCCTTTCCCACTGGGCTTTCAAGCCTGTCAAGAACACTGTTGACACAGAAATTAAGGTTTTATAAATGTGTAAGTTAAAGTCCAATAACACCTGCATGATGGCCATGTGGTGCAGGTGTAGGGAACCTTTGACCCTCAAGACATTGCTTAACTACATCTCCCATCAGCCTTTGCCAGCATGTCCAACAGTGATGGATGATGGGATTTGTGGTTCAGCAACATCTGGAGGGCCAAAGGTTCTCCATACCTAGTGCAGAGACCTTCCACTGCTTCTGGCAGCCTTTTCCAGAGCCATCTGAGGATGTCTGGGACTGAACCTGGAACCTTCTGCATAGAAGACATGTTCTCTACCACCGAGCTGTGGTGCTTCTGCCATTTGACAAGCGTTATGATGATTTGGGGACTGATTCTTTCTACCTACCCCTACCTCAGGTGCCATGTGCTGCTAGCTAGCAGGTTTAACTAACCCATCTTCAGTGATTACGCTTGTTACTTCACACATAGCAAGGCGCTAACATCTAGCGGCCAAGGAGGAAGAGAGACTTCCTGTTAGCTGTGTGAAAAAATCTCAGCATCTTATGAGGAAAGGCTACTTGCGGACATGTTGTAAGAGCAGGAAGTTAGCTCATGATGAACAATCTGGACCAGAATTATTTTAGCAAACATAGCAACTCCAAGACAAAGAAAGAAAACTCTGGGAGCTAAATGGATGAGGAAGACACACTGATAGATAGTATGATCTGGATCAGCTTGTACAAATACCTCCAGCTCAGGCTTTGTGTAATTTATACTAGGCTAGCTCAGATAAATAGGAACATAACTGGCCTCAAAGCAGCTTGTACAAAAATTTGGAGTCAAACACAACTTACCGCAGCTTTATTTGGTTCAGGAAGGAATTGCTGCTGGGGGGTTGCACAGGGGACAGCAGAGAACCTGACTGGCCTCATACAAAACTGCTGAATTGTAGGGCTTGTCATGCCACACAAGGATTGAAAAATGAAAACACCCAGCTATGCACACAGAGCATATTCATTATTTGGTAGCATCTTCCAAGCCAGGGACATGTAAACTTTTCAGCCGGAGGGTCGTATTCCCTTCTGAGCAAGGGAGGCGGGGGCAGGGAGTGCTACTGGCAGGCGGGGCCAGAAGCAAAAATGGGTGGAGCAACAGATGTAAATTTTTACACATGCTTCCACACCCTGCTTCTAGCCATCATCAGAGTTCAAGGGTGCATTTCCAGCAAGGTGAAAACAACCAGGTGAGGGGTGTTGTAAACAAAAATTGCCCTTTTCCCTTATGGGGTATCCAAGAGCCCATATAGAGTCCTTACATAGGTTCCCTATTGGTAGGAGAGAATAACAGAGGCCAACCCGAGAATATTGAGAAGCAAAGCAGCTAGTAAGCTTGAACTTTATTGATCTGTTGCAATAGGGTGCTCCCCTCACCCGCAGGAGCGGCGGAGGGACCCAGAAAAATGGCCCGCAAGGCCTTAAAAAGACTTTTGAAATTGCCACCCTGTAGATCAAGCCCACCCCCAGAAACATCATACATACGTCACAGAAGGGGTGTAACCACCCCTCAGATACATCACATCTACATCACAGAAAAGGCGGTCTAAAACAGAAATTTTAATATTGTTTTTCTCCTGTCCTTGTTTATCTCCTGTCTGGCAGGTTACTTGATTGGATTGCCTGTGGAACCCTGGCCAGTCTTTCGTAGTGATAAATACTTAATTCCTGGGCCATGTCACAGGCTCACACCCTATTCAAACACAGACATACCCTTAAGACAGGATTTGTGAAGGAAAAGACAATGGGGAGGCTTTTCCACTTTGACTTTGCAGAGAAAACATTTGCTCAGTTTAGAAATCAAAATGGTTCCAGGTTGGCCTTCCTGTGCTGATCTATGTATGTGCTTGGTTGGTACACTTATGAACATTACCATATATCTAAGACCATAAAATTCCTATCACAGGGGCAAGGCCCGAGAAGAGAAAGTGTTTGGAGAATCCCAATGGACAGGAGGGTTGCATTTGCCTCCCATCCCCAGGCCTGAAATTCACCCCCATTCTGAAGATTATTTTTTTCTATCTCTTTCTTTCTCTCGCACACACTTTCCAGTAGCAGTTTGAGAGTCACAGGGACACAGTAGGAACCTCTATGTCTAGGGAGTTTCCAGGGAACCATATTGTTGTGAGCACAGGTGGGACAGAGTTTAAGCCTGCAGCTATAAAAACCACCTAGGCGGGAAAGAGGAATTTGTTCAGCAAGGTCAGGGAACAGCGAGGGTATGTTGTTGTTATTTAGTCGTTTAGTCGTGTCCGACTCTTCGTGACCCCATGGACCAGAGCACGCCAGGCACTTCTGTCTTCCACTGTCAACCGCAGTTTGGTCAGACTCATGTTTGTAGCTTCGAGAACACTGTCCAACAATCTCGTCCTCTGTCGTCCCCTTCTCCTTGTGCCCTCCATCTTTCCCAACATCAGGGTCTTTTCCAGGGAGTCTTCTCTTCTCATGAGGTGGCCAAAGTATTGGAGCCTCAGCTTCACGATCTGTCCTTCCAGTGAGCACTCAGGGCTAATTTCCTTAAGAATGGATGCGTTTGATCTTCTTGCAGTCCATGGGACTCTCAAGAGTCTCCTCCAGCACCATAATTCAAAAGCATCAATTCTTCGGAACAGCATATTTGCCTTTAGTGAATAACCTAACTAACTGTTAGGTCAAAATCACAGTTTCTGTTAGAGGAAGTGGGAAGAGCAAAGAAACATCCTGTTGTTTTCCTTTCTTTGAAAGCCTCTTCCTTCTGGAGAAAGTGTGTGAGATTTGCTTCAAGCGTCTACCAGCGCACAGTGGGAACTGAACCTGTAGGAGAAACAAGGAGAACATTCAGTCAGGAGTGAGAGGAATGGAGGACACAAAGCTGCAGCTGGAGCAGACCGTAGCAGCTAAATTGCTGATGGGGACAGATGGACAGCAGCACACAGCACTGCTGCTGAAATACGTGTACTGAAGAAATGAACCTATGTTGCCAATTCTTGTAGTAGACCAGTATAAAGTAAGCAGCACATAAGTGGCACACAAAACGCTACCAAACCATTCTACATTCTAAATCTTATATTAATAATCCAAAAATTGAGAGAGCTATGTACAAGATCTACTACAGAATCCACAAACAGAAAACTCATTCAAATTGTGTCCAAAAGGAAGATTCAGTCTTTAAAGTTCCTTTAGTCAGGCTCCTGTAGATATCAACAAAGGTAAGTCTGATCAAACGAAGTGTCGGTGATGTTATGTGGACCAGCTGCCCATATGCTACTGGGACCCGTTCAAGGTTCTTCTGTTGATATACAAAGCCCTGAACAACTTGTGCGCAGGATACCTTAAAGTTGCTGAGATTATCCAAGGAAGTATTATCCCCTGTGTTCCAGGGGCTAACTGGCCTCAACCAGGAGCCAGACATTTAGTAACAGTGGTCCTATAAGATGATAAGCAGATCCTGCTGAATCAGGCCAGTGGCCCAACAGGAGTCCAGCATCCTGTTCTCACAGTAGCCCACAAGCAGGACCTGAGCTGTGGAACACTCTTCCAACAGAGACTCATCGGGCACCCTCGCTTTTGAGTCCCAGGAGTCTCCTGAGGACTTTTATATGCTGTCAGACCTTTGCAGCTGTTTAATTTTTATTATTGATTAGCCGGTCACCTTAACAATCCTGCATTAAAAATAAATAACAATAAATTGTGTTTTATGTGGTAACATGGTACACTGCCTTGGTGTGATACGATATGGAAATATAGAAACACTTTTATAAACAACACAAACACCTATTTCCTTAGAGGATCACTTGGATCACCTGAAAAGCAAGGCCCTGATTAGCCAGTTGTTGGTGGCAGTCCAATTAAGAACGTGACAGCTAGTGTCACCTCTAGGCAGCCTTTCCCAGAGCCATCTGAGGCAGACTGAGCTCAGTGAGGCAGTGCTCTGTTCATCTTAATAAACCAGTCTCCACTAGCTGGGTCTGACTCCCTCATGACCTGCTTTTAAGCAGGCATTTAACAGAGTGATGTCCCAGCAGATGCTTTGTAATTAAGGCTTTTTGCTTCTGTGATAACAACAACTAGAAAAGGCTCCATGCTCTCCTCCTATAAACCAGAATTGGGCATACAGAATGTACTTGCTTCCCTAGTTGGGTCTCGATTAGCTCCAAATATATTCTGGCTTGGGGTGTCTAGGGTCTTCAACAGGGGTCTTTTCTCTACCACGATAGATCCTTTAGTAGGTGACTGCACCTAAGACCTACATGCCAGCCGTGTTCTTTACCACTCTACATCATCTCCCTTGCCTCCCACAATGGCTGTAGTTGCACACATACCATAGTTTAGTGTGATGTGCACAAGCTGGAATGACAACTAGGTAGACCTAGCCTCCTGTATTCCCCCCTTCCTTCTTCCTGTGCCGCACCAGAGAAGGATTTGGGAAGCTTTTCCCGTGTTGTCTGGACCTACAAACTGTGGTTGCACATTAAACCAACTTTAATCAATGTTTTCTAAAGTTAGCTTTTTTAAACTCACCACAATTCCCCATGGGGCAATCTGTGCTTAACAAAAACAGAAGTGAAACCTTCTAAGCTTCCCCCAAAAGACAGACGCCGAGAGGGGATGCACGTACCCCATGGACTTGATTTGGGCTTGTTTCAGCTTATTCATTCATAAATATATTTGTATACTACAATTTCATATTTTTTTAAAAGCAATTTACAGCAATCTTTCATAAACAATAAAAACCAATAAAACAGAAAAAACAGATAACCAGCTAAAAATTGCAGAAGGTGTTTAGCTTAATTGTCTGCATAAGCCTGGTGTCAAATAAAACCTTTCAGCAAATGTTTAAAGGTCAATATGGAAGACACCTGCTGAATCTCTATTGGAAGAGCATTTCCTACGGCTGCATCAGGAAAGAAAAAGAAAAAAAGATGGGGGGGGTAGGAGAGGCAAAGTATCTTTCTAGGTGGGGAGCTGGGTCTCCCAAGTTGTTGTGTCCAAATCTGAGACACATCAGTGGCCTGAAAACTATCAGCCAATATGTAATCATGTTTCTAAAAAGTTGGTCTATGCAGCCTGGCATAATGATAAGGGGAAGGGGAGGAATCAGATGCATTGTCAAAACTGCATATAAAATGTGTTTATTAAGATAATTTCACACTAAAATGCTGGTGAATTTTCATGAGGATTAAAAAATTTTTAAACACAAATTACTGCAAAATGTGGAGAACTGAATTCTATGGGATAACCAGCCTGAAATAGCCAACATACAAATTTATACTTAATACGTGAAGGGGTTAAGACCATAGAGTAAGGTGTCCTGCCAGGCTTAGCTCACCTTGGAAGGGACTAGATCAGGCATAGGAAAACTCTGGCCCTCCAGATGTTTTAGAAAAAACTACAATTCTCATCATCCCTAGCTAACAGGACCAGTGGTCAAGGATAATGGGAATTGTAGTCTCAAAACATCTGGAGGACCTGAGTTTGCCTATGCCTGGACTAGATAATAAAGCCTTTGTTCCTCTCCCAGTCTATTCTATGAACTCAGCATGTGAAGAGGCTTTTAAGCTGCCCCTACTGAGTTGCTATACCACTAATTTAGGAACTTTTACCATTTTGCAACTAAGCCAGGTTTTACTGCTTGTGCAACTTTTCTGACTGATGTATGGAAAAGCACATGAATCTGACCTTTGGAGAGTTTTAAGTAAACCATTTATAACTTACCAAACATGTGGTCTTTTTCTATGCTAGGAGAAGAAGAGAGTTTTGGAATTCAGAAGGGCATATTTTAAAGGTCTAATAGCCTATATTTCCACGTTTGCTGCGTATTTTGTGATTTTAAATCTCTGCTGGAGTTCTCTCACTAAAGAGTGCTTGTCCCAAACCTGGATCTTTGCATCCAGGAAGTCTCCCTTCTATATCCCTATTTTTTCCTTGAACCAACAAATTCAAGTCTGACAAAATTAGAAACTGAGAGAACCAAAAGTTAGTGATCCTTTCATCCTTAGAACCAACTCAGTTTATGGTTGAGTGTAAAGCTGTATCCATAAGATCCACATACCAAGTATTTTTTAAAAAATATTTTTTTATTAAAGGCTGTTTTTGTGCAACAAAACAAACAGATAAACAGGGAACGGTACATCTATTGTCTCGACTTTCAATTCTTGGTCTTTTTCAGTTTGTTTACATTTAGTGAGAGACACTTTTGTCATAGGCTTCTTGCAGTTGGGGTTGGGGGGGAGAGAGATGGGGGTATTGTTCTTTCATTCAGTTGCCTACTGTTAGTGTAGGGGTTTGTGTCTGCATCACATGGGTAGGTCCTTTGCTTATGCATTTGTTTATTTTTATTGATAATGCGAGATATCGGGGGGGGGGGGGCGGTTCCTGAACTTTGTTGGTTGCATTCAGTTGATTGCAGTGTAAGCAACACAGCAAGTTGAGCAGAGGAGGACTTATAAAAGATGTGTGTATGTGTGTGTCGCTGACTTAAGGAGTTCATATTTTATGATGTGGTGTTTCCCCACCTACTTGCTTTTCACGGTAAGATGTCCAAATCCTTGATGGCTGTTGTGTTGGCACCTCCCTCAATGTTTGTTAGAAGGGAACAAAGAAGTGAAAGGCAATAGCAGAGATGCTTCCAACAGGTTCCAAAATGCATATTTTGCACACACAAGAGTTGGTGCCTCTAGACTCCACTATTTCACAAGAAGAAGTCAAATGTATACCAGAAATTAAGGTTTGCGCAATTAAAGTGCTTTGTCACCCTAGTGCAACAAATCCACTTTGTGGAGCGGGAAATATTTTTCGCTGCTAGGAAAGTGATGGGGAAATGCACTGAAAAATGCAACAAATGATTAAATGGAAAGATGCCCCACAAGCAAATCTGGTTGGATGCTCAACAAACAGGTCAGTTGAAGGAGCCCAGCAGCCCCAAATGAAAATCAGAACATGCTCACCATATGCTGCTGTCTAAAATTCATCAGTGATTTCAGACCTGCAAAGGAAAACAAGAACAGGTTATTTTGCACTACCCTAGGGTAGTGGGCTGTATGTGCATGCATGTATGGTAAAGGTAAAGGACCCCTGGATGGTGAAGTCCAGTCAGACTTGACTATGGGGTGCCGGCGCTCATCTTGCTTCAGGCAGAGGCTGGATGTACTTAGCCACTGCCTCACTGTGGTTAAGTTCACCATGCAGTGGGTGATGTCAAAACCATGCAAGATACTAAAAAGACAGGGAGACCACAGGCAGGTGGTAAGCCACATTTTCAAAATGTTTCTCAGGTGCCAAATGCATAGCAACAGAATTAGCTTGATCTATTTTGATTCAAGGCTCAAAAAGTATTTATAAAGCGCCATGCCAAATATCATATCCGATCGCAACAGGGTAGTCCAGCGTTCCTGCAAAAGGTTAACTGTAATTCAATGCTGCAGGGCGTGAACTGCACCTTTCAAAGACCCTGGGAAAATTGAGAACTCAATAGGTTTTCTTTGCAGACCAGGGAAAACATATATTGGCTTCTTATTCACCTGGATTTAACGGAGTCTAAGCATCTTGCATTTTATATAGTGTTGCAACTCACTTTGAGACATTGTGTGTGTAAAATGCGGAATAAAACAAACATATACCGTATTTTTCGCTCTATAAGACGCACCAGACTACAAGACGCACCTAGTTTTTGGAGGAGGAAAACAAGAAAAAAAATATTCTGAATCTCAGAAGCCAGAACAAGAAGAGGGATCGCTGCGCAGTGAAAGCAGCGATCCCTCTTGCTGTTCTGGCTTCTGGGGTAGCTGCGCAGCCTGCATTCACTCCATAAGACGCACACACATTTCCCCTTGTTTTTTAGGAGGGAAAAAGTGAGTCTTATAGAGCAAAAAATACGGTAAATCCCAGTCAGCTAGTTTTGCCCTTTTCCAGCACATTCGAATCCATTCCTCCAACCCCACCCCAATTTGCAGGGTTCTCCCCCCCCCCCGAATATCTGCGCACTCAATGAATATTGAGTCAGTGATCAGAGTGATTCACCCCATAATTTTTTTGTTTTTACTTCTGCAAATGTTTCTCTTGTGCAATGGGCTATGTAAGCAACAGCCCCTCACAGCTGAAGCCTAGAAATTGAGGGGAAACATTGACTTCTCGTTCCTGTAATTCTTGGGCAAAGGATCCCATCTCTGCAAAGATCCCCCCCCCCCCCGTTCCCGGCAAGGATGTATCATCTGACAGATGAGGTAATCATTAGGCATGGAAAACACTGTAAGACTTTACGGGAAAGAAAATAGACACAAGCTTGCAAAACAAGATGCACAAATAGAAGCATGGAAAAAGTCCAGGGGACTCCACCCAAATTAAGCAGAAAGAGCACAGATATCTGCTGGGGCATACTCAACAAGAAATAAGGCATTTTGCTAAAATAAATGAGTTTCAGCATTCTGATTCCTTGCTGTGCCTTTCCTTCAAATAAGAGAGAGAAGAAACCCTAAAAAGAACACTCTTAAAAACTCTAGATTAAACATACATTTATATTGGGCGCCAGTGTGTCCAAAGTGAATTCTTAGGGGCTTAGGAATTATGGAAACAACCCAGAAAGGATGACCAGAATTATTAGCCCCATATTGCAGAGTGGGAGAGGAAAAGTTGGAGGAAAGAGGTTGTAGTCTAAGGCTGCATTCACACAGAAATTTATTACTTTTTCACAACATTTTCCTGTTAATTCTCCTATTATAATTTGAGCTTTCACATGATGCAAATGCCACTTCCAGAAATACAGCAGAATATAGTGCAAGTTTAGTGCTTATTTCACGTTATATAGGTAAAGGTAAAGGTAAAGGTAAAGGGACCCCTGACCATTAGGTCCAGTCGTGGCTGACTCTGGGGTTGCGGCGCTCATCTCGCTTTATTGGCCGAGGGAGCCGGCGTACAGCTTCCAGGTCATGTGGCCAGCATGACTAAACCGCTTCTGGCGAACCAGAGCAGCGCACGGAAACGCAGTTTACCTTCCCGCCAGAGCGGTACCTATTTATCTACTTGCACTTTGACGTGCTTTCGAACTGCTAGGTTGGCAGGAGCAGGGACCAAGCAACGGGAGCTCACCCCATTGCGGGGATTCGAACTGCCGACCTTCTGATCGGCAAGTCCTAGGCTCTGTGGTTTAACCCACAGCACCACCTGTGTCCCTTCACATTACATACTTGCATCCAAATAAAATCCATTTGCAAATAACATGGAAATGTGTGGGATAAGTGTGAATTTCAAAGGATGGCTGTTTCAGCATCTCCAGCTGGGAAAGTCGTCTGTCCAAAAGAGCTGCTGCCAGTCAGTGTCAGCAATAATGAACTAGATGGACCAATGGTCTAATTCAGTACATAGACAGCTTTCTATGTACTTTTATTCATAGATGTTCAGTATTCTTAAATGAACCTGTCATTTATTTGATCAGATTTATCGGCACTGAGTTTGTTGAAAGTTTTTGCCATCTGAAGCTCTTAAATGTCAGCTTGAAATACACCCCTGAAGTGACCAGAGTGAAAGGAAAAACAGGATGCATTTAGTTATTATTATTAGTTGTTAAAAGTACATCCTGCCTTTCATCTGAAGATCACAGTGCAGTTAGCAGACACACAGAGGAACATTTCATCAGGCGCTTGTTATTGGGGGTTGAGAAAAACTGTCCCCATCCTGAAGAAACTCTTGTGTTGACCAAGCTACTGGAAGGGGTGGGGAGCACAGCTGTGCTGGCTGAGGTTGATGGGAATTGTAGTTCAAAGGATTTAGAGGGCATCATGCTGAGGAAGACGAGGGCTATATCATGTGGGCTATATCATATTTTTGTTCTGAGACATAGCTTGGCTTTTAGAGAGAGAAGTGACACCTGAAACCATTTACTGGAGCTAAAACTGGACTTGAAAAGCTCACTCAGCAAATTAAGTAGACACAGAAATGCAAACTTATGTTTCTAATGCTGCCAAGTCATGGGGTGGACGAAAATCATTTTTTTATTTTAATTTTTTAATGAGATTTCAATTGGAGGTGTTTTTTTGAACCCGGAATTTATATTAAATAATAACTTGGTTAATATTAAACAGCTTTATTGTAAACAGCTCAGTGTTACAGTTACTCTCTAAACCAAATCAGCCAATGGCCTCTACCAGATATTTCAGTTAAAGGAGGCTTTTCTGTCTGTGTTAATTGAAAAAAAAAAGAAAGAACACAATTTGATCATCCCTCCAATAAGACCTACTTTATTTATTGGTTTTGGAACTGCACCTTTGTTTAGGAAATATATGAAGAACATTATCAATCTGAAAACCAACCAATCAGTATAAATCAATGATTTAAATCAGCCTTCCCTCCTCCCCTTGATAGTGTAAGCCACGATTTAAATCAATCTAGCCCACCAAGTCACAATATGCTTTATTTCAAATGTAAACTAAATGCAGCCTAAGAGTAAGTGTAAATGTCAATGGCAGAGAGTTTAGTGTGCTAGACTGGAAGCTTGGAAGCCAGGGTTTGCTCAGCCATGAAGCCTACTGGGTGACTTGAGGCCAATCACTGTCTCTCAGCCCAACCTACCCCACAGGGCTGTTGTGAGGATAAAAAGTATACATGTGTTAGTCAGGCTAACAACATTTCTGGTGTAGTTAAACCAGGTTTAAGAGGTAACTGATCTGTGTCAATTGATCCTGTGATCACCCACCACACCCTAAGGGCCTACTGGTTGAATTCCTTGGTCATGCTGAAACCGATACTAGGGCTGTTGATTCCATACAGCCCAACACTATACAGTGGTACCTCGGGTTACATACGCTTCAGGTTACAGACGCTTCAGGTTACAGACTCCGCTAACCCAGAAATAGTACCTCGGGTTAAGAACTTTGCTTCAGGATGAGAACAGAAATTGTGCAGCGGCGGCGCAGCAGCAGAAGGAGGCCCCATTAGCTAAAGTGGTGCTTCAGGTTAAGAACAGTTTCAGGTTAAGAACAGACCTCCAGAATGAATTAAGTTCTTAACCTGAGGTACCACTGTACCCTCTGTATCCAGGGCACAGCCATTGCAGCCCAAAAGCTTCATATTGTTGGGGCACATCTCAACATAATTTCTGGGCCTTTGTACAGTACCTGAATTCTCCTCTGACTTAGCTGAGGCTGGGATTCTCCTAGCTCCTTTCCTGCTGTGTCTTTCTGATGGGCAGAGGTGTTGTACTCATGATGGGGTTCCCTCTGTGCATCAGCATGGAACAAGATGCTGTTTAGTCGCTTCAGGGATGCTTCCATCTCCTCCTCACTGCATTCCATACGACTTCCAGAACTGCTAGAGTAGGATGAGGTTGAAGCAGAGGCGCTTGGCGTCTCTGTCTCTTTCCTGATTTCATCATCGGGCTTCTGCCTCATCAAAATAACGATGATGGCAAACAGAACCATACACAGATAGACAACCCAGACTTCATCCATCTCAGTTATCGGGTACCAGGAGCAGTAGATACTTTAGGTATTGCCACGGTAGACCTAAACTAGTGCTGGGTATGGCAGATGTTTTATGTATTTCAAATGGTACCGTTTTCAGGGTCCAGACAAACCAAAGCACTTATTTCAGCGAGAAGCACTAAAACCCAGCCGGGAAATTAGTATTCTTGAACATTTAATTTAGAACTCTTAAAAAAACATTTCCTTCATGCTAAATGTCATTCAGGAGCAGTTGATAGCAGGAGCAAAGCTATTATTTTGAGCACAGGTGAAATATAACAATTACTTTGTTTCTGAACAGAGGCTTAGTTTCAGAATTAAAGATGCTTCGTATCATAAAACCAGTTTTCTCACAGTTCGTTAATTTGCCAAAGTCACTTCTCTATATCTTCTTTCAAAACTCAGTCACTTTTGCTGCAGAAAAACGTTAGTGATTTTGAATACTGTCCTTGAAATTTACTGAACATTTCATTGTCGTTGGGAGTTTTGTAATGCAACAATTTTAAAATGAGCTCATGTTATGTGTTAAGGTTAAAGTAAAAAAAATACTTTTCACTCAACTCAGGTTATCTCCTAGTAATTAAAGGATCACATCAAAAATGCCTTTGTTCTTTTTGGACTACTTTTAAATCAAGAGACAAAAACCAGCACTCAATGTGCTTGCGCCAAAATGTCTTTTTTAAAAAAAAAAAAAATCTAAATGTTAAAGTAAAAATTATTTGTAGATTCCCCTTCCCTCAGTTTGTAAATAGCACCGATAGTTACGGAACGTAAAGGGGTGAATTTCTCTCTCTCGAGCAGGCAGTCTGGAAGAATATTTGATGGTCCTGGGAGTTAGGAGCTAGTCGTCTTCCGAAGCTTTGCTCTGCATGGCTACTGAAGACAAGGTTGCCCTTTCTAAACTCTCATTACATCCTTGCCTTCCTTTCAGATCCACCACCTAGCTATCATAGACAAGGGACCAATCAACGCTCACCAGCCCCACCCCAACCTTTAACCAATCCCAGAATAGGGATCGTGAATATAATTCCATTTCCTTACAGGGAAGTTGGGCCAAAGGGCCAATAGTGGAAATGGTGAGCCAAAATGTGAATGGAGAAGCCTTGGCTGATGATCCTGTTTTCTTCATATATCTTCCAGGCAAGGTCTGAGCGAAGCTGGAATTGTGTGGCATCATCCCTGCCAGGAGTTATTTTGTTACAGATGAAAATGCCAATGTTAAGAGGAACGGAAAAATTGGACTACCTAGGCACCTCTTACACCCCTCAGCATTTCAGCATTTTTTAAATGGCTTGTTCTTAAGACAGTGTCTCCTTATGAATGGAGAAGCAAGTGGTGGCCTTGCCTGTCCCGGGTGGTAGTAGTAGACATTGTTGGCAGAAGCAGACATAGCCCATTCGTATCTGAATGTCTCCATCTAAATGGAAATCTCCAGGATTTGATCGTAATACAGATCAAATCTCTCATAACAGTAGAACTCAGGGACGTCAAATGAAGCTGAATGTTGGAAGACTAGGATAGACAAAAGAAATTACTTTTCCTACATAGTGCATAGTTTAAAGTTTAAATTATGGAATCTGCTTCCACAAGATGCTAGTCCTACCCAGTGTAGACCCACGGAAAATAACAGACGTGACTTAGATCCATTAATTTCAATACGCCTACTCTGAGCCTATTAGATACAACCCGTTTTAAATAAATAAAACTTGAATGCCTGAAATGAAAATAAATTTCACAAGAATAATGAAGAAAAAAAAGAAAGAGAAAAGAGACGGGCAAGATCTGGAAATCCATTTATTTTGTCTCTGATTTAAGGCATCCATCTGTTCACTAGATCATTTGCTCCTGTTCTTGCCTAGGTGCAAAAGAGATTGGCTTTCTTTCTTTCTTACTTGACATATTCACACAAGTAGGCAATTTGCATTGCATAGGTGTGAGGAAGCCTCTCGTGATATCTCATGTTACGGTCAACAGCTGATGTCACCATGGGAACTGTCTGATCTCCCAACAAGGCAGCCATCTAGGCTTGACTGTACCCACAATGCTTGGCAAATTTCATCAGGCAATTGTTTCGATATCAGCTATTCAGTGCCAAGTGACCAGTCTGAGCAGCTGCACAGGTTCAGGGCTTTGCAGATATGCATTTGCGTATGTGTGAGAATTAACAATTGCCAGCAGCGATGCCTTTTCATATCAGATGGATATGCAGAAATCAGCAGGTAATAATGGTAATGCCATGAATATCTACTTTGTTGTGCTGATTTCTGAAGATTCAGCTGCTCTTGAAGCCAAAAGAACAAGGTAGGCTATTGTCTGCGGTCAGCTGGCAATCACATTCACTACAGTAACTAAGGAAACAGATATTAATTTTATAGCAAAATGCTTCTATTTCCCAAATGATCTGCTATAAAAATGAATGTATTGTTAGTCACTGTAAAATATATGAGTTTAGCGATTAACTGCATTGTACCAGGATCCAGTGGAAACTTATCTGTGCTGTACAGAGCTTTGAACAGGGGGAGTCACACCAATAGCATACATTTAAAGCACACGGCTTCCCCAAAAGAATCCTGGTAACTGTAGTTTATGAAGAATGCTGGAAAATGTGGCTTTGTGAGGGGCAAACTACAGTTCCCAAGATTCTTTGGGGGAAGCAATATGCTTTAAATGTGGTTTGAATGAATGGTGTGCATGTGACCTCTCTCACTCACAAACTCTAAATGTAAATAATGGAGGATTCAGTTATTTTATTTCATAAAATTTATATACCCAAAAACCTCAAAGTGGTTTAATTACAAGGTGTAAAGTAATTCTGATGGCATGGATGCACTTGCTGTTATTTTTACAGTCCATCTTTGGCTAGGCATTCTTTTGCTCCCTTGCTGATTACCTCTCTTTCCTGCCACCTCTAAATTATACCTGCTATTTTACTAGATTTCCACCAAGATTTAAAAAGAAAAAGACATCCAATTCTGGCTGCATGCATGCCATACATTTTAAGTAGATAGTAAGCACATGGCTTCCCCCAAAGAATCCTGGGAGATGTAGTTTGTTCAGAATGCTGGGAATTGTACAACTCCCAGAATCCTCGGGGGCAAGCCATGTGCCTGCAATGTTTTATTAAGCTACCACTTATTTCATGGGGGCCTGCACAGATTACACCAGACCCCTATTTCTCCTCCCCCTAAGGCACTTCCATTAGGCTTTTCAGGCTACTCAACAACATACCTGATTCCATTTTTTGCAACCTTTCTGCAAGTAAGTTTTTGGCTTGCTTGTTTCTTTGGTTTTTCAAAATGCAAACTTTGCCCAAGTTTCCAACACCCAGGTGAAAGAAACCTGTTAAAAGTATTCAACAGGCTTCCTTAGAAAAAATTGAAGCAGAATTCCTCTTGGGAAGATGTGAGTGCAAAAGAGCACGTCTCAGCTGCCCCAGTAGAAGCTGTCTGCGTAGAAGACGGAATAAAGGATCCTGCAGGTCTCTGGTCTCTCCTGGCCATGACTGAGGACTTCCTGAAAACCCGGCTGCTCTTCCTGCAAGCATCTTCAGTCACTTCTGCAATACGAGCTGCTTTCGACGCTTGGAGAAAGAAAAAACCACTGTTAAAATCTCTTAATTGCATCACACATCTTAGTGAGTCTGTCTACTTTCTCATCCTGAACATTTTTGCTTGCAAAGGCATCTTTTAAAAGGTGAGACTGAGCTGAAAGTAACTGATTGCATTTGGGGAACCTGCTACCTTTTACATCTGGGACACAGCCCTCCAAATGCTCCTTCTCCCTAGAAAAAGGGAACAGAAATAACTCTGCTTTCGTCTGTTTAAGGCAGACAATTGACCACATTGGCTGTGGCTGGTGGGAGTTGCAGTCCAATAGCACCTGGAGAGCACGACATTGGCTATTTCTGGTGTAGACAATACTGAGAAAGACCGGCCAGCTTAAAGCAGCTTCCTATGTTCCCAAGCACCAGCTACAACTTGGTTGCAGCAAGAACAACTGAAACTTAGGCACACAACTCCTTTGGGTGGGACAGAATTTACAGCATCAGCATCTAGGCAAGGGTTCAGCAGTTATCTGCAATCTCTTGTCAATCCTTTACTCACTTACCTGGGCTTAAGCCCCACTGAATTCCAAGCAGACATGCAAAGACTGAAAGCTGGAGACTGCTCTGTGCAGTTGTATTCTGCCTACCGCCCCCAATATTAGCCCCAGTCAGAAAAAGCCCCTAATATGCTATCGCTGTGGCTCAAAACTCTGTCCCCAAATTCTCAGCCATGCTCCGCTTCCTTACCTGCTTGCATGAGCTTCAGCTGCTTCTGTTTTTCCTCTGCAATTTTTTTTCTGTAATCGCCAAATAGGGCGCGCATCAACTGGCGCTTCTTTGCCAGCACTGCCTTCTCGCTGCGCAGAGTCTTGATGGCCCGGAGTGCCTCATCCACTGACCCAAAGAAATTACATTTTTATTACTACTTACTACTTCTCTTATTTTTTGTGGTTTTCATTCTCATCACAAGAAGGGGCCCTGTCACAAAATGTTACAGTGTGGACTGCGGGGGGTGGGAGATAGCACAGTCGGTAGAGCATGAAATCTTTAATCTCAGGTTTATGGGTGAGATTCCTGCAGTGCAGGGAGTTGGACTACATGTTCCTTGTGGTACCTTCCAGCTCTATGATTCTATGATGATGGACTGTTCTAGCTCAGGGTGCTGGTGAGCCGGCCACACCCTCTTCTAAGCTACAGTGGTACCTCGGGTTAAGAACTTAATTCGTTCCGGAGGTCCATTCTTAACCTGAAACTGTTCTTAACCTGAGGTACCACTTTAGCTAATGGGGCCTCCCACTGCCGCCACACGGTTTCTGTTCTCATCCTGAAGCAAAGTTCTTAACCTGAGGTACTATTTCTGGGTTAGCAGAGTCTGCAACCTGAAGTGTCACTCTGTAACATGAAGCGTCTGTAACCCAAGGTATCACTGTACCTCGGTTTAAGAACAGCCCTGTTTATGAACTATTTGGTTTACAAACTCCACAAAACCTGAAGTAGTGTCCCGGTTTGCGAACTTTACCTCAGCCTAAGAACGGAAGCCAAATGGTGGAAGGGCACTGGCGGTGGGAGGCCTCATTAGGGAAAGCACACCTCAGTTTAAGAATGGTTTTGGTTTAAGAACGGACTTCCAGAACGGATTAAGTTCATAAACCAAGGTACGACTGTACTCCGTTCCATCTCTCTCTCTCTCTCAATCTCTCTCTCTCTCTCTCCCCCCCCCCTGGTTTTTCACCTCATCCACCCATCAACCAATTGGTATTCTGAGCATGCTCAGTCTTTGTTGGGCTCTTTTTCTCTGCTAAAGATTTTTTATTTTTCTGTTCCCCCAAGACTGTTGGCACCTCCCTCATGAATCTGGATGACGTTATTTTTTACACATAAGAATCCACACACACACAAGAACATAAAAAGAGCCCTGCAGGATCAGGTCAGTGGCCAATGTAGTCCAGTATCCTCTGCTCACAGTGACCCACCAGATGCCCATGGGAAGCCTCAAACCAGGGCTTCCCATGGGCATACTCAGGCAATTAGTATACAGGATTATGAAATGTGCACAACACTCATCAGCAAAAGCTCTCAGGTAAAGGTAAAGGGACCCCTGACTGTTAGGTCCAGACACGGATGACTCTGGGGTTGCGCGTTCATCTCGCACTATAGGCCGAGGGAGCCGGCATTTGTCCGCAGACAGCTTCCGGGTCATGTGGCCAGCATGACTAAGCCGCTTCTGGCGAACTAGAGCAGCGCATGGAAACGCCGTTTTACCTTCCCGCCAGAGCGGTACCTATTTATCTACTTGCACTTGACGTGCTTTTGAACTGCTAGGTGGGCAGGAGTTGGGACCGAACAACGGGAGCTCAGCCCATCGCGGGGATTCGAACTGCCAACCTTCCGATTGGAAAGCCCTAGGCTCTGTGGTTTAGACCACAGCACCACCCGTGTCCCTTTTAAAAGCTCTCAGAGCAGCCAACAAATCATAAAACAGAATTAAAGCATTAAAAACAACACCACACACACACATTTGCAGACCAAAATAAATGAACGTAGCAGAACAATGACTTCCTCCCTGGAGGTGGGGGGTCCACATGGGAGAGAGACTCTATTTAGTCCCCCCAATTCAGTCTTCCCCAGCAAGTGGACTCACCCTGCTTGGGAGTTGATTTCCGAGTCTTCAGGCCAAGCTCCAGCTGCTCAATGCACCAGTCCACCTCCCTCTTCATCTGTTCATCTGACTGTTGCAATAAAATTGGGGGTGGGACATAGGATAAAAGGGAGAATCAATTAAGACTAGCTGGGCAAGTACCTCCCTTGCAACTGGCTTCCCTCTAGGTTTCAATTGGAGAGGCAATGGATTCCTCTTTCAAGGAGTACAAAAAGGGAGGAGCGGAGAGACGTTTGGTTTCCAGGCAGGACATTTTAAAAGGCAACCACAAGATTATTATTTTTAGAAATTAAAATGACCTTAGAGATCATCAGCCCAACCCTTTGCTCAAAGCAGGAACTGCACTGTGGGATGCAACTACAGCAACTCTGGGAGCAGGCTGCCCAGTCTCTGCTTAAATACACCCAGCTAAGGAGGACCCACCACCTCTCGAGGCAGCCTGCTCCACTCTCAAATGGCTCTTAAGCACAGGATGTTTCTCCCATTTTTTCTCTCAGCAATGGTGGCAACTTGACCCTCTCTTCCCATTCAAACTGGTGTGCTGATAAATATGTTTCTAATGGGGGACTTAACAAAGGCTTACCCTTCTGAGATCTCAATTCTAAACAGGGTGACATTCTGCCCTTAAAATTTTGCTGCCACCAGGATAAAGCATGAAAATTCACCTACACATAAGTGCTCGCTTCCCCCTCTCCCTGAAAGGAAGAACATTTGTAAGAACTTTCTGAGTTTGTGTTTTTCCTCCACCCTCCCTATTCCTTTCCTTTTTGTTTTATGTCTTTCAGATTATACAGCTGAGGACGGGGACTATCTTATTATTGCTATTAAAAGTCACTCTAGGTTTCTTTTTCAGTTGAAGAGTAGAGGAATAATAATAATAATAATAATAATAATAATAATAATTACTACTATTATTGCTGTTGTTGTTATTATTATTCCCTGCCCATCTGACTGGGTTACCCCTTAAGTAACAATACTTAAATAAAATAAATGACTACCATGCTGTCAACTGGAGCGATGGGTGGCAGAATTTTGGAAATATTTATACAAAGATTTAGCCACATTCCTTCTGACCACAAGGTGTTCACATACCTGACACATGTCAGTTTGGTCAAGTCTACCTTCTCCACAAGGTCTGTGATCTCCATTTACATTGCCACCATGCCTTCCTTTTAAAGGTGGTTGTTTCTTTTTCTTTTTCCTATTGGAAGATCCACCCACCTTTGTTCCTAGGGAAAAAATGAATAATTATTATTTGTTCACCTGTCTTTTAAATCAATCAAACCAATGTAACTGTATAAAGGTAAAGGGACCCCTGACCATTAGGTCCAGTTGTGGCTGACTCTGGGGTTGCGGTGCTCATCTTGCTTTATTGGCTGAGGGAGCCGGGGTACTGCTTCCGGGTCATGTGGCCAGCATGACTAAGCCGCTTCTGGCGAACCAGAGCAGCGCACGGAAACACCGTTTACCTTCCCGCCAGAGCGGTACCTATTTATCTACTTGCACTTTGACGTGCTTTCGAACTGCTAGGTTGGCAGGAGCAGGGACTGAACAATGGGAGCTCACCCCGTCGCGGGAATTTGACCACTGACCTTCTGATCGGCAAGTCCTAGGCTCTGTGGTTTAACTCACAGCGCCACCCGCGTCCCTATGTAACTGTATACATAAGTCTTATAGGAAAGGTTCCCACAGGCAGAGAAAAAAGGGCCCTTTACTGCATGAGATTCTTACTGCAACAATGCAATAAGTTCCATATTACCCTGAGCAATGGAAATAGAAGGTCTTATAAATGTAAGAACATTTGTTAAAAGGAGCATCGCCTGGGACCAATTCTCTACTCACTGTAGGCGAGCAGGCATACATCTATTTCAGAAACCTAATTAAAACTTGCAGTTACAGTCTCCATACCTGCTTGGGCAGCCTCTGATTTAGAAACCTCTTGCACGGTGCCTTCATCTCTTCTCCCTCCATTGCCCTTCGCAGCTGATTTATTGGGTTTTGAAAAAGTCGCACTCTCTGGCATGGTCTCTGTGGCATTTTGGGATGTGGAGTCTACCTCTCTGGCTGCTTCTACCACAGCTTCAGAGTCTGGATCTGCAGCAGCAGATGGAAGAGGGGGAACGTCTGGTATGACAAAGTTGAAAGCAAACTCGGGCTTCCCTGTTCCAATATCCAGTGTCCCAGAGAGACCGCTACCAGTGGACTGCTCTCCAGAGTCATCCACCTCATGTGCTTCTCTTGCAGTTCCACCAATTTCTTCTGAGGTTCCCTTGGAAATAACAAAGTCAAACTGAAAGCTGTTGTCTGACGGTGCAAACCATGATGCTGGTGTTGCAGAAGGGTGGTTAGCTTGCTTCCTGTACGCCACGCTGCTTGAACTGAGGGCATCTCCCGGCTGTATCTGCACAGTGTTCTCGGGCTTCACAGCTAAAGGAGAAGGAACAGAAGGGTTAGTGTTTTCACTATGGCTTTTCTAGGGAATTGGTCATTTGCTTGCACTTCTGGCCACATCTGACGAGAAGATGAGACACAACTAGATGCTGGTCTGTATTTGCTGATGGCAGCAACATGCAGCCTGAGGCTTTTGGCAACAGCAGCAACAAGCAGTTCCAGCCTTACAGGCAAGGGTGTGAGATTAACAATGTCTGAAATCTTGCCACAACTACTCCAGGCCACAGCTCTCATTGGCCTTGCTTCATACCCTCCAGTGTTTTTGCCTGGCTGGGCTGTGTCCTTGAACTCTGATAAGCCTCTTGCTTGCTCGGGCATACAATAGAGAGGGATTTCTGAGTGTGACATTAGTTACTACTTAAAAGTAATTTATATTTGTTGCCCCACCTACTTTTTCTCTGACCCCACCCAGCCAGCACTGGCATGGGCCCTCAAAAGGTTGCCCAGAAGGAATTTCATTTCATTTTTAATTTGTACATCACCTTTCTATATTACTACACACAAGGCAGTTTACAAACTGAAGAACCTCTGGGTATAGGACAGTATATAAATTTAATAAATAATAATAATGTAATAATAAAATAAATAAATAAGAAGATCACACACCTTATAACAATATGATCCAATACAAATATAACTTTAAAATAAACAACTTATATAAAATAAAGAAATATTCAATAATCCATTAGAATATAGTACACAATAAAATTTAATATCAGCAAATAATAATTAAACAGACATTCACCCTCAATAATTACAATAAATACTTTCTAAACTGTAATCAATAAAAATAGCAGCAAGTCACAGTGCATAAAGTAACACAATACAAATTGAGAAGCAAAGACACACAATTTATAGTTTTATATTTAAAATTGTGGCCCTTGGACTGATAAAGGTCCTGAACTCGGAGGAAGTAGCATTGCTGAGTGATGCTTGACAGCACAGCTTTCCACCTCACCTGCTTTTGCTGCCCTCTGCCTCTCCTCTGCCATCTTGAGCCGGTAGTCCCCAAAGACATGATGCATCACCTGCCGCTTTTTCCCAAGAGGAGACTTGCTCGAGCGCAGCACCCCAAGGATGCGCCGTGTCTCCTCTACTGCTCACAAGAAGTGGAAGAAAAGACAAACAGCTCACAACGATAACTCTGCTTTTAACTTGATGCTCTTACAAAAGTATCTGACAATCCACAGGTAATCTCAGCACGCAGCCAGGTAACTCTGTAGTACTTCTCCCCTCTCTACACATGCTGTTTAACATGCAATCACTTCATTTTTTAAAAAAGGGAAAGGAAAAGAGAAGAAACATTGCACTACAAAGATGCTGGGTGATTATCAATATATCTTTGAAGTTCAAGTCATGTGTGCTGTTGCCGATGTCATCAAAATGGCACAAGGTGTCTGAAGTCTGAATGGCTCAAGAGGGATGGTATAAGCAGGCTTGAGGAAACCCTAAGATTTTCAGTACAGTACATAAAAACAAAACAAAAAAATACAGAAAAAACCCTAAGGGTAGGGGCAGGGAACAAGCCAATGAGACCTAAGCAAGCTCAGTGGGCATGGAATGGTGGCTGGCAGCGCAATGGAGTGGCTGTTGAGAGACTGTGACATAGTAATTTGATTTAATATTTGTATTCTGTTTTTCCAACATCAAAAGCTGAGCTCAAATGGAACAGGCTAGCAGCCTAACAGCAGCACTCCATACCACAATGTTTTGTGGCTGATCCTACTGGTTTAGGGTTAAGCCAGTGACCTTGAGACAACACACCTTGCTTTGGAGTTGGGTTGAGATGCAGGAGGCCGGTCTCCAGTTGAGAGATGCACCATTCCAGTTCCTCCTGGTATGTTGGTTTGGGAGCCTGGATCAATGGAAAGATAACAGAGATGGCATAAGGACTGCTACTTAAAAGGGGGGGGGGTGTCCCTCCCTCTCTTTCTACATACTGAGAAACCCAGATGTTCCTAATGCTATTCCTCTGTTAGTACCAGAATTGGATGGAACCCAGGCAATTTTTCAGTGGGAAACTCTATAATATTTGGTGACTGTGCCTCCTCTCTTCCACCACAGTAAAGCACAATTCCAAGGGATTTGGGGGGATGTGGGATTTCTTTCTTAAGCTTACTTATTCATACATACACAACCACTGTATTAAACCCGTTTGTTTTAAATTGCAATTTAGTGTGACTTGTGAACCAGATCTCTCTCTAGACATAGACATGTCCGAAGTCCAGAAATGTAAGAAAAAATGTCATCTGAAACTGGAGGGCTGGTCTCTGTATTTTAATTGTTTCGGATGTGAAGATGCAGTTATAAAACACCTTGCAGCACTGTGACATGACTTGCTGTACTTGCTAAAATTCCTCCGTTTGTAGCTTTTATAGGTGTACAGGAACAAAGGACCCAGCAAACAGAAAAAGGCCCACACACTCCTTACCTCTTCCATTAGGATAGTTGGCAATCCAGGCTTGTGTACAAGTCCTTACATCATCATTCACCTAGAAGCACAAAATTACAGCTCAACATTCCAGAACATTAGAAATTTACAGAGCAATCCTATACATATTTACTCAAGGGTAAGCCCCATCGAGTTCAAGGGGACTTACTCCTTGAAAAATATGTATGTATGGTTGCAACCCTAGGCTGGGGAAGGGGCTGCAGCTCAGTGGCAGGGCATCTGCTTTGCATACAGAATGTCCTAGGTTCAATCCCAAGCATCTCCAAGTAGGGCTGAGAAAGACTCTAATCTGAAATCCTGGAGAGCCACTGCCAAGCAGTGCAGGCAATATTGACCTAGATGGAATGATAGTCTGATTCAGTAGAAAGCAGATTCCCATGCTCCTATGACACTGAATACAATGGGACTGACATGTGAGTAAACATGCTTTCCGTGCAGATGACTCCAGGTTCAATCCACAGTATCTCCAGCTGCAAATAAGGAGCTGAGGCTGAGAAAAAGTGGCTTGCCTGAGGCTACCTATAATGACCCGATAAGTAGCTTCCTATTTGTCCACCTAGGGACGGGGGTGGCACTGTGGGTTAAACCACAGAGCCTAGGACTTGCCGATCAGAAGGTAGGCGGTTCGAATCCCCGTGACGGGGTGAGCTCCCGTTGTTCAGTCCCTGCTCCTGCCAACCTAGCAGTTTGAAAGCACGTCAAAGTGCAAGTAGATAAATAGGTACCGCTCCAGCGGGAAGGTAAACGGCGTTTCCGTGTGCTGCTCTGGTTCGCCAGAAGTGGCTTAATCATGCTGGCCACATGACCCGGAAGCTGTACGCTGGCTCCCTCAGCCAATAAAGTGAGATGAGCGCCGCAACCCCAGAGTCGGTCACAACTGGACCTACTGGTCAGGGGTCCCTTTACCTTTTTATTTGTCCACCTAGCCCAGGTAGCAGGCTGTTGGAAAGACCGTCTCTGCTTAGAGACCCTAGAGAGCAGCTATAAGTCAGGGTAGAGACTATGCTGGGCTAATTCACAAACATTCTGACTGGGCCTAAGTGAGAGTCCTTCCTAGGCAGGTGGCCTTAGGCAAGTCCCTATCTCTCAGCCTCAGTCTTCAATCTACAAAATGGGAACCATAAAACCAGTTTCAGGGTTCTTAGTGAAGCACCAAGAACCCTGCATGAATGCTAAATGTTGCTCCTTTGGAGGGGTGTGTGTGCACTGACATACACTTAGAATAAAGGAAGAAGGTGCCTCTGGGCACATGCTCAGCCTAATAAATTGTTTTCCCCAAAAGCACTGAGCTCACAGCCCTTTCACGCACAAATACACCCTTGTTTTAGTCGTTTCAGCAGCTTAATTAGGACGACACACATACCCCACCGCCAGAAAAACTTACTATTTGTTGTTGCTCTTGTTACATGGTTAGCAAATTCCTGGTCACTCTATGGCAAGGAACCTAGAGTTCTACCAGTAGGTCTCCCATCTATTTTAAGACCCTCTATTTTAAGATCATCTTTCTCGCTCACCAAATGCACCCCTTCCTGTGCCAGCTTCACAAACCTGAGCAAACTGGATTCTCTTTCAAGTTGTTTTGTGGATATTCCTGCAGCTCTTCACTCCTTAATTGGCTGCTCAAGCTCTGCCATGCAAATAAGCGAGGCGGTCCATGTCCGAGGCCGAACCTCTTCCCCGTCACCTAACATTCTCTGCGTTCAGTTCCGCCGTTAAGTCGTTCCGGCTATGCAACTCGCCTTGAAACTGAAGCAGTAGCTTTCGATTGCTGCAAATCTCTTGCTCAGGAATCGTCCACAAAGTATACCACACTTTAAGGAGTATTTTTAACCCCCACATTTGGGTTCATTATTCTTTTTTTTAAACTCAATGCTAAAAGCTTAATCTACTCAATCATTTCTACTCAAGAGTAATTCCGATTGAGTCCAATGGGGATTCTTCCCAGGGTTGAAGTGGTATAGGATTGCAATCCTAATCTCGCTTTAAAAAAAAAAATGTTGTGGAAGAGGCGATGATAATAATCTCCACGGGGACATATATTAACCGCAAGTGCCCTCTGCCGGGAAAAACAGAAAAGCGCAGTCACTGAACGAATTACTGTATTTCGATCATCTTAACGATTGGTATCCTTTTATTCAACGCAGAACTGTTAACTGGTGTTAATAAAAAGGCCTCTCACGTTCTGAAAACAGTCGGTTATGGCCATGACTAACAGCTGGACCTTTCTCATTATAATAATTCTTTTGCCCTCTATGCCTTATCTAAAGTTGCTTGTTTATGATGCAACATTTTCCTATATTCATTCAATACACTCTTCTGTTTTGTTTTTCTTTTGCAGTTTTGTGTCTTTGACTTCTAATATTGACTTGTAAAATTCCAGAGAGAGAGAAAAAAAATCCACTCGTAGCGTTTTTAAAATACAGTACCGATCAAGGGACTGCATGGTGGTTGCAACATATCCATTAGCATTTCACAGAAAATGAAAACAGGAACACTCTTACACATTTCTAACACTCCTATTCTCACACCAAGGAGCACAAGCTGAACCTCCCCTCATTACACACACCACTAGAGGCTTTTCTGTTTTTCCTTTTTTAAAAAAAGTACTTTCACACTTTCTGTAATTAAATAACTAAGAATCAGTGCAACCACAGTTCAGTTAGGGGCAGAAAATTGGCAAGCATTTCTTGTTTTGCAGAGAGAGTTCTGCAGGGTTTATTTAAAAACTCACACACAAAAAACACCAAACTAGCTCTATCTTGGGACCTGGTAAATTGTGTCAGACTCAAGATGCATCCCCATTAAAATGGGTTTTATTATATTTGGATGTGGCATGTGTGTTCTTTTTTTAAAACAAAAGTGGCAGAAGAGAGCAAATGAAAACAAGTGGGATGACATATTGGAAGCAGTGATCCAAAGTGTTAGACAGGGTATTTAGTACCTAAACTGAACTACCAGATGTGAGAGATCAATATACAGGGAAACCACTCTTTAAAAATAAAAGTGAAACATTTTCCTTTGGCAGGTAAAAGTCCAGTTCAGATGATTAGAATGAGTGTGCATGAGTATGCACAGAACCCTTTTGAATTGTAATGATGATTACAGACTTCCTGGTTGAATCACAGCTAATAGATGAGCAAAAGAGCTATGTGCACACTGCACAGGAAGAAAAGGTTTATACATACCACAGCTTAATAAACCAAGATATAATTGTCCAGATTCACCCAGAGTTCCAGTCTATGAAAGCTGCTACTCATCAGTACAAGTTTAACTTCATTATACTAATGATTTGTGAAGTTGGTGGGTCCACTGGCCCCTTTAATTGCATATGAATGTACATTCTTGAGTACCATCAGCATATTATAATTTGTAACCCCTGTAGAAGCTGGTTCTAAGTCTACTGAATAGTTTTACATTGCTCCAGGCTCTTGCACCTTAGTTACTATTTCAGAGTTTAAGTTCTAACTGAATTGCCAAAGACTTAACTTTTTGCATTTCATTGGCATTTAATGTTGACATCTGTACATTTTTCCCTTTACACTTGTGTACGCATATATACCAGAAGTAGCTATCCTGGCATGGTGTGGCCAGTCTCTCAAACACAGTGTTACTGCTGCTTACCAAGATAGCGAGGTTGAGTGTGTGTGTGCAGGCACCCTAGCAGAGCTACCTGCCAACTGAGGATTACCCCATATATCCAACCTACAAAAATGTATGCTATTACAAGTGTGCTATTAAGATCTCACCATTTACTGTTTTTGCTGCGTAAGAAATATTTCATGATTCTTATTTCCTCTATGCCTTCCTTCTTCTTTTTTGTAATACTTAATTTTTAAGTGCTTTTAAAATGCACTCACCCCAGACTATAGAGACTTAGACTGCAATTCTATATGCACCAACCTGGCAGTAAGCCCTGCTGGACACAGGGAGAACTTACTTCTGAGCAGACACACATAGGATTGCACTGTTAACTTCCAGAGACCCCAGGGAGATGGCAAAAACATGGGAAACCCGCATCATCATTTGTGTTTAGAAGTGGGCAACCGTTTGTTTGTTTATTTATTTAGAATTTAAAGATTTAGAAAACTATTTAGAAAATATGTATACGCCTGCATAACCCACCGTGGCCATTTCTTCTGTGCTTCGGCTGCTTACAGTGCCAAGTCTCCAGCAGGGGCTAGGACTTTGATTCTTGACACCAACTTCCGACATTTCAAAGACAAGAGGTCAAGCAAACAACAAATCAGCAACATGTAGCTGTGGCACCAGGGCTCTTGTGAATCCATGCATCAGCAACTGAGCAGAACAAATCTGGAATGTGGCACCTAGTTCAGAATTCAGGTTATTGAGAATACAGTGGTACCTTGGGTTAAGTACTTAATTCGTTATGGAGGTCTGTTCTTAACCTGAAACTGTTCTTAACCTGAAGCACCACGTTAGTTAATGGGGCCTCCCGCTGCTGGAGCATGATTTCTGTTCTCATCCTGAAGCAAAGTTCTTAACCCGAGGTACTATTTCTGGGTTAGCGGAGTCTGTAACCTGAAGCGTATGTAACCTGAAGCGTATGTAACCCAAGGTACCACTGTATCAGCCTTCTAACCTCTAAAAAAAAATCACACCCCCACACAGACAACCTGGCTTCTAGTCCCTGTCAGACCCCTGCAGGAGATAGCTGGGTACACTTGCCCCAGGCCTTGGAGGGGAGGGCTAAGCCAGCAGGGGGCCCTGCCAGGGACTGGCTGCTTTTTGAGTTTATAACTTTATTCTAACAAGGTCCTGCCCTGGGCCTCAGACAAGCTCTGCACAGGCCTCATCCCTGTGATTTGGACAGGTGTTCAGGAAAGTCTCAGAAGCAGGAGGCAGAATACAAGGCCAAGCACAAAGTTTCCACATAGCTTCCTTTCTTCCCTCATTATTCCAGGAAACAGAATGTATTATTGCACAGCAAACTGGTATACATATGTGCAAGATTAAGTCAGGCTTCAGAATTGAGCTGGATGGTTTTTATGCAGAATCTGACTTGCAGGGTTCTTTCCTTATTGGAATATTACAGGTCCATATAAGAGCAGTGCAGAGGCAACTAGAAAGGACAAGGGATGAGGTGGGTTCTTTCGTTAGGATGACTTGGTGATGGCTGGGGAGCTAGACACAGTGAGATGGCAAATAACAGCAACCTAAGGAACACCTCAGACATGGGCAAAAGCTCATGGTAGCGTCTCACCCTCCTAGAATTGGAATAACATGCATGAGATGTCTCAGCTGGCTTTAATCTGTGGCAAGGAAGATGACAGTAAAAGAAAAGGCACCATTCCAGCATGACAAGGGGTAGGGGTGGGTTTATGGCTGAAGGCCACAACGGAGGCACTGTGGGAGGAAAATGGCCAGAGCTCCCCTGTGGCACCTAGTGCAGAATTCAGCATTTTAAAAATCTATGGGGCAAGTGTCTAGTTCCTGTTGTTTCAGATGGGCTTGAGAAGTTCTTTAGATAATAACAGCCTCATAAGTTGATTTGCGGGTTCGGTTCAGCCGTGTGCAATACTTTCCTCCAGGCCTTTGCATTCACACACGAGAATGGGAGAAGCAAGCATCTGAAGGCAGCCAGACAAGACAACCACCTCCTGGTTTCTGGGGCCAGGTGAGGAAACAAACAGCTCCATCCACAGCTCCTTGGAGACAAGCAACTTGCCATGCAGGATGCAATTTGTGAACAGTAGAAAGGACTGCCACAGCTGGAACTTGTTTGAATAAGACTTCTTTTTTCCAGAGTCAGAGGAAGCAGAGATGGCTGGTGTTCACTGGGACTGGTGGGATGGTCAGAAGATGGAGTCAGAGCCAGTGATGAGGGGAGCGACGGCCAATGGGAGGTGGAGCCAACTTATTTGAGATTTGTCCCCCATCCGCCTGCTGAGTTGCACAAGGGCAAAACTTGAGACCAAAGCGGAAGAAGCTGCGAGCCAGGGCCACGCCTGGGTTGGTTTTAAGTAAGAAGACAGGTAGGTGAGGGCTGGCTGACTGAGGGCCAACTGAGGATGGTGGGCCAGTGCTCCATTTACCCTAATGGACCAGCCTCCACTGTGCAGGAACAAGAGAGACAGGGGCATTTGGAGAAAAAATGCTCCATTCTGGCTAGAATCCACTCTCTGCCACTGATCTGAAGTGCTGCTGTCATAGTCTCAGCTCTAGATTTAGATGGCAAAGCTGTCCTGCCTCCAGACCTGCTGGCCTGCAATGTAGGTTGCCCGAACATGGAGGTTGTCATCCAGCAACAGGAAATCTGTATGGAATATAAATTTATGTCACTCAACAGAGGAAGTGGGATACAGTGGGTCATTGGCAGCTGGCACCTGCTGGGATTGATGGGGTCGAAGGTGGGGAGCCTGACAGTAGGTGGAACCAGAGCCAACGATAGGCTGAGCCAGAGCCAATGACAGGTGGAGCCAACTCCCTCTAGTGTTATAACCTTTCCTCCTCCCTGCTGAGTTCTAGAAAGGCAACACTGAGACTAAGGAGGGGGAAACTGGCAGGCAGTGCCATCCACCTGGAGTGGATGTAAGTTAGAAGGCAGGCAGTTGCATGGCAGTCTGAAAGTTAGTGAGGCAGTGCCCCATTTGCTCTAATGGACCAGCCCCCAAGCACTCCCAACAATGCTCAGGGCCATTTCCTTTTTGCATATTTGGCACAGTGCCTGTTGAAACAGGTGCATCTGGTGGAGACTGATGTGAGGGCAGGGATGGGGAAACTGTCGCCCTTCCAATGCTGGTGGCCAAAGGTTATGGGAGGTGAGAGTCCAGCAACATCTGCAGGGTCACAGGGTCTCCATCCCTGATCCACGATAATCCCTAAAGGAGTAGAAAACAGGCAAATGTGCCTTATATCAGGCCATACTATTGCCTACTGGCAGTAATTCTCCAGCATTTCAGGGGAATGTCTTCCCCATTACATGTTACCTTCTTTGTCCTCAAACTAGAGATTGCTAGGGAATGAATCTGGGTGCTTCATGAAGAATGGGTTCTATTGCAGAGCTATGCTTCCTCCCCTTCCCAAAGTCATAGCTGCACCAAGCACAGCTTCAACTGTCCACTAGGATTCCAGTGAAACTGCCCTACTCTCTCCCTCCCTAGAACTTCACACCCTACTCCAGTTGTTGTGCTCTCCCTGATGGGGGGGGGGAAGAGACCCTCTCCTCAGTCTGAGGATTTTCCAGCAGAAGACACACACAGGAGGGGCTTAGGGGTGGGAGGTTTGGCACTCGCTCTCCCAATGACGGCCAATACCTGCATCGGTGTCATAATCCAAAGTGCCCTTTCTGTCCTCGATTTTCAAGAGTTGAGCAGGGTGTAGAGAAGCAGCTTCCAGTGCTGTCTCTACAGAGCAACCTGAAAAAGAGAGAAGATCCATCACTACCATTTTATTTATTTGCTTAAGCAATTTACATATTGCTTAACTACAACCGTCTTTAAGTTGGTTTACAAAGACAGAATACAACAACAACAAAATCAATTAAAACGGTGAAATCGGACTTCAATGAAAATACGTGCAGGAATAAAGAAGCCTTCACTAGGTGCTAGAAGCTCGACAGGGAGGGAGCCTGTTTGACCTCCAGTGGGAGTTCCATAAAATTGGGCATGCAATACTAAATGCATGGCTATTGGTGGACACAAGCTGTGCAGCCAAGCCACGAAGGACCACTAGCAGTAACTCCCCTGAAGACCTCAGTGATCTGGTGGGGATGCCTGAGGCATCCTGGAGCCTTGTAAATTATTAACAGAACCCTGAGCCTGACCTGGAGACCTATGGGCAGCCAAGGCAAACATTTTAGCACCAGGGATAGTCTGTCCCCATCAACAATCCAGCTGCAGCGTTTTCCTTCAGCTGGAGACTCCAGACCAAACTGAACGGTAACCCCACATAGAGCGCATTGCAATAATTGAGTCTTGAGGTTACCAATGCATGAATCACTGTGGCCAGAACAAGTTTAAAAGCATAGGCCCCAATCTTTGGGGGACTCCACTTTCTCCATTCAAAGAACTGTCCATTCCTTCCTGCTCTTTACTTCCTGCTACTTAATCAATTCCTGATTCACAGGAGGACCATTTCGTCCAAGAACGTATGGACAGCCACAGGTTCCCCCTTCTCATCCCACACAGAACAGCCTTACCAGTGGCATCCTTGAAATGTCGAACACATGTGTCCATGGTTGCAATGCTGCCACTCAGCGTTTTGGTCCCTGTGAAGAGGGCAGGGGTGAGAGAACGAAAGAAAAAAGTTAAATGGAAAGCTGTTCACACAAGCCAATATGCGAGCCCAGTTTCCTGATTCCTGAGTAGACTAGCTGTTAGGATTGAGTCTGCAGCACTTCAACACAACTTCATTCCTTTCTTCTCTGTAAGGTGCATTTTTCTTTTTCCCTTGTGGTCATTAACCTGAGCAACAGCTCTGGAAAATGCTTCAAGTTTAGCCAGTATAATTAAGAATGCACCATCACTAGGTTGTGGGAAAAGACTAAGTGTGCAATGTCTTATCCTGGTATCACACCCATATGCTGGGAGATTCAATTTGCACTGGTCCATGGCTTGTGACCATAGCAGTCAGGATAAAGCATGGAGCCCAGTATGGGCTGCACACAATGTAGGAAGACAGGAAGCTGCCTTTATTGTGAACCAGACCATTGGTCCATCTAGCGCAGCTGTTCTTCAGGGTTTTGGACAGAGATCTTTCCCAGCCTGGAGATGCCAGAGATTGAACCTGGAGCCTTCTGCATGCAAGGGAGATGCTCTGCCACTGAGCAATGGTTTGCGCAGCCAACATCATGGTGATGCCATGCAGGAAGGAGGTTGTTCCTGGTATCTGCAAGGTTTGGGCCTTCAGGAGCTTAATGGTTCAAAAGTCAGGCCATGCACTCCAACCCTGAATGAGAAAGTTGTCCAGGGTCCCGTCCTCCCTACCTGGATTCTGGGGAACTCACCTGCAATGTAGGAGTTTAGCCCATCCATCTCCACTACCTGTTGGCCCAAGGTGTGCCTGCCTGGGGCAAGCCCCATACCTGGGATGGCATCTGTCACCAGGACCAGACCTAAAGGGACATAATTGGCTCACGTTAACTCCAGTCTTGTCATAAAGGTAAGCAAAGAACATAGGAACTGCCAAGCCATTGGTTCTTTTAGCTCAACAATAGGGAATCTCTGGCCCTCCAGATGTTGCTGGACTCCCCACTCTTTCAGGCCCCATCTACATTGTTTAATGTAGCACTTTAAAGCAATCATCTGGGAACTGTAGCTCTGTGAAGAGAATAACTACTCTCTGCACCCTTAACAAACCACTGTTCCCAGGATTATTTGGGGAAACCATGATGGCTTTAAAGTGGCATTTGTTTATTTATTACATTTATATCCCACCTTTCCTTCAAGGACCTTAAGGTAGTGTCTTCCTGTTTTACCCTCACAATAACCCTGTAAGGTAGGTTGTGCTGAGAAACAGTGATTGGTCCCAGGCCACCAAGTGAGCTTCACAGCTGACGGCGGGTTAGAACCCTGGTCTTCCAGGTCTTAGGCCCAACACTCTGGCCACTGTATCACACTGCCTCACTACCATTTTAAATGTATAGTGCAGATGTGGACTCACTCTCACTAATGAACATGTTCCAGCTGATCTCTCTCTACCTCCCCTGGATTATATATCTTTAGGCACCCAGCAAAAATGTTCCTCTTCAGCCAGGTCTTTGGCTAATCAATATTCTACAGCCTTTTATATGTGTTTTTTTTTGGGGGGGGTCCTATTGTTTTTCTATTTGTGCTTTTCTCTTGTGCTTTTATCTTTTGAACAGCCCTGAGATCTTTTTATGAAGAGTAATATATAAATCTAATAAAATACATACATAAATGAATAAATCACACTGTTTCCTCAGTACCTACAGGCAGCAGCTGGGAACCGATCTAGCAAGACTAACTCCATATTCACTACTCAGGGGATTTCCTGCCCAATGGGACAAACCTTTAGGGTCAGCCCGGTGAGCGATCCTCAGGGCAGCAGGATTCGTGTGGATGCCGTCTGATATCATGCCATAGAACACTTTCTGACCTGGGGGGATCTGGTCGCTTGTGAGGAGTCCCACAATCCCAGGATCTCGATGGTGGAACTGCAGGTAGACAAAACCAGGATGAGCATCAGAATGGTGCCCCACGGAGTGTTGTTTAACTGCTAAAGAAAGGAGATTGGCAGGCAGAGGAAATGGGAATCCTTCATTCAAGGCTCTCCTCCAGGTCCTCCTCCACCCCTGACTCAAGTGCAGGGGTAGGGGTGGACCAGATACAGGGTCTTCTCAGTCATGGCACCAGTTAAAATTTGTTGACCTCCACCCCCACCCCGCATTCAGAAGGCATCATTCCCATATTTTTAGATGTAGCTTCACAAGCAGAAAGGCCAAAAACTTGCTTTCCAGTAAGGTAAAAAATGTGTGGAGATTCTTAAGACACCTTAAGATCAGGGGCTGGATCAAGGGGCCTGATGGGCTGGAAGTAATTGATGATACTCACAGGTAACATGGCATTGAAAAGGTGAGTGATGAAGGTGGCCCCATGTTGAACAGCCTCCTCGGCATGAGACAGGTTAGCCATGGAGTGACCTAGGATCAAGGAGAATCAGGTGTCAAGTGCACTTAGCTAGAGGGACCAACGTCTGACTCAACAGAAGACAACTTCCTATACTCCTAATATTTAGTGGGCATCCTAGCTGTTGGAAATATAATGCATTTCCCCATTTCTAATATATGAAAACTCTGGATCCGCTTCCAGGAACCCCCACACCAAATGCATCCTTCGATCAATAATAGAATGAACAATATTATTTCCGCTGTTCCAAAACATGTGTGGACCTAGGCTTGTTCCCTGCCTGCCAGATCCCAAACCTCAAACTTTAAGGTCTCGTGCAGAGGAGGCAATATTTACCTAGTGAGACACAGATGCCGCACTTGGTGAGCTCCTTGATCACTTCACTGCTCCTCTTCATCTCGGGTGCTAGGGTGACAATACGGACGCTGTCCAGGCTCCCATAGGTGTCTAGCAATTCCTGGAAGGCTCCCGTCTCGAAGGTGCGAAGGCAGTGCTCTGGGTGTGCCCCTCTTTTTTCTTTGCTGATGAATGGACCCTCCAGATGAACCCCTGTCCCATTGCAGAAGAGATGGGTGAGTTCTAGAGCAGAGTGGGGAACCTGAAGCCCTGGAGATGTTGCTGGGAAACAACTCCCATTTGCTCTGACCATTGGCCAAGTGGGCTGAGGCTGATGGGAGCTGAAGCCCAACATCTAGAGGTCCACAGGCTCCCCATCCCTGTTCTTGGATGAGGACATTGATGCCCTCTTCTGCAAGTCCCAACCTGCAGCAAGGCAGACCTACAGAGCCAATCAACTCTGTGAGTCTTCATCGCCTTCCTCCTCATTCCCCTCTCTCGAAGCTCCATCCAGGCAAACAAGAAGCACCAACACAGTTCCAGGACACATTCCATCCAAGAAAAAGCACTGGAGGAGGAGAGGCCAGTGAGGGGTGAGGCCTGGGGGCAGAGGCCGTGGCCTGGGAAGGGTGTCCCAAGGGCCAGATAGAGAGGCGTATAAGTCACATTTGGCTCCTGGGACTGAGATTCCCCACCCCTGGAATGGTGGACTAGGAATGGAGAGACCTGAGTTCAAATCTCTGCTGAGCCATAAATCTCACAGGGTCTCTTTTGGCCACTCACTGTCTTTCAGTCAAACATACCTCACAGGTTTGCTGTGAGAGTAAAGTGGCAGGGGAAGGAACCATGTATCCAACCTTGAGCTCCATGGAAGAAAGGTGAAATATAAAGGTAACGAATATGGTAGATGTTGTCCTGTGGGAGAGTAGGTGTAACACTCACCTAGGACACCAGCTCCATGAAGTCCTCCATTTTTGACGCAGATCTGAGGCAGCACCTGGAGTCGTCAGAAACATCACAGTTAATCATTGCTGTAAATGTATGAACAGAAAGCCTTTGCCTGCTGACTTCACTTTGCATAATTAACTTGTTCAAACCATGCTGCAAGGGCGGCCGGCAAGATTCCCACTTTGCAGATGGGATACAGTCAAGCCATCTCACTGAGTATGTGGCCAAGGTGACATCTGAACTCAGGACTAAAGTCATCTGATGTCACTACATTCAGTGCTGAATTGGCTAAAGTGTGTGGTCCCATAGCTGCAATCGTTCGCTTGCCCTGAACCCACATGAGTACAAATAATAAAAGAGCATCCCAACTATCTTGCCTTAAGAGTCAACTTTGGCTGTTTGGAGTGGGGGCTCAGACCAGTGATCCTTCCTCAGCGTTGGATCCCAGGAACCTTGGGAATTGTACCTCGTTGAGGGTGATAGCAGCCTCCTAACGACTCAGCACCCTTAACAAACTATACTTCCCATGATTCTTTGGGGGAAGGCATGGCTCTTTAGAGTGGTATCAGAGTACTTTAATTGTATGGTGCGGATGGGGCCCTAGTCAGAGAGGCACTTCAGGACAAACCTTCTTCTGGGCCCAGTTTCCTGGTCGCCTCATGGACCCATGAAACCAACAAGGCCTCAGCCCCACGAGACAGAGAGATATCACAGTCTTAGAAAAATGGGCCTTAGCCCTGTTTCATTACATAAGCTCCTGATCGGGTATCCCTTTATTGACTTGGTTAAGACAATCAAATATGTCTTTCACCCTCCATTGACACATGGAAGCTTGTGGAGAGACACTTCCATTTGACTGCTGTTCTTGCAACGTCTAAAACTACAACCATCACCCTGTTTTTCTTTCTTTTCTCCACAACTGTTAAGCTCTGTATTCCCAGTGTGGGTATGCGTTGTTATTTGATAGGAAACATAGATATATATAGGTCCATGAAAACAGCACCTTATCAACAGTCTAAAGTTTGACAACTAGCAATCTCAGTTTAGAGTCCAACCATTTACTTCCTCATTTGGGAAGGCTACAGACAGACAAGGACACATGAGCTGAAGAGGTACTCCACCTTAGATGGGAGGAGCTGTTGCTCAGTGACTGAACAAAAAGACCACATTCACACTGTATATTTAAAGCACTACAATACCACTTTAAACAGCTGCTACGATTTCAGGGGGTGGAACTGTCTGTCTCAGAGGCATGCAGGAGGTCCTAGGTTCTGTCCCCTGCCTCCTCAGGTAGGTCTGGGAATGTCCCCTGCTAAAGCTCTGGAGACTTGCTGCCAGTTAATGTAGACAGCAATGAGCTTGACAAATCAGTGGCATGAGTCAGGAAAAGGCAGCTTCCTCCATGCCTTCTCCTTTCTGTCAGTGTTGTGCTTGTAGAATTCAGTAGGGAAGAGGATGGGGACAAAACTGGAAGAAGTTGGCTCTGCCTGTCATTAGCTCTGGCGCCACCTACTGTTGGGCTCCCTGTCTTCTGCCCTACCAGTCTCATTGGGAACTAGCCACCTCGGGTACCAGGCGACAGGCAAGACTTCTCCCATGATCCCAGAGAATTCTAATGCTACTGGGATTAATTTGACCAACCTGTGCCTGCTTTAAGGAGAAAGAACAGAAATGGACAAGAGTTTGGGGTGTGTGCATCTAGATGGAAATAGGCACAGAAGGCAGCTCAACTATCAGAGGCTCATCCAGGCCTTCACAATTTGTGAAACAACATGAACAACACAGCTTTGTATTGTGGTATGTCAGACTCTTGTGGGCCTCACTCTGCTGCTCTGTTTTTGGAATCCCAGGCAAACAGCAAAGATGGGAGATTTATCACACTTCTGTAGGCTGCCACACATGGTTGGCTGTGTTCGACTCACAGGTTGTTCAAGGCGTGTAAAAGCTGCTTAGAGCAACATTAGATCTCATGAGTAAGGAAGGGTATTCATAGGGCCCTATTCTTGCTTACCTTGTGATATACAGATGATGGTGAGGACACCAGGGTCGGGCAAAAAGAGGTCACTCCGTGAGACAATATTTTCTGGGCAACCAGTGAGATTCCTGCTCCCACATCATCTGTGGCCAGAGAGAAATCCACTCCAAAGCCTCCTGTGTGAAGGGAAGAACAGATAAGTTGCGACTGGCTATGCTATGAAAACTAGGTTAGCCATCCCTAACCATGTGCCCTCTAGATGGGCGGGGCATGCATAAATAAATAATGTAGTTGATGCAGACTCCCATGTCCCTAACCTAGCTAGTTTGGCCAATGTTCAGGAAAGATGGGAGTTGTAGCCCTTAACATCTGGAGGGCACCAGGTTGGAGATGGCTGATCCACGGTGTCTCTGGAAGCAGAAGATGTACAGGAGTAACATATCACTGGTTGAGTGGAGGGATCCTGCTTTCCAGCTCCCTTGAACTGTACAAATGCCTCTTGCTTGTCCAGATGGGCAAATATAGGCCTAGAAATCTCTGGCTTTTGTGTGGCTGAACTGCAGCCAACTGTACAAATGTTAAGATTCAGATTTGTTGTCTCACCTACCAATGTCATGTGGATCCTGACGGCTGAAAACAGCTACCCACTCCTGATCTAAATATAGTCTAAAATTGCTCAGTTGGTAGGGCATGAGACTCTTAATCTCAAGGTCATGGGTTCGAGCCCCACATGGGGCAAAAGATTCCTGCATTGCAGGGGGCTGGACTAGATGACCATAGTGGTCCCTTCCAACTCTACAATTCTTTCATTCTATGATGACTGTGGGCTTCCTAAGGGATACTTGTTGCTCATATATATGTAAAAGCTTAGAACCCACAAAATTATGAAATAATGTTTTCTTCCAACTTGCCTCTCTTATCTAACTCTTCTATGCTTTTTCTGCAAGTCACATTTTCACGGCAAAGCTTTTAAAAGATTCAAGCATGGGCTACACAAGCCGAATCTACAAGGCAGCAATTTCTGCACTGCTTAAACCATCCTAATCCTCAGTGTTCTCTTGTACTAGAATTATTCCGATACCTTACCATTGATCTGCACATCAATGAAGCCAGGTGCCAGGATGCTTCCCTTGCAGTCCAGCTGGACGTCTGCAGGTTTCTTTTCATCAAAGAACAGCTTCTCTGGGTTTAGGATCTTTCCTTCTCTCACCCACAAGTCCTCTCTGAAAACAGAAGCAACCAGTAACCTAGAACACAGCCAGACCTGGGAGAAAGCCATGCGTCTGCAAGTACATTTAATAAAAAGCAGCAGATTTCACCGGAACTTTGTCTACAAATGCTAGCAAGTTGAAGAAATTAGCATTGTCCTTACAAAGATATTTGATCAGGAGCAAACACTGGTACATGTAAACATACAAGGCTGGTTCAGATGTAAGTATAAACCATAGTTTAGTGTTACAAAAACAAGCCACAAAGGCTCACATGCACATCCTCCCACTCTGGCATGGCCACAAGGAAGAGTTCAGAAGATTTTGATTCCATTTTTTATTAGCCTCAGTTTGCCATGTCACTGGATCCAGGACATACAGTGGTACCTCAGGTTACATACGCTTCAGGTTACAGACTCCACTAACCCAGAAATAGGTTAAGAACTTTGCTTCAGGATGAGAACAGAAATCGTGCTCTGGTGGCGCGGCAGCAGCGGGAGGCCCCATTAGCTAAAGTGGTGCTTCAGGTTAAGAACAGTTTCAGGTTAAGAATGGACCTCCGGAACGAATTAAGTACTTAACCTGAGGTACCACTGTACTATGATTACTCTCAACTATGGCTACACACCTTAAGGCCATCGCAGACAACAAGAAGCAAAGCATCTCCCCCACACGCTCACCTTTGCAGCTCATGATTCTTCAAAATCCAGCAGTTAGTAAACTGGAAGACTGGAGCATCTGAGGTGGCTTTGTCAGGTGGCATCATTCAGGCATTCAGGGAATGCGCCTGGTAATGAGAAAGGAAGCAAAACACAGAGAGAATAGGTGGGGAAATAACAAAACAGTTCTGCAAGGAAGACCACATCAGGCATTGCCGTTGGCTCGCACCTAGAAGCAGCCATTCCATCTGGTTATCTGAATTGTTTCCTTCCCTGCCTGTCACCATAAGAAATGTAACCTTAAAAACCAATGACTGGGTTTGCTTCTCCCTGCTCCTCTCTCCATCTCCTTTTCCCTGTGTTTTGTCATTATCTGTAAACTTGAGGGCAGGGCCTGTATTGGTTTGGTGGTGGTTGTTGTTCTTATTTTATTGATCTGGAAGTGGGGCCAAAAAAGGGGGCTTAAATTTTTTTTTAAAATGTTATTGAAAGTGTAGGTGCAATGCCTGGTAAACTCAGCAATTAGATGGCATACTCCCTTGAACCTCTCTGTGGCGTAAACAAAACCATACAAAAGCTCCAACATTTTTATTTATATGTGTTAAGTTGTGCGTGAACATATCAGACGACACAGCGATTCTTCAAATAGCTCTTGTTTATTCAAAGGCCAGAACAGAACTGAACTGAAGGGTTCAGCTAGCCTGCTTATATAGAGCTTCACTACAATGCAACTGTAACAACTTTCTGTAACTATCCAATCACTGAACGTCACTTTCGATCCGTTATTTGCATATGTGGACCTGAGTGAAAACTATATACAGTTTCCCCCTGCTCGCCCAGGGTGAGAACTTCAGTACGTAACAATAAGATTGACAGAGTTCTGCTTTTCTTGCTGCAACATTTTGCATTCTATTTTTTTAAAAAAGAACAGAACACTTAAGGCACATCACAGAGGTCAGAGGCAGCCCTCTTTAAAAACACAACTGTGCATGTGCAGAGTGCATTTCCTTCATTAATGGGCAACTAGAATCCACCACCATACATTAGGCCTGGCAAGGGTAGCCAATGTGATGCCGAACACCTACATACGTTTGCAAATAAACTGTAATTGTCTTCCCTGCAGTAAAAATAATAGGGTAAGAACCACCCTCACTGCTGCCTCTGCTCATAAGAGGAGTCCTGCTGAATCAGGCCAGTGGCCCATTTTGTCCGGCATCCTGTTCTCACAGTAGCCAACCAGATGCCCATAAGAAGCTCTCAAACAGGACCTGAGCACAACAGAAATCTCTCCTCCTGCATTTTCCAGCAACTGGTGCTAAAAATATTTTAATCACCAAGATGTACAGCATCTGCCAGTCTGTTTCTAGGTGCAATTCAAAGTGCCAGTTTAAATCTCTGGTTGCACCAAATTTTATTTTAAAAAGCTAACTAAAAAAGGAAAGGAAAAAGTAGTAAACAAATTAGTTCAGCTTCACTATTTTATATTAGTTCTTAAAATCTCAAGCCTCTTAATAAGTTTGTAAAAACACAAGGTATATAGGAATATGTGATATAATTATATTACAATAATGTAAATAAATTATATAGATGTATATTCTCCTGAAAGTTATTGTTCTAAAACATATAAAAAATAACAAGTCTAGTTGTGCTCCATTTATTGCACTGTGGACTTTATACTGCCTTGAGGAATATTCTAATGTTTAAAGGAGGGGTGTAAATCATATCTAAATCACTACAACGCAGGGCAATGAAATCTACCGTGTCAGCCTCCTCCGCCTTCGCTTCTATTTTCAAGACTGGTAGCAAATCGGCCCCCATCATGTCAATGGAGGGGCGATGGAGAGGCTCAGCCCAGCGTATCAGTTCGGAAACTGAGGAGCGTGATGTCATCTGTCACTCAATGCGGGGGGGGGGCAAGGTGCCCAAGAAAGAGCAGTCCCGCCTACATTTGCATAAATTAGCATGTGCTTTACACAAGCACCTTCTCATTGGCTAGCATTTCTGCTCCAGGGAAAGAAGAGGTGTTCCGAGTAGCTGCTGAACCCCCGTGGTTTCCCTCGGAAAGAAGCGCAGAGCATTGGCCTTACCGGCTCCCAACACATAAGCCGTCTCTCGGGTCGCCCAACTTCTGCCTTAACGCTCTTCTCCAGCAGCGGATCTCGCTCACGTGACAAGTCTTTCCTCGTCAGCTGATAGGAAAGACTGGGGGGGGGAATGGGCTCCCTACGGGCACGTGAGCGGCATAGACGAGCCGCCATGACGGGAAGGGAAAGGAAAGGAACAGTGCCGGCAGCAACCCTTACCTCCATCTTGAGATGGTCAGAGTAACAGCTGACTAGGAATGGCTGAGCATGCAATTCTATGGAGACGGGGAATTAGGTGGTAGATATACATATGTATTTATTTGTTTGTTTACTTGATTTAGATGTTTTATTTAAGCATTTTATTGTTTTATTTACTTTTATTTATTTAAACATTTTATCTTACTTTTATTTATTTGAACAATTTGTTGTTGTTCTTGTTTCTGTATTTGTTTTCACTCATTCTGTACGGCTTAACTACAATCTACTCCAAGTGGTGTACAAGAAATACATTAAATATATATATATGTAAAAATCGGTTAAACTATAAAATCTGACTGCAGTTAAGATGCCTGCTGGGCAGTGCCCCATTTGCCCTAATGTGCCAGCCTCCAGGACCTTTGTACATTTGCTGTAACTGTTTGTTTTGCTTTCTAGCCACCTATTCTTTCTTGTTCTGGGAACCCTGAGGCAGCAAGAACATGCCAAAGGGCAGCTAAGAAATGGGTATGACAGACAATATTTGCATACTGCAGGCAGTTTCCTTTTTTTCCTGAAGAGTGACAATGGTGCTGAGGTAAAGCGCAACCAGAGACCAGGATACAGCCACATGTCTGCTTGCTTATTGGACAAGAACGACTGGGGGGGAGGGAAACACCAGTTCTTCTCTGCCCTGCGCCCTCACCATCATTGCTCTTGTAGAAATACTGCATGTTAGTACACAAGATCTATGAATATGTGTGTGTGTGATATGGAAATGAGGCAGAGGTAAGGTAATAATAATGAAGCAGCATTTATCTTTCAAGTGCTCAAAGTACTTCACATATATTATTATTATTATTATACCACAACTTTTAGGATATGGGTAAAGCTATACCCCCAGTCGGTAGAGCATGAGACACTTAATTTCAGGCTTGTGGGCTCGAGCCCCATGTTGGGTGAAAGATGGACTAGATGATCCTTGTGGTCCTTTCCGATGATGCTACAATTCTCTGATTCCTCAGTCACACACCCCTCTCACCAGGTCAATACCCCATCCCCCAGCCTTGCTTTGATGTAGCTGGAATTCTGTTAATGCCTCTTGATTGCTTGGAAGGAGGCGAGAGAGGATGTGGGGGTGCATAAATTAACATTTGTTGCTCCACCTACTTTTGCTCATGATCCCACCCACTGCTGGGTATGTGGTCCTCAGGAGGTTGCCCAGAAAGGAATGTGGCCTTCAAGCTGAAGAAGATTATTGAAGCCTGCAATACTAATAATTAATTCAGTGGCACAAAAATCGGGAGTTAAATGTGGATTTTGGAGGGGATGCCAGCATGCACAGAATACATAACTTTAGTAACACCTTGCTCAAATCTTCAGGACCATGTGCCTATTTCAGTGTCAAGGATCTTCTGGCTGATACCATCAAATCCATTGCTCATCTGTTGCAGATTTCAGGGCATTGTGTGTGCACAGGGGATATATATATATTCAACACGAATGTAGGATATAATGATGCATGCAGAAAGACATAGTTGCAGAACTGTATCAATGTGATGGAAATCTGAGGTGGCTGTGAAAACCAGTCATTCGTCTGTGTTGTTGGTCGCTGAGAGGCGTTTCTTATTCCCTGCTGAAAGGTTTCCTGACAACAGGTCTGGCATATTAATAAAGGCTTCTGACATCTTAGTGGCAAGGCAGGGAGGACATGAGCTAAGGGCTGAGTCACTCATGCTGGAAGGCACCGCAAAATAAGTAGACTCTTCCTCCTTGCCACCCCTGTTCCTGCTAAGATGCAGACGCTGAATAATGATTACACACCTAAAGGCTCTTCAGCCAGATTTTGCTTTATGACCCAGTGCCTGGTTTTGCTTCACAGACCTGTAGAGTTGGAAGGGACCCCCAAAGGTCATGTAGCCCAACCCCTGCAACGCAAAGACTTGGTAGAATAGAGCTTGTTCATATTTGCACAAAGTGCTCTTGAAATCTACTTTAACACTTCTCTTTTCACTTTATAAAGAATCCTGGGAACTGTCGTTCCTTAAGGGTGCTGTTAAGGCCAGAGATGGACGTGGGGAGGGCCACCCCTGACGCCCTCTCTTTGCCACCTCCTTTTAGTTCTCTTTCTGAAAGCCCATCTCCCCTTCTTGCCAACAGAATAAAAATGAGGCTGAGGGGCCCCTTCAAGCGGACGTCTGAGTTCTACCATGATGTGTCACATCCACACCATACATTTAAAGCCTTTCCCCAAAGAATCCTGGGAACTGTAGTTTGCTAAGGGTGCTGGGAATCACAGCTTTGTTGTGGGTAAACTACAGTTCCCAGGATTCCTTGGAGTGGGGTGCTTGAATGTGCTTTAAATATATGGTGTGTACACAGCTATGATACCAGGTAACGATGGTGAGACGCCACCTTTACTGCTGATGCAGACTCTCTCCCTGTAAATCAGTGAGACGGTGCTCCATTGGTAGTACAGTGGTACCTCAGGTTAAGTACTTAATTCGTTCCGGAGGTCTGTTCTTAACCTGAAACTGTTCTTAACCTGAAGACACATTCCAGCCAGGCAAAAACACTCAAGGTGCAAAGCAAAGTCAATGAGAGGTGTGGTGTGGGAGGAGTGATTGTTGCCAGAGGAGAGTTCCAAGGGCCAGATACAGAGGCCCCGAGGGCCACATTTGACACCCCAAAGTTTGGGTTTCCCCACCCATGAGATAAGACTTTGATCTGATCTACCACGGCAATCCGCTCTTATGCCTGCCTTCCTCGGTCCTGGCCCAGCTAGGAGAGCAGAGGGCAAAGGGCTGACCAGGAGGCCATGTAAAACAATCCCTTGAGCTGAATTCAAGCTGCGAAGCACCAGTTGTATCACTTGGCAACAGGCACATGATCTAGATGTAGGGTTTAGTTGGTGTGCGTTTTGCGCCTCTGTCCTTTTCTCAGGCCTCTCTGTAGATTAGATTGCTCTTGGAGCATCAGCTTCCAGGGGGAAAATTTAGGAGCCTGAGTTAGCTACTCTTTTGATCCACAGGAAAGCAGATCAGATGCAGAAAACAAAACACAGGACAGGAGAGCAGAAGAAAGAGACTGTGTGCGGTGTCTGTTCAGAACATGGATGGATTTTGCTAGTGCTTGGTTTGGTAGCATTGCGGTGGAGTGGTTAGAGTGTTGGACTAGGTCCTGGAAGAGCTAATCTTCACTTGGCCATGAAGCTCACCGGGTGACCTTAGGCCAGTTGCTGCCTCTCAGCATAATCTACCTTGCAGGATTGTTGCAGGGCTTAAATGAGGAGAGGGAGGGCCACATAAGCCACCTTGAGTTCACCTTTAGTAAGGTCTAAATGCAATAAATAAAATAGAAATAAACAATAATGTTTCTTGGGCAAGGGTTCCCAAACTGTGACTTGAATTTCGTTCAGGTGGTCCGTGGCATGTCATCATTACGTTTTTAGCTGTGATTTTAGTGTTTATTTTATTCCCTATTTTGTATTTCATTGAGTTCCATGGAATGAAAATTGTAATACAATAAAAGAGAATGTAAGAAATAAAAGAAGCAATAAAAATACAATTAAAAACCACACAGCATCTAACACAGCACACTGCAATTGCTACAAAAGACAGAAAAAGGAGTTTGCCAGTAACTTTCAAATGATCCACAAGGGAAAAAGTTTGGTAACCATTGATCAGGAGGTTCAAAGGAATTAAGAGTACTGAATTTGAGTGATTTTTTACACAAGGTCTCAAAAAACCCAGCAACTAAAAAAAGTTTACGCTGTAGACAGCACAGTAAAAAATCACAGGTCTGGAGCTTGTCATCCACACGAAAACCTTGATCCAAGCCATGGATCCTCATGGTTTTTACATAACAAGAAGACCAGCAACAAATCATGGATCCCATTTGTGGACACAGCCAGGTGCTGGTGGTTTTGATGCTAAGATTATGAGGATCCAGAAGGATCTGTTTCTCCAGAAACAGATGGGGTGGGGAGTGTGACCTGGAGGATCGGAGAGAGAAGGGAACAGTGTCAATGTTCCAAAAGCTTGGTGATCCCTTGTCTACACTGATGGGCAGCTGCTCCACAGGGGCTCAGATTGAGGTCTCTCCCACTACCTGAAGACATCAAGAAACTGAATCTAGGATCATCTGCATGCAGAGAGCAATGCACTTTACTGCCATGTGTTACTACTCTCTCCCTCTCCTCAATAAATCCAACCTTTCTTTGAAAAGGAATCCAGTTTTTTCCGAAGATTTTTTTTGGCAGGCTCAATAAATAAAGCTTACAACCAGGTTGCTACACATGTAGGTCACAACAGCTACAGCCATTCCACAGAAAATACACTTTAGTGTTCCATTCAGAGAGAGTTGTTTGGGGAACCGCAGGCTCTCAAGATGTTACTGTACTATGACTTCCAAGATCTCTATAATTGGCACGCCATACATTTAAAGCACTATCATACCGTGTTAAACAGTCATGGCTTCACCCCAAAGAATCCTGGGAGCTGTAGTTTGCTAAGGGTGCAGAGAGTTGTTAGGAGACCCCTGTTCCACTCGCAGAGATACAATTGCCAGAGTTCCTTCCGAAGTGGGATTGTTAAACCACACTGGAAACTGTAGTTCTGAGGAGGGAATAGGCAGCTTGGCATCTTTAAGTTCCTTTAAATTCTTACTGCTCATGGATCTTTTTGTGGGAAACCATGGCGATAGTGCTTTAAATTTATGGTGTGAACATGACCATGGACAATGCTGGCCGGGATTGATGAGCACTGGGAGTCCAGCAACATCTTAAGCCCCCCTCCCCAGCTATCTGTACTATGTGATCCTTCTTTCAGAAAAAGGAATTGACAGGACCTGTAATTATCTACACTTGTAATTAAATCTTCACTAGGAACCTATGTCAGTACAGTCTTGCTTTTTCCTCCCCAGGACTTTTTTTTTGGGGGGGGGAGAGAGCTAAAAGATGAAGCACAGTCAACGGAAAGAGAATTTACCTACGCAATCAGCATTTGACTTAAGGCCTCTTCCAGGGACCGAGGTGGCCTATTAATGGATATTATCCATCACTACTGCTGCTGCTTCTCCCTCTCCCTTTTGTCAGCTTCTCCCTCCCCCTCTCTGTTCCTCTGCAGGGCTGACTCACTCTGCAGCGCAGAGCTTCAATGCAAAATCAGAACAAGGCGATCCGTTCCATTTCACAAGAGCTTATCTGCAGACCCAAACCATTTCCCCCTTAATTAGATGCTGCAAACGCTGGCATTTCACGTCCCCCGACACCCACCACCACTGCAAGGAGACCCATACAAGTATTGCCTTGGCAAGGTGGGGGGCGATGCTCCCCAATCCAATCTGTGAAGCTCGTAAAGGGTCTGTGGAGGGCTGAATGAGTCACGAAGAAGTTCTCAATGGCCCGAATCACTAGAGACTGTCTGCTGATGTAATTGCAGGGATGCCTCAACCTACTTCATCCTTACTAGGATGCACCAACACGGCTCTCAGGGAAAAAAAATCCAGGCTTATTCTGGGCTCCTGTGTTTCACTACTCTGTATTTCTGCACATGGTCCCTTATGTGGTTTTGCCTCCTCTGCACTCAAATAATACATCAGAATCTCAAAACATTTAGACTTGGGTAATGGTGCACAGGTGGATCATTCACTACTTTTTCTTTAAAAAATACACAGGACCCCCCACCCCGCCAGTTGCCATGCACATATTTGTGAGAAAAGGGTGCGTGCTTTGTACATTTCTTTGCAGGTTGTCTTTTTAAATTATGCTGCTTATTTAAAGACAGTAGTAAAGGACTATGCACATCATGCTCCCGTCACTTTGGTATCTCCAGCCACCTACAACTTAGGCCCCAAATATCTGAAATGTCTGCTTCCCTATAGACCTTCCTGAGTGTTAAGATCAGTAGAGCAGACCCTCTTTGTAGTTCCACACCACACTCAGAAGTTTGGGTGGTGGCGGCCCAGGAGAGAGAATTCTCTGGGGCAGCCCCTAAATGGTGGAATTCCTACCCATAGAGGTGTGCCTGGCTTTTTCACTATACAGCTTTTGGGGAATGCTGGAGATGCACCTTTTTACTCTCACCTTTTGACATCCAAGATGTGTGTTTTTCAGAGCCCACCTGTTTTCAGTTCTGAATTTTAAATTGTTGTAAAGCACCTTGGGGCCTGCTGGTGAATGGATGCTCAACAGCAACAACGGTCACATTTGGGAAGGAAAAGCTGCCCCATGTTTACTCTGAAGCATTCAATTCAGCTGAGCCAGCTCCTAAATTTGCATGCACAGGATTGCAATCTCTTGTCTCTTGAAGTTATCTGCTTTGACAGTCAACAAGATATGGTATATAGCAGTCTAGAGCAGAGGTTCTCAATTGGTCCTATGTAACCCACCCAGGGGGTCTGTGGCACCATTCACATAACAAACACACACCCCCAGATATTTTTTTTTTTCAAAGGGGGGGGACGGGGTCCATGGCTTTGCTTTTTAAAAACTGGTTCCTCAGTACTTTGCTAATTAGAGACCACTGGTCTAAACTATCAGTGTAGGCACAAGGAGACCCATGTTCAAATCTTCACTCAGCCATGCCACTCACTGGGTGACCTTCGGTTATATCTCTATTTTTACCCTGCCAGTCCTCCTCCAAGGAACTCAAGGTGGTGTGCATGGCTCTCCGCCTCTCCATACTATCATCATCACAACCCTGTGATGTAGTTTAGGCAGAGAGAGATTTTAAGAAGCAATTGAGTAGCTACTTACTTTGAAAGCCAGCCCTGGACATCTTTCTAAGCAACGGGCTGCCATTAAGTCTTCATTTCCAAAATATATATATAGTCAGTCTTTGAATCTACTTCAAACAAGAAAACTAGATTGTTGGCTACCATACTTCTTTCGTAATAATTATGGTGATGTAATCTTCCATGTACAGGTTACATTATGTTACATTCAATGAAATATGGGCAGTATGAACCTGTCTTCAGACTATGCAAATATCTGGAGGAAACTTTTTCCCTTCATAAATGCCCATACATGAAAGAGCTGTTACTGCACAACTGTAGCTCATATTCCCAGAGCTAGACAATCCAGCTCTGGGGAAATTATGAAGTATAGACTTTCATTAGCTATTGGTTGAAGTTATAATAGGCCCAAATCAAGAGTCCTGATAATCATGGCTCTGGTTTTTAGAACATTTGCACCATGAGTAAAGGGTGGAAGTTGGAAAGATGAAGCATGGCAGGGCTGAGGAACTGCCTGTTTGATTTCAGCTACATATCAGCCACAGCCAGCCTAGCCAATGGAGAGATTATAATAAAAGCTGTAGCCTTCTAGCTACTGTTAGAGCTGCGGTTTCCACATCCCTGCAGTCTACAGATCCTTGGTGAAAGTTCATATCTAGTGATCTGCATCTACTCCCTTAAATGTAAATAAAAGCCAAGTTCTCACATTTTTATACCCAATTTTCTACTGCGGTACCCGTAAGATGCTTTCTTCAAATGCACAAGAAAACCTGGAGGTGTGCACATGGTGTACATTAGCTGTAAAGAGAACTGTGGTGCTGCAACTCCTATCATGCCTGACTACTGGCTGTGCTTGCTGAGGCCGATGAAAATTCTTGTTTCAGAATCTGGTGAGGGGAGGGGAGGGGAAACAGGCTCCCCAAAGCTGATGTATGCCATGAGAAGGATCCCATGCATCTGAAACCACACTGGCTTCAGTACTAGGTTTTCTTGAAAAACAGTACATTCTCTCTCCCCTCCCCCCACTTTAAACAAAACAGCTTTTTTTCAGAACTAAATGCAAAGCCATTTGCGATGGTATTTCCGTTGGCTCCTTAAGGAACAAAAGCACATCTCACTGCGTTAACCAAAGTGTCTTGGAGCTTTACTGCTGTTTGGATCCAAGCACTGTTAGAAAGTCAGAGATAAAAGCTAGGTGCCAAATGGCACCTTAAACTTATTCTGTTGTGGCAACCGAAACCTGTCTATTTGCCAGGGGGTTGGACTAGATGATCCTCAGGGTCCCTTTCCAATGCTAGAATCTGAACTACATTGCTTGACTGTAATCGCTCTTACAACACACACAGGGGAAATGGAAAGAACTATGGATTAAGGCAGAGGTTTTTAAACTGTGGTTGCCAACCTGATGCCCAGAAATCCCCATGTGGTTGCAACTAGATGCACACCAGTAGTAAAATGTGCATGGCGCCTGGGAATTTTCAACCACTGGACCCAAGTCCAAAGTTTTTTGATATTTTGTAGTCAAGACAGTCCTGAAACTCATATGACAGTGAGGAATAGAGGGCAGGGCTTCATCTGATCAGGAAGCCTGTTTTTCCACAGTCCAATTGGGTGGAGTCCTGCTTATGCATGCCACAGACATGCCTTTGAACAAGCTGCTGCCCATGTGCCAACTGCTGTGCAGAGAAGAGACCCATAGTACAAAGTGGATTATGCCTAGCACCAAAAAAGCAAACGGGAACAAGTACAGCCATACTCCCCAAAAATATGCACAAGGAACTAGGGTGCCAATGGGAAATCAAGATTAGTTTATTGACCTCCGGGCGGTTTTTAAGGTGTCCTTGCATTTACACACAGAGGGTTAGTTAGGTGGAGCCAGTGTTTCAAAAGCCTGCATTTCAGACAAACCACACAAAGACACACCTCTTTACAATGATGTAGTGGAGGAAATTTTATTATCTGGAAACGTATAACTGCGAAACCCAACACTGGGTGCACAACTTTGATGCCGGAGCATACAGATTTTTTATTTTTATTTTTACTACTGGGAACACAGGAGTGTCTGACATTTTGCTGTTATTTGTATAAACACAAACAGTCTCACACTCCAATACCAGGACACGACAGCAATCTTTTGAGATTCAAATTACATCCAAGGATTTCTCTGCACTTACAATTAACCCCACAGTGTATTAATCTACCTATATATGAGATTAATATATATAAGCATGGGAAATTGAAAACTCTTGCTCCATATGTATGAACATGTCAAGTCTTATAAATAAAACATCCAGTGAAGAGAAAAAAGTTACCATTTCTAGTTCATATTTATACATAAAATACTCTAATGGCAGAATGGATGGAAAATTGCACATGAGCTTCCCCAAGCCTTGCCTAGAGGGCTTGAGGCAGCTCATTCTGTTTAATATTGAAGTACACACAAGACAGACGAGTCACTAACATACATTGCGCATTTACAAGAGATCAACTACCAAACTGATGACAACTGTACACATTGTGGAGAGACCATTTTCATTCTGGAGATTAGTTTTGTTTGTTTTTTCAACTTTTTTTTTAAACACATCATACTCTGATTTTTTAATTTTACTTTGTGGAAAGGATAAGGGCAACAATGAGGCCATAGAGACCCAAGACTTCAGCAAAGATCAAGATCAGGATCATGCCCACAAATAACCTAGGCTGTTGTGCCGTTCCCCGTACGCCTGCGTCACCCACAATGCCGATGGCGAAGCCGGCAGCCAGCCCGCTGAGGCCTACGCTCAGACCAGCGCCCAGCTGAAGGAAGCTCCTGCAGGTGAAGGACAAGGGGGACAAAAGTTTAGCAGCAAAAAACAAACAAACCTCCAATCACATTGAGACAGCTTAGTACTGTTCTTCTAGGAATGGCAAGTCAAACCCATTCAGAAATTTCCTGGAAAGCCTTTTCGGCCAAATCAGCATTCCTAGACTATGCAAGCGTTCTGCGTTAATAAGATTCTGCCCATGTTATGGCTGCTGTGCAGTGATAAGCAGTTTTTCCTCCTAAATCAGCTCAGTTAAGAGCTTTGTTAAGAAGTCAGCTAAACAGTTTCAAGTAACCATGTCTAACAGGACTGCAAAGACCACCTTCATGCTAATTATTAGTTAACTATTAAACTGTGGGGATATGAGATTTTAAATGGTTTTAAATGGCACCCTGTCCTATCAAACTAATTTCCGCTCAGAGTAAACCTAACGAAAATGGGCATGATTAAATTAGGCCCATTAATTCCACTGCAACTACTCTTGAGTCGAACTTAGCTGGACACAACCCTTTGTTTTTTAATTGCATTGTTTTGCTGCTCTGTTGTTTGTTGTCCTGGATTCCTTTGGGAGGAACGGCAGGATATAAATTTAATAAATATAAAAGGGGGATTTTGAGCCATTCACAGTTGTTGCCAAGCGGACCAATTTTAGTTGCAGGAAGTTTCGATTTCCTGCCCCTTTGAAAAGGAAAAGGACAAGGTAGCCCACAATTAGCTTATACAGTGGTACCTCGGTTTAAGAACAGTCCTGTTTACGAACGATTCGGTTTACGAACTCCACAAAACCGGAAATAGTGTCCCGGCTTGCGAACTTTACCTCGGTCTAAGAACAGAATCTGAACGGTAGAAGGGCACCGGCGGTGGGAGGCCTCATCAGGGAAAGCGCGCCTCGGTTTAAGAACGGACTTCTGGAACGAATTAAGTTCGTAAACCAAGGTACCACTGTATAGACTCTGGAGACTGCTCTGTGGCTACTTTTTCACTACTTTCAGGAGTTCCTAACAAAAGCAATCTTGTTGCCACAAGCTTTGCTTTAAAGTCTGGATCTTATGCTAGAGAAACAAGTCCCTTGGAATAGCCTGCATCTGAGTCTGCAGATCTTCAACAGTGACAGCCCAAAGACCAAGAGGGAAAACCCTGAAGGCAAAGTAAACCGCCCAAAATGGATGGCTACGGCATAAGTAACAAAATTAGTGCAAATATTTTTGTTTGTTTCATTCATACAACTCTGCTTTATTAGCAATAAAGTTCTCCATTCATAACTGTTATTGGCAAGTTATTAATAATAACTTCCTTAGGATGGATTATTAACTAGACATCCAGATAGCCATCAGCTACTACATGCAGGTTCTTACATGATCTCAACAGTTCCTATTAATCTTAGTTCTATTGTTCTAGTAATGAGCCACAGTTAAAACAAACTATAGCAGCCAATGCACTCATGGCTGATTATTTCCTTACAGGGCAGATATGCCCGGTAGGAGTCACAGGCTTGCTACAACTTCTCATGAAAGTTTAACAAAGATTGGGTTTCAGCTTATTCTAGGTACATAATGCAAGGATCCATGCCTGTTTAAGTCTAGCGTAGCAGCAAGAGATTGGTTTACAGACATGCTTCAAATTAAGCATCACTGAATAATTCAGTGCTTCACTACTGCACCACATGTCAGAGTTATTACATATTAAAGTATTTTGCCTTATCTGGTTTGAAGACTTAGCGGGGGGGGGGGGGCGGGCAAGGTCGTTAGAAAAGCCCCTCAAGCTTTCAAAGCCCACTACAGCCCAGCTGGCTCAAATGAGCAATCAGTTCTGCAGATCAAGAGAGGGGGCCTCGTACTATTGTTTCAACAATAGCCTTAACATGCTGTATGAAAAGCTAAAATTGAAACAGTTTGCAGTATTATTACACGAGGGCTTGATGTTCAGAAAAAATCCCCCCACCGCCCCAGCATGCTGGAAATAATACCTTTTATCCCAGTTATTACCAGAAGGCATTTGAGAGTTGAATCCAGCTGGCTGAACACCTTTCTATCACAATGCTAGAGCTTAAGTCTCAAAGCAGAGGGACTCTATATTAAGTAATGATAGACCATTTTAAGCCCACAAAGCCCAGTGTTTCCTTGAGCTTGCAATTTTGACTGTACTTATACAAAGTTGATCCAGACTCAGTCTGAACAAGATGGGTTGATTCTGAAGCTATGCTTCTGTGTGTTGAGTATACCCTACAACATGCATGTCCAAAGTCGTTTCGGGGGCCTAATCCGGCCCGCCGGTCGGTTTAATCCAGCCCCTGTGGCAGTTAATTTCCTGGGGTAAAATCCTAAAAAACCCTCTACAACTTTAACCCTTAAAAAACTCAACAACTTCAATCCTAAAAAAAATAACCTAGGCTGTTGTGCTGTCCCCCATTTGGACACCACTGCCCTACAAGGACATACCTGGAAATAGCTGGGGCCTTTAGCAAATGGGATCCCACAGGTTTTGAACAGCTATGAGTAGCACATATTAATGCAAGTGCTGCCAAACATTACGTGGCGACCGTTTTTGAAATGGCGCTATCATTAGCCAAGCATGATAACATAGCCAATAAGGGTTATCATTTGCATATAGAACAGTCTTGCTTTTTTGCACCTTAAAGGAACTGAGAAGAGGATTCTATTACAGATGTACTCCCACATACTACACTGCAGGGGTTGGCAACCTAAGGCTCGGGGGCCAGATATGGCCCACGGGGGTAGTTTAACCAGCCCCCGCGCTGGCCCTGAACCCTGCCGCCCACTTAGCGAGTCCCTGCGTGCTGCACTAAACCGGCACAGCGCGGCACAGGGACTCACTTCTGCGGTGCTGGCGGGGCTTCCTATCGGATGCAGGAAGCTCCTGAAATAGCATTTGCACATGTGCACGCACATGCAAACGCCTCCTCCACGCCAGATCGCACACACACGCGATCCGGCCCGCAGAGAGATCTCCAGGGGAGTGAAGCGGCCCAGGCTGCTTGAGCCTTGCCGACCCCTGTACTACAGAGCCACTGAAAAACCTGCAGCTGACATGTCAACTGGTCATTTCAGTGTTTTTTTTAAATTTCAGCACAGCTCGCAATGCAGAGGACTCAAAAGAAAACTTACTTGTACAGTGTAATTCCAACTGTGATGGAATTGGCAATAAGGACTGCCACTACCAAGCCGTAGATTGCTATAATACCCGCCATGACAACAGGAATGATTGACTTCATGATCAGCTCTGGCCGCATAACAGACATGGCTGCAATGCCTGTGCCGCTCTTTGCTGTGCCATAGGCAGCTCCCAATGCTGGAAGGAAGAAGAGAAAAACCAGAGGTGAGTCTTGCCATGCTTACTGTACCCTTTTAATACAAAAGAACGAAGGAAAATATTGGCACAGAAATCAGCACTGTGTAAAATTATCTTGGGCTTTGGTTAACATGCAAAAATATAATTTGAATAAAATACAAAATCACACTGTGGGTATGAATGTCATACAATACAATTTTAAAACTGATTTCTAATTTCAAGTAACAAAGCATACCCATGCAAGCAATACATCTAACTGTTTTACAACATGGCCTCAGCTTCCGTATCCCCCACCAACTTAGATCAATGCAGCCTGTTATTTTCAGGTGAACGTCTGAAGCTACTTGACACCCCCTTCCCCAGAAAAGACAAAGCCCCCCGCATTCAGCCCTAAGCCCGTACTATTTTAAGGTAGAAAGTTAAACAGTATCCTCCTAGATAAAAGGATGACAAGTTTCACTTGAGACACATGCTGGTGCCAATGCATAAAATGGCTTCAGGACTTTTTAGATAGATTGTCACTTTACAGTAGTGTTTTGCCCCTCTTCCTGAGCCCATGGATCCAGGATGCTGCAATTACATTAAAGGTAAAGGTAAAGGACCCCTGACAGTTAAGTCCAGTCGCAAATGGGTTGTGGCGCTCATCATGCTTTACTGGCAGAGGGAGCTGACGTTTGTCCGCAGACAGTTCATGTGGGTCATGTGGCCAGCATGACTAAGCTGCTTCTGGCGAACCAGAGCAGCGCATGGAAATGCCATTTACCTTCCCGCCGGAGCAGTACCTATTTATCTACCTGAACACTTGCACTGTGTGCTTTCGAACTGCTAGGTTGGCAGGAGCTGGGACGGAACAACGGGAACATACCCCGTCACAGGAATATGAACCGTCAACCTTCTGATCGGCAAGCCCTAGGTTGAGTGGTTTAGCCCACAGCACCACCTGCGTCCCACCTACATTACTCTGTGCCAAAATGGCTTCATCACTAGAGCTGGCTGATTTAATCCTGCATCACCAATGGAGCCTCTGAGACATGTATCACAAATGCACTAGTAAATCTATTACAACACCTTAAGCTGATCTAATGTAGCTCATCTGTGCTTTTGATGTACAGAAACTATCTACTTCAAAGAAAAATCAGAAAGGAGGAACTAAAATAAAGACAGTAACAGGTTATGACAGTTGTAGTTTTTGCACTGCCAGATTGCAGTAAGGCTATTCTTCCCAAGTCTCATCCCAGGAATGCAGAAATTTTAAAGTTCCATCTTAATTGCATTAAGTAGTTTTCACCTGCGTAAATAACCATATAATGGAGCAAAGTTCTCAAATCTGTAGTAAGGTTGCTAGGTATCAGCTTGTTTATTGGCTGTAAGTTAAGCCTTAATAAAGCCATCGGCATGTTGACATGACACTTTCCTGGGGTAGTGCAGCACTTGGCTCTTCCCTACCATAAAACTCTTCTTTGGAAAGGTGGTGTTGGCAACAGTTAAGTGTCAGCGGTGTTTGTGGCAGCCTTATGTTAGGGAAAGTCTGTTCAGACACTTTCACAAGCATAGAAAATCAGCTAGGGAATGTTTCAGTTCTCTTTTTACTCACTAAAAAAGGGCATGGTGGCACCAAGCTCGCAGAAAACTCATGCCACATGACTACATCCCTGTTCTGCTGCTTGGCACTCAGCTTTCTGAATGGCAAGGCTAGCTAGCATACCTTGCCTGCTTGTGTAGCCAAGAGAAATGGACAATCACCACTGGACAACCTCCTCCTTCTAAGTCACATTCATGAGCCAATACCACAGGCATCTATTCAAGCCTTGTCCACTGGACTTATTACAACTGGCCAGAGACAAGGCTGAGAGGTTGGCTGTTGTCTTCGCCACCACCAACCTCCCTGAGTATTATCCCATGGCAGTGTGGATAGGCTATGGCAAGGAAAAGCAGCAAGCTGGATTTTTTTTAAAAAAATGGAAGCAAATTGATTTCTTTTAAAATATAATTTAAACACCAAGTTGCAGAACCAGGTTTGTAATAGATATAAGCAAAAGCATGTTGGCCCCATAACTAAATCTCTCAAAACCTAGTCAAGTATCTACTAGATACATTTGCAATGCTATATGTAAAAAAACCAATTTGATGGTTGTTGTTGTTGTTTAGTCGTTTCCGACTCTTTGTGACCCCATGGACCAGAGCACGCCAGGCACTCCTGTCTTCCACTGCCTCCACCAGTTTGGTCAAACTCATGTTAGCTTGGAGAACACTGTCCAACCATCTCCTCTGTCGTCCCCTTCTCCTTGTGCCCTCAATCTTTCCCAACATCAGGGTCTTTTCCAGGGAGTATTCTCTTCTCATGAGGTGGCTGAAGTATTGGAGCCTCAGCTTCACGATCTGTCCTTTCAGTGAGCACTCCAGGCTGATTTCCTTCAGAATGGATGCGTTTGATCTTCTTGCAGTCCATGGGACTCTCAAGAGTCTCCTTCAGCACCATAATTTAAAAGCATCAATTCTTCAGCGATAACCCTTTTCATGGTCCAGCTCTCACTTCCATACATCACTACTGGGAAAACCATAGCTTTAACTATACAGACCTTTGTTGGCAAGGTGATGTCTCTGCTTTTTAAGATGCTGTCTAGATTTGTCATTGCTTTCCTCCCAAGAAATAGGCGTATTTTAATTTTGTTACTGCTGTCACCATCTGCAGTGATCATGGAACCCAAGAAAGTAAAATCTCTCACTGCCTCCATTTCTTCCCCTTCTATTTGCCAGGTGATGGGGCCAGTGGCCATGATCTTAGTTTTTTTGATGTTGAGCTTCAGACCATATTTTGCGCTCTCCTCTTTCACCCTCATCAAAAAGTTCTTTAATTCCTCCTCACTTTCTGCCGTCAAGGTTGTATCATCTGCATATCTGAGGTTGTTGATATTTCTTTTGGCAATCTTAATTCCGGCTTGGGATTCATCCAGTCCAGCCTTTCGCATGATGAATTCTGCATATAAGTTAAATAAGCAGGGAGACAATATACAGCCTTGCCGTACTCCTTTCCCAATTTTGAACCAATCACTTGTTCCATATCGTTCTAACTGTAGCTTCTTGTCCCACATAGAGATTTCTCAGGAGACAAATGAGGTCGATCAGGCACTCCCATTTCTTTAAGAACTTGCCATAGTTTGCTGTGGTCAACACAGTCAAATGCTTTTGTGTAGTCAATGAAGCAGAAGCAAATGTTTTTCTGAAACTCTCTAGCTTTCTCCATAATCCAGCGCATGTTTGCAATTTGGTCTCTGATTCCTCTGCCCCTTTGAAATCCAGGTTGCACTTCTGGGAGTTCTCGGTCCACATACTGCTTAAGCCTGCCTTGTAGAATTTTAAGCATAACCTTGCTAGCGTGTGAAATGAGTGCAATACTGCGGTAGTTGGAGCATTCTTTGGGACTGGGTTGTAGACTGATCTTCTCCAATCCTCTGGCTGCAGTTGAGTTTTCCAAACTTGCTGGCATATTGAGTGTAACACCTTAAGAACATCATCTTTTAAAATTTTAAATAGTTCAGCTGGAATATCATCACTTCCACTGGCCTTGTTATTAGCAGTGCTTTCTAAGGTCCATTTGACTTCACTCGCCAGGATGTCTGGCTCAAGGTCAGCAACCACACTACCTGGGGTGTACGAGTCATCCATATCTTTCTGGTATAATTCTTCTGTGTATTCTTGCCACCTCTTCTTGATGTCTTCTGCTTCCGTTAGGTCCTTACCACTTTTGTCCTTTATTATGGTAATCTTTGTACAAAATTTTCCTTTCATATCTGCAATTTTCTTGAACAGATCTCTGGTTTTTCCCATTCAATTGTTTCCCTCTAATTCTTTGCATTGCTCATTTAAGAAGGCCCTCTTGTCTCTCCTTGCTATTTTTTTTGGGGAAAAAATATTTATTCTGAAAAATACAAGGGCTATAGTTAAGTAGGAAAATTTGAAGTGCTGGGGCTCAACCTGTCAGTGTTCAGTTAGCATTTTAAACAGGAGTCTTGGCACAAACAGAAAACTTATTATCTGTCTTTTCTTGGTCTTTGATGACTAAGACCTGCAACTAAATACTCAGGTTTACAATGAATTCGAATTTTAAGAGAACATACATTAATGCAAAAATCCACATTTCCAGGTTAACTTAATGTATGCCCCTTGTACACATGACCATCTGAACACAACTGCTTTTATAGGGTTTCTCCAGGGTCCATTTTTACCACTTAATAGGTGGCCTAAATCCAAAATCATGTACTATTATGGGCTTGATACAGAAGCTTAGGAATCTACAATTTATTATTAGGATTCAGGTGGTAGCTTTGGCAGAAGTCTAAACCCACTGGATGATTTCAAATTTTATCCAAGTGTCAGCTAACCACCACCTTTGTTCACTTCTCAAATTGTGAATATTGTGACCACCTAATCACTAGGAACACTTCCCATCTCACTGGACAAACTTGTTTCTGGACATTAAATTAGAACAGCTAGTTGAAGTACCAGATGGTTGGTGGGTAAATACGTTATGTGTAATTGAGCATCAATAGAAGTGAAATGACATGAAGATCTTTACTGGTGCAATGAAGCAATTCCCCTCCCCACAACAGGTGTATTTTTGCACACATACTGCTTGAAAAAAATGCAGGTTTCCAGTTAGATAAGCAATACATCGTGCATCTTTCAAAATAGTAATATTGTTTTAAATTTTTAACAAATTTTTGCAAGGATCCAGGGGCCTACTTTAGGCACTTACGTATTGATACGAATATTGATAATATTCCCCCCACCCACCCACCCTTTGAACAGAATACTCTTTTTCCATTATCAAACTGACTTTTCAAACCTCTGTTTTACAAGCAGTTGGTACTGGAGATTGCTGCTTGGGAAATAAATCCCTTAATAGTGATAGCTATTTGCATCCTGGTATGCAAACAAACATTTAAACAGGTAGCATTAACCCTCAATACAAGGTGTTGGGGACACACAACAGGGGAGTGTTGGTTCTGTGATCTGCTTATTTCCCAGAGGTATTTGATTAGCTACTGTCAGAGAGATGCTAGGCTACACAAACCCTTGATCTGATCTAGCAGGCTCATTTGACAGGAATAAAAAAAATACTGAAACCATCCTTACCAGTGTCAGCAAGCAATCAGTGTGCATTCTTTTAATTTGAAGCTTGCTTTGAGTTGATCTACCCTATGATAATGAGCTACAGCAACAGCATGTTAGATTAGAATGACTCTCTTGCATTCATTGCTATGTAAGCATTTGACATACTTGATTTTGACTGATTTGATTAATTATATTTCTATGCCACTTTTCATTCAAATGAATTCCATGGTAGCTTGCAAATAACATGATAGAACACAAAAGAACATCAGAAATACAGCATAAATCATGTGGAATAATTAACAAATCATCAGTGAAACGACTACAAACTATAACAGTTAAAGCAACAACAAGAAAAGATTGTCACAATTAAAGCAAAGGTCCTATTCTATGATTAACAAATCAATACAGCATTTATAATCTATAAAACAATATTAACATCAACAAATAGCAGCCAAAAAATAAACTAAGCACTGCAAGGTTCACATACACACTTCCCACACCCCCATGACTCAAACTTTCACTCTATTCTGCTCATTAAAATATGTATACATATAATGCCCATGACAGCAACTCCTTTCTGAAGGTTCTTCGGGCTGGAGGTGTAGCAGCACAGGTGAACCCAACCACCCCGATGGCAAAAAGTTCCCCTCTCTCCTCCCTCTGGATACAGCTCTTATTAAGACTCTCTTAGGGCTGGAGGGTAGGGCAAAGCAGGTGGAAAAAACCATTACCTGCTGGCCAACACAGTCTCTCTCCTCTCACTGCTGACATAGTTAGGACCATACTATTACAATCACATTAGGCTACAAATAACATCAGGTTCAGAAGATATTAAAAAAATCCTATGGTGCATGTTGTTCAAAAGTTCTGCTATGGTCCTCCCTACTTCTGTTGTATGGTGGATGAAGCAAGTCAGCCTTCTTGTTTCATCTGAACACAAGCTTGTGGTTTCCCCCCTCAATTGCCCCAACCCATCATTTATTGTGATGTTAACTGGGCTACAGTGTCCCAATCAAAAGTACAGAAAGGCTGCCCACAGCATGCACCAAATTAGCCATTACTCTAATAAATCCAGATTCTGCAGCTCATGGTAGCAATGGAAGCAGTGTTTGAGGTGCTTGCAAATGGAGATATGCGCCTGGCGCCCTGCTAATTTTGAACCCTGAATGGAAGTACTTAATCCTGCATACGTCCAGGTAAATGTCAGCCAAGAGTTTTGCAAAAAATATATGACTAGTCTTATGGACTTGTTACCATCTTCTAAATCTATACTTGCTGAACAGTTGTGCTGGAGAAGGTAGAAGTCTTGATTAACAGCTCTATGGACCCAAGTTTATTAGTTTTTGATGGTGAGAAGGCGACACCATACAGACTGTTCAGCAGGCAAATACATAGTAACACAGATATGTTGTGAACTGAGGCTGCAGGTCACTGTAGGTTATAACTTGCTTGGATTAGGGATTCTTATTCAAGTTATTCTGCTAAGGTCTATGTACCTTAACAATGCTGTATTAAAAACACTGGCTTGGATATGAACCTTCCTTCTATGAATGGAATAGGGTTTATGTTCACAAAAAAGCATTTCCCTTTCCCCCTTTGCCTTTATATCACCCCAAGACTCTGCTCCCAGGGAATGGTTTGAATATTTTTGGGGGGGCCGGGGGGGCCTGCAGTTTAGGTTGGGGAAAATTGCTCCATCCCTTACACAGAGGAGCCATTTAGGATCCAAGTTAACTTGTAGAGGAAAGAAACCTTGAAAAGGGTGGCTAAGGCCAAGCAACTTCCACTTTTCAGACATCGGATAATCCTGTTGGAAGATGCACTGCTATAAAAATTGGCTGTAGAAATTTTATTACTAAGCACACAAATGATGATAGTCACAAGAGAAGTGCAACTGGCAGAATTTAGCTAGGCACAGTAACAGCTGAACAACTCTGTCCTAAATAACTCTTTGCTTATCTGAAACTGAAAAAAAATTGTGCAAGTAGACACAGTGATTTTTACACAGGTTGTAGAATCCACCTTTTCCTGTCAGAGGCTTGCATTTTAATTATACAGTGCATACCATGACCATGAGAATAGTTTTGAATGCTTGCCCAGTCTTTGCTGCACAGAGTTGCTAAAGCTTTGTTGATGAAGTATGTGAAGTTGTGGTTTTATAATGGAGGCTTCCAAACAACTGCTTAATTTAGTTATTCTAGTAGCCACCGCTCCGATAATATATTTAATGGCACATGGTGTAAAGCCATGTACAGCCTTCATGCTGGAATATTGATTCTGGTGGAATATTGCATGAATGCCAGGAAGTTTGTGATCTATAGAAGGATTAAAGAATTAAGACACAGCCTCGTTAGTCTAGTCACAAAACCAGCTGCTACTTTCAGAACCTCTAACTTGCTTGAGAAGGAAGACACTAGTTCAGTGTTTTCAGTGGCAGTCTCAAGTTAGAGGTTCTGAAAGTAGCAACTGGTTTTGTGACGTACCGTATTTTTCGCTCTGTAACACGCACCCGACCATAACACGCACATAGTTTCTAGAGGAAAACAAGAAAAAATATATTCTAAACGAAACAGTGGATGTATGATTTTTGTGGTTCATGCTGTGGCCACAGACATGTGATCTGACAGTGAGTTTGGAGTAGCCCAATGCAAAAATCCTGTGGATCCATGCTTTGTAACCACATTTTTGCACCACTGCGGCCCCAAGCAACAGTGGGTGCGTGATTTTTTTAGTGCAAGATGTAGCCATGGACATGTTATGTGATCTGATGGTGAATTTGGAGTGACCCAGTGCAGAAATCCTGAGGATCCATGTGGATCTGTGCTTTGTAACCACGTTTTAAGTGGGGAGGGAAGGAAAAGCACTCAAGGGACAAGGAGCACGCGTGGGGTGTGTGGAGAAGGATGCTGCTAATAATGCAGGAGAGGGGTTTAGGGGGAGAAAGAACACGCGTGGGGTGGGTGGAGAAGGATGCTGCTAATAATGCAGGAGAGGGGTTTAAGGGGAGAAGGAGCACGCGTGGGGTGTGTGGAGAAGGATGCTGCTAATAATGAAGAAGAGGGGTATAGGGGGAGAAGGCTCCTCTCCTCTCCCGCTTTGTTCCTTTAAAGCAAGCAGGCTCTGCTTTTCTCCCTCCTCCCCGCTCAGCGAGCTGAAAAATTTTGCTGCTATGTAGCGAGCTGAGTGGGGAGGAGAGAGGGACAGAGAGCCTGCTTGCTTTAAAGGAACCAACCGGACAGGAGCCGCTTACACTCGTGTAAGCGGCTCCTCTCCTCTCCCGCTTTGCTCCTTTAAAGAAGCAGGCTCTCTGTCCCTCTCTCCTCCCCACTCAGCGGCTCTTCTCCCGCTTTGCTGTTTCAAAGCGAGCCACGGAGGAGGGAAGGAAGGGGAACCATGGATCCTCTGCTCACGACTGCAGCAGTTCCCCCCGCCATCCGTAGGCATTCCCTCCATAACACGCACAGACATTTCCCCTTACTTTCTAGGAGGAAAAAAGTGAGTGTTATGGTGCAAAAAATACGGAAAAATACAGTAATTCTTTAAAAGTCAAAGTCCCACTGCAACAGAATCTTCATTTTAATCAAGAATTATTAGCATAATCTAGAAAGTGCTGACAAGATAAAGGCAAATGATCTAGTCACTTCATTCTCCTTGATTCGACAGTAAGCTAGCCTTTGGTCAAGAGTCCATATGACAACAGATTTAGGAGATAGTCTTCTTCATGTTCAAGCAGAGCATATCCTTGTCACAATAGTTAGGAGGACTATACTAATACAAATCTGAATGAGGGAAAACCTTCTTGCATCAAGAGTTAACAGGGAGGTCACCTTAGATTGAAAAACTGTCAGAAATCTTGCAGAGCTCTAAGATGAGGAACTGGACAGAAATGGCTTTAACTGGGACGTATGGACAAGCCATGTGAAAATATTTAAGTGGCCTGCTCAGGTCTAAGGAAGGTTGGTAGCATACAAATACAAGTCTTCCTTAATTTTTATTGGAGTACATAATCCAGTTACATTTTATCAGTTCAGCCCTAGTACGGGTTTCTAAATTAGAAGCCAAGCCTCTTGCTATTTGGAAATGGATTTACAATATAGCAGCTTTTTAGCAAACCTATTTTTTTTTCATTGCTCTAGTCTAGTTAGAAAAAAGCTTGTAATTACAGGAAGAAACCCTGCTTTCTAGCATGAATTCTACATGCTGGGAAATCCATCAAGGTAGCAAGCAAGTCTAGATTCATTTCTGCAAATTAAAGAGAACACTTCCATACAAATGAAGACATAGCAACACAAAAAGGAAGTAGGCATATCATACACTTCATAAAACATATATGCTCATCCATCAACTTAAAAGCTTCTGTTGTGGGTTTTGCAGCTGGCATTTCCTAGCATTATAAAGTTGAAGTTTTATTTGCCTGCTATGTACACTTAATTGCTGTTGGAAAAACCTGAGCAGGATTTTGTAGCATAAAGATGTGCTAACATAGCAGTCAACCTCCTTCCCCCTCCCACTTGCCCCACCATAGTCAACTGCTATTCTACCTATAGGACTGAGAACCTGTTTCTAGAGACTTGACTTAGTAAGATGTGTCCTCATGGCCACAAATTTACTTACTTACAGATTTAAGGTAATTTTTTCTTAATTCTGCCAGAATGTGGAGTACTAGCACACCATGACTTGTGCCCCACCCAACATGTAAAGCACTCTGCAACTTCCTCTTGCCATTTGAAGGAGTGCAGGATCAACTCTCCGGGGAGATCCTGAACTTTGTGAGGCATAAAGAGGTCACGCTAGGGCTCTGCGAACCTCGAAACCCGAGGAGGTAAATCCTCGGGACAGGGGGATCTGGCTGCGTTCAGGGTGACTCTCCTGTGTGTGTGCCAAACCCATTGGGGTTTGGTAAGGAGGCAGGATTGAAGACGCAAACACTAGGATGCATTGTAGACCCGCAAAGCGATGCCACGAGCTCCAAGGAGAAGTAGTAAAGCATTCCGAGAAATAAGGTTTAATTCCGGCCTTTGACTTCTCAGTGGTTACGTACAGCAACTTGCCATTCACAAACATTCAAAGAATGAGTTTGCCCATCTTGGGACTCTTCCTTTTTTCTCTCCCTGCCTCCAACCCCCAGCTGTTCATTTCTTGCACATGGGAATTCAGATAAAAGCTTTAAAAGATCTTGGCTCTATCAGTTCTTATTTAGGCAAACCTTTTATTTTACTCAAAGGTTTATTTTACTCAAACCTTCATTCAAATTGTGAGCAACAGTAAAAATTAGCCGCTTAAAGTACTGTGAATGATGGACCTATGCCTGAAATAGAGCATATGGTGTTCTTTTTGGAGAGTGGGGGAGAGGGATTCAAGAATGTGCAGTGCTTTAAAGCTAGAAGCTGAAATATCACAGGTACTTAACCGGCTGGCTTTCTGTGGTTGCAGATCTGCTGTCAACAACAGTCAATACACCTCTAGCTTCTCTTAACACTCACTTCAAGTGGTGGTAACAGACAGTTCCTTGTCTGTGGATCATGAAGATCCAAGTTAGTATTGGCAGATGTTTGCAAAGTTTGGGAGAAGAATGCACTGTGTTTCAAAAAGATTCTCCACCATCTTAACTCTGGCACAAAGACCCCCAATGGGAGGCAGGGAAGGCTATCACTTCCAAGCTTATCCAAGCTTGACGTTTAATGTCAAGATCAGAAAAGCAAATGTGTTTTGGACTGGTTCGGCACACCTTACTTGGTATTCACACCAACAAACCCTCATTGATTTTTTTAAAAATAAAACCTTATGAGTAGGCCTCTTAGTTGCACGGAAGGCTAGAGAAAGCTAAGACCAGCATTCTGTAGGGCTTCCAGAGGCCAAAGGCAGACATTCATTTGCCTTCACACCTTCCACCCATATTACAAGTTACAATCAGGATCTGCAAATATTCTACAGTTTACAGTACTTAGAATTTTGGGGATCACAAGAACACCACCTCATCATCAATAGGAACTAGCTATTATGCAACTATGTCAGCCAGGGCTGAAAACAAAGCTTTTATTCATTTCTGTGGAAAGGAGACTTGTAGACCAAATAATATTGGATGGTGGTTTAATTGAAGAACTGCAGAATGAAACACTTGACAAAGTGACAGTCACATTAGGACAATGATCACAGCAATCCATGTTCATTTGTCTGTCTCAGCTTTGGAAAAAATGCAACTACATTTTACTGACATGCTCATCTACTGCAGAACTCTAGAAGTTTCTTAAAGTGCAGCTTGACATGGCCAGATTATAACATATGGCGTTAATGGTTGCTTATATGAAGTTCCTAGCGGATCCCTCCTATGTCATCTTCAACCAGGCCTTTGGCTGCATGGTTTTTTGGGGGTGTGTGTGTTATTTTGTTGTTCGTTTTAACTATTTGTGTTTTTACCTTGTATGTTTACTCTGTGAACTGCCCTGAGATCCTGTGATGAAGGGCAGTATATAAATCTAATAAGTAATAATAAAATAATTTAGATGTGGCGTGCAATCTCATGTGTTTGTTTCTGGTGTACTAGAATACTGTATGAGATGTTAACAGTCTATGGCCAATCCGAACATCTGGCAATACCCAACTTTAGTAAGCTAGTCCATGCTAACTGTAATGCTATTTTTAAGCTTTATAACAATCCGCTTTTGGTAACAGCACTCTGTGAAGTTTAGTCAAACAATTTGTTGGTCAGGAAATTACAAGAGAAGAAGCCATTTTAACAGCTTCTGCCTCTTTAAAGCAGTCCAGAAAGCTCTTGTAATATATTAAGTTTTGCTTTCATTATCCTTCTCCACGATCCACCCAGCTAAAGAGCAATTTAGAGATATTTTTTTTAAAAAGCTGTGCAGCTAGCCATATTGGGAGCAGAAATGTGCTCCCCAGCCAGGCAATTCCAGGTTTCACCTTTCTAAAGATAGATGCACATTACAAGGAAGATTATATCAAGTAGGAAGTTAACATGGATCAGTATATAGTACTTGTAACCACTGGAAATTATTGTCACCCATTTCCTTCTGCCATAGAGTCTAACTATGTTACATGGAAATATTAGATAATCACATCACTAAGAAGCATCTGATAATCCAATGAAGCAGGCAAAACCCACAAGCCTTGTGATTAGAGATCAGTCACCAAATAAGTATCACAAAATATGGTTGTATGCTTGAAGGTCATGATGGCACTTGCAGCAGAAAGGGAGCACCATCACAAGGTTAGCCAGCAATGACCAGAATGAGTTTTATAAGCTGTTTACTATCATCAGAAATTAGTGTGTACAGGACCAAGATATGGGTGTTTATACAACATGGTTTCTGTCTCAAGCTGGCTAGCACAAAACAAGGCCTGAACTTAGTACTAGACTGGTCTTGCACAGCTCATGAGGAACTAAAACATAGTGTCTTATTTAAGGTGTGCCAGGGCAGTGTTCAATGACAAACCAACAGGTACTAAGTCATTCATCTTAAGACACTGCATAACCAAGTCTCTGGAATGGAAGCCTTTGACAAGTTAGCTTCCTGCTTCTCTGAAGATTAACATTCAGTGCCATTTGCAGTTCACTAATAGACTGCTAGTTAAGGTGTCTGGGTATTTAACAGAACATCCACCAAGAACTATGTATGGTTGTCCAACACAGTTTTAATCATGAATACCTTTCCACAAATTGATTCAATCTGCAAGTTCTATCAAACCACTTTTCAACATATGAACACACCCATCTATCTGGCAGAGGCTTTCTCAACAGTGCTTTTCACAGCAGGACAGAATCGTCCAGGTGTTTAGCTGACGACCAGATCTGATCTAGAACAAGTCTGTCAAAGCAACTGTTCACACCTTACTGCTACTTTGTTGAGAGGTCTAGTCCAATGCAGGGAACAATACTCAATAGCCAACTCAACTTGGGGTGCTACTGACAATATGAGCTTGCAATGCAAGTTTTCCATTTGCTGCTTTAAGAGACTACAGTTGGGACACTTTTTTGAAATATCACGCATTCAGACTACTAGATTAGCCATCTGCGAACCCCCTTCCCTATATAAATGCTTCTTACATTTAGTTATCAATAGGAACATCTGCAAGTCAGATGAGGAATCTACCTCAAAGGATTCTGGGGCAGCTTGGTCTGTTGGGCCCATTCGGAAGACAGCTTTATACAGGAACAGCACACTGCTGAGAGGAAAATGGTATACAAGCCATCTTCCCAAGACAACTTCGGTTGTTACTGGCCTTCTCAGAGTCACTGATCCTGGCAACACAATTTGGAAACCCCACCACAACCAGTTTCCACTGGAACAGAACCCATCCAGTTCCCCACGCTCTGCCAGAATAGATAAGAGGCAGTTGTATGTAGCTATTCTGCAGGGAAATGTTGCTTGGCTAGAATGTGTCACCGAACTGGATGTCTGGATAAATGACAGGGAGAAGCAGAGGAGCCAATTCCTAGGGGCCAAGATCCCTCACCATAAAATATTTGAGGAAGCCCCCCCCACCCCACCCCCAGTTGATGGACACTGCCACTGTGATAGATTATGCGGGGCTGGGCTTCCCTCCCCTCCCCAATATTTTATTCAAGTTGTCACCCCGGGGGGGGGGGAGTGTGTAGAAATTAACCTATTGCACAAAGTTGCTAAGGAAGCCATATTAAGTTCAGCAATCCTCGTGTACAGTGGGAATTTATTAACTGCTAAGTTTGCTTTTGCCCATATGCTAATTTCATTTGATTTCAGAAAAATAATTCCTGAAGACAATATCAGTGGCTAAACTTGGTCAGAAAGTACTGGTGTGCTAGGTAAGGCAATTGTCTTAATGAGAGCCAGAATATTGTAGTGGTTAGAATGACTAACTAGTACTGGGAAGATTCTGGTTCAAGTCTCCACTCAACCATAAAGCTTCAACCTTGGGCTAGTCACTATGTCAGTGTAAACTACTTCTCTGGGTTGTTAAAATGGGAGAGAATAAAGAACAGCCTAGAGTTCCTTTGAGGAAGAGCTATGCATTTTTATTTTTTTAAATAGTAATAATGCAGTGGGTACTTTAGAACAGGCTTCCTCAACCTCGGCCCTTCAGATGTTTTTGGCCTACAACTCCCATGATCCCTAGCTAGCAGGACCAGTGGTCAGGGATGATGGGAATTGTAGTCTCAAAACAGCTGGAGGGCAGAGTTTGAGGAAGCCTGCTCTAGAACTATTCAGGTGTGCAATAGCTCAGGGGAGCTTTATATGGAAGGAGATTCACTTATATGGATGATTATTTCCAAGTTATGCTCAACTCTAATGGAACTTACTTCCAATTGCTACAGCACAAGGAATTTTATAGTTGGCTAGTTAGAGTCATGCTGGTAGTTTGATGCAATGTGTACATGGGCGTCAAGACCCCCTCCCCATTAAGTTTAAAAGCAGCAGCAATAGTTTAGCGAGAAGCATATTTTACATGGCTACAGATAACAGCAGCAGTGCTTGCTAGATTATCCTTACACATTTAAGGAAAGCCGTAAAGTTTAGTGTGTCTGCATTTTTCAATTAGTAACAATACTTTGAAATTCCTCTTCCAAAAACATTTACATTACATTTGTAGGTGCTTTATAAAGTGGAATTAAAGGCAATCTGACATAGCTCGTTTTGTTTAGTGGTCAATCAAGCAATTAAAGACTTCTGGACAAGTGCTATGGACAAGTTTTGAGAGAAAGAAGTGAAAGGGAAGGAGCTGCAACTGAGAGACTAGAACAGTTTTGTCGTCACAGCTGGCTAGCACTCTTATTCATCAAGAGCTATTTATTAAGGACTCTGATTATTTAACCACCACTTCCCATCCCATACAGAATCTTTCAGTATGACCATGCTCAAAATTTAGGTAGCCCTTGCAGAGTGTTATTTGCATTTCACAAGTCCTCTCCGCTTAAACAGAATGGTGTGTCAGTTTAATATGCTGGCATTCAGTTGATAAGCCAACATACAGATTCAAAAATGACACCTCCAGGAAAGTCTTGTGTAGAGATAGCTTCACCCAGGTCTTTTTCTAACACAACAATTCAGTTCCAGAGCAACCCCAATAGGACTTTGGAGGGCAAGCTGCATACTACATCTCAGCAAGGATAAGCCAGATTTTGCAACCGGCAGACAGCAAGTTAATCCAAGCGCTGCACATCCATCTGACTGCCTTGTGGGAGTGCTTGCTTTGCTTGGTACAAGATGGAAGATGTTCCAGCCTCACTGGCCTGGATGAACTGACCGCATGGAATCACCTAAGTTTAGGTTAATTTAGCACTCCGGATGGCATGTAGTGAAGAAGCAGAGGCTGCAACCCCCTCCCTCCCTGCAGTCACATGGCCAGCCAGGGGCTCCTCTAGCAGCTGACACTCTTCCCCTATGACGTCACCCTCATTGCCCCTTTGCATCTCTGCTTTCCGAAACAGCAGTAGTCTCCTTTTTCTCTTTCTCTTTGCCTCTGCTCCCCCCTCCTGCAAATACCCCGGATGAGCCAGCTGGTAGGAGTAGGGCGACAGAAGGCAGAACTGAAAACCTTCAAAAAGGGAGAGAATTAAGAAGAAAAAGGTAGACACTGAAGCAACGGAAGTGACAGGCAGAGCACGTCCAGCTGGGCTGGGATTTCGCCCCCGCATTGCCCTCTCTCCCCTATCACTTGGGCAGGGACATTCCTGCGGCCACAGAATGGCAAGACAAGGAGAGGCAGGCCGCTTAAGCCAAGCCCTGGAACTGGGGCAGGCTGGAGCAAGGAAGGACACCTGCCGTCTCTTGCATTGAAGACCAGGATACAATATAGAGCTGGCAGATTAAATATCTAAACTAAATACATGTTGCCCCTCCCAGGTTGTAAGCAAAGGGAAGCCCAGTTAATTTTAAACGAAAGCTTTTTAAAAAAGAAAGAAAAATCCAATAATCAGCAGCATGCCTGCAGGCACTCTCCATACCCAAGCAGAGAAAGGAGTCAAGGAACCACATCCCTCATTGCCCCCTCCCAAGAATTCCTTCCTTTCCCCAACCACCCCACAAGCTTTCTGCAGGGGGGGTGCCAACCTTGGAAAGCAGGGGGAGGGGAGACGCTAGATCATTCCCTCTCCAAGTAGGGCAGGGAAGAGGGGAAACACCTTGGCAGAAGGAAAGAGGTAACGCCAGACTTGCCGCCTCCCCGTGCCCACGCCTTTCTTGCCTCTCCCAAGTCCAAAGGCAGGACAAGGAAGACGGTTTCGTGGAGAATTGCACAAGAGGAGCAGGAAGGTGCTGGGAGAAATGGGATGGAAGCCCCCATTCCCCCTAAGGCATAGGAGGGGGATGGGGAAGAAATGAGACACACACACACACACATATAAAACAGGCAGCCAGGAGATGTCCTCATGGAGACACGAAAAAGCCTCAGGGTTTGGCCAAGGCAAAGCTAACCCCCCCCCCCCAATACTGTATAACGATCCCACTTGTCCCCCTCCCCGCTTGCGGCAGGATCTCCTCCCAGGATGTGCAAAAGAGGCGAGTGGGTGGGTTGGAACCAAGTCACCCAACTGCTGCAGAGCCACCCTGGCTGAGCCGAGCGCCTTCCCCCCCGCCGCGATCAGGATGACACCCAGCCCAGTTACGCAAGGCCATACAACAGCAGCAGCAGCCTCCTCACATGACGTCCTTCCTCAACCAAACCCCCACCGCCAAGCCCCACCCGTGTGTCCTCGTCGGAAATACCCCACAGCCTCACCGCTGAAGATCATGGCAGCCGAGGCACCCATGACGGCGAAGAAGCAGGAATATTCGGGAGGAGCGGTGGTGGCTGCGGACGACATGGCTGCTGAGATGCACCGAGCCGGCGGGGGGAGGGAGAGTTTTAAAAAATAAGAATAAGCAGCGAAAGGGGGGTGGAGGAGGACGGCTACGTCGGCGCCAAGCTGAGCCGGGCGAAGGGCTGGCGGCTGTGAGCTGCAAGAGGCGGCGGCGGCGGGTGACGGGGCTCCTTAAGTCCTCTAGCGCCGCTGCTTAGTCCTCTACCGCCAAGCGGTATTCAAACGTCCTGACAGGCGGCGGAGGCTGCTGCAAAGACGGCGGGCCTCGTTGGTTAGCGTTGGCAGCGGCGCTCTCCGGCTCCGTCGCTCCTCCTCGTCCTGCAGCTGCTGCTCCGCCACTGCGCTCGCGGTTCGCTCTAAATACCCAGCCACCGCAGGACAAAATGGCGGCTGCCCGGGGGTCACGTGGGCCCGAGACGGGCACCTCCTCCTCCTCCCTTCTCTTGGAATGTGCCAAGGGAGAGAGGGAGGGGGAAAAAGGGAGGGCTCTTAATAGGGAACCACCTCCTGCTCCTCCTCCGCGGTCATTTCGCTGATCTGTGATCATGAGGACGGTTTTCATTTTGCTTTTTAGGGTTCGTGAAAGAGGAATGTCAGACAGGGTCTTGGGGTGTCTCTTTCCGCCGACCCCCCCCCCGTCGAAGCAAATGGCTCGGGTGGTTCAGCCCCCTCAGGATTTCTCGGCTCTCTCTGTCCGTGGAGGGGCGGGGTTTATTTGTTTCCCCTCCCGTCAGGTGAGCGTGATTCAGCGCTGATTAACATAAAGGGCGGGGGCAGCGTGACAAGCCCAGCCCCCTTTTCTCGCCAGGCTGTTGATGGGCCTACCTGCCTGATAGAGGTAGCGTCCTCGATCCTCAAATAATAATAACCTGGTTGTGGGTTTTCCTCACCAGAAATGAAACCACCGTCTTACAATGGGTGCAAATTTTGCCTTTTTACAGAACTTTCTGCACCTCTCTGTCCTCGGGATGCATAAGAATTCAAGGACTCATTCCAGCCAGGCAAAACCCATTCAATGTATAAATCAAGGCTGGTGAGGGGGGTGGCCTGGGGAGAGTTCAGGGGGCCAGAGAGGGAAGACTTAAGGGCCACATTTGGCCCCTGGGCCTGAGATGATAGGGCCTTAGCTGCCTTGTTCCAATCAGGCTATTGGTCCATGTATCTCAGTATTCACTGCCAACAGCTCTCCAGGGTTTCAGACAGAGCAGAGGGGTTTGCCCATTTTATATGGAATATTCTGGTTTTTAACGTGGGATCTTCTGCAGGCAAAGCAAATGCTGTACCACTAAGCTACAGCCTTTCCATCTGCTTCATCAGATACATAAAATGAACAGAGAAGCTCTTCAAAATAAGCAATAATTTCAAATAAAATATTGTGGTATAATACACCGCAAACATTTTCCCCCCCCCATCCTCCACTCTTCCAATACTCTGCAAGTATTACTCTGTAAAGAATATGTTCTGTAATGCTGCAATTCTTTATGGAGGAGAAAGTCCTCATAAAATCAGTGGGACTTACCTTTGAATAGACATGCATTGGATTGCACTTAAGGTATCTGTGTCTTGCTTTACAGAGGACAATCCTCTATTTAGAGGGCTGTCCGGTCCATGTCTGGTATAAAGATAAAATGGCCATAGGAAGGGATAGAGGGAGCCTTAAAGTTGTCCTTCAGCTGTGAGCATCTGGGTGGGTGGCAGACACTGCGGGCACACAGATCACTTAGTCACTGTCTTCTTCAGAATGGTTAGTGAGAAGTATACCTATTTAAGTTTCAGTGATTTCAAAATCTGCTTCTGTACATATAAATTATAATATGCAAATATTAAGTAAATGTGCCCCTTTTTTTGGTGCTGCATTGTCTTTTTTGGTGATGAGTTGGAAACCCTAATGGACCACTTTACGCTGCAGTCGTAAACATGCTTACTAGGGAACTGGATTCATCAAACTTAGTGACACTGGAAAAGGTGGTGGCATCTCAACTCCAGATAGTCATGGATGATACTTCTTTACTTGGTTCCATTTCTGTCCAGTTTCTGACCTGGTTATGAGGCTGAAACTGCCTTGGTCACCCTGCGAATGACCTGTGCAGAGACAGAGCCTTTTCAGTGGTGGCTCTTCCAGGGCTTTTTTTCAGCTGGAACTCAGTGGAACTGAGTTCCAGCACCTCTTTGTAGCATAACAGCAGCTCAACAACTTAGGGGTGTCTGTAAAAAAAGGGGGGGAGTTCCTGCACCTCTTTTTCTAGAAAAAAAGCACTGGATTCTTCACCTATGATCATCCTCACTGGAGATATTTGTCAAGTTCCATCTGTGGATGCTTTTTGACATGATCTAAGGTTCTGCCTCTTCTGCTTAGCCTTTCTTGGTGGTGGTTATTGTTGTTGTTGTTGTTGTTGTTATTAAAGTTTTGGCCTCTCTAGATTTTTAAAAAAATATTTAAGCCTCCCTGGTTTGATCTCTCATGCTGTTCTGGTGTTAAGTTTTAATTTGTATATTCTGTTTTGATAGTCTTTTTTTCTGTTGCCGGAATCCATTTTCTGAGGACGTGGTTCTGAAAGGTGGAAAATAAATGTTTAATATAAATAATAACACTGAGCGAAACTCAGGAATGATTTACAAAGGGTTTGCGTGTTAAGTTCTTGTGACGTGCTTGACTTCTGTGTAGGACACCTTATAATGTGTGAAGTCCATAATGCACAGCCGTGTCCGCATAACCTCTAACAGTACTTATTTATATGTGCGTTCTAGTTTCACCTTGTTGATATCTGCAGCAGGTGAGCCTCTTTCGTGTCCCAGCTGTACCTGGTTAAATAGTGCTGCACCTTTCCCCTTACAATGTGTACCTGTTGCTAGTGTAGACTGAAGTACCTCATATGCTTTATGTACTGTTTTTCTAGGGAGCTGCAGGATGTCATTATTCTGAAAGTGCACGCTAAATTACTCCTTCAAGTATGAGTCCCATATAGATTGCAATAGTTATTGACAATGTTATATTATCTAAAAACTTGCTCTAAGCCCACAGGATGAAGGGTGTGTTTTTTTTAATTCAATCAGTACAAAAGCATCCATATTTTCAGAGCTGAGATTAATGAATCAGTCTGTCTGCATCAAGGGTGGAGATTTTGTGGCCCTCCAGATCTTGCTGGACTACAACTCCCAACATCCCTGACTATTGGCCATTTTTCTCAGCGGCTGATGGGACCTGGAATTCAACAGCATCTGGATGGTCACAGGTTCCTCATCCCTGTTCTAGATACATCAGTCACTCTAGGAACTGAAAACAGGTTTTTGGAGTGAATGTTGTGTGACAAGAAAACACACACATGTATTTGTGTGTGTGTAGTTGTATTTCCTATATATTAATAGCAAACTTCTAGCAGAAGCCCCACTACACTGGCAGAGGGTCAGTTATGCTCCCTCCTTGGCAAGATACAAGCAGGCAGAGAGCACAATAACCCTAAACAAGATTCTAGTTCTCACTAAGGTGCTAAACCTGTGGCTGGGCTGTACCGCTTCATATTGCTTAGGCACTTCAATGTATTTATAAACAGGGTTTTGCTTTTTAAAGCAAAAAGCCCAACATCCCTCCTCTGCAGTGTTCTTTCCTTACAAGGAAAGCCCCTCCTGGCACTTTCTATCAGTTGCAGAAGTGGGGAGTGCAAAAACAGCATGGTTGCAAAGTGAATGCTAATGGACATTGTTGCTAAATATCTTTCGCAATGACCCCCAGTTCATGCTGCGACTTCTGTTTGCTCACATGGGGAGGCCTTGTACCCTGGTGCACAGAGTCCTTCTGGCTGCAAGATGGAAGCAGCCTGCAAACTGGGGGCTGTGGTACTTTATTATTATCGTATTGCTTGATCGTATGCTGGCATTGAGCCATTTTGCAGAGGCAGGACAATCCTGCCAATAGAGCCAGGGATCGTCCTTTGCACTGGAGCAGAATATTTCAGTCCACAGCTGGCACTGGAGGCCAGCCTCCTCGGACAGCTGCTGAAGTTCCAGCATTCCAGGCTAGCCTCCTCTGCTATGATACTCCTTCCCTCAAAGAATTCTAGGAGCTGCATTTTATTAAGGGCGCTGAGAGTTATTAGGAGACCCCTGTTACTCTCACAGAACCACAAATTTCAGAGTTCTCTTTGAAGAAGGATTGGTTGTTAAAAGACACTGAGGATTATAGCTTTGTGAGGGGAGTAGGAATCGCCTAACAATTCTCAGCACTCTTAACAAACTATGGTTCCCAAGATTCTTTGCAGGAAACCATGACTTTTAAAGCAGTATCAATGTTTCTTAAATGCACAGTATAGATGTGGCCTTAGCTGGCCAGTTCCAGTGGGAACTAGCCACTGTTGGGGGTCAGGCACTGAAAAATAGAGCTCTTTGTGGCCTGCTCCGTGTCCCCTCAGCAAGCTTCCTGTCCCTTTGCCAGTGCTCAAATAAGTTTCAACTGCCAATCCCAATGGCTTCTATATGTGGCGTGGAGAGGTGGACACCATCTTGGCTTTTTGCCTCAGGCAGCAAAATATCTTGATCTGGCTCTTAAGGGGGTCATGTGAGATGTAACTATAATTTAGTTAAGAATTTTTGCATACTGCCCTTCTTTAAATCTTGAGGAACACTTAACATTACAATTTAAAACCAAAATATAACAATATACTGTAAAACTCAAAGTCAATAAAACAGTCGAGCAAAGTGGAAATTCCTCCCAACAAATAGTTTTATTAAGTTTCCATTTACATTTGTTCAACTGTTCACTCTTTATGCGATCCAAGTACTTAAAATACTTCTACACAAAAGTGGAAAAATTCTATCAATACAAATTGTTCTAAAATAGGAAACCATTCCCAGGTGATCATTCTGAAAAAAGCTAGACATTAGTTCACTATAAGAACTTCGTTTAGCTGCTGTTCTTCCAGACCAGTCCTAGCTGCAAGAGCAGACTTTGGTCTTTCAGTTTTCAGTAGCTCCCTGCGCGAGGCCAAAATGCAATGCCTCCCCCCCGCCTCTTGCCTTTGGTTCTGCTCAATTTACTATGTCATAGTTACAACGTCCTGCAGAACCCCCTAAGCTCAGCGCCCAGTGCGGTGGAAATGGTAGCACTACCCTAAATGCCTTTGCTAGCTGTGCTTCACCTCTCACAGAACAACAATTCCCACCACCCTCAATAAGCTACAGTTCCTAGGATTCTTGGCAGGGAAGGAGTGTGGTATGGTTTATTTATATACTGCTTTTTAGCTTAAGGCTCCCAAAGCTGTGAACAACAATATATATTAATGCAAATAAAATATATAATACAATATATCAGTAAATCAAAACAAAATAAAATAGCATCAGAACTCAGCCACAACTACAGCTCCTGTAAATAGGATTTGAGTATCACCAGGCTCAGTGCACTGGAGATGGCAGAATTCTTCCGTTCTACTTTGGTTCTTTGTGGGAGTGAAGAAGTAATCAGAACCAGCATGTTGGAGTTTATTCTTACACACTGTGTTAGTCAAAACAGCACATTCCTAGGCATGTTTACTCCAGAGTATCACACTGTATTGCACAGGGTTCACTCCCAATAAGAGCACATTGCACTGTAATCCTAATGTTGCAGCTTTACATGCATTTACCTGGGAATAAATCCCATTGAATTCAACTGGATTTCCTTCTGAGTAGACATGCTAATCCTTTATATATACCCCCAACCCTTTGATGTATTTATGTATTAGGGAAAGCTGGTTGATCCAGCATAGTATTGTCTACGTTGATTGGCAGTGGCTCTCCAGAATTTCAGACGAGAGTCTCCCCCACCCCATTCTGGATATGCCAGGGATTTTCTGTATGCAAAACTATAGCCCTTCCTCCCCCACATGCATTATAGTTTGCATGTTGTTTAACAGTGCCTTGCTTTGGATTTATAATCTTACACTGTAAATTATTTTTTTTAACCTGACACCCCCACCATTGTGCATCTCTCAAGCGCCCATCTGAATGATCCTCAGCTTACAGTATCTTAATAGCTCTCAATAAATGTTGAAAGCTGTCTGCTGCTCGTGGTGGTGAAGGATTAATAGCGGTTTGAATCTACGTAGCTGCAGCTCAGGCCAGCGAGTGGATATCTGTGTCCTCTGCCAGGTGCAAAACAGGAAGGAAATGGCAATGAGCAGGGATGGGGACATGAAGGCAGAGGGAGCTACTTGCAGTTCTGGATTTTGTGAACTGTGAGGTCAGTCCGCAGAACTTGCCCCCATTTAGGGATTGGTTGCCAAGAGCACCATTAGAAAAGCAGCTGGACTGTGTAGTGCAGATTATTGCATTGGTTCCGAGTTAAATGACAGCTGCTGACACAGGCCTGTAATACAAAAAAAGAAAAGAAAGAAAAATCTTAACATCCCTCTTACAGCCCAGTTGACTACAGCTTGCGGATTTATGGAGGAGAAACCAGCATTCTGCCTGCGCGAAGATCTTGAGAGCGTTTGTATGTGATTTCTGCCTCTAGCCGGGCTGCTTTTGTAGCAGAAAGCGATCAGAGGGCATTTAAAGGTTATCAATTGCTATCCGACAGCAGGAGACGCAAGCAGTTCGGCAGAAAGAGAGGATTTACTGCAAACACATGAGATTTCAGAACACCCCCTGCTACTTTTCAGCAGGGATGTTGATTTTTTTTTTTTTTTAATCGCAATCCAGGCCTGTAGGTACCAATGAAATTGACACAGTCCTCTTAATGAAGAGGAGGTAAGCCCTGTTTTTGGGAGTACAGGATAAATTTGATTCTGGACAACATTCTGAGCAAAAGTGGATCGAGCAATGAATGCAAAATTTAACTTTGTATACGAGACTAGTTTCTACTATGCGCAGCCACATACAGTGGTACCTCGGGTTAAGAACTTAATTCGTTCCGGAGGTCCGTTGTTAACCTGAAACTGTTCTTAACCTGAAGCACCACTTTAGCTAAAAGGGCTTCCTCCTGCTGCTGCGCCGTCGCTGCACGATTTCTGTTCTCATCCTGAAGCAAAGTTCTTAACCCGAGGTACAATTCTGGGTTAGCAGAGTCTGTAACCTGAAGCATATGTAACCCAAGGTACCACCGTACACCCCTCTATCCTTCATCCAGACAAGCAAGAGACATTAGCAGAGTTCAATGGCATATTTTAGCTAGGCAAAAGCATGGGGTGTGTAGTAGGACCAATGAGGGGGAGTGAGTTTGAGGGCTGCAAGAGAGGGCCGCATTTTGGGCCCAAGCCTGAGGTCCTCCACCTCTGATGTAGGGTTTGGAATCAGATATATTAAGCAAAAAAGTGACAAAGCCAGTCCAGAATTCAGAGGAAGTGGGTTGTTGTGGACAGCTGCCAGTCTGGCTCAGCTCTAGCATAACATGGTATTCTTCCTGCAGGTTCCCTTTGATGTACTTTCCCCCCCCAGTTTGAAATCACAGCCATAATGAACCTTGCCAACAGGAATCATAATGACATTTCCTTGGAATTCTTTCCTGTGTGGAATTTGCGTAATGAATTTCAGTGCCAGAATATGACTTTAAGAAATGAAGTCAGTCCTCCAAGCAACTGAGGTTGGGTTTACAGAGTGGCTTTAAGGAACTCCTGTACTCTTGATATGGAGACACCTCTCTGCTCCACATTCCTCAAAATGCCCAAGTGGTGTATATCCTACTAGTTAGTATATAAAAATGCGTAGGCCTCATTTACTCACTCCCTGATGTGGTTATCAAAATGGTTAAGACTGTGACTGCACACTTTAGTGAGTTAGTTGTGGGGAACCTTTGGCCCTCCAGATGTAGGTGAACTACAACTCCCATAATCCCTGGCCATGCTTGCTGGGGCTGATGGGAGTTGGAGTTCAGCAACATCTGGAGGGGCAAAGGTTCCCCACACATGTGGTAGTTAATGACCTTGAACAGGAGTCGCAAATGGTTTTCAGCCCAAGGACCATGTAGACCCATGGCCAAAGTGAGTGCGGGGGGACTTTAAAACTGGTCGTGACCTCATTGTGGCATGGCTCAGTGGTATAGCATGAGCCTTGCATGCAGATGGTCCCAGGTTCAGTTCTCAGCATCCCCAGGTATGAGCTCTGGGGAGCCTCTGCCAGTCAGTGTAGACAATACTGAGCTTGATAAACCAATGGTCTGACTCAAAATAAGACAGGCTCCTTTTCCTAATTGCAAGCTCCTAATACTGTCTTTCCACTTTTCTACAGTGTTTTTATGCTGCCTTTTTATTTTTTATCCATTTTTATTTTTAAATTAAGCAGTTATGCTTAGAAAGTTGAAGTAATTTTAATCTGCTTTAGTATTTTAACTTTTGTATGTTATAAAGTAGAGTTGCAGTTCCCCCCCTTGATTTTACTGTTTTGCCTTTTGTAAACTATCACGGTCCCCATCAGCAAGCATAGAAGGTAAGTTTAGAGTTGGGGAGTCTAAAAAGTTTGAAAAACACTAAAGAGATTCCTCCCCCCCCCCTTTCAGCTTTAAGACACAGGTTTCTTGTTAATCAAAACTTGGAGACATCAGAAAAGAATGACAAGCTTGTCTCTATAGGCACTCAAGAGAAGATGGGGGGGAGGTGTGGAAACTTCCCAGCCTATCTGCAGCTTGTGAGGCTGTATCATATGATTCAAGAAAGACCAGATCCTTGCAGCCAAGAATGAGGAAGTAGCTGAGCAGATAAACTCTCTTCCTTTTTTCCCTTTTGCCTTGAGGGTTGGGAAATCAGAAGTCACAGGCAGTGACTTCAAGAATGGATTACTGCAAAGCACTGTATCTGGAGCTTCCCTTGGGCCTGACCTGAAAAACAAAACAAAACGGTAGCTCAGGGGTCGACAAACTAAGAGCTGCGGGCTGGATCAGGCCCAATTGCCTTCAGGATCCGGCCCACGGACTGTCTGTGGATCAGCATGGGGATTCTTCTAGTTTGGGCTGCACCATTTTTTTTCTTCCTGCGCCATTCCATTCCCCCCCCCTCCACACACCACCGTGGCGGTGCCTCCTCCCTCCTTCCTCCTGGCTTCTTCCCACCCTGCCTAGAGGAGGAAGGGAGCTGGCTGAGCGCCATTTTAAGCAGCCCCTCTCCGGAGCCAGCCCTTTTGCTCTGCTCATCTTCCCTCCGCCATCACCACTGCTCCCCTGGTGCTCCTGTGGGCCGAGCTCGCTCTGCCTACCCACAAGAAGCGGCGGGGGCGGCAGCCCCAGGGAGGGTAAACGCAGGGGTTGGGGCTGGATCTGGGGGGTGGGGAGGAGGACTACTTGCCCCTCTCGCCTTTTCTTCCAGCTCCCCGCCCCCCGGTGCCACTTCTCCAGCCTGCCACAAGGTCTGAGGGACAGTGGGCCGGCCTGCGACTAAAATTTTTTGCCAAGCCCTGCGGTAGCTAGTGCAGAATACCGCAGCACAGTTGCTGACAGCAGTGATGACACCTCTGTTCAGAGACCTGCAGTGCTTGCAATTTGGTTACCTAGCCAAGTGCAAAGTGTTACTATTAGTATATCAAGCCCTTAACGGATTGGGATCAGTTTACTTGTGGGATTTCCCTGTATGTACCCACTTGACTGCTTCAGTCTGCAGAGCCGGTGCTGTTAACAGGTGTCACACATTATTCATTCCACACTTGACAGATATTCTTTTTGTGTGTCAGCACCTACACTTTGGAACTCCCTGTCTATTGATGTCACAAAGTCACCTTCACTCTATTATTTTCAGCATCTGCTTAAAACATTTTTGTATACGCAAGGCTATCCAAATAGGTAGAAGTTACATGTGAGTTATATGTCACTTTTTATTAGCTACTGTTAATTTTAAGCAGCCTTTGAATGCTTTTAAATACCCATTTTAAACTTTTTTATTGATTATTTTAGTATTTTGTGAACACTGCTTAAAGGTTTTGTGACAATCAAGCTGTATATTACTTTTGTTAATTAATTAATGAACATTAGGGCCCTCAAATACAACTGCCTTAACAGTTTCTGAAGTAAGTGAAATAATACCCACGACTATTGCAAGTGGTTAATTATAAGTCACTTTGCTAGCAAGCACAGATTATAAAGAAAATAAGTACACCATAGATAGATAGATAGATAGATAGCAACTGGGTTTCTAAGATGCATATTTGAGTGAGACCCAGAGGCTACTCCTTTGACCTGGCTTGAGCTGCTGTTTGCTTTCTTTTCAAGAACCGTTTTAACATTAGCTTCTTCAGAGGGAGAAAATAGAGAGCAACACCCAATTGATTTGGCCAGCTGGGTCAAATTTCGGTTCCTCCTCTCCCAGAACTGCCTGCTCATTCATCACTGCTCTCATTATAGGAACAATGATATAACTTTAAGAATTGGTAGCTAAATGTGCTTGCTTTCCTCCTCCCTCCTTATTCTCTTTTCCTTTTGTGTCATGTCGACCTTTGGGCAGGGATTGTCCTGTTCTGCTTTTATTGGTTTAGTTAAAGTTAGAGGGAGTCAACCATTGCAGGTCAAGAACTACTAGCGTTCCACCCAAACAATTTGCGGTATATACAGCAGTTACTAGCCACCAACCATCAAAAGCCACTGAGGCTCATTTAAACAACCATCTTACTAGAAGGACCATAGCTCAGTGGCAGAGTATCTGCTTGTATGCAGAAGGTCCCAGGTTCAATTTGTGGCATCTCCAGGTATAGCTGGGATAAAATCCTGTCTGAAACCCTGGAGAGCTGCTGCCAGTCAGTGTAGACAGTACAGTGGTACCTTGGGTTAAGTACTTACCGTATTTTTTGCTCTATATGACTCACTTTTTCCCTCCTAAAAAGTAAGGGGGAATGTGTGTGAGTCCTATGGAGCGAATGCAGGCTGCGCAGCTATTCCAGAAGCCAGAACAGCAAGAGGGATTGCTGCTTTCACTGTGCAGCGATCCCTCCTTGCTGTTCTGGCTTCTGAGATTCAGAATATTTTTTTTCTTGTTTTCCTCCTCCAAAAACTAGGTGCGTCTTGTGGTCTGGTGCGTCTTATAGAGTGAAAAATATGGTAATTCGTTCTGGAGGTCCGTACTTAACCTTAAACTGTTCTTAACCTGAAGCACCACTTTAGCTAATGGGGCCTCCTGCTGCTGCCTCGCTGCCAGAGCACGATTTCTGTTCTCATCCTGAAGCAAAGTTCTTAATCTGAAGCACTATTTCTGGGTTAGCGGAGTCTGTAACCTGAAGCGTATGTAACCTGAGGTGCCACTGTACTGACCTTGATAGACCAATGGTTTGCCTTGGTATAAGGCAGTTTCCTATGTTTTCCCATCTTACTGCCATCAGCTCCGAATGAGGTTAATAGCAAAGCAAACATATAGAGAAAAGTTGGCCTTGATTGCCTTAACAAGATTAATGGTGTTTGTAGTTTTGTGGGGTCAGCTGAGCTACTTGCCTTTCCAAATAAGTCACCGGTGACTTTCTTGGTTAGCCTCTATATAATCAGGACATTCTGTGTGTTTTATTTTATTTTTTAAATGTTCCCTTTGTTCCCTTCGGAACTCATCAAACAGGAAGAACATTTTCATATCTTTCTTTCCTCTCTCGCCTCCTTTTCAACCATTGTTTACGTTTCTTTTGTTGCTGGTCAAGATCTGTTTTCTGCTGGGAAAACACCAAGCCTTGGTCTGGGTGTTTGTGGAAGCTTTTTTGTGGGTGAGCCAGCGTGACACCGAAAGCATGGAGGTTTGCAGTAGAAACACAGGCCGGCACATTCCATTAGAAGGGATCTGGGTGGGACCAAAGCATTCTGCAATTGCTGGTAAGGTCACCAGTGTAAGGCACTGATTATAGCAAATCCTTTCTAAGGAATGAAGGAAAGTTGACAGGATAAATACCGGCTGTGCCCACTCATTAAAGCAAATGGTTAGAAGCAGCAGCAACCCCTGCCTCGGTCACATCCAGCCTGGACTGCTGTAATATGCTGTATGTGGGGCTGCCTTTGAAGAGGGTTCTGAAGCCACAATCTGGTGCAGAAATGGTTGGGGGTTTTGTTATTTCTGTAAAATCTCATTCATGCTTACATACATAAAACCCAGCAATTAATAAAACATTTTCTGTATTAGAACAATACAAAACCACAATATAGACCGTTAAATGGCAGTATTGAAACAAGGCAGGCCTTGAAGCAGAAGGTAGTTTATAAGCTTCAAAAGCCATCTTTGAGGAAAGAAACTTATTAAAATGGGAATAGACCAGTTTAGCCCAGGTAATTTCTGCAGGGAGGATATTATACAGTATCGGTGCCCCCACCAGAAAGGCCTTGTCTCTTGCACCTGCCCATCTTGTATTGCATGAAGACACAGTAAAAAGCAGATGCTTAGAAAATGATATTAAAGCTTGGGCAGGGTCATATAGGAGTTGGTGGTTCTTGAGTTATTCTGGTCTTAGGCTGGGATAGAAATTAGATGTGGGCACAGAGAATGGTATCAGGCATTGCTTTTTTATTATTTGCTTCAGCAATGCTTTAGCTACTCAGAACATATAACATGGATTAAATTGCCACTTTAAAATAATGCACAACAATCTGATCAGGTGTTAAGACTCCCAATGGAAGCCTGGCTGAATATCCAGATCTTTAACTGAGCTATGGCCTTCCATGATTTCTGTCAATCAAAGAGGCACAAGAGCAGGCCATGTCATTACTACCCACCCCCTTAAAATCCTTCATGGGACTGGAGGGGAGCCAGACCCTTAGTCCTATTAAGGACCTTCTTCCCCAGTGGCTCTCTCTCGCCTGTGTTGCAGATTAGGAAATGGAGCTCAGTCATCAGCCGAGCATCATGAAATGACCTTTGCAGTAAGCATGGAAAGATCTGGCTGGAATGGGTTTTGCGAATGTTTTACAGGGATTCTCTGCAGATGGCTTCAGAATGGCACCCTGTTCCACAAGCTGTCCTTTGTTGCCATGGTTACTTGCTAAGATAAGTCTGGCGGGGCCCTGTTTCAGATTCAGTTCACCCAGAATAACACCTGTTGACAAACCAAACAGCTAGAAAGGTACGACACTGAATGGAACTGTTGATTTCTGGGGTTTTATGCATGGTCTCGGCTGATCTTATTAGAGCTGCAGAAAGAACATAGAGGGTAGGACTGCAAGCTAGTCGGCTGGTGGCTGCATCACCAACAAAGTTTCACAGAGGGAAAGTCCTTACATGGGTGGTCTTTCGGGGGGCATGACAGTGGCAGAGTAGCAAGTGGCAAGTGCTTATATATACAACAAGGGCAACAAATTCAGTAGCCTCCAGTTATTTCAGGACTCCCACTCCCATCAGCCCCAGCCAGCATAGCCAACGGGCAGGGATGATGGGACTTGTAGTCCAATAACCTTTGGAAGGTACCACATTGGTTACCCAGGATGATGATGGAGGGTGATCTTCACTCAAAGGTTCCAGGGTAGGCTATGGCAGTTAAACAAAATATTCAAAGCTGTTTAAAATAAATCACAACCATAGAAAGCGAGTCTTAAAAATGTAAATTTCAGATGTCAACAATAAGCAAGCAGGATTGGGGTGGATACGGAAATCTGGCCTACAAACCCAAGAAGTTTCATTCTTGCAACAGACCTCCTCTGCACGTTTACCATGCAAGTCTGGAAAAGGAACCGTCAACGAGAAGTTCAGTGCAGATTCATGCAAAAAACAGAAATGTGGAAAATGATGGTTCACGCAACCTTCATGGGTACAGCCCCTGGTCTAAAGGAAGCAAACTGAGCTCCAGGCCTGATACAGCTTCAGCCAAATCCTTGTCTGTTAAACACAGAGGATGTGCAAAGCTTGCTGCCAGCTCTTCTGCTGCTAGTCACATTCTTTGACCTCGCTTGCCCTTCCTCATTTCAGAGGACGTGATCTCAATTAAGGTTCTCTGGTATGCATATTCAAATCACAGAAACCACATTTCAGGGCAATGTCTTGGTGAGGAGGCTCAGGATTTTAGATCCAGAATTTAAATGCATGTTTTATCCCTACCCACCCACTCAACATTCCTGCTTAGCACTCAGAGTGGGCCAGTCTAGACTGGGAGCCATGTGCTCAGATGTGGCAAGCTGCACAGTTAAAGAGGGCTGAAGATTCCCTTACTTGACTTTGTCCTTAGGGCTTTGAAAATGCTATGATAACCCTTTCTCATAGATTATTGTAATGCACTCTTATGTGGGGCTGCCCTTGAAGATGGTTTGGAAACTGCAACTGGTACAGAAGGCTGCAGGTAGATCACATCACATGTATTCTTTGCCAGTTACATCATCTGCCTACTTGTTTCTGGGCTCAATTCTAAGGTTTTGGGTCTGGCCTTTAAAGTTGTAAATCAGGGACAGATGGATGCCCTGATTTGTTTGTGGATTACTACTCATGGTTTGTGAGATACAAACCATGAGTGCTGGTTGGCACATCATGCTCAACCAAGTCTTGGGATTTCAGTCTCCTGGCTCAACCACATTCACAGTAAACCATGGTTTATTGGCATCACTAGCTGTGATTTACTATGTGATGTGTGAACAAGCCCATAGTCGGGGGGTAACCATACATCTTCCATAAAGGGTACATCCACATTGGAGCCCTTGAATGAAGCACAACTTTCCAGAAATAGGGCTGCTTCAGGCATCCTTTTTATTGCGCATTCATGATTATTCATACTTGTGACGCTACCATATCAGTCGTACTTAAACCTGTTTTCAATACTATTTGCCCATGCAAAAGTTTTGGGGCAGACACACCACATCATATCCAATCAGTGCATATCCTGTAACTTCCTTCTGAAATCCCGTAACTTTTTATAGCTTTTTTTCTGGGGGGACGCAGGGGTACACATACCCCTGAACATTTTGTCAATCTAAATTTGGCCTCATTGAGGGGCAGCATTTTAATATGAGTATGAAAATGAGAGTACCCCTAAACATTTTTAAAGAAAAAAACACACTGGCTTTTTATAACACAGACATTCCAGTTGTCTCCTCACAAGTAAGTTCCATTCAGCAGAGATCCTTTTTTAATGCTAACTGAAATTCCTGTTCAAAGTTTTAGTGGATTTTATTTCTTCCTGTTGACCCTAGTGGGGCAATTAGTAATGAATATGAATAGCCGCTCTAAAATTACCCCAATGCCAGTTTTCTTTGTATTGGGAGGCAGCTTTAACTGCAGATTTCCTCTTATTTATTTCCCCCCCTTTTTCCCCCTTTTAATGATACAACAGCTCTGATGACTAACTTTTGCAAGATTGTATCCTAATTTGCTGCTCCGTTCAGTTCTGGGGAACTGAACCTAGAAGATGGGGCTATATAAGAGGACTGTGATGAGGGCAGACAGATTCACACTTCTTCCATCCTCCTTCCCCTGACTAAGTCAGTATCACATGGAGAGACCCAGAGCAGCAGGAAATGGCTCATCTTCAGTTAACAGTAACTCAAGAGGGATTTGGAAGGTAATGATTCCTCTGCTCCATACTAGTAGCCTAGTGGCGAATTCTGAAGTGCAAGGTCCCTTCGTGATAGCTACAGCCATGCTGCTTATCCTTTTAGATTTGTCAGTGCCTTTGACATGGTCGATCATGATCTTCTGGACCACCGCCTCACAGACGTGGGGATACAGGGCATAGCCCGTAACTGGCTGTGCTCTTTTATCTCTGGTCGGGGACAGAGGGTGGCACTAGGGAGGGAAATGTCGTCGCGCCATTCCTTGGTGTGTGGAGTGCCGCAGGGAGCAATTCTCTCCCCGATGCTTTTTAACATCTTTATGCGCCCCTTTGCCCAGATTATCCGGAGCTTTGGGCTGGGCTGTCACCAATATGCTGATGACACTCAGCTCTATCTGCTGATGGATGGCCACACCGACTCGGCCCCGAACACACTGACCAGATGCTTGGAAGCTGTGGCTAGATGGTTTCGTGGGAGCCGATTGAAACTAAATCCTTCAAAGACAGAGGTCCTATGGCTGGGTCGGGATGGCATGGGGATGAGGGACCAACTCCCTTCTCTTGCGGGGCCCAATTAGTGCCATTGCCTTCCGTTAAGAGTTTGGGTGTAATCCTTGACGCCTCCCTTTCCATGGAGGCGCAAGTTACAGCAACAGCCAAGGCGACATTTTTCCACCTTCGCCGCATCAAGCAGTTGGTCCCTTACCTTTCCCGCCCCGACCTGGCCACAGTGATCCATGCGGTGGTCATCTCCAGGCTTGACTACTGTAATTCGCTCTACGTGTGGCTGCCCTTGAAGCTGTCCCAGAAACTCCAGCGGGTGCAGAATGCTGCAGCGAGGCTCCTCACGGGGTCTCTGCCATGGGAGCATATTCACCCAGTGCTTTTCAAACTGCACTGGCTCCCGGTAGAGTACAGGGTCAGATTTAAGGTGCTGCTTTTGACCTTTAAAGCCCTTCACTGCCTTGGACCCTTGGACCTACGAGACCGCCTCTCCCGGTATGCCCCACGGAGAGCCTCAAGGTCCATAAATAGCAACACCCTAGTGGTCCCGGGCCCTAAGGAAGTTAGATTGGCTTCAACCAGACCAGGGCCTTTTCAACTCTGGCTCCGGCCTGGTGGAACGCTCTGCCTCATGAGACCAGGGCCCTGCAGGATCCGATTTCTTTCCGCAGGGCCTGTAAGACAGAGTTGTTCCGCCTGGCCTTTGGCTTGGAGCCAATTTGATTCCCTCCCTCTCTTTCTTTCTTTCCTTCTCCTCCTGCATTGAGGCTACATTTTATTTTAATGTTGTAATATTTTAATGTTGTATTTTAATTTTGTTTTTAAGTTGTAATCATTCAGCTTGCTTTTATTATTGCTTGTAAGCCGCTCTGAGCCCGGCCTTGGCTGGGGAGGGTGGGGTATAAATAAATTATTATTATTATTATTATTATTATTATTATTATTATTATTATTGGATTGTACAACAGCCAACAATTGTGCAATATTATTATAATTTTACAATAATAATAATAATTAGGGATGCACTTCAACGATTGATGCAGATCTCCATGTGTTGTCTTTCAGCTAGGTGTACTATTTTCTGTGCACGATACATGGGGAAATGAATTGGAGTGCTCAGGTGTCCTCTTTTGAAGTGACTGAAGTTATGTTTTCCACGAAGTTCCATTACACATAACAGAACTTGCACACCATTCCCCTGAAAACTGAAGCACCTCGTGCGCCTAAATACTTAGCTTTGGAGCATACGCTGCCTAAAACACTCTCCTTTTATCCTAATTGCGAGGCTCTAGGGTGCTGGGAGACAGTGCCTCTGCAGGGACCTTGCTGCAGAAACAGTAATGGAACTCCAGACCACAACACCACTTGTTCCAGGCTCTCTGCCACTTAGCTTTCGCTACACAAGAGCAGTGGCTCAGGAGTAGAACATCTGCTTTGCATGCAGACGGTCCCAGGTTCAATCCTTGAGTAGGGCTGGGAGAAACTCCTGTCCGAAACCCTGGAGAGTTCTGCCAGTCACCATAGACAATACTGAGCTGGACTGGCCAATGCTATGATTCTGTATAAGGCAACTTCCTGCGTTCCTATGCTGCCAGGATACAAAGGACAAGGCAGTGCCTTCCCTTCCATTCAAAACAGGGCTGGGCAGTAGCTGCTGCCACTTAGTGTCTACAGTACTGGGCTAGGTGTGCCACTGGCTTGATTTGGTATAAGGCAGCCTCCTAGATTCCTTCTCAGAAGCACAGAACATCCATAGGGCCAGCCAAGACATTATTGGGTATAGAGCAGAATTCTGAATTTCCCCCCTTTTGCACTAATGAATATGAGGGGCAATCTACCTGGAAGTTCTCATGCAGCTCCTTTGGCATAGGGCTGGAACTGAGCAAGAGCCTAGCATGAGACACCAACCAGCTTAAGGTTCTCTTGCACAACCATTATTGAAATGAACAAGGTGATTCTAAAGCAGTCCTGGTGAGCATGCTCCTGAGTAGCCCTCTTTATGGGTTTGCTGGAAGCATGGGCGTGGCAGGGGGGCAGCTGCCCCCCCATTAAGTATTGTGATAGGAATTTTATGGTCTTAGATATATGGTAATGTTCATAAGTGTACGAACCAAGCACGTACACAGATCAGCACAGGAAGACCAACCTGGAACCATTTTGATTCCTAAACTGAGCCAATGTTTTCTCTGCAAGGTCAAAGTGGGAAACCTCCCATTGTATCTTTCCTCACAAATCCTGTCTTAAGGGCACATTTAAGATATGAATAGGGTGTGAGCCTGTGACATGGCCCAGGAACTAAGTATTTATCACTACAAAAGAATGGCCAGGCTCCCCAGGCAATCCAATCAAGTAACCTGCCAGACAGGAGATAAACAACGACAGAAGAAAAACAACATTCAAATTTCTGTTTAGACCGCCTTTTCTGTGATGTATGTATGATGTTTCTGGGGGTGGTCTTGATCTACAGGGTGGCAATTTCAAAAGTATTTATAATTCCTTGCACGCCATTTTTCTGGGTTCCTCCTCCTCTCCTGCGGGTGAGGGGAGCACCCTGTTGCAACAGATCAATAAAGATCAAGCTTCCTAGCTGCTTTGCTTCTCAATATTCTCTGGTTGGCCTCTGTTATTCTCTCCTACCAATAGGGAACCTATGTAAGGACTCTATATGGGCTCTTGGATACCCCATAAGGGAAAAAGGCAATTATTGTTTACAACAGTAAAACAGTAGGAATATGTAACTAACTGACCAATCACATCAGTTCTGCCCCCCCCCCAATCCTGGCTACACCCATGGCTGGAGGGCATCTGATTTGCCACTATGGGAAACAGGAGTAGTTGAGAGGCCCTGTTTCAGCAAGGCTCTTATATTACCACCTCAAAATCTCCTATGCCTCCCTTGGCCCTTTTAGGTCAGAGAAACACACAAGCTTGTTTATGGTGCCTCTGTAAAGCCAGCCTCCTCTGGTGGTGTACTTGGAGGCAATTTAATGTTTCATTGATTTCCTTTCATAAGCAGCTCGTATTCTTCTGGGGGCAGGGACAGCAATGAAACCTAGAGTCTTTAAGTTCCTGACCGGTTGCCCAATGACAGAGTAACATGTCAGAATGGGAGCTGGTTGTTTTTGGTTCGTCTTGCTTTGTGGACATAGAAAGCACAGGCCCGGTTGTTACAGGCTAGTCCTGGTTACTGTGTGGGGCTTTCAGATCAGAGCTGGCACATCACCTACCCCCCTTTCCCACCACTCGCTCTGAGTATTCAGACTATTCTGCTGGTATTAATTTGGCTTTAACCCTGGGCTCCCGCAGCCACAAGAGAGGCTAAAAAGGAAGCTACTGCAAAGAACTGGGCATGTCAATCTAGATGGAGGAGTGGAAATTGTGTGGAGAGAGTATGGAAAATGGCCAACTATAGATTAGCAGGATTGCTCCTCTGTGGCATTGCATTTGGGTTTGTCTCTTGTCCTCTTCTGCGTTTTTCTGCAATTCTCGCCCACTCCCTGAACTGGTGCATATCTGCACTTCTTCCTCTTGGGACTGCAAGCCCACACATTAATTTCCCTAAAACAACACAGATTTTGTGCCATTGCAGCGAGACATAATATTGCTGTGGGTATGCCAACAAAGGGGGCACATTCCAACCAAAGCTAAGCCCTTGAAAGGGAGAAAGTTAAGCATGTGCTTGTTATCTATTCAGTTTTAGTATTCATTTTCCCAACTCTGCAATTTTAAAGGCATGGCTCCTCCTGAAGCCACCAGGACCTAAAGCTCACCTAATCCATGTTTACATTTAAGTCAATCCCATTGTATTCAAGGTCTTACTCTAAGGAAAAGGAGTTTGTACACGATTGCAGCCTCAAAACCGATTAACTACAGATCTTCCAAGACTGGAGTTTTTACGCAGGTGTAACTCTGCAACATGCCATTGTTATAATAGCACATTAAGTGGTGGGTTTATACTGGACAATCCACACACCATTCTGCTTGATTAGCTGTTCTGCAATGCTTACTCAGAGCTACTGCATTATTACTGTACTATATACTATAGTACTCTTGTACTATAGCACAACGGAAGAGGGCAAAAGTCACCGCATTTGCTAAATTGTACAGTGGTACCTCGGGTTAAGTACTTAATTTGTTCTGAAGGTCCGTTCTTAATCTGAAACTGTTCTTAACCTGAAGCACCACTTTAGCTAATGGGGCCTCCTGCTGCCACCGCGCCGCCAGAGCCCGATTTCTGTTCTTATCCTGAAGCAAAGTTCTTAACCTGAAGCACTATTTCTGGCTTAGTGGAGTGTGTAACCTGAAGCGTATGTAACCTGAAGCGTATGTAACCCGAGGTACCACTGTAATGCTTAATGGCTAAAACAATATATATTTATAAATCAACTGGATTAGGATAAAAGAATCAACTGAAGTAGGTCCAGACCTTAAAAGATTGCTTCTCTCATTTGGTAGCATCCCTTTCACATGTGTCAGAGGACAAGGCTAGTCACTCTTGAGTCCTCCCTTAAAAAGCAGCTAGCACCATCCCATTTCCATGACTCACAGCATGCATTCACTATTTCCCCAATGAATCTTTCCTCTTGTGGGTTTCACTTCTGCATTTTATTTTTTGTCTTCAGAATTTGTACATGTCAAGATATTTTCCAAGAAGGGGCTGTTGCAGCAACTGGAGTGTAAGCGTAGGAGTAAAGCACACTAAGGAGGAAAACACTTCTGATTGTTGGAAGTGCAGCAGCAGAGATTGTTCAGTTTGTAACTTAAGGGTTAGTTCTGTTAGTGTTAAAGTCAACTAGCCAAGGTGAAGGTGTTGCTTAGCAACTAGGCAGAGTGGCATGATCTTCACTGAGGTAGTATGTATTCTGATTGGCCATGTAGTTCTAAGGGCATTTTCCTCTGTACGTCTCCTGCTATGTACAAGGCCTAAACTAAGCAAGACAAAGTACAGTCATACCTTGGGTTACAGATGCTTCAGGTTGCGCACCGCGCTGAACCTGGAAGTACCAGAACGGGTTACTTCCGGGTTTCGGCGCATGCGCAGAAACGCCAAATTGTGACCCGCGCGTGCGCCGATGTGGCACTGCGGGTTGCGATCGTGCCTCCTGCATGGATCATGTTTGCAACCCGAGCGTCGCTGTATCTCTCTTCCTTTCTCCTCAAATTATACACTAGTTTTGTCCAGTTTGCCCTGCAAAGTGTTATCAGGACTTTTATCACCAGACTCCATTTTTGTTATTTAAATGGCTTTGCTAACACTGGTGACTCAAGCAGTGTTCCAGGACCCTGTCATAAAACCATAGGAGAGAGGCTTTGTCAAGCCCTAAACCGGGTGAGTGGGAGATTGCCAGCTCTTGATGGGGTTACACTCCCTCTGAAGGAGCAGGTTTGTAGCTTGGCGGTACTCCTGGATCCTTTGCTGTTGCTCGAGACTCAGGTGGCCTCAGTGGCCCCAGAGTGCCTTCCATCAGCTTCGGCTGGTGGCCCAGCTATGCCCCTATCTGGACAGGGATAGCTTAACTACTGTTGCCAATGCTGTGGTAACCTCAGGGTTAGATTACTGCAATGTTTTATGTGTAGGGCTGCCTCTGAGGATGGTTCGGAAACTTCAGCTGGTGCAGAATTCAGCAGCCAGGTTGCTCAGTGGAGCAAAACGGTTTGAGCATATTATACCGATTCTGGTCCGACTGCACTGGCTACCAATTCGTTTCTGGGCCCAATTCAGAGTGCTGGTTTTGACCTATAAAGCCTTAAATGGCTCAGGACCTCAAGAACTGCCTCTTTCCATATGAACCTACCCAGAGCCTGAGATCATCTTCTGAGGCCCTCCTTCATGTGCCTCCTCCTCGAGAGGCAACAGGAGAAGGGCTTTCTCTGCAATGACTCCCTGTCTGTGGTATGCTCTCCCCAGGGAAGTTCACCTGGTGCCTTCATTATACACCTTTAGGTGCCAGGCAAAAATATTCCTTTTAAACTAGGCCTTTGGTTGATTTGATTGACATCCTATGCCCTTTTAAAATGTGGGGTTTTTTTGGGGGGGGGTTATTGGGCTGTTTTTATTCTGATTATGTATTTTGTGGTTTTATATTTTGATTTTATTTTGTGAACCACCCTGAGACCTCTGGGTATAGGATGGTATATAAATTGAATAATAAATAAATCTGTCAACCTACAGACTGGATGTGGCTGCCAGATTTCATCTAGTCCATGAGGGCCCCTCTTGACCATCAGCTGAGAGGAGCTAGGGCTTCAGTGTTGTGCAAAGTGCTTAATTGCACCTCCTTTCTCTGCAAGAAGGTCTGCTACAAGAACACGGGAAAATGTCTCAGCAGTCATGTTCCTTGCAAATATGCAGTAAGTGTCTCACACATTTTGCAACTGCATAATGCAATTTTCTGAATGTACCGTATTTTTCGCTCTATAAAACGCACCAGACCATAAGACGCACCTAGTTTTCGGAGGAGGAAAACAAGAAAAAAAATATTCTGAATCTCAGAAGCCAGAACAGCAAGAGGGATCGCTGCGCAGTGAAAGCAGCAATCCCTCTTGCTGTTCTGGCTTCTGGGATAGCTGCGCAGCCTGCATTCGCTCCATAAGACGCACACACATTTCCCCTTACTTTTTAGGAGGGAAAAGGTGAGTCTTATAGAGCAAAAAATACGGTAATTGCATTTTGAAATTGAGGCTTCAAATAGCTGTAAGTCAAGGTTTGCAGTTCAGCTGGGTATATCTAGACAACCAAAGGCTACTGGCGAGTTTCATTTCATTTCATTTTTATTAACCATGGGGGTGGGAAAGTTTATGGAGAAAATGGAAGTTGAAACTGGAGTGGATCACTAAGAATTACATACATGCCCTGGTAGCTTTCTGTGTGTCTGGCCTGACACCCTAGTGTAGTGGTGGGGCACCTCCAGCCTGTGTGCCTAACCTTCCCCATTGGCCCTTGAGACCATTCTGGCCAAGCCACACACCCTTTAGATCATGTATGACATCAGATGTAATGACCTGGGTCATCTGAAAGGGCACCTGCAAAGCCCTCTGCTGCACTCCACCCTGGGCTGTCAGAGTCAGGCTTTAGATACTTCCAATGATCATTGGACCCTGCGGAGCACCATACCTAGCACTTCACAAGAGCCTAGGATCAGCTGATAGTTGGCACAGTATGCCTTTGCCCACAAAGCTTAATTTGGAAAATGGGTCACCTGATGCCACTGCAATGTCAGATGAATTGACAGGTGGGCATCCTGCATGGGTTGGGACTGGGAACTGGATCTGGCCTGCAGGCCAGGTCATCTACTTGAACGTGAACTTAAGAGCAGCCCTGCTGGATCAGCCAATAGAAGTTCTAGTGAAGCATCCTGTTCTCACAGTGGCCAACCAGATGAATGTGGGAAACCTGAACACAACAGCATTTCCCCCTCCTTTCGTTTCCAGCAACTGACATCCAGAGCCATGCTGCGTCCAACCAAGGAGGCAAAGCAGAGTAATCATATTACAGGCTGGACATAGCTGGAGAGGAGCTCACTCAACCTTTTTGGGCCCTTTATCAACAGCTCAGTAGAGAAGTGGCTGTGGTTGCAAGAGAGCTCCCTCTTATGCTTGCTTGCTGCATTACTGATCAAATACTTACCAGTGGGAAAGAGGAAGAATTTCCTGTCGCAATATCTCCAAATGGCTTGTCTTGTTTTGTTCAACTGGGGTTGGAGGGAGAGAGGTGTTCCTTAAAGGAGAGCTGGAAATTAAGCTCATATAATAAGGGTGGAGAAACCATAGGTCAGATCAAGCCCTGGAAACCTTTTGAAAAGGCCAGTCCCAGTCTTCTCCTTTTCAGTACTGGGCTGGGATAAGAGATTCCTCTGCTCCAGCAAGGCTTCTTGCTCTTGTATCTTGCTGGGTAATTCTGTCTTTAATAATACTTTACACCAGTTTCCCTGGGAAAGGCATTAAGTTAACTTGTAACTTCTAGGATCCAACCTGGTCCTAGAAGTTACAAATTCCAGTGTGCAGGCATGGAAACTTATCTGAAGGAGAAGCTACATATTTTGATTACATGATCAGCAATTTCATATTTCCGTGAAATAGGAAAGTTTAGTCAAGAGTCTTTGGTTAGGTGCTTTTTCAAATAGTGATTGTCTCTTCCACTGCAGCGCTGGACTGAGAAGAGAGGCTTCCTCTTAAGCCCAGTGCTGTGTTAGAAATGAGTGTGATGTGGCGTGTGTGTGTGTGTGTGTGTGTGTGTGAGAGAGAGAGAGAGAGAGAGAGAGAGCAAGAGCAAGAAAGAAAGAAAGGAAGGAAGGAAGGAAGGAAGGAGACTTTGTGTGCCATACCAGCATGTATGGTGTGTATATGTGGGCCTGAAAATGTGAGCGAAGGACCCAGTCTAGGCCTTCAACCTTGGCCACCACAGATGATGTTGGGACTACAACTCCCATCATCCCTGAGCAACAGCAAGATAGAAGTAGGCTGCTTTAGATAGAAGTAGGCTGCTTTAGGCTTTTTGCCTCCAGCCAGAGGAATAAGGGCTGCTTTTGCTTTTTAAAAAACATAATTTGTCTCTGTTCGAAGCATTTGATTAAAAGGCAGAGTAGAAATTATCAAAAGGAAGATGTAAAATGTATTATGTGTGTCATATGCACGGTCCAGGCTGCCACGCCACACCTGGGAGCTGGGCAGGATCAATCCCCCTTTTGTCTCGGCTTTGAGCACCTACCTCCCCTAAAGGCAGTATGCAAATGCATTCAATGAGTGGAAAGGGATCCTTGAATATCTTGTTGAATGGGCAGCTCCCTGCTTAGAAGACTCAACAGCGCCTGATGCATCCTTGCAGGCTGCGGCACACATGGGGTTAACAGGTAAGGAGACCAAAATAGCTCTTTTGCCAGCAAGGGCATTAAGAGAGGGGAGGCTGCTGACGCAGGCAAGTATCACACCGTACCATGACTGCGGGAAGCAGGGATGCGCTGCCTCCAGCCAGCTCCTGCTGCTACGCCAAACAAAACACCGCCAGCACGAGCCAGCCTGGAGGAGCATGGATGCTGCTGGGCTCAGGTTTGGCTTTGTTTACAGTGCACACAGTCCTGGAGCACCTGCGATGGAAGAATGGGAAATGAAAGAATGGAGTCAGCTCTTTCTCTCTCCCCTCCTCCTGCATGCCAAAGAGCCGACATGAACTGAGTCAGTGGCTCAGCTCTTCCTGGGAAGGGAAGCCAGAATTGGGGGGTTCAACCCTCCAGCTGCAGCAATGGAGGATTTATTTATGGAGGAATATAATAAGGATCTCCGTTATGGCAGCACAGCCAAAGGTCAGGGAGGATGGAAGTTGTAGTCTAACATCTGGAGGGCACCACATTGGTTACTCCTTATGTAGACAGAACTGAGCTACATGGACAAATGCTCTAACTCAGGAGAAGGCAGCTTCCTATGACGCTCCAACTGTCACATAGGGATCACCTCCAACACCAGCCTGTTGATTACACTGTTGCTGAAATTAGCTGAAACCAGGGGTTAGGGAGACCTGAAACCCTCAGCCTAATTTGATGGCGGTGGGGAACCCAGTCGGAGATGGGCGAAGTAGGAGGGAAGAACGTCCTCTATAAGCAATCAGTTCAGCTGTCTGGCAAAAAAGGGATCTCCCTCCCTGGGCAGTGAGAAAGAGGGGGACAGAAAAGGCCCTTTCCACACAGAAGGACTCAGGATTTAATCTCCAGCATCCCCAATGAGGTTTGGGAAGATGGGGAATAAATTTGATTAGCATTTAAAGGCAAACCTACCTGATTTACACTTTCCAACCCAATGCATAAAACACAGCCATCTTTCGAAATTCACACCTCTCCAAATTTTGTAGTGCAGTTCTCCATAATGCATGCAATTTTTATTTATTAATTTATTAAATTTGTCTATTGCCCCAAATGCATGCATTACTGAAAATAAACACACACTGATGCATGATAGTACTCAAAATTGCATTCAAGAATGTATATCGGGAGAAACTTGCAGTAAAATGATGAATTTTCACAAAGACTTTTTTTTAAAAAAATTGCAAACTCATTGGGAAATGTGGAGAACTGAAATTTAAGACTGGAGAAATGAGAAACCGAGCAAAACCTAAATCAACAGATTTGCCCACTTCCCTAGGTGGGAGAGACCCCCGTCTGAAACCTCAGAGAGCACTGCCAGTCAGTGTAGACAACACTGAGCAAAATGGGTGCTCTACCCTTTAGCTATGGCCCTTCTCCCAATCTTTTGTAAGCCACCTTGGAGATGGATTTTTTTTCCCCAAAGGGGTATTTAAATTGCTCAAATAAATAAATAACTAAGCAAATGATAAGTATAGTATTGTTCCTCCGCCTGGCTCTCAGGTATGTGAAGATAAAAAGGGGATAATGGCACCTGCATCTTGCCTGGAGCTCCTTGGATGAAACACACACACACACAAATCAGTGAAAACAAAATGTGTAATATCACTCATCTGTCAGAGGGCTCATTTTCCTCTCCTTCAACTCTAGTTTTTCAGGCCATGATGCCCTCCTATTCAGTTTGCTTTTGTATACAAACAAACAGTCTTTTGCAAAATCTGGAAAGAAACTGAAAAGCAAATGTTATTTGTTCTCAATATGCTTAACAAAAGGATTTGTTATCACTGACAACAGGTGTCGTAGCCTGGCTTACCCCCCTAGAAGCAGCAAGAAATAGAAGCTGTTACATTTCTCATGGGTTTCATGGGCTGGCTGCCAGACATACAGAGAGAGAGGGAGGGAGGTTGGGAAATTTAAGAGAAGTGTAGTTTTTAAATAGGGAGAGGGAGGAGGGGTGGAACAGGAAGCAGCCAGTCAGTTAATACAGTGGTACCTCGGGTTGCAAACACCTCGGGTTACAGACACTTCGGGTTACAGACTCCGCTAACCTGGAAGTAGTATCTTGGGTTAAGATCTTTACCTCAGGATGAGAACAGAAATCACGTGCTGGTGGCACGGCAGCAGTGGGAGGCCCCATTAACTAAAGTAGTACCTCAGGTTAAGAAGAGTTTCAGGTTAAGAACGGACCTCCGGAACGAATTAAGTTCGTAACCAGAGGTACCACTGTATACAGGGAAGTCTGTTTCGTAAGAAATGAAAAGATGTCAGCTTCAGCATTTACAGAAAATGGAACTTGAAAGTGAAAGGCCTGACTTGGCTGTTGGAAGTTTTCTTCATTCTTCAGCTGCTGTTAGGAATACAAGAACATAACAGGGGCCTGTTGGATTAGCCCCGTGGGCCCAGCTAGTCCAGCATCCTGTTCTCACAGTGGTCAACCAGTTAGCTAAGGGAAGTCCACAAGCGGAACCTGAACACAACAGCACTATCCCCGCCTGTGGTTTCCAGCAACTGGTTTTCAGCATTGCTGCCTCCAACTATGGAGGCACAGCATAGCCCTCATGGCTAGAAGCCAAAGATAGCCTTACTCTTCATGAATCTTGTTATTCATTCAGCCCTTATTGGCATAATTGGACAACAGAACGTATAAAAGCCATCCGTAAAATATTGCTAATCCCTACATATTAAAACACAAAACATAAAAAAGACTCAATAGCCACCATTAAGTAAAATTAGTAATTTTAAAGTTGACTTTAAAAATCTCGGCTAAATATCCTGAAACAATCTCAGTAGTTTCAGGAACATCATTCCTCAACAGATACTGGATTCCACTCTGCCTTCTGCCTCTGTCCTACATCGGAGGACATTAGACAATCTAAGATGACTTTTTGAATCCCCCTTCCCGCCTTTTAACAATCTTATGCATTTTATATTCTGTAACTTCATTTTATTTGAAGTTGGTGGAGCATAAATAGATTATACTTGGTTTGTTTTGTGGTTATCACAGGTTGTGGTTTATTTAGAAATGAAGACAAATACAGTATTGGCCTGAACCTTTTAAATAATTATTTACAACTTTTTAAAAATATGTGGAAACCCATCTCAACCTCCTGATGTCTCTAGAATAGAATTATTACTTGTTTAGTGTTTGAAACTGATGGAAGGAAGGAGCTGCAGACAGATGAATGACATCACCAGCAAAGGATAACTGGGAAGAACTCATGGGAAAGTATTACCCTTTAAAAAAAAATCATTTAACCACCTTGCACTTTCTTCCAAAATCAGGATATAAATACAAAAATTTGTGTTCCACTCCAAAAGGCAAGCATTTTGCAGCTCTAGCGATGCAATCAGTTAGTGCACAGCACTTAGGATGCAGTGTTTGGTGGCACAGCAGTACTGAGTTTATGAGTTCAAGCTTACCTGAAGCAAGTGATGGGGAAGTGCTGTCACTCAGTAGTAGAGCATCTGCGTTGTATGCTAAAGGTCCCGGGTTCAATCTCTGCCATTTTCAGGCAGGGCTGGCGAAGGATCCATGTCTGAAACCTCAAAGACCTGCTGCTGGTCAGTGTAGACAATACTCAGATAAGTACCGTATTTTTTGCATCATAACACTCACTTTTTTCCTCCTAGAAAGTAAGGGGAAATGTCTGTGCGTGTTATGGAGCGAATGCCTGCGGGTGGCGGGGGGGATCTGCTGCAGTCATGAGCAGAGGATCCATGGTTCCCCTTCCTTCCCTCCTCCGTGGTTACAAAGCATGGATCCACATGGATCCTCAGGATTTTGTATTGGGCTACTCCAAACTCACTGTCAGATCACATGTCTGTGGCCACAGCATGAACCACAAAAATCATATATCCACTATTTCATTTAGAATATTTTTTTTCTTGTTTTCCTCCTCTAAAAACTACGTGCGTGTTATGGTCTGGTGCGTGTTATAGAGCGAAAAATACGGTAGATCAATGGTCTGACTCTGACTCTCTCTCTCTCTCTCTCTCTCTGTGTGTGTGTGTGTGTGTGTAAGACTGCTTTCTATTTTGCATGGCTGAATACTCTTCTGTAACAATCCAAGTCCCTCCAAATACAGTGGTACATCAGGTTACAGACGCTTCAGGTTACAGACTCCGCTAACCCAGAAATAGTACCTCGGGTTAAGAACTTTGCTTCAGGATGAGAACCGAAATTGCGTGGCAGCAGTGGGAGGTCCCATTAGCTAAAGTGGTACCTCAGGTTAAGAACAGTTTCAGGTTAAGAACGGACCTCCAGAACGAATTAAATTCTTAACCCGAGGTACCACTGTAGATCTGTTTTTGGAAGATGTCATGGCCTTTGGCTAGTGCAGTAAAAGTTTATGATGATGACTAGATCATGAGGACTAAAAATTTAATTCATTTTTTTAAGGGCAAGAGTCACAGTGCAGTGGAAGAACCCTTGTTCAGTTCAAGGTACCGCTGTGTAAGACTGGGAGTGTCTCCTCTCTGAAACTCTGGAGAGTCGCTTGTCAGTCAGCACAGACAATACTGAACTAAATGGACCAATGGGTCTGACTCAATATAAGGCTTCCTGTGTTCCTATATTACTAAAGCACCATAAGGCTGAAGATGAAAAATCATCATGTGCAGGCAAAGCTACACTTGCCTTGCTGCACACCCTGCAGTTGTTTTCCCATCAGCCACAGCATTTCTTCTGTGATCCTGGCCCAAGGGGGCTCAGAGATGTGGAAAGCCAGCGTGAGATGGCTCCATTTTACTGACAATTTGTAACCAGACATACACTCTCCTTTGGATGGAAATAGCAGCATAGCACTTGCTGCAAGGATAATCTACAGGCTTCTTCAAGCTGCTGGTCAGGAAAGGAGATTCCAGGATGCCTGGTGCTGCCTCCATAGTGACTCATACTGCAGCAGCAGTATTGAAGCTTAGCACCACAGTTTTGAAATGCCCATCGGAGAAACTCAAGGAACAGTCCCTGGAGCTGTGCATGGTGGGCACCAGCTTATCCAGAGTGAAGGGCCGCTGCCTCCCCAAAGAATTCCAGGAATCGCTAGAATATTTCATTGTATGCAGCACCAACCTTGATACTTCAGCATTGCTCCATGCACCTGGTGCAACTGCACCTCCAACTGCAAGGAAGTAGTGTGTGCTTGTGCAGATCAGTCCCAAGATCTGATGTGCTGCTGCTTGTTCACTCCAGTGGTATTACCAAAGAGGGATTCAGACAGATGTCTCCCCCTCTAATTGAGGACAGCCTACACTTCGGCGGGGGGGGGGGGGGCTAGAAACAACATTAAATTGGTCTTTACATTTAAAGTGTTTTAGAAAATGCATGTGGAAGCCGCTCGTGCTCCTGACGAAAACTGCTCCTCTGAAGCTGTTTGCAGGCCAGCGTAGGGTAGTAAACACTAGGGTGGGGGCAAGGGCAACCAGGTACACTTGATACATGACTTAGAGGGTTAAGGCGGCTGTAGGGCCCTGCCAGACTTATGCTGCCAAGCCAAGAATGTGCCACAGCTCCCAGCTGACGAGAGATTTAATGGGCAAAATGGCAATGAGCAAAACGCCCATGCCTGTCTGCATGCACTGCAAGGCTGTGATAGTAAAATCTAGACCTGTGTTACTATGTACCAGTGTGTAGCGCCAGGTCAGGTTAGACACCACCGCTCTGGTGGTGCAGCTCATGAAAGAGACTCCCGCCTGCAAAGAGCAGCTTTGAATCCACAGTAAGGCCTTCTGCAAACAGAAGGTCTAGTAGTTGCTACTGCTTTTGAAATCAGCCGAACAGGGACCTCTAGAGGCCAGAATGAAGTACTGCTATATTATATAGTAATGTAAAGGTAAAGGTAAAGGTAAAGGGACCCCTGACCATTAGGTCCAGTCGTGACCGACTCTGGGGTTGCGGCGCTCATCTCACTTTATTGGCCGAGAGAGCCAGCGTACAGCTTCCAGGTCATGTGGCCAGCATGACTAAGCCGCTTCTGGCGAACCAGAGCAGCGCCCGGAAACGCCGTTTACCTTCCCGCCAGTGCGGTACCTATTTATCTACTTGCACTTTGATGTGCTTTTGAACTGCTAGGTTGGCAGGATATAGTAATGTACAATGCTTATATAGCAAGGATGAAGAATTCAGCCTGAGGGCCACGTTCCTCCACAGGCAGCCTTGCAGGGGCCACATGCCTGTGGTGGGTGGTGCCAAAGGCAAGAGCGGCCATAGCTACATCAAAGTCTAACTTTGCCTTAGGCAGTGGACACACCATACATTTAAAGCACATTATCCCCCCCCCCAAAAAAAAACAATCCTAGGGAATCCCAGACTTCAGGACTCTTTGCAGGAAGCCATATGCTTCAAATGCATGGTGGTGTACACAACCTTTGTGACAACCTTGACAATTTATTTCTACAGCTTGTGGTCCAGGAGACAAACAAACAGGCCAAGCTGTAATGGCCTACTTGCTGCATATTAGTTAATACAGTATGAGCAACTGCCACAAGATCCCCCTTGTCCAAAGGGATGAACTGCCTTGTGTTTACATAGCTTATCATATTCAAATCAGTTGGTAATTAGCTTTCTCATGCTGTCCAGATTTATATCCAGTTTATGTGGAATTGTGATCGTCCAAGAGGTTTTGTTTCGCGGACTCAACAGCATGCAACCCATTCAAGTTTTCAGAGGCCCTGTGCAATAAAACTCAGGTACTATCTGAGCCCCTGCCAGAAACTTTTTCCTGGTTGATTTCTAAGGATGATGCTAATTGCCTTGGAAGATGCATCCAAGAAGCTGGTCTCCCTGCTTGTTAGAGAGGGGGACTGCTTTCGTGCTTAGGAGAACAGCAATAAAGGAGGGGGCATTATGAATCATGCTACCTAAGTAGAGTGCTGGTGTTTTTGGTGGCAGGTGGTCACACCCAAGATCTCAGTATCCCAGCACATGGCCAATTAAACAAGTTGCTGGCTGCAGGACCAACTACTTACAGAAAAGTTAAGACAGGAAGCACCAATAGCCATGTGGCTGCATTGAAGAGTCAAGTCATATCCAGAGTTTATTTTTCTGTTAAAATTCAATTTGATTTCTGTATGGCCACAGACACACACACACACACACACACACACACACACACACAGAGCGACAACTGCCATCAGTGACATCAATTATGGAAGGGAGACATAAACTATACGTTAAGGGAAGTCACATTGCACAAAAGCTACAATTGCCTCCAGGGAAATAAACATCACCACATTGTCAGGAGCAGTAGGCACATTCACATGTATCGTTACAACCAGGTACAATGCTCATCTCAAAACACACCAAAGGGACACACAGCAACCTGGAGGGAGAGAGGGAGGAGACAGCAGCTGAGATCTGGCCGCTGGTCCACCTTCTAGATATGTATCTGCAACACCAGAGTTCCTCTGCCCCAACTGTATGTAGATGAGGGCAAAGGCCTTGCTTGCTTGTGATATTAACACATTACGATGGCGAGGCAAAAATATACATATTCAGATTTTGGAGGAGAACTAGAACACTTATTTCAAGAGACATGAAGAAGTAAACACCTCAGAATATATATTTTTAAAAAAGAATAAATTCTGTGCTTAACATCAGTTCTGGGATTAACAGCTGATTTAATGAATGAAGCAGTTTTTATGGTTTCCTAAAACAAAGTATTTCTAGTATGAGGTGTTTTTAACTCTTTAATGGTAATATTGACTTTCTCTTCTGTTCTCTCTTCATATGCAAGAAAAGCTAAATAATCTCAATGAGAAATAGGGAGTCTTGGTTGTCAACAAGTACATGGTTCTCAGTGAATTACTGAAACATTCCCAAGAAAATTCTAGCACTGCAGCAGTCTATTGTAGGTGGGTAGAAATTTGCCTGCACCCCAAAGAATTACATTGGAAGCTGTTTCTAGTTACATTCATGTCACTTCTTGCTACTGCCAATACTTCTCCCTTCCTCAACCCAGCAAGTGTTGCTGTCCAACCTATTATTACAAGGAAGGGACTTATCTCCCAGGAAACCACTTTTAGAATGGCTCCTTTTCAGTCATCATCAAGATCTCAAAAACTGAAGACAGAAACCGGATAAAACTTAATATCAGCTTGCTTATATTGAAATCACGAATTATAATGAAATCACGAATAAGGTATCGACTTCAAGACATATAATCCAAAACTGCTTATGCTAAAAACCTCCCACTTAAAACAGATTGGGAAACATAACAGGGAGATATAAGTATTTTTTAAATTTTTGCCAAACCTGCTGCAGCAGACTCTGAGCTGCACCCTTCTCAAGACTGCAGGTAACATCCCAGCCCCCACTTTCACAGCTCTGCTTCACAAAAGCTTAGATGACTGTTAACACCTATTTATTTTTCACCATGTCAACATCCACTGAGAAATGTGTGCCACCTTCTGGATAGATATGGAAACATGCTCCACTTGGTTTGCTGAGACTTCCACATCCTAAACAATTCACCTTAGTTGGATGTTTTGGTGTTGTTCACATGTGCTGCATTCTACTCCAACAGAGAAGTGACGGGGAGTGGACTGGGCTGTGGAAAGATGGCCAGAAATGCCACCAGTTTTCATTCAGAGGAGGGTAGTCCCATTGCAGATAAAGCTCCCCAGACAGCACGAGCAAACAGCTTCAGCTGTAAGACACCATGCAATGGCTTCTTTTTGTGTCTGTATTACTCCACTACCAAACAACGTCCATCAAATCAGGCAGGTAGAATTTTGTCCACATTACTAGAAATTGTAAGAGAAAGGGCCAAAACAAGCTTAAAATAAGCCAGGTTATATGATATGTTATTGAGCTATTATCTTAAGTACCTCCTAGCTTCAAGCACATGTAACCTCCCCAAAGGCTAAAGCATGCTGAGTTTTGCACCGCCTCAACCGAGCAAGTTCTGTAACAAGCTGGCTTTCCCCCCATTTTTAGCCATGGGCTGTGTCATTTCTAAGACAGGGCATAATCAAATGAAAACACTCAATAACCAGTTCTAAAGGAAAATCGTCTAAGCTGGCCACTTTACTGCAGTTGTGCGGATATCAGATATGGCAAAGCTCCCTTCTTCATTTGCTAAGCTAGGAGTGAGCAGATCTCACAGAGATTCAGAGACGAAAAAAGGGAAGCGGAAAACCAACAAGATGTGCTTAATGCTTCTGTGTTAGTCTAGGGGCAGACTTTGCTTACCACGTGGCAACCTGAACTGAAGAGATGTCACTACTAACCAAACAGCCAAAGGCTGCATGCAAGAAAGCTTCCAGTGACCAGGTATCTGTCAAGTTAATGAGGATGCAGCACCCCCTAGAGTCCCTAGAAGAAACAGTCCTTTAATAGTCAAAACAACTATCGGCCATTTCCCTAACTTGTTGCAATAGCTTCACTTTAAAAGACTGTGCCAAAGTTTGAGGTCAATTAGCTAATACTGCTTCAAGCTCCTCCCAGCTTCTTTTCAACACAAATAGCAATGACTCAGGAGGAAGTAGTTCAGTGTGTTGTATATCCCATAAGAGTCGTTAGCTGCCTGAATGTACCCCCTAAAAAAAACATGGTATCACTGATATGCAGTATCAGGAATGTAAACAGAAAAGCAGGATGGCAGCATGTCAGACAGGATGCCTTCGACAGAGCAGTGGCACTGAAGACCAAAGGGGGGAAAAGTACTCCCAAATTACTCAGTCAGCCTCACTTCACACACAGCGGAATGTCAAACGAAGACTGGCTATTAGGGCAACAGCCAGCTGTAAGATGTGTAAATGAGTGTGTGCGCGCACACACACACACACAAAATGGTGCTTTTAACAGATTTCTCTAATCTAATAGGTTATAGAAAATAATGGCTTGGATCAAACAATCCATTTGCAGTGTGTTCTGCACATGTGCAATGGGTCTCTCTCATCCTTCCCTTTCCCGCTGCAGCCCCTGAGGATCTGGGGAAGCCTCTAGGTTGGCGTGGCACGCAGTAAGCAAGACTGCAGTTGGGAGGAGAGAAAAACCGGCAACACAATCAGTTTGGATTGCATGGGAGTCACTCTGTATCCAAGCTAACGTTAGCAGGGATTAGAAGCTTCTGCAAAAGAAGAAAAATTACACTGCTGGATAAATCCAGTCACCAACAAGCACCTGCTGACATAAGAAATGTTATCTGGCCTCATGAAGGCTCTGACACGGATAAAAGTCAACTTGGCTACTTCAGTGAGGCCACCTTCTTGCTACCAAAAATATCAGGATATGCATAAAGGTTTCCAGAGGTAAGAACAGGAGGTCAAGGATAAATCGCTTAGCCAAATACAAATTGCCTATGATTCTTCAATGGCTGAACAATGAGGCCCCTGCATCTAAGTGAGCCCTGCAAATTAGCTTTCTAAATTACAAAAAAGGAGCCTATTGATTTTGTGGATTCAGAAATAAGCTCGATTCTTGCAACTGGAGTTGTGGTCAGAATCATAATATGCTCCACGAGCTAGCTGTTTTTGAAAGTAGGCTCTATCTCCTCAGTTGCTCATAGTGTCCTTGAAACCCCAAACCTCTATGATAGCTATCTGGAAACTTTCAGAGCACAATGGTTGGTTGTTGAAAGTGTTGCAGTGGCCAGTTCTTCCATGGTTCAGGTCTGCGTCAATGTAGAGAGCTTGACCATCGCCTCCGCCTGCGGGGGAAAAGACCACAGTTACACTGTCCCTGCATCAAGATGCAAAGCAGTGGCTCCAATCACATGTTCAGTTCCACTACTTCTGGAGACACAGAATGACAGCTTTTAGCTGCCCCAACATGTGAATATATATTATGAGAAGACACTATCACCCCATCAAACTGCTCTACAGTTAAGAGTTCATAGATCTCTCAGAATCCAAGGTGTATACCAGTCTTTGCCAACCTGACACCTTCCAGATGTTTTGGGCAACAACATCTGGAGGGCACCACGTTGGTGAAGGCTAGCATATGCAGAGCATTCAATTATGGATATTTTAGCTTTTAGAAGGTCAAGAGTCTGATGCAGAATAGATAAAATATTGCACACTGAATCTATTTGCCAAGACCATATAACTCCGGCCCTGAAAGACCTATATTGGCTCTCAGTACGTTTCCGAGAACAATTCAGTCTTGGTGCTGACCTTTAAAGCCCTAAATGGCCTCAGCCCAGTATACCTAAAGGAGTGTCTCCACCCCCATTGTTCAGCCCGGATACTGAGGTCCAGCTTCGAAGGCCTTCTGGCGGTTCCCTCACTGTGAGAAGTGAGGTTACAGGGAACCAAGCAGAAGGCCTTCTCAGTAGTGGCGCCTGCCCTGTGGAACGCCCTCCCATCAGATGTCAAGGAAATAAACAACTATCTAACTTTTAGAAGACATCTGAAGGCAGCCCTGTTTAGGGAAGTTTTTAATGTTTGTTTTACCACATCATCATCATCATCATCATCACTCTGTTGGAATCCGCCCAGTGTGGCTGAGGAAACCCAGACAGATGGGTGGGGTGTACATAATAAATTATTATATTATTATTATAGTCCCCCCCCCGCCAACTGTCAACATTGCAGGCCTAACTGCAGCTCGATTATCAGATGAAAATCATTCTCCTACTCCATCTTTCATTTTAACCCAGATTCAAAGATGATTTAGGAATAAAAGTCTTAAAAAGTGCAAACCCCTTTGTGCCCCTACACAGAACTACAAGGCGCTGTTGCAAGAGGCAGCAACAGAAGAGCACAGGCTTACCTATAATGATGCATTCCATTCCACCAGCCATAAACATGGATGCAGCTTTGGAAGGCAGGTTGAAGTGCCGGGCAGAAAGGAAGGGGGAAAGGCGGTCTGAGGGGTCCGAGGGGAGGCTGGTTGCGGATGGAGGGTCAGAAACATGGGAGGAATTGTTCCCTTGTTCAGGTCCTGTCATGGCTAGCTCTGGGTGCCTGATTATTACCCACTCATAGCGTTCCACTTCAGGCACCAGCTAGAGAGATGAGACGAGAGGAGAGATGGAGTTACGAAGGAATTCTTCAGAGAAAATGCACTGCACTTGGCGTCTCTTCCCCCCCCGCCCCCCCCCGATGGCCAGAACTTGACTCACATCCCAAGAAAGATTTTCAGAATGAATTTGCACTATGAATGTTGTGGCAGGCACTAAAAAGGGAAGTTATTATATTGATAACCTGCTGTTCCTTTAGTAAAGCTCAGAGCAACTTTCAGTGGTCTCCTTGCTAGGCGTTAATCAAGTTTGATATTTGTAGAGAACGGGGGGGGGGCAGCTTTCAGATTGCTCAGCAGCCAATATATAGAGTATTTCTGGCCTACCTTTCTAGGCAGGACTTCAATGCATGAGAGAAGTGTTAGGACATTATGGCAGTTATATTGCACAACCTCTCCCTGACATTGCATTAGGAATCTTGCAAAATCAGGATAGCTACTCAAATGTTTCATTTGGTGACCCTCTTGATTGCCACTTTAATTGTAAAGACTCGTGTGTTAAGTGAATCTGAAAAAGGTACTTACAACTAGGGATGGGGGAATATATCACTTTTCGTTTCTTGTTTCTCCCCACTCTTAAGTTCTGTTCTCCCCATTTCCACATCACTTTTTTAAAAAGGCTTTTATCAGCATTTCAGTGTGAATTCCTCCTAATATACACATTTTTCTATGCAATATCCCATGATATAATGCATTCTTGTATATTATTTTCACTGTTATATATTTATATGCACACTAGCTTATACGTTCTTGTATACATTACTTGGCTGAAGAACTGCATGGCAGAATTCAGAGAAGTGTCAATTTTGAAGGATGGCTGTGTTTTGGTTTGCTTCTTGAAAGTGCAAATTTGGTAGGTTCACCTTTAAATGCAAACTGAATCCAGTTGTCTTCCAACTTCAGAGTGACACATTTGTTTTGGTAGCTCATCAACAATCCATGTGCACCGATACTACCTTGGTCACTTGCCCCAAGCTTGAAATTCAAAATATCTACACTTCCTAGTTTGGCAACATTGCATCATACACCGTGGTAGAGAAAGTGTGACACCCAACAATAATCAAGACACTTATTGCGGTAGAATATCATAACATTCAGCCTAATGAAGACTTTTGATGAACTTGGGGAAAGGTTTGCTCCATATTCATATAGATGATGATGGTTAAACGGCTGCTGCTGCTAATAGCAGCAAGGTTTAGTCTTATAAACTGATCAGTAGGTTGTTCCCCAAGGGCAAGGGGTGGTTGTGGTAAAAGGAAACATGATTACTCTGTGGTACCAGAGAGGAATGGAAAGCTAAGCTGATGGACCTTGCTGAAATGGCAAAGCTGACTGGGAAACCTCAGGAACCAAGAGGACAAAAACTTTAAAAAAGAATGGGGGGAAATTATAATTTATTTATTTATAATTTATTTATTTATGCAAGCAGATGAAAACATTAGCAGGATTTTAATCTCACTTGTAATGTAACAAATACTATGGATAATATGGATGGAAACAAAATATAGATTATGGAATAATATGCAGTTATAAATGTTGACAACAGGACCTATGGAGGGTATGGGGGGGAAGTGGTGAGATTCAGACTTATAGCTATATATGGATATGCATTTGGATTGTTATAAATTTATATTTGTAAAATCAAATAAAAATGATTTTTTTTTAAAAAAAGGAGTGAACATTACTGCTTCTTACCCTGAACACAAAACATTCCCCTGTTCCAAAGAAGCTCAGCTTGTTTCCTCCTCGCTTGCGTTCATTCCAGTCGGTTGATAAATAAGCCCCACAGACCTAGGATAGTAATAGCCACCATTTTAGAGAAACAATGAAGAAGTTCGAACACTTGAAGCTGTAATACTGAAAGGTATCAAAGCTGGTAGATAAAGGGACACTTCTTACAACATTTGTAGGTGCACACCTAACACACACCTTAGGTGTGAAATGCAAATCAAACATGTAAATTTGTCAACAGCAGCAACTCACAGTTGGATTTAGCAAACCAAGGTTTGCCTCTGAAGTGGCCCTGGTATGAGAGTAGCAAGTTATATCTTTAGTTAGTCTATGGCTGTCAACCAAGGTCACATTTTATGACTGGTCATTATCAGTATCAACAGGGGCCTGGAGAGAGAAAAAGAGAATGTATATGGGTCTTTTTGAATAGCTCTGAGATGTGCAGGAGGCACATACTGCAGTGTGTGCACTGTGATGAAGTCACCCCTCTGTAGTGGTAGGGGAAGGGAGTCTGTGGCAGAACACGTCAACCTGGAAAACAGGTGGAATTTCAAATTCAAATTTCCAAAGAAAGCAGCTAAATTGTGCTTTATTAAGCAAGCAAGGCACAAATGGCACACCAGGGAGAGTTCTAAGGAGTAATTTCATTTTTTGTCTATGGCAACTACAATAATTGATGGACAGCAGTTTAGTGAATCACGAAATTTATAAAGTGTCTTTTATAAAGCTGCTACTTGTCCTGCTAACTTACCTCTTGGGCCGTTGTCTTAATCAGAAGGAGAGTTGGTTCATGTCCCTCGCAATGCGAATAGAACCTGATAAAAATACATATAAAACGATGCTCCCTTAGTGAAACATCCCACTGCTGGTCTTGGCAACTGTGCACACTATCCACACACTTTTTGCATCCACACTACACTGCCAATCAAGTCCCAGTTCATTGTCTGCCTCTTTAATCAACAATAAAAACTGTTTGGGTGATGTGCTAAAAGACCAGACTCTAGTTCACAAAACCTTAAGCCATAATAAACGTCTTAGGTTTTTTAATGCCACAACATTCTTTGTTGCTTTAGCATACAGTTAGGCCTCTCAGCTAAGGAAGAGCGAGCAAAAATCCACAGTTCTATAGCACAGCATAGTCTATGGCTCAGTTTGTCCATAACGCTAAGCAAAATCACAGCACATCACAAATGTGCAGGTTCCCAGAAAGAAGGTTGTGGCTGCTTGATTTCTGGTCCTGCTGTTGCTGCATTCTATGAGCCAAGTCATGGTTTGGTTTGGCTTAGCACATCATCCAAATCTGGGTTCGTGGTCCATCTCCTTAAACTGTAAGCCAAGAATGAATCTTGGTTACAGATTGCAGTTTGTCTGAAGTGAGACAAACCACAGGCCCATGTTCAGATGACATGCTAAGACAAACCATGGCAATAACAGCAGGATGGCCAGGGAGGAGGAAAGCAGCTGCAATCGCCTTTCTGGGACCACATGCTTTCACACTAAGCCATGATTTGACTTAGAAAAAAGATCTATATGAGTTGATAGCACAACAACATACATTCAATGTAAAGCCAGCCTACAAACTCTGCTTGTGTTGAGGCAAGGCAAGGCAAGGCAAGGCAAGGCAAGGCAAGGCAAGGCAAGGCAAGACAACTCTAGCAACATTCATCATACATCAGAAGCAAAGCACCCTTGCCAAGAGAATTGGCCTATGATTGTCTACATCATCTTGTGGCGTACAGTACCAAAGATTCATTTTAAAATAGTGCTGACTACATTTTACCTGCTTAAGCTGCAGCCATGTTCGGAGGTGGTGAACAGCAGCAGTGGCTGGCAAAGTGCAAAGCGCTCAGGAATCCATGACCAGATGTCTCTCATCTTCTTTACATCAACTATTTCAGACTTGAAGTTCTCAGCATGAACTGCCAAATGGACATTCTGTCTGTGGAATGACAGAAAAGTGGTGTTAAGACTGGAGTCATGGGCATTTGTCCAAAGCAACTACTGCCCAATTCGGGCCTCAACTTGTTGCCTATGGCAAATTAAAACATTTCTTTCCCTTTCCCTTTGTAGATGCATTGTAAATGACTAACAAAGAAACTAGCAGAAGGGCTAGTAACTCTATGAGCAGAAAGAGGACACCACCACACCACAGGAAAAACAATAAAAGGGCAAAACAACTAAGGGGTTTCCAGTCGCCCACAGCTTGAAATTAGGAGGGCTTGATATCCATATTAATGCTGTGGTGTTTAGCTCTGTATAAGGGTGCAGATCTCAGCAGCCCTAAGTAGTTTTGTCAAAATAATGTTCTTAAATACGAATCAGCATTTTTACATGGATAACAGGAAGTTACCGTATTTTTTGCTCTATAAGATGCACCAGACCACAAGACGCACCTAGTCTTTGGAGAAGGAAAACAAGAAAAAAAATATTCTGAATCTCAGAAGCCAGAACAGCAAGAGGGATCGCTGCGCAGCGAAAGCAGCGATCCCTCTTGTTGTTCTGGCTTCTGTGATAGCTGTGCAGCCTGCATTCACTCAATAAGATGCACACACATTTCCCCTTACTTTTTGGAAGGGAAAAGGTGAGTCTTATAGAGCAAAAAATACGGTTCTTTCTGTATTTGATTTTCATGTGAATAATCGATAGCTGTACATTTTTTTGTGTCCCCAAGGAAGAATACAGATTTTCAAATGGTGGGAATTCTGGGAAATTTTAAAACCTACTATACCATAAGTTGTTACCTTGCAACTAGGATCAGTTTTGCCCTTTCATGGTTTCCCCACTGATTTGGTAGACATATTTACAAGCTACCCCAATTTCCCAATCAAAGCTATAGCCATTGAAAATCACTTGGAAGGTTTTGATGTAAACACCCTTCCCCAGCCATGACTGCTGTTCAAAACCAGCAGGGGCCCCAGGTGATACCATTACAGAGGAAACTGTACAACCATAAATATATTCAGAGCTATGTGCCACTCATGGAAATTCTTTTCCAACTGTTGCCCAAGTATGAAAACAGACTTGAATGTGGCTATATCCATGGAGTTAAAGAATCCACAGAAGGCTCAGTTGCTCCAAAGCACTGGAAGCCAATACATAAAACAGGAGGATGACATACAAGCCAGTGACAAGGAAATATAGCCAATTCTTTTTGACAGCCAAGCTAGAGTTAAATGCAGGTTTCACAGCTTATATCAGAGATATGCAAGAACTGTACCATGAAGCAAGCCAAACTTTGGAGTTATTATACAGTACATGCTAGGAAGAAGAGTTGACATGCAGGCCACTTATAGTGCAAAGGCATTCTTTAAAAAAAAGGGGGGAGCCACCTGTCCATTTTATTATGGACACATCTGCATACTGTAAACCTTGCAGAAAACTAGCAGCTAATAGAATGACAGAACTGGGGAGTTGGAAGGGACCCAAAGTCATTTAGTCCAATCCCCTCCAATGCAGGAATTTCAGCTAATGAATCCCTGGCAGATGACCATCTAACCTCATTTAAAAAATCTCCCATCACCTCCATCATCCTCCAAGGTAGCCAGTTCCATTGTCAAACATCTTCTGCCACCAGAAAGTTTGTCCTAATGTTTAGTCGGAATCGCCTGCACATCTCTAATTAAGTGAGGGAAATGGGATTCTCATTCATGGGTAGTTTCAAAATTTAACTGAAGTACAGTGACAGTTTCAGAAATGGTGTGGCTCCGTTTCTGAAGCAACTCATGTTTTGTCCTTAAACCAGAAATTAATCAAAATGCACACTTGACTGTATATGCTAAGGGCAGGATGTGTTCCCTTCAGCACAGATAAGCCACAGAGCCAGTTATATGTACTTCCTAAAGCACTGCAGATAGGAGCCTGCATGATATCAGCAGAGGATTATCAGGTTGTTGATTAGTCTCCTTCCAAGCATGATCTACAACTTGTGAAGGCTGCTCTGTTCAGTGTGCATGCTACAATTTATCACTAATCTCTAAGCCTTAAAACCACCAAGGCTTAGGCAGCTCAAGCTAACATGAATCTCATGTCTTGTTACCAAAGCACATGGACTGTGTACCTACCTGTGGCAGAGTGATTAATAAACATGATGCTAACCAGTACTTTTGTTTTCTAAACAAATTTTTTTAGGGGTACTCTCATTTTGACTCAAAAAATAATAATCACCATTTTATGGTTCAAATTGGGAAAAATAAATACACTAAATGGACAAAAGTACAAAGATTCACAAAATGTTTAGGGGTACGTGTACCCCTGAGTCCCCACAGAAAAAAAGCACTGCTGCTAACAAGAAATTTGTTAAAAGTTCACTACTGGCTTCTCAGTTATGGGCTTGAATACCACATGGGCTTGTATACTTTTAAAAAGATCTTGGAAACAAGCTTAACTGAGGGTGGGGAAGAACATGCCATTCATCCAATTTGGGCTGCAGGCAATAGTTCCACACTTAGTCACACCTTCATGTGTTGCATTCATTTTCTGTATTTGTGCATGGGCTGTAGGAAGCTCTTTTTGGTTAATGCCTTAATGCACTGAGCCATGCCCCTGATTGTCACCAGGCTACCTTAGGTGCTTTCTTCCAAGTTTCCAGTACAATGTGCTTCTGTTGCTTCCAAGGTGAAAAAAATAAGAAGGAAGGAACTGGTGTTATACAGGCAATGACTAATTGACAGGTGACAGCGCACATGTGCACTGCCACAACCCAGAAGGGGCTGAAAAAAAGGCGGGAGGGTAACTGGCTTATGTGCACTCCGCCAACATGCAAGGGGGTCAGGAACATAACTTGTGCAAAGCAGTCATTGCCTGTACTAAGGGGAAGTCTGAGCAACAAAGACGACCCTGATAGGGAATCAGCATGTGCAGCCATCTGACTAAGGTTCAGGGAAGAAAAAAATTAGGGAGATTCAAGGGTCAAGGCTCACTGAGAGCAAGCCCGGGAGGAGATCTGGCTGTGAAGGAGGCTTGACATGTCCCAGAGCAATATGGGCCTAGGAACTTTTCCATCATTTATTTTGAAAGACTCTCTGGAAAAAGGAGAAGGCAAATGAAGGATAGTATCATGAAATAATAAAAGCCGCAAACAGACAAAATAAGTGCTTATATTTGTGTGTGTGCGCGTGCGAGAGCACACCCATGCACATATGTGAGAGACCGACTGACCAGCATATGTATGAACCAGCAGGGCAGAGGTGGTCAGAAGCTAGGAGATGGAACAAAATACAAGGAACATGTAAATGTATAGGCACTATATGGAGGGACTTTACACCTACCACATGTGCTTGTCTGAATGGCAGGGAGGATGACTCCCATATAGCGACCCGGCCTTAGTCCTCAAACCACCTTCAGACATATAAGTGGCAACATACAACCCTGTCAGTAAGAGTAAGGTACTTTATGCCTATAACGCTATCTGAAGAATTGCAGCCAATATACCCTTATCATAGTTAAGTGGAATTTATATACCAGATCATCTGAACACCTCCCTAGGCACAAAACTATCTTGGGCTGTACTACTAGGGCAGGCATCCCCAAACCTGGCCCTTCAGATGATTTGGGACTACAATTCCCATCATCCCTGACCACTGGTCCTGTTAGTTAGGGATTATGGGAGTTGTAGTCCCAAAACATCTGGAGGGGAGGGCCGAGTTTGGGGATGCCTGTACTACAGTTATTAACAATCTTTATCTATTCACACAAAGCAACTTCATGTTTAACATTCTGCCTATCACTATATGGCTCAGAAGTTCTTTTAACAACAAAAGACTAGTAGCCCCTACAGTATGTTAGAATAGGCTTGTGTTTCACCAGTGAAATCCTCACGAAAGTGCAGAGAAATAAGGCTAGACTAGAATGCAAACCTTGTACAGCATACTTGACAGCAGGACTGTTGAAAGCTCTGGAAAGACATTTGTGAATTGCAACCCCCCCATCCTGCTTCCCCACCATCTGATACTGCAGTAAGTACTGGCATAACCAGCCAAGCATAAGCCGCGATAACAGCCATTAGGAAGTCAAGCCAAGGCAGAAGAGAAAAGCAAAGCGTGGAGTATTCAAATCTTGAAACCTACCTTTTTGGGGATGCAATGCTGCAAAGAGGAGGGGTGCAGCAGACAGGGAAATGACAGTACGAGACAAAAGAGAGAGAAATCAAGAAAAGTTCAGTAAATTAGAGTCTAGAGAAAAACTCAAGAGTAAGATTTGAAGTCAAATGAACGAGATTAAAGAACAGATGGACACCTAACCATTGTATCACAGTTCTTCCTCCTCAATTCTCTTATCACATTTATCTTTCTATACAATGTCTCTTCACCTAACTGCTTATGACTTCTGAACTTGCCCTTCAACCTTCCCTTCTACTCTCACTCCTTATACGCGACTGCGCTCTGTTGTTGAGGTTTTCCTGTTTCGCACAATGTAGAAATTGGGTCTTTAGTGCTGTGGTACTTACCTTTTGACTTCATTTGATCTGATCTGGATTATTTAATTTCCATACCGCTTAATGTATTAAAAATATATCTAAGTGGTGTACAAAAAATGAAGCAACAGACAACTTAAACAAAATATTACAAAAATACAGAGTTAACATAAAAATGGAATCCCCTCCCCTTGGAAAATAATTTCATAATTTCAAAAACCAAACCATTTGCATGTGTGAAATGCTAAGAAACTATTTGTGAGGCTGTTAACCAAGCTCCTTGAAGCTTTACATTTTGGGCCACACAACCAGAACACATTTCCTCCAATCAAGTTTCTGTGATTACAGAATACTAGCTGTTCTTCAGCTTATACAAAAGCACAGCGTTCTCATGCCTGTCAGCCACTGGTCTTGTGCCATTTCTACTAACGATAAATGGAATATTTAGAACACTGACCCAAATCTCTGAAATGTCAATGCTTCTGACAAGAATATAGAAACTTTAAGGCTTTCACAAACACTTGTCAGCTGAATAAGCCCCAGCGGAACATCTTAAAGGGCTCTTTCATCAAAGATGCCTCGTGCACTTAACTCTGCCCAGTTTTAGTACTTTTAGCTGTAGCCCTTTCCCCCATTTCTCTTAGGTTTGTCTTTATAGATTGTAAGCCAGTGTTCAAAATTAACTGGGCGCCTGGCACTTTTTGCTACTGGCGCAGGTCCATGACACAGCCTTTCCACAGGCCACCCAAATGCAACTCACAGATCAGTTTAAAAACCTCTGCCTTAGTTCATAGTTAATACCAGTTCCATTTCCACTGTGTTTCTCTTTCTTGCATATTGGACAACTGAATTTCTGTAAGAGCAATCTACAGTCAAGCAATGTAGTTGAGGTCACAGAATTGTAGAATCACAGAATTGTAGTGTTGGAAGGGACCTGAGGGTCATCTAGTCTAACCCCCTGGGATAAATAGCCTTTCTTTGCGGTGATACCATCTGAAGAAGTATCTGAAGAAGTGTGCATGCACACAAAAGCTCATACCAATAACAAACTTAGTTGGTCTCTAAGGCGCTACTGGAAGGAATCTTTTTATTTTGTTTCGACTTCAGCAGACCAACACGGCTACCTACCTGTAACACAAATATATGTCGTAAAATCATTATAACTTTTAATGAAAAGTAGCCTTAGGAGGCTATTGAAGACCGGCAGAAGGGAACGGGGTGTGTTACTCTTTTCTCTCTAGCTGTTTTATGTTCAAAATCATCCATCTCAGCTACTATATAAACATCTGGAACCATGTGGGAAAGAAAGCAGAAGGCAATTTTGAGCAAACAGCAAGTAAAAGAGGGGCAGGAGAGGAATGATAAGGCAACTTCCAACTTCCTGCGCTCAAAATTCCAACCTCCTAAGGCTTTTTTATTGAAAATCAGAAACAATTGTGTTTTGCTGCATTCAGCATGCCTTCTGTAGGTCTGATTCTGAAACAGAAGTTAAGCATCTCTCACAAAACCTAACTGCTCTGGGTACCTTTGCCTTTACTTGTCTGCTGAGCCTCTGTTCATTATAAAAATGCATCTCACCTTTCCATTATTTTTAAGATGCTCAAGGCAGCTTCCAACATTTTAAAAGAAAGCCATCACAATTTCATCAACAACAAAAATAAATTTAAAGAGGGGAAAAGTAACTTGCAACTGAGCACGTCAAAAATATATTGAAAGAAGAATGCCTTTTATCAAAATGTTGGAATGCCACAGGGGGAGGAGTACAAAACAAGCACACAATTATACCCTGACAGGAGTTCTATAATCTAGGTGGGGCATCAGAAAAGGCTTTCTCCTGCTTCTCCCATTAGTAGTTGAGGCTTTGCAAATGCAGAGAAGACCCTCTTCAGATCTTAATGAAGGGGGCAAGTTCATATGGGAAGTCACAGTCTCTTAGATTATTTTAAGACAATCTATTTAGAGTTTTAAAAAAACATGACTAGTGCTTTGAACTAAGCATTAAAAGAGCTCCACCACTATGGTCCTTGTGAAAAATTAAAGTTCTTTAAAACCCCAATTGTCAGAAGCTGAAAAAGCAAACATACGCATGTAATTATTCAGTTAAGTTGGTACAGTCTCTATACTTTTCCACTGAGCACCCACATTATTCTGCTTTTGCAACCATATCCACTTCCCATGTAAGTCAAGAGCATTACTAGAGGAGAGGGAAAGCCTCTCTGGAGTATGTATGAATCCCTTTTACCTCTTCTGTTTGACGGTTATGCCTTTCTGCTGAAGAGCCTTCTCGTTGGCCATCTGCAAAAGCTGGATCTCCTTCCGTGAAAAGAGCCGAATCGCAAAAGCTTTCTCTAGCAGTTTCTCAGGAGATACTGACTTTGCAATATCCCTAACGAAAGCTCGGATGTCCTGCTGAACGTTGTCTGACTCCATAGTCTGCCCAACCCTGACTTTATGAAAGAATTTGAGAAGAGCTAGTGCAACACGGTATAGAACCTTGTAGCCCTCTACCAAGAATACATCAAAGACCCGTGCAACATATATCAGAGGCAGTTCTCCAAAAAGCCACCGTTGCCAGTCTGAATATACTTCTAGCACATCCTTGGAAACTGCTACCATCAGCTTGTGGGCCGCCTGACAGTATTTGTTAACCAGATCGCCAAAAGTCATGCAAGACGACTCAAAAGCCAAGAACGTCTGATCAATGAAGTGCTTGGAGGGATCGTTGCAGGCAAGGATGCGGCAGACCTTCTCAAAGCACTCTGCTTCATCCCTACTGTAATGGAGGAGAAGTGCTACCACGGAAGGCAGAGCTGGGCAGAATGATATGTCCGGGAACTGGCTTGCAATGCATGAAATTATCTTCCTGACTGCCCCAATGCCTTCTGCATTCAGGCAGTAAGTGGGAACAAGGCTGTTGTCCACAAATTCTGGAAGTGGAAGACTGCCGCTGTTACGTTTGCCAGCAATTTTCACCACAATGTCCCGGTAGACGTGGGCATCTGGAGTCACTGTGCGGCAAGGGATATCATTAATCAGTTTGTGGTACACTTTGGCTCTTAAAGAGTGGTTTTTGGCCCAATATCCCTGGCGAGCCAGTTGCTTCAGGTCCTGAAATTCTGTGCTGGTCAGTTCCTTTGCATCCTGGTCCTGGATTGTAGAATCCATTTTATCCCAGTCTATAAAGCGGCTATATTCACCCATAGCTATTAAGATAGTCTTCGCAGAATGACATAAAAGCAAGTATCTTATCTGGCCCTTGAAGCACTTTCAATTTTTCCTGGAAAAGAACAAAGCACACAACAGGTTACGGCTACTTTCGTGTCAAGAACACAAGTTGTTCCTAGCTTGTCCTGCTATTGGCAGTGGAGTACAAGTTCCAGACTGCCTGCAAAGGGGCTTCACTCAGGTAATTAATGGCTTATTACTTTCAAACTGATGTACCGGTATTTCCCTCCTCAGTGGGTTAACCTTTTCTATCTGTGCAATACACTGTTCTGTGGCTGAAAACTGTAGTAAACTGAGCTGAAGAATAAGTGGTACCTCTGGTGAAGAATTTAATTCATTCCGGAGGTCCATTCTTAACCTGAAACTGTTCTTAATCTAAGGTACCACTTTAGTTAATGGGGCCTCCTGCTGCCACCACGTGATTTCTGTTCTCACCCTGAAGTAAAGTTCTTAACCCGAGGTACTACTTCCGGGTTAGCGGAGTCTGTAACCTGAAGCATCTGAAACCTGAAGCATTTGTAACCTGAGGTACCATTGTAATTTGCCTCAAACATTCCTTTCCAGCACATCTTATTTATATGGTACCAGAAAGCAGGGAGGTGGGGGAAAATTATACAGAACATCAGAAAATAAAGATGCAAATGTTACTGCCATATCAGAATCCTCTGTCTTTTGAGGAAGGAGTTGCCATAGGAGACTACATTATCAAGCTTTTTGGGAAATGCAATGGCTTCGTGAGCATACTAGGTCATAGGCAGGAAAGGATTTTACTAGCTGTAGCCAAATAAAAACAGGAATCCTGTAGTACCTTAAAGCCTAATTAATTAATGCCATAATAAATTAGTCTTTCAAGTGCCACAGGACTCTGGTTCTTTTTGCTGTAACGAACAGGGCTAATCCTCTGGAAGATACAGCCTAACAAGTCAGGTTAACATAGGCCTGTACAACACTTGGAAGAGCAAGAGTTCAACAACAAAGTCAGGGATGTACGTTCAACATGCACATAGTTAGTCTGTCTGTAGAATGGCAATAAATTGTTTAGTTCCAAAGTTTAAGCAGCAGCTTTCCAATAGGAAAGCAAATTTGCTTTTGTAAGCAGAGCTTTGGAAATTCAGTATTGGCTGTTGTATTAAGTGCTATGACAGACTTAATAAAAGACAAGTTAAGTGGTTCTCCATCACTTAAAAACCAGATAACTTTAAGAAATTAAGTGTCTATCAATATGTTTTCTATAACAGGTTACACTAATGCATGAAATACTGGCTCATGTGCCAAGAGTGGGTGTTGTCTCATTTCTGTTAAAATTCTGAACCTTTGCCTACTCTAAGGAAAACATGCTTATAAATATTGCGTATAAATAGGCATGGCAATGAAGGCAAGTCCTTGTCCAGATAAATCAAGATCTTGGTTGAATATTAATCTGGATATCTGAGATTCCACATTAGTCTCAAAATTAGTATGGTGTAAGATCAAATGATATAGCCAATGTTAGTCCTACTCACAAGTAGACCAATTAAAATTTCTAACCTAACTCAGGCACATTCATTTCAATTATTCTACTCTGATACAACCCATGTCTTTAGGAAGCCCTATGGAGATATGGTTTGAAACTATATCAGGCACATGCAGAGAATCAGAACTGCATCACACATTACATGCAACACTCTATGGGTATACATAGACTATCATGTATAGGTTCTATATCAGGGATAGCTAATCTGTTGCCTTGCTGGACTACAACACCCCTATTACTGGCCATGCTGGCCAAGGCTGATGGTATTTGAATTCCAACTTCTAGAGGGCCACAGGTTAGCCACCTTTATAATACATGGTTAAAGGGTTACAAGTGGGAACTGTTGCAGCATAGAGTTCTTCTGTTTAGAATTCCAGCCAGCCATGCCCTTTTCCAGAACACTCCATTCTATTCCTCCCACCCACCCCCCAAATAGCCCAGCAGTATTTTTCAAAAATATCTCCTCACCCCTTAAATATTTTTTCCTTTTTAAAAAAATACTTCTACAAATCCAAGCCTGCCGATATCTCCCGCTCGCCAGAGTTGGTGCCATCTTGGCTATGCAAGGATCCACATACAGAAGATGAGTTTACTATTAGTATACAGTTGCAATCAAAATTTCCTCTTTGGCAGAGTTCCTTTTTCTCCTGCTTCAGCATAAACAGATCAACCTGCTTATACATTCCAGTTAAGTATACAGGGTTTACAGCAGAGCGCATAGGTGAGAATCACAGCTGTTGCCCTCGAACATTTATTTTTATCAGGCTTGAAAATAGCAGCCACCTTAAAGACAATTTATTTATGGCATGAGCTTCTGTACCTTTTGAAATCTCAGTGTCTGCGCTCTGCAAAATATATTCGTTTTTAAATATGCACAAAGAGTTTGACCAAAAAGCAGAACTGAGAAAAACAAAAGTAAAATCCCTGCAAACAAGAGACAGTTTGCATTTAATGGCAGAAGCCAGTTTCCAGTACTGCTGGTTACCAGCAGGTTCACTGTTTGCTGAGACTAGAAGCATCACTGTTCTTTTTAAAAAGGGGCTGGGATTAGGAGGCAGAATGGGAAATAATTAGTATTTTAGTCCACTGTTATGGATTACCCAACAGGGATTAAGTGTTCCTGGTAAGGTTGTCTTGAGTCACATCCCTGATTTGGTCAGATTGCCAACTGCAGACTGCTGCCTCTTTAGTAGCAACTCTCCACAACACTTTTTGCAGAACTGTGAACCCCACAGCCCCTCTTCCAAGAAAAGCAAAAAACTATTTTCTATGAAGAAATCCAGGTGCTGTAACTCGATTAAATAATGCAACAACACTGGTGATTGTTTCATGTAAATTAATCTTGTTAGTCACAGGGAGGCACAAAGAACTATGATGCTCTGGTCTCTATCAGCCGTCAGATCTGAATGGATGGGAATCTGATCCTCTTCAACTGGCCTGTCTATACAGCTTAGCTGAGCCACTTCTTTTATTAGTCTCAGAAAATCCTCTTCCTCTTGGCTTTTGAGACTGCATCAGTCACAGCACCACTTTCTGGTCTACCGTTGCAACACTAAGGGCTAGAAATTTGCTGAGAAAGTAGTTGAGATTATTTTGTTGGATGAAACCAAGGTCCAGCTAGCCAGCATTCTCCTACATTCTCTTCTACAGCATTCTGTAGAAGTCTAATGTAAGCTTCCCAGAAAGATCTAAACAGCCCTGCTTCTAACACAGCAATATTTGAGCTCTGTACATAGAAGTATCATTTAGCTATAAAAGTGAGTAGCTGTAGACTTAAACATTCGACCATGGCAGAATAGTATGATAAAAAGCCAGGATATGCACAAGCTTTTGAGCAACCTGCACACAAACCCTTTGCTCTCACTTGACTCTTCTCTTTGCCTGCTAATGTAAACAGACCAAGAAGGCTCAGTTAATCTTGCCTACTGCGTACAACCCAGGGACTATGGTTAATAGTTTCCAACTGAGTCAGGAAATAGAGGCCAATCGTGGTTTTTAAAGTAGCAAGCTACAGAAGAAGGGAACAGGTGAAACCTTGATTTGTGCTCTTACCTGTAGCCTAGTCACTTGCCTGCTAACTTATTATCTCTGTCAATCAAGTTTTTATAAAAAGTCAGATCCTTAATTCATTTTGGGTCATATACACCTAATGTAGGTGCGTATCTATGGCTAATAACTTTTGTGGATTTATTTGGAAGGGCAACATACCTTCTTTGGTTCGATTAAGAAGAGTAGACCATTTGGCATTCCCCCAGAGCACTCAATCAGAACCGTGTTGACATTTTATACAGTAAAGTCTTTGCAACTTAGAGAATGCGGGTATCTTTTATTAGTACAAAAATACTGTAGAAGTGAAAAAGGTTAACACCCCTTCTTCCTTAATTTCTGTATTAACTCTAACATTTCTTACCATTAATGCTACAAGGACACATATGGACACAAGGACACATTCACAAATATGGGACCAGATCCACATTACCACACAGATGCCCAAATCTTTGAAGTAATGCAATGAGCAGAATGAGTGTAATGGCACCTCACTTTATACAAACAGATAATTTCCAAGGGCTCCCATTCTTGTTTATATCAGCTCTTCCAGATTTCTAAACACACACACACACACACACACACGGATGGTCAGCACTTGTTCAGTAATTATTTTTGTCAGTCTTGAATTGAGCAAGGGATGTTACTAGTGGACAAGGTAAGGTTTTAAAGTATCAATTTCATGGTATTTACACTGATGCCATTCCTTATGGGTACAATGGTACCTCGGGTTAAGGACTTAATTCGTTCCAGAGGTCCGTAAAAGGTAAAAGGTACCCTTGCCCGTACGGGCCAGTCTTGACAGACTCTAGGGTTGTGCGCTCATCTCACTCTAGAGGCCGGGAGCCAGCGCTGTCCGCAGACACTTCCGGGTCACGTGGGCAGCGTGACGTCCAGAGGTCCGTACTTAACCTCAAACTGTTCTTAACCTGAAGCACCACTTTAGCTAATGGGGCCTCCTGCTGCTGCTGCTGCTGCGCTGCCGGAGCATGATTTCTGTTCTCATCCTGAAGCAAAGTTCTTAACCCGAGGTACTATTTCTGGATTAGCGGAGTCTGTAACCTGAAGCGTATGTAACCCGAGGTACCACTGTATCTAGAAGAGGGACCATTCTACTAGGGAAAGGCTACTGTGGGGCCAGGATGACCAAGTTCCAAATTATTGTCATAAAGATTTTTTTTGTGGGGATAAAGAAAAGCTCCAAGGGATTTGCAAAGCTTCAGTTTTCTTTAAACAGACATGCAGAAATCTAGACAAGTGCAGCAACAGGAAACATTAGATTTACTGAACAATAAGACATGCATTATTGGCAACAGAAACAATTCTCTCACCTAAGGAAATGTCTATCTCAGTTCATCTATGAGAGTTAATGAAATACTGTTTCTGTAGTGGAATTGTCCAACACTGAAGCACTGAGTTCAATGGATTGCCTTAATGAGGTTAAATGTAGTTCGATTATCTCCTTGTGAATTGCCTCAGGCTTTGTGTACATCAGCATCAGCTTCTCTCACCACTTAAACTAGGACTACAGGAATGTAGATCACAGTAACTCATGCTAACCTAGCCAGTGTTTCAGGTGACAATTGCTTCCTGATCCATTTTTCCTCTGAATCTATATACAGTGGTGCCTTGGTTCTCAAACACCTTGGTTACCAAACACCAAAAACCTGGAAGTGTTCTGGTTTCTGAATGTTTTCTGGAAGCCGAGCATCTGATGTGGCTGTCAGCTATTGTTTCCGGGGCGCCTGCACCAATCAGAAGCTGTGCCTTGGTTTTCGAACATTTCGGAAGTGAAACAGACTTTCGGAATGGATTAAGTTTGGTGCTTTTGCTATTTATTTTGTGGTTTTGTTTTTGAGGCTTTTTCGGTTCTTTTGTTTTTGTGACTGTGTGGAACCCAGTTCAGCTACTGATTGATTGTGTGATTGTGAAAATAGATAAAAGCCCCCCATCCAAACAATGACTATCATCAGAGCAGGTAAGAAAATATATTAATTTTAATTTTTATCATCTACAATACTGTCTTATTTATTTTACAGTACAGTACATTGATTACTGGTATTGCTTTCATTTTATGGATCAATGGTCTCACTAGATAGTAAAATTCATTTTAAATTGCTGTTTTAGGGGTTGTTTTTAAAAGTCTGGAACGGATTAATCCGTTCTGCATTACTTTCTATGGGAAAGTGCACCTTGGTTTTGGAATGGACTTCCAGAACGGATTAAGTTTGAGAACCAAGGTACCACTGTATAACTGGTTCACACAACAAGACGATGTGACTGTGTAGGCTGCTGGAGAGGGCCTCATAGTCGCTTTGTTCCTCTGTGGTCCTTTTTGCTGCTGTATCATACTAAGACAAGGTGTCATCCAGATTGGGATTTGTGATTACATTTTCTGCTCACTAATAATGAGTTGTTGCAAAGAACAAACCTTGGCTGAAACTCATGCTTAGTGGGGAGAATGCTTACTCACGAGTTCTGGTTTGGATGCAGTGTTCAAAACTTGCACTGTTCTAGGAGCATTTTGCAACAGGGAATTTCATTAGCGCAAGCAGTTTCTGAGCTCTGGGTGCAGAACTGCACCTAAGATTTTAGATCAAAACTGCAGAGTGGAAGGAAAGGAGGACCTTTTTCTGCCTCCCCACTTCCAGCTACTCTCTGAAGACTGGAGAAGAGACCCTCTTAAGACTATTACGGGGGTTGGCAGGGGAGGGACTGGACCATGTGAAAAATGAGCATAATATTTTAGCTGCAGTTCATTCATTTTCAGTTTTGTATTCTTGTTATATTCCATTGTTGTGCTCATAACCTAGGTTTAAGGTGCCACTTAGCTCCTAGCTTTCATATCTCAGTTTCTAACACTATTTGGATGACATACTAAGCCAAACCTTGGCTTAGCTTGGCGTGGCAGCAAGAAAGACCAAGGAAGAGCAAAGCTTGTGTGAGGTCCTATCTGGGAGCCAGCATGTTCAAACGGTCTTGCTAAGCCAACAAGTGTGTTGTGTGAATCAGGCCAGTGTTATTGCAAGGAGAAAGGCAACTGAAGCACTTTCTTTGATAACAATACCGTATAAATGAATCCAACAATTACTTCATTTTTTGAAAAAGCCCAAATACCAACATTTCTAGATCAAATACAATCAAGTGCATAGATCACAACATAGTGAGGAACAGTCATCCAAGCACAGTAGCTACTTGTGCTACCTCCTCCACTTAGGGATTATTTCTGAAGACAGATGAAATTACATTTTTCTGTTGTGGGTATGAGAATTAGAGGTAGGGTAGGGAGCACACATGTCCATTGTGGACTATCAGAACTCAAGTGTCTTCCTCCATTCTGAGAGAACTCAGCTGCCCTGGAAATCAGACCCTAGGAGCAATCCAATCTGAAAACCATGTTACTACTAAATGTAGTAAAATAAAAAGCAAAATTGTGTGACTGGCAGATGCGGCATGCCACACCTAACCCCTCACTCTGCCTTCTATGAAGAGTTCATGAATCAAGTCTTGTAACCACACAGCTAACTCAAGAGCAGCAAATAGAGCGGTGTTAAAAACCTGCATTAAGATTCTTCAACTCTTTGTAATGAATGTTAGAGATTACTACATGCATTTAATTACAGCTGGCTGTGCAAAACCACCAGGAGCTAAATAGTTCTCCAGAGACCCAGACAAATAATTGGTATTGAGGAAAGAGAAGGTTTTGTGACTAAGGGAAAGATGTAAGGCATTTCCAAAAACCACTCAGCATTGCTTGAGCAGCACAGATGTGATATAAATACCACCCAATCATAAGCAGAAGTGCTGTTAAGAAACAGAAGGATTCAAACATCAGCAGTTTCTTTGGCTTCCTGATGGAACCCTGTGTAAAGCTTACATATCCAAATGCAATAAAAATGGCATAATAGTCACAATAGCCTTGGAACAGTGCTCAGTACTTCACTATTATCTTGTGCCTATTTAATTACCTGATTAAATATATCACACAAGACCATCTTTGATATGTCAGCAACCAGTCCATCTAGCATATATATATATTTCATAGCTGCATATAACAGATACTACAGGAAAAGAGCTTTTAACAGTTGTAAACTATCACCTCATCTGTCTCCTGAGAAATCTCTATGTGGGACAAGAAGCTACAGTTAGAACTGGATATGGAACAACTGATTGGTTCAAAATTGGGAAAGGAGTACGACAAGGCTGTATATTGTCTCCCTGCTTATTTAACTTATATGCAGAATTCATCATGCAAAAGGCTGGACTGGATGAATCCCAATCCGGAATTAAGATTGCCGGAAGAATATCAACAACCTCAGATATGCAGATGACACAACTTTGATGGCAGAAAGTGAGGAGGAATTAAAGAACCTATTAATGAGGGTGAAAGGAGAGCACAAAATATGTTTGAAGCTCAACATAAAAAAAAACTAAGATCATGGCCACTGGTCCCATCACCTCCTGGCAAATAGAAGGGGAAGAAATGGAGGCAGTGAGAGAAGAGTAGAGGTGTTTTGTTAGTTACTGAAAAATGTTCTCTTCTGTATTTTAAAAGGATAAACATCTAGGCATATTCACCTGTAAAATTTATGCTTAGATCTCATTTAAAACATGCATGCTGCCACCTTGCATAATTTTTTTGAAGAACTCACTTGGATAATTTTGCACCCTCACTGTCCAAAAATCAGTGTGAAAGAGAACTTGACCAAAAGACCAGGTGAATGGTTATTCATTAGATTCCCTTCTTCAGATTAGTTCACAGAAGTAGTTAGCTTTATGTACAAGAGGTCTGAAAGCAATTTCCCTAGTAAGTTAAGGGCTTTGTTAGAATGTGCAGTATGACTATTGATCTGTCCAGTTGTATTCCATTTTCTTCCATGAGTTCATTTATAAATTGACAATAGTGCCCTGAATAGACTTCAGGAGATAAAACCTACGACGCCTTGTATTTTAATAGCCCCTCAGGGCCATAAGATAAGGCCAAGCACTGGAAATGTGGAAGCTTACAACTATGACCTTGCTTGTGCTCTGCATATTCACAGTAATCCAAGCAAAGTATGCGTGGGCAATAATAACACACTAACGAGCACTTGTGTAGTATAGTGACTAAGAGCACAAACTAGAAGTCCTGTTCAAATCTCAATCTATTCATGAACTCACTGAATGCAGGCAAACTGCCACTGCTTATTCCCAGTTTGTGAAAATATTTATGTTTTCTTGGGTTGGTTCTCAAGCTCTGTGAAAGCATCCACAGATTAAGTGAATCGCTGCAATGAAATCTAATTTGTACAGCAAACACAGAAGGGAGAAGAGTGTATGAGCCCAAGGTTTGTACTTGTAAGAAACCATTATTCTGGTTATATCTGAAGTGGGCAAAGACTTTGAATTTCAGCTCACCGCATTTCATGAACCAACACCAACCTACAGAAGTCAACAGAAACCCTTGACTTTGTAAAAGAAATTTAAGAGGCCACAATTGAAGACCATCAAGATGGATGCAACTCTACAACCTGTCTGACTTAATTCGGCATAGAAAGCTCCAAGCCTGTAAACAATGTGAATGAAATACATCCTGTTGTTGTTGTTTTTTAAAAAGGAGCAAACCAGAGTTACTTAGGTGAAGATCTATTTGTGTGGATGCAGGGTGGCTTCTATTCAGTTCAGAAGTAAAAAGTTAACTAGGTGTGATGGAGGAACACAGATGAAAATGCCACTCCAGGTAACGGGGGGTCACCAGGAGCAGGGGGCAGATTTACTCTTCATTCCAGTGCTGACCTTGTACAACCTTTTCTCCCATACAAGACAGTAGTTGTCATTCACTCATGAAGTGGGGATGGGGGCACAAATGAAATGTTGCAGAGGGGAAAACCAGCCACCTTCAAATGGGACTGAATGTGGGGAGTCAACATTTGTCTGCGTGAAAAATATTGCAGAATCTCTGTGCGCCCCAGTCTCTGCAGTAGGCAAGTCTATCCCTATGCATACAGCACTGCTTACAATGATGGGCACTTAGACAAATAAGTCACTTCAATCAGATATACAGTTGAGGTGGAAAAAATACTTGGCTTCCTTACACCTGGCATTGGGTTCACCAGTGTCTGGAGTAGGTTGTAGAGTTGCATGAAAGATCGATCTGCTTCTTTCATAAACAGTTAATTTGAAGAAAAACCTCATTTACTGCTTGTAAACTGAGTTTCTCACAGACTGCAACTGACCACCCACAAAAAATCTGCTTGGTAGAATGTTTTTGTGTACCAGTAAGAACAAACAGGTGGAAAGACTAGGACAAGAGCCAGGAATTCAACAACAAAAAAAAGGAAAATATAGAGATGTGGAAAAGGATGCAAGAAATAAGTGCCTTTGGTAACATAGAAACGTTAGTCTAAATGTAAAGGTGCAATCTGTCTGAATTTGTTCTTAAAATCCCCAAAAGAAAAGAAATAAGAGGGGCTGTAAGAAGGGGAAGACTACTGGGAGTTGGATGTTGGTAGTATGCTCTTACTATTATTTTTGTGGGCTTCTGCACAAATGTTGTTAAGCAGTAAGAGACAATGCATGCAGAAATGTCCCCAAAATAACACTACAGAATAATATATAGCAGGCCTGCTCACAGCATTGCCTACAAAAATATGTAGTTTTGTGCAAGTCTTAAAAAAGAAAACATGCTTGGCAGTTAGCATCAAGCATATTTTCCTCAATCTGATGAAATTATATGATCAAAGCAATTTGAAAACGGATGAGGAAATTCTGCTTAGTAGCAAGGACATATTTATTGTCTTCTGTCATAACCAAAGCTATTACCACTCCTTGCCCCACATGTCCTGAAAATGATTTTTTACCGGTTCCTTTTTGCCTCCCAGATTCCCTTCTAATTTTATCCTCTATTTCCTCATAAGAGTCCCAAACCCATTTCCTCTCCTCCCTGTTTCTCTCACTTAAGTTGCCAGCTGTGTACCCCCCTTCCAGCCTACTATGTTTTAAAATGATTCTGTTTTCTTAGCTGTACCTCCAGCTTATAAAAATATACCGGTAAATGTTAAAAGTGGTCAGCTGCTGATACGTCAACAGTCACCCACCATACTGGGCCAGCCCACATCCACAAGTTCAGGTATTACTTGGGGTTAGTAAACACTGCAACCTCCTTCTTGCCTCTGTGACTCTTAAAAAGAGATACTGTGATTAGGTCCTGCGTGTGCAGTAAAAAGAATGTCCAGTTTATTTAGGTTGTGCACAAACACACTGATTTTTACCATACCAAAAAACCACAAAAAAACCCACACCCTTTTAAAAAAGTGATGATTTGGAGCTTACTATACATACATTATGTAAGGCTGCCATGTAAGGCTACCCTTTACAAAACGGGCAGAAGCTAATTCAAGCATGTTCTCACTGAAATGAAATACCGTTTGCTTAGATATGTAAATGACTGTGTGGTGCTGGTTTTCAAAATCACAATCACAGTCATAGTCAGTTTTTTTCTGGGGTTGTTTAGAAGGTGGGTTTCCCCCTCACTTTAGTTATCAGTATCAGTTCCAAGAGCCCAGCAGCGCCAACAATAAGGCTGCCAAGTGTTTCAGGATTCAAAACTTGTGATCTTATGAAATATGATGTAAGATCTTAAAAAAACCATCAATACATCTCTATTTGCTGTAAAAAACCCCCACAGGTTCCCAGTGTGGGAAAAGAAAACCAGATAAAACTATAGCATGCACGTGGAAATAAAAGTTACTACTACTGCAGTAACTGCTCGAAGAAAGGGAAGTGCGAATGCGGCTAAGATTGCTCAATTACCAATTAAATTCAGGGCTGGAAAAAAATCCTTTCCCCCACCCTACAGATATAGGCAGATTCAGGAGTCATGAGAAAAAATGGCCTAATTGATAACTCATGGTTGGAATCAGTCTAATTAATTACAAATTCATGAATGTTTCGGAAAACATTTTCAGGGGAACATGCATTCTGAAACGATACAGCAAACATCTTAAGTCATTTCAAAATCTTAGGCCTGAGAGATATAGACTTTTTTAAATATAGTCCATAGTGCAAAGAGTATTAGGGCAAGTTTTTTTGTTTATTTAACCTATAGGATATTGGCAATTTCAAGTTGAACAGTTTAGTGCATGAGATTCATGCATCACATGATTAAGAAAAACATAAACAGGCACTTAAACATGCCTTTAAACCTAGTTTATTGTGTTTATACAACAACCACTCTGTAACTACGAACAATTCAGGCTGCTTGCAGTATCAACATCCATTCTAGAGGTAGCAACTGCTTCACTTTAGGTCAGGCTCGCCCCTCCAGATGTTTTGGGACTACAACTCCCTTCATCCCTAGCTAACAGGACCAGTGGTCAGGGATGATGGGAACTGTAGTCCCCAAACATCTGGAGGGCCGAGTTTGGGGATGCCTGCTTTAGAGCCTCAGCATCTGATTCCAGTTAAATATTTCCCAAACTAGCAAACAACCCCCCCCCCACATCAGATAAGCACCATTACACCCCTAATGTCACCAACCATATTTTACGGCCAGAGGGTGGGTAGAAATTTCAGTGCTCACTCTGGAAAACACATGGCTAGTCAAAAGAGAAGGTAGAGGATATAGCAAGGATGCCAATTATGTGGGTGGAGTTGTGTAAACAGATCCTCTATATAGTTACGTATTTGGGGAGTCCCCCCGTATCAGTGAGGCTTATTTCCAGGAGGACACCCTTCCCCTCATGCTGCAGAACCTCTTTTTTGCATTCGCCTGGAAATTCAGTGTTTTAAATGTCCCATGTCAATCTTTAGAAATCAAGATTTTGTTTTTCCATCTGTAGGAATGCAAGCCAGGCCTCTAATTCAGCCCTCAATCGCCTATGGGTGGCATTCAGCTGAGTTTTACTCAGAACAGACCCACTGAAATTCAAGGCCTTAACTTAGAAATGTTTATTAATTTCAGCGGCACTACTCTGAATAAAACTTAGTTGAACATCACCCAATACTTGTACATAACTCTGTTTCAATTGTTTTTTTTACAATTATCTCATCGTTATCAGATTTCTTCATACCCTGGCCTTCATGTAATGGGCTAGGATGCAACACAGGGTTGTAGCCCAACCTCAAGCAGGTGCCCCAGTTGAACCACTTTTCTTGTATCTTTGGATTTCATTTCATTTTTAAAAGAGAAGGCAAAGGGGTGCAGCAGAAATGTGGAGGTTAAGGAGAAAGGAGGGCAGTATAGATGAAAACAACAGAAAACAGGACATTACTACATCAGGAAGAGCTTTCTAACAGTAAGAGCTGTTCAACAGTGAAACAAACAGTGAAACGAACTCCTATGAGAGGTGATGGACTCTCCTTCCTTGGAGGTTTTAAAGCAGAGCTTGGATGGCCATGTACTTGAGATTCCGGCATTGCAAGGGGTTGGACTAGATGATCCCCAGAGTCACTTCCAACTCAAGGATAACAATACTAGTCTTATCCAGTGCTGCAGGTTGGGGATAAAATGGTGGGTCTGGAGTGTGAAAGGGATGAATACTTCTGCTTTAAGGGTCTTTCTTCCACACAATTACAAGCGACCCAATGTCTAGAAGAAAAGCTGCTGGGATTCACATCATTTGGGGAGCTTTTCTATATTTAAAAAAAGATCACTTGCCCTTAATAACCCACCTTATTCCTCCACGGAGTTCAAAGCAACATACACTGTTATCTCCCCACACTCCTTTTATCTTAACAACCACCCCGTGCAGCAGGTTAAGGCTGAGAATCTGTCACTGACCCCAATGTCACCTAGTATGCTATGGGGCTGAGTGGGGTCAATCAGACCAGGAACTCCCGAATTCTACCTTGACACCGTATTCACTGCACGCCACACACACAGACCCCAAATGCAGACGCACAGCGGGCTCCTTGGCGGTGGCACTCTGTTCATGCTCAAGGGCACTGCCCCCTTTTGTGTAAACTATTCCACACACTCCACAAATCCATCCTCTCTCGAAACTGGGAAGAGGATGAAAAACAGAAGAGGGCTTCGGCTGAAATGAAACCCTGCAAATGAGGAGACACCCCGCTCAGCCCGCCCTTGCAGGGTATTCCTGTATTTCTCCCACAGTAGCTGCTCTCCACAAAAATACCTCGCCCCCCGCCCAACGCTAAAACGGCCGTCTCCACCTTGCCTTTGCTCCCAGCCCCCTCTCCCGGCAAAAGGTGTGGGTCGGAGGCGCCCCCCGCAGGCTGAGAACGCCCTCGCGCCCTCCCTCCGCGTCCGGCCCCTCTTACCTCTGGCCCCACTTCAGGTACCAGCTCGTAAGACCCAGCCCGCGCAGGCGCACTTTTATACCATTCTATCTCCCTCTCCTTCCTCTCGCTCGCTCGCCCCCCCCCCGCGTTTTCTTTACTCACCAACCTCACAGTTCATCCATGTACACACCTCCTCCGGGAGCCCTTGCGGCGGCCGCGAACGGAGCAGATTATAAATAGCGGCTCGGGGCGCATGCGTAGTAAGGTCGTATCGGAGCTTACGGCCGCGCACGAGACTCCTCGGCGCAGGAGGAGAAACCTTGGCGCGTGCTCCCGTGGCGTGCGTGCGTGCACGCTCCGCTCCTGCATCGCGCGCTCGCAGGCTGTGGCGTTATTCTGTCCGTGTTTTCCTTTCCCCCGCCTTTTCCCTTTCCTCGTGCACGGCGACGGCCAGGAGGGGGGGGCGTGGCTTATACATTTCTAAGGAGCTCCGTAGCTCACAGCTGTTGCTCTGAGGTGAAGGCCGTTGAAAATATCCTTGCAGAGTTAGCTGTGTTTACTCTGTTATTTTTGTCTCCTCAGATGTATCTTAGTTGCATCTTCTTTAGTTTTTATGTCTCCTTACAGGGCCTATACCTAAAAGGCGATGTATCTTAATTTTTTTTTAAAAAAACACTTGATTATACATGTTGACATGTGGAAAACAACTATATATAATTGCAAAAAAAGATATGTGAAAGCATATATCTTGAAATTTATGATTCCAAAACACAAATAACAGTGAAGTCCATATTTCTAAACATGTAATTGGTTGCTCATTATATGGCCTTCTATAATATGCAAAGGTAAACATAATTTTGTCAATCCAATCTGAAACAGATGGCGTTCTATATCCCACATATACCCATTTTACCAGCAGTGAAATTTGCCACTACTTCTATATCATGTAAAATTATGTTTTAGCCCAAAAGTAATATTTTAGGCTCTAGTGACAGTAATCACTCATATTCCTCATTCTTAAATTTAAATATGACAGTATCATAACCAGCTGGAATGGCCGCAGAGGAGCCAAAATGGCAGTTGGTCTGTTGCTGAATGTCTTCCCCCTCAGACACAACCAGGTGGAAATGGCTGCATGTCAACCCTTAATCCCAAATTGTGACCATTACACAAATTAATCTATTCCCTGGTTTTCCCCTCCCGTCCCTCTGGAGTTTATCCCATTGCCCATCTTAGACTGTGGGCAGTCGGGGGGATTTGCCTGCCAAGAACTGCGTCAGTCGGCCGGGCTTCACCCTGCATGGGCGGACAGGCAGCACAGCACAGCGCAGCGCAGCCCCATTTGGCTCTAGTGGGGGGGGGGGCGCTCCAACAGTGTTGGCAGTTTGCATGCCCCGGGCACTGGCAACCCATGCTACACCACTGATGCTGTGCTGAGAATGTTTCATTCCTGCTGCATTCCAGAGTACTTTCCAATGACTATGGATAGTTGTACAGTATTTTAAACACTAAGCTAGTAGAAAGCTTGCAAAAATGGCTTCTCATTTGAATGTGGTATACATAACAACATTAACAGTGCAATCCTAAGAATGGGCTGGGAGCCTATCTACACAATCCATTTAAAGCAGCACCATACCACTTTAAATAGTCATGGCTTCCCCCAAAGAATCCTTGTTCAGGGTGCTGAGAGTTGTAAGGAGGCACTCATTCCCCTTACAGAACTAGAATTTTCAGAGTGGTTTTACAATCAGTCCTGCTTGCGGGGGACTCCTGAAACCGTATCCCTGGGTGGGGTTTCCCAACAACTCTCAGCACTCTGAACAAACTACAGTTCCCAGGATTATTTAGTGGAGACCATGGCTGTTTAAAGTCATATGATACTGCTTTAAATGTGTAGCGCAGGTTGTTGTTGTTTAGTTGTTTAGTCGTGTCCGACTCTTCGTGACCCCATGGACCAGAGCACGCCAGGCACTCCTGTCTTCCACTGCCACCTGCAGTTTGTAGTGCAGGTAGCAGGACTTATTTCCAGGTGAGGATTGTAGCCTCAGTGATTCGAGGTCAGACAAACACTGAGAATGTGAGACCCCTTGTGGAGATAAGAAGGAACTACCTACTAGTGCCTGGAGAACGATGGCATACATATCTTAATAGTGTGTAAAATAGCATTAGCCTATAAGGAGAAAACAAAACTGATCCACCTGCCACAATGAAGTGGTTATTAAAATGATAGGGATGTTCAAAGTTAATTACAGATCCAAGTTAACAACCTGCTGCAACGAAGTGGACTTTGAAGGTTTTTAAGCACCCAGGGCCAATTTACCCCTCCTAGAGTCTGTCTCTTCTTTAAGGAATGGAAGTTCTTAAATAAGATCTTAAAGAGGCAGGGACCTTGTTTGGATTCTAGCACACCTTCTCCTTTCTGACATTTTCCTGTAAGCACATGCCTTCTCTGGGAAGTTGACATGGGTATGTGGAAATAGGGTAGCTGTTCATTGCTATTGTTTCTTGCTATGGAAAGCCTGAAAAGTTCAGCAGTGGTAACATCAGTGATGCATCAGAAAAGACCAGAGATTGGTGCACGCTGAACAGGGGAAGGACAGAATTTTAAACAAAGCGTGTTCACACTCTTGTCTCAGTGACGTCTACGCTGGCTTGGTCATGCCCACAGAATGGAAGATAGCAGGATCCTTAAGGACATGCTCTATGGGGAGCTGGCTTCAGGCACCAGGCCCACTGGCAGACCAACTCTGTGTTCATGCAAATGTGACATGAAGCCTGGCAACGTCAACTCTGCTGGATGGAAACTCCTTTCAGACAACTGCAGTGCTGGAGACAGACAGTCAGGTCTTATATCCATAGCAGGGACCAGCATGATCACTGGAAGGAACAGAGAGGGAAGAAACGCCATGGTGCATCTGCAGCAGCAAAACCAGATGCCTTCATCTGCCCGAGCTGCAACAAAACATGTCTCTCCCATATTGAGCTGTACAGCCACCACAGTCACTGCTTCACCCTCAAAGACACACTTCACAATACAGTGGTACCTCGGGTTACAGATGCTTCAGGTTACAGACACTTCAGGTTACAGAGTCCACTAACCCAGAAATAGTACCTCGGGTTAAGAACTTTGCTTCAGGATGAGAACAGAAATTGTGCGGCAGTGGCTAAAGTGGTACCTCAGGTTAAGAACAGTTTCAGGTGAAGAACGGACCTCCAGAACGAATTAAGTTCTTAACCCGAGGTACCACTGTACACTTCACAATATCAAGCGGAAGATTATTATCTTCATCATTCCAGCCAGGCAAAAACATTTGGGGCAGTGAGGGGTGTGACCCAAGGAGAGCTGAGCAGGGCTGGACCGGTTGGCCTAGGCAGTCACATCTGGCCCCTGGCCCTCAGCTTCCACACCAATACATTACAGGCACAACCACTATAGGAAACTGCCTTATACCAAGTTAGAACACTGGCCCATCAAGCTCAGCATTCGCCATGCAGACCAGCAACAGCTCTATAGCGTTTCAGATTTTTGCAGCATGGCCTGGAGATGCTGGGGACTGAAATTGAAAACTTTTGTGCCTAAAGCAGACCACTGAGCTACAGCTCATCATCACCATCATCTAGATTTTTCGTTACAGGCTGGAATGAAAAAGGATTTCCAAATGCTGGTGCGTCCTGTGGATTGAATACAGTAATACATTCCTCCTCCATCCTTGCCGCTGCCCAACGTCCTCTCCTCTCCTCTCTATACAATTGCTGAGAGGGGTGGGGCATAGCCTACACTCCATTGTTGCTCTTGGCCAGCCTTTAACAAGGCTCCTTCCAGAAAGTGTGGTATGAATAATTGCCCAATTAACCAAAGGGACTTCCAGATGTGTGCGCTGCTTTCATACTAATGCAGACCTCCAATCCATGTGTCTGGAGATGGGCAAGGTGGGGGGGGGGAGGAGAGAGGGAGAGCAGGCCTTGGTAGGGCCAGGAGGGCCGCAGACGTACAGAGTGCCCCCCCTTCCCTTTCGAGGGGAAATGGCTTGTTTAATGACCCAAAGGAGAATGGATTTTCGCCCGCTCTGCCAGCTGAAGGCAAAGTGTGCCAAAAAAGCGAAGCGAGCCGAGAGGAAAGTCAATCCTGTGTTTTGATTTTTATCAGGTGTACGAACAGCGACCTCTCCTAAATCAAGGCTCTTTTCTCCCCATGCACATATTCCACAGTTTGCTCCGAGTAAGAAGTCCCTTGAGATTTGGAAAGCAAACCTGCGCTCTTAATGGATTGAGGTCATGGCAGAATTTGAGTTCTGCCCACCTGACCATAGGGGCTTAATGTTCCACTTTTCTCAGTTGGCAGGTGGCTGAAGGTCCCTGCCTTGCGCAGAGAATGTGGTGCAACACACTTCCATGAACTGAGATATTTCGACTGGACTTCTCAAATATTTGTTATCCTGCCAACTGTTTCTGTGTGGGTGTAAATGCCTGCACTGAACTGTGTTCAAGTGGGTTGTATTTCTCTGGCCCACAGACCACAATCCTTCCTCTTCAGACACGCAAAGGCTTAGGTTACATCCACACCTGCAAACTGCCATGGGGCTGTGTCCTGATCAGCAATTTCTTTCACAATCTGTTGTTCAAGGCAGGACAAGAGGTGACTAAGGAGGGGTGACGAAATTTGTCAATTTCAGTTTCTCATTTTTCCAGTCTTTAACTCAGTTCTCCACATTTCCCCATTCTTTTGCAGTATATATTTTTTAAGTTCCCAAGAAATTTTTTTAGAAAATTTTTAGCCAGCAATTTTTAGTGAATTTCTCCTCCTATACATATTCTATGTTGTTGTTGTTTAGTCGTTTAGTCGTGTCCGACTCTTCGTGACCCCATGGACCAGAGCACGGCAGGCACCCCTGTCTTCCACTGCCTCCCGCAGCTTGGTCAGACTCATGTTTGTTGCTTCAAGAACACTGTCCAACCATCTCATCCTCTGTGGTCCCCTTCTCCTTGTGCCCTCAATCTTTCCCAACATCAGGGTCTTTTCCAGGGAGTCTTCTCTTCTCATGAGGTGGCCAAAGTATTGGAGCCTCAGCTTCACGATCTGTCCTTCCAGTGAGCACCCAGGGCTAATTTCCTTAAGAATGGATGCGTTTGATCTTCTTGCAGTCCATGGGACTCTCAAGAGTCTCCTCCAGCACCATAATTCAAAAGCATCAATTCTTCGGCGATCAGCCTTCTTTATGGTCCAGCTCTCACTTCCATACATCACTACTGGGAAAACCATGGCTTTTACTATACGGACCTTTCTTGGCAAGGTGATGTCTCTGCTTTTTAATATGCTGTCTAGGTTTGCCATTGCCTTTCTCCCAAGGAGCAGGCGTCTTTTAATTTCGTGACTGCTGTCAC